TTGAGGCCTTCCCGCCCGGCAGCCCCTCGACAGGCCTGGCCAATAAGGTGGCAAGGCTGGACCCCTCTGGCGTGGTCCACCCCAGATCCATCCACAGGGGGGGGGGGCCTCCCTCCCTGGTACATATATGCAACTTCAGCTTCGAATTCGATGATGAACCATAAAGCAGTAATATTTGATGGTGAGCCATGCTGGGCATGGCACAGCGTCAAATTAGACTGTGCCCAAACGAGAATGTCGATGACTAAGTCTGACCGACGCAGTGACAGAAGAGAGAAACGAAACAAAGTAAGTAGGTACGATCTGTTTTCCATGAATAGTCTCGTCGACAACTAGCATCCCCTTTGCCGGACCCAAGCGAATCTGAACCGCAACCACACGCCCGACAATGGTCTCTGCCGGAAGAGCTGCCGCAAGCTGCTCTTGGATCGCGTCCATTATCAGAGCGGAGCAACGCCCCGCGCCATCCGTAAGCGCCGCTGTCGATGCACTAGGCTGGGAACTTCGTAGATCGTCAACGATGTGAATCTGCCCCGGCAAAAGTGGCGGGCCGATTGGAATGGTGTCGCTCGTCAGCATTTGCCCCCGCGCAATGTATTTCCCTATCGGCATGTCACACACCAGGGAGCGCTGGCCAAATTCCGAATAATGCCACCACAGGATCTCGAAGGGTGAAAAGCGCGCAGCTTCTGCGACGAATACCGCACGCCCGCTAGCAGTATGATGCGGGACGAGGAAGAAAGATGAAAAGGCAGCAAACGACTGAGAGAGCCGCGGAAAGCGCTCGACTGTACGCGTCAACTCGTGTGGTACTCTTTGTGCCCTGCATGTGCGGATTTTATTAGTTTACGCGAGTTGCCGCTGACATTGACATGGTTCAAACCCGACTTCAGCGATCTCTCAGTCAATGGTTATGCCATAAAAGAAACCGCTTGCCATCAGAGGCGCGACGCACTACCTCCGGCACGATTGAGGAGGCGTTGCAACTGGTTGGCTTTAGAAGTGTACTGATGTCGACGATGGCGCAAGAATCAGGATCGACCAGCCGTCTACTCAGCCTGCAAACATGCGGGCTCATTACTCGGAACGGCAGAAATGTTTGAAGTTGAACTCGTCCAGCAAATGCCTCCGCATCAGTCGGAGAACAAAGATGAGCGGGGTCCACCTTAGCGGTTGTACTCGCTGATATTAGTCCCTGTTCCAACATCTTGGTCGTGGCTTATCTTATGAAAGAAACGGGGTGGACTGCATCCCGAATTGAGAGAAAGCGAAAGTACATTGTAATAGTTCTACATTATTGATTTATTCTTCAAGTCGGATGCACATGCAGCGGTCTCCAAAAAGTAGGTATACTTGTATCCGAGCATCAGGTTCAAGGAGAGGAAAAGAAATAAGGAGAAATACTACAAGTACAACCACAAGGCTGAGCATGACGGTGAATCAATGACAGTTGAATCACTGAGAATACCCAACACACCAAATACTATGTATTATACGTGCTTGTGTTGTGATCGTGATGTTGCACGAGAATTTATTGAAAGACCACTGTTGACCATGACTTATAAATATATTTTCGTATAATTCTGCTGGTGCATCAACGTTTGTCTCACATCGCGGATGGGAAAAGTGATTTGTTGGTCTCACATCGCGGGTGGGCAAAGTGATTTTGGTTGGCAAGTGGAGCTAATCAAGCGATAGGGCTTTGATCGTCCTTTTATTTCGTATCTTACACCTTAATAAGCCTAATCAACTTTTGGGACAGTTTTTAAGGAGGTGTGGGCACAGGCAAGACACAGTTGGTAATTAAGGGTAAGAATCTCAAACTCAGCATACATCGGAATTGTTCAGACTCGTCGTCCTCAGGATCAGTGAAGTGCCGGTGCAGTACTTCTTATCGTTCATGTTCATATACATATCGGCATTGACGACCTGACAGATGATTGATTTTGATGTTGCACGTGCGTTCACACACGACATTCATTCATTCATTCATTCATTCATTACTCGCAACAAATCTGCGTTGTTTTTTTTTTTTTTTCCATAGGACTACATGCCACCTCCCATTCAACTACTTAAACAATCCATTTACAAAACTTACATACCGGGGGAGCAAGAAGACCGTATCACAACGGCCAAACCCTACGACTATCGGAGGGAACTATATTCCAATAGCCCCTGTAGAACAACTAAGGCACAGCCTAACAGTGTAGGGCCCTGAAAGCAACTGTTACAACCTGCAAGGGTATGACATGCCTGCCCATCGAAAAATGACTTACTGGAGAAGAGCCTAAACAACCAGGAGATTAAATAATTAACAAGGCTATCAACAGCGAAGATCATGTGAGCAGGCCTCACTAAGACTAATTTTTCTTTCAGTAAAAACTGAATTAAAGCAGTTGCTGCGACCGCTTGATATTTTGTTTTCTTAATTAGGTTAATTAAAAAGGTGCATTCTATTCAACCAATTTACAAAATCTTGTGGGACTTAGCAGTGTAGTGAATCAGCCTGATGAATGTTTTGCTGTTGGCAATAAGTGCCGGCCTAACAATTTAAAAAGCTATTTTTCTGCTTGTTCTTGTGCTTCAGCTCAAAACGCAGTCGCCATTTCCTTTTCACTCTAGCATCTGCTTGCTTCTTCCTTGTCCGCCTCACCTTCCTCCTCCTTCTCGCTGTGTTACTTTGCTGGGATCATCAAGAGTGTCTTATTTAACCTCAACAAATCATACAAAAATGAAAGTATCCTAAAAAGAGCAAAGGCGGGCTTCGCTAAACAAATTCTCTGAGAAAAAATCATCCGCGGGGGAGACGAAGCTGGGTGGGAAGCGAAAGTACATTGTAATAGTTAATACTAAACAGCTCTTTTTTGTAACCGTATTCGATTAAGCTAAGCGGTAATGCCGACCGCTTGATATATTTGTATAAGTTGCGTAAGTGTTGCAGAACCGACATTCAAGCTGGATATATAGCTCACATCTGTTGTAGACACCATCATATACCATGATAAAGAATAACCACAAGTCATACCAACAAAACCTCAGTATAAACGCGTGTCACTTATCCTTTAGTGCGGGCTTCGCGTGGATGTCTCTGAACAGCGAATGTAGGAGGACAAGGGGGAAAGACCAACCAGGGCGGATGATCTTATAATCGGTAGTCTCTCAACATCACGAGGTCTAAAGGAACGACAGAGAAGATGTTCACACAGAAGCTAGACTCTCGTATGTGAATTATATAAAACTTGCATTGCTAGTTTCTCCGTGCGTCCTTGCGTGATGCAATTATTCATATAGGATCTCTCGTGTAATCTCACAACAGAAAGAAAAAACGCTCTAGGTCCCAATCGGTTTCCGTAAAGGCGACCGGCGGACCACCCAACAACAATGTGAATCTCCTGGTAGGTAGAGAAATACATTGAAATTAGGTTTCTCTCACAACAGATTAATTGTTTTTTTTTTCCATAGGACTACATGCTGCAAAAAATCTGCGTTGACTCCTGTACGCACACATTGTACACAGCACTTTCACTTCTAGTGGCAACAACAGCACGAAAGTAACGTGAAACATCCTCGGTGGTGATGGCGAGTCCGCAACACCCACTTCGCATCAGCTGCGCTGTGCACCCAATGAACAGATACCGTGGACGCAGCTGTGTAGACAGGTATTACGAAGATGCTCATCTACCATGTGCAGCGACAAGGGATGAGACGAATCCATTCCGTAGTTTTGCATTTCTTGTATGTAGGTTGGATATGGAAATCATGGCTGTTGTTCAGTCATCTAAAAAATTGCAAGGCGATCGCCATGATCGTCTCAACTCGCCAATCTCTACTTCCGGGAAATGCCTAGGGCTGTAGGTGGAAACGAGTGCGACTAGTAACGGAGGACCCAGAGGCAGTGCCGTTCTATGTGGGTAAATATCCTCTAAAACTTCTTGTCGTGGTTTCGTTATAATAAGACAAGGACGAGACACAGACACACAGACGCGGACGGAGGATACACGACATACAAGAAACAAACTGCGTAGTGAGTATGTAGAACACTGAATACGAATCATTCAATTTTTAAGCACCCGTGTCATGGTACGAGACCATTGAATTGAAGAACGGCTCACTCGCCCAGTACATCTATCTACGTCAGAGATGAATCTATGAAGCAGTCTCGTTATAGATTTCAGTAGATGTCATCACATTCTCAAGCAAGAGGCAGAAGTAACATTTTTCACAGCGGGACAATCATTTTCGTGTGCGGCTACAAGCTATTAGAAAATGGGCAGAACTAGGATCGTGGATGTTACAGAAAGAGGCTTTCGCTAGGAACTACCAACAACCTGCAGCTGCATGAACTCAGCGCCTTTTGCAACGCTTATTTTTGTCAGAAATGTCAGGTCCGCCTTTAAAGCGGGCCTCCGAATCTGAATCATGCATCAATCCTCGAAGATATGTGCTGCAAGTGCTTAGCCTTAGTTCAACTTCAAGTCTAAAAGGCCAAGAGCATTTTGATAATGTTACGTAACGGTCATCGTCATGTGCGATTATAAGAACAAGATCATTTCGATGTCGTGCGACATTTTTCAAATTCAGATATGAGCATACAACAAAAGCAACAAGTGTACATAGTCATAGCACGCCAAAAAATCACCGCGCCACACCTACTAGATAACTCCTCTCCTTCTTCAAATCACGACCACTAGCGCACACCGCCGTTCTAGGTTCCGCTATCTGTTCAGGCAACATCCTCGAGCCAAACTCCCGGTCCTGGTTGTTCAAGCTTAGCGGGGACCCATCGTGTTTCTAAGCCAAGAGTGTAGGCAGAGGCTTCGCCTGCCCTCAGACACATGAGGCATTGGGCTAGCATTTGAGTGCAAGACGTAAAGCAGCACATGCACGGAGTAGATGCGCTCTCGCTTCGTGTGTTAGAAGTAGATCGTTTATCCATATCGCTGAGTCTCTCACTATCGCCATTCTGAGCCTGGTTCGAGTGCTGCGCTCAGTGAGTGCTTGTCTATGTTAATCTTTTGGAGGTTATATTTCACTATATTCATTTTCAAACCTGTTTACGTCAGGGGCTGACGAAAGGCAACGCCACGTCAACAAGTGAGCTTACATAAATCATATTACCCCTCACGCTTGCGCTGGCCGCACAATTATCTTTATCTCACACAAGAACAACCTCACAATACTCTACACAACGTGACGTTGGCTGAGCAATGAAACTGAAAGTAGAAGTAGTAGTGCTCCTAAGTATAAATGCGGGTGAGTCGGGGTGGCAGTTAGTCACTTTGCAGGATGGAGTCCAGATGGACATATGCTCGGCGTACTCGGTAGCGCCAACCTCTGGGTGCTCTTTGGCCGTCGAGCTATCATTGTCTATATTTTTCTTCAGTTAGCGGTGCGAGTGCTTTTTTCACATCTAGCAACATTATGCAAATGCATGGCTTTCCTTGATCATCTTTTCGAATTCCCTTTTCATGACGCAGCGCAGAATTACATATGCAACTGAAACTACAATGCGGATAAAAGAATAAGTACGTACCTCACACACATGCCATTAATCATTTAATTATGTAAAAAAAAATGTTGAAAATAAGGTACGCAGCCTTAAAAATTGAGGACAACTTGTTCTTGTGGAGCTTCGGATTTAATTCCCTGATAATGGCCATCTTCGTCCGGTCGTGGTGCAGGCGCGGTCGATTCTTTCGTATTGAAAATAGAAGAACCTCCGGCAGCAGGGGTCGACCTTTGGCTGCTCAGTCGATTGTTCTTCTCCAGCAGCAAACGGCCAGCATCAGGATGACCTCCCTCTTCTTTCCCAGAAAGGCGACGTCTGCGATAACCCTCGGGTGTTCCTTGCAGAACTGACGTCGCACAAAAATTAAGTACTCCACTTTCTGTAGTTTAGCGATAGTTTTCCATCAATCATGTAACGATGACGAGAGAATTGGCACACGAGCTCCAGCAGGGGACGAATACTCTCAATATTCTTACACCTGCTTGTTCATCAATATCAACATCATCCCTATGCCTGATATCAATAATTTGCCTCCAAATTATGTTGATAAAACCATTTTGCTTCTACAGAAAGCAGCTCCTGCTCGGGATATATTATTATTGCCTCACCGAGGAGAAATAAATAGGGGTGTAAACTGAGATACATCTGGTATCCTTAATCTTTGTCCAGTAAAGGCTTTTCATGCGGATAGCGTCGCAGATAGCAAGCCGAGATATCCAGACGCTCAAAGTTGCGAGTTAATGACAGGACTGGATCCACTAAGATCTTCTGTGCCATATTCGACTCTCCAGCATTCGCAGCTGCTGCCTCTTTAGCTTTCTCCATCTGTTCTTGTTTCACTCGCCTGCGCTCTCGCAGAAGCGCATCGGTATCTTGTTTCTTCAGTGGCCCATTGGGTACCGCCTCCAGCTGGTTCAAAAATCGGAGTAAATACGGCTGTGCTGCTACTTTTAGACCTTCCCTAACTGGAATCCTATCTTCCGGAAATAGTGCATCTTCCTGTAACGTTTTCCTCATTCGAAGCGTTCTCAGGATGCTTGTTCTGAAGATGGATGTAAACGTATCAAAGCCTTAAGACTGGCACGATCGCGACACGCGACCCGATAGTCATTATGTCGGCGTTAATATCAAGAATGAAATCGGGAGAACAGCAATAACAGAACGTATGGACGCAACAGCAAGTCGGTTGCCAAACACCGCAACCAACCCAACACGATGCACGATGAAATCTTGCGGCTCTATTTCGGGATCTTCTTCCGCGTGTCAATGTGCTAGGTGGAGAAGACCCTGTTGCTTCTGCACGCTGAGATCGAGGAGTGCCGAACAATGAATGTTGATGTTCAACCTCGGACCCCTGGTGGCTGCAGGTTCTTAGTCGGTCGTACGAGCAGCTATCTGCATCTGAAGATACCGAATCGGAAAATGAGGGATTTACTACACTGCAACAACTAGTCACAGGATTTGGAGGCCCACGGCTTGCCCTTGACCCTCGACCCAACAAGGAAGACGACAGCTGTCGGCAAGCTTGTGTGTTGCTCTCGCATTCTTTACGCATGCACGCGCGCCAATCTGCGCATGAGGTAGTGCAGGCTAGACAGGACATACAACACCGAACGCTGCGCGCTATAGGCCGCCTTACGTAGCATAAGCAGCATCCTGTCACGATGCGCGGACACGTACACCACGCACACGGGTGATCTTCGGGACCAAAACAGGAACAGCCGTCACAATTGTCTTCTGGAGGTGCCTCGTCTTCAGTAACGACGTGCCACTGCGCGTCCGTCCACACGACTGTTCTTCTTGGTGCCGCTGGTCGATAATCGCAGCAACAGCAAACAGGGACGTCCGCTTCAAATGCGTAATTCGGACCTGGCGTCACGAAGCATACGCTCTTCTCTAGAAACGCCTGAGCCGAGGTGAACGGTGTCGAGAAGAAGCCGCCAATTCGTTGCCGAAATCCGGATCGCGAGGCGTGCTCCACTTCAAGTCCTTCTCCTTCAAGATCCTCGTCCCCGTTGTGAATAACCTGGAGGTGCTCATCTGCGTTGATACTGTAGATTCGCTCTTCTGGTGTCGATGGAGGACTGTGTCGAATGTTTCTCGCAAACGCGAACGCAGCTTCGGAAGATGCTGCACACGTTTGCGGGTCCGCAAGCGCAACACCAAACGGGTCCTCATTATCGCGTCCATTAGATCGTCTTCTCTCCTAAGTAACAATTAAACACACATTGTTAACACCAAGCGCCAGATATAAATATATGTCGTGAAGCTTTTTTTGTATTTCACCTCCAGGAAATAGACACAAAATATAGGTTCCAGGATGCTTCATCCATTTCTGACGATGTTTAGGTTTAGTGCCACTTCGCGGTCGACTTCGTTGAGCGAATTCATAAGGGGGGCCTCAGCTGTAGCACCAGGTGAGTAAGCTGCGGACTGCGTCGGATACAAGGTGAGCGCTTCCAATGGAAAATCGTATTCCGCCTCGTAGACAAGTACATAAGCTACCTCCAAAAGGCTTGTATCATGCACAAAGATTAGAATGAGAAAAACAGGAACCTAGAACAAAAATGACGGCCTGCACCTCCTTTATGTTCGCATTATAAATTTAATTGAAATATTTTGATATTGCCAGGAGCACATGCCGTAAGACTAGCTCTGTGTGTTTCTGCCACGCATGGTTGCTAAGATGGGAGCCACCCACATGCCGTATTCTGAACTGGTCGATCTTCGCTTCTTGTACCAGTGCGCGTGGCAAAGAACCTCTTGAAGCGGACGAAAGGAACGCCGGAAGCCGTGACGGTGCTGATTGTTAGAGATAGACGAGAGTTGCAGATATTCACTTTTCCAGAAGATGATGCTGTTGCAGCCAGAAGTAGAACTGGAAAAACTGGGGCCTTCAGGTTCAGACAGTCATAGGTACTATTTTTGTGACGGTCAAGAAACCAGCAATCCCAATCTATTTAATTCATAAGGAGTGTTGTACACTCGGGCCGGCGACTCAAGCGTTTTCTGCAAGACCCACTCTCCTTTCGGATAACCGCTCTTAGATGATACAAATTCAAAAGAAAAATTACCTCGAGGAGCGACGAGATCAAAGACCTCGAAAAATCAGTGGTGCGACACTTCTAAAGAAAAATGATCATAATAATTCATCATCCAACGTCGAAGAACAATAACAGAAATCATAACTTATAACTTACTTTTCTAGTATCACAATTTTCCAGAATCTTTATCGATATCAAAACGCTTCGTACAATTTTTGCCAACCTTGATGCTCCAGTATCCGTAATCAACTCGACGCTGATATCCGCGGTTTTCGCCTTCCGCAGGGCGTCACCGTCGCTGGCTGACATCCGGAGCCAGCTGCCCAGTCCTCCTGAAGACTCTCGAAGGGTTCCATCAGGTTGCTTTACGAAATCACGTTTCTGAATCGACTGTCGCGGTGGCTGCCTAATTACCCTTTCGCTGAGAAATTAGAAGACAATCGTGAGTGGCTGAGGCCAAGGTTCCTAGGAGAAGCTTTTTCGTGGCTTTCAAATTTTTATGCGACGCGAATGTACTGTGTACGGGGAGATACAATTACCAATATGCCGTTCGCTCTAATATTAATGTCAATAGGTATGAGGTTGTGCTGTGATGTTAAAGTTGATGCTGATGAGAGAAGCAAAAGTACCCCGATAATGAATTCCGCCTTATTGTTCGGCTCCCCATCATCAGCCTTCTTGGGCCTACCTTACAAAAGCCAGGTATTGCATTTGTATCGGTAGTACCGGTCTCCCGCATACAATACCTTTATTCTAGTCCTGACACGCGCACGCCATAGGGACCGGATAGCAACGAAGCTCCGTTGACGAAATTCAACGTGATTATCTCCTCGGGAAGCAACGGATGCTCGCCAGGCAACAGATTGGGAGAGATGGCAGCCCAGCGTTGCCGTTGCAATCGAAGCGCACTCAAGCGTAACTGATGTAGAATGGCCGGGGATGGATTCTGTTCCTCTTCTTTGGTCAATTTTTCGTCTACAACCACGATTAGAGACTCAGAAACAGAACTTGGTGATAAAATAATTATACGAATCAATAAGTACTAGAAGTAGAAGAAGTAAAACGGCTACGCTAAAAACGCAAGCTGTGTCAGTCTCGTATTTCACAACAACAACATGCAATGCATGCCAAGGGTGAGGACAGCATCATTTTCATACAGGATGTTGGTCAGTGACGACGCGACAAATCATCTTGTTCACAAGAATTCATATTGCTAGTAGCTATCTGTGGTAGTGGTGTACCACTTCCGACACTACGACGTACTAGACGAGCTGTACGCGAAGCAAACCCCGTCTTCTTGGCCTTAATGACATGGCCGCTTTTGCGACGCTATCTTCCATCAAGCGGTCGTATATTGTGCGGGCCGTGGTGCGTCCCGGAGGCAGGGACGCGTGCTCACTTACCGATGGATCAGTAGCAGTGGAGGCACCTCTCAAGTGTTGGCGTTGAGGTGGCTGTAGTTGCCCCACATGCAACTGCTCCAAGAAGGCAATTTCTTCTTCCATTTGCATCGTTACTTCATCCTTGTCCCTGTAATCGGCAGTGCGTCCAGGCAGCGTCAGTTTCACCACCAATAACATCTTAGACGAGTGATGAAATCATGATCGTCGTGTGCCTCCGATCCGTAATACTATATCGTTTGTTGTATTCCTGACGCTGACCGCAGCAGTAACTAAAGCCGAATAATCAATAAAAGAGTGGCTTCTATATGAAGAAACTAGAGCAGATCTAAATCGATTCACAAAAGTTAAGCAGCTCCCTGGCGTTCTATTGATCAGGAGTTTGTATGAATAGGAATCTTTGCTTCATCTCATAGCGACGCGCAACCTTCCGGCGATAGTCTGCGTAGTACACCCACACTCACGTGCTGGAGTACTGCCCGCTTGCACAGACCAACGGGCGTACTGCTCCGCTTTGTGGAATCGGGATGCGAGATATACTCCGTCACCATACATCCTTCCGTGCCGAGTCCTGATGAGTCCACCGTTGTCGTGTTGTAGACCAAGCGTGAGGATATCGCGGATCCGGCTCGCTGCACCCTTCTCGAAAAAGAGCCCGCGGGGACGAATTTGAACCATGGGACTGCTGCGTCCCTCAGAAAACTTCTCGTGTGCGATGTGATCAGGATCCCTTCTGTCGTATCTGGTTTCTGCTATGATTTCCTTCTTCCGAATCCGATCGAAGACTAAGCGTCGGCGCAAGTGCTGCCGCCAGTGCGGGTTTGTAGAATCGATCCCACGGCGGTCTCGTCCTTGAGATAGGACGTCTTTGCTTTTGTAAATCTTTTCCGCCAAGGATACTATGCGTTCCATGCGTCGTTTTGTTAGAGGAGGTCGCTCTAATATTTTTACAACACTCAAAACAGGCAGCAGTTCTTACCTAGGCCTATTGTTCCATACAACTTCAGTAATAGGAGGTCCACAGAGAGATACGACCTAATTAATTTTAGAAATAACTTCTCTGTTTACTCTTTCAAGAGCTTTGTCCTTCGTGGGATCTCTTTCAAGGGCTCTGACGTTCATGTTCTCTATGAAAAGGTCAGAAAGATTACCAACTATATATTTAGATTTAACTTGTTCTTCACGCAGCAGGCCTTAAGATTGTCTCTGAATCACGTGGTGCTGCTAGATTGTCCGTGAATTCGGTAAAAGTCCCGTGGAAAAAGTAGCCCTGATACCGTCTGTTGAGCCCATCCAGCTCAGCAAGGCGCTCGAGTGGTTCATTGTCTCTCGGTATCAGCATATCTTGGAACGTCACACGATCCCTCGCTTCTTGGTCAGTATTCATATGCAGAAAGCTACGCAGCCAGGACGACGTTGTTCCAGCAGTGCTGTTGTTCACTACTTCCCCCGATGTAAAATTCTGAGAAGTTGTAGATGAAGCACAAGCACCAAATGGAGAATATGACGCACCCGCTGCGGTGGAGTTGTTTCCATCAGAGGAGTAGCCGCCTGCCGGGCGGTTTTCCGTAGTATGGACACCAAAGCCTGACGCTGTAGAAGATGATGTCCCTCTACGGGATTTGTGAACGCCAACTTTATCCGCAGTGCGGCGCAGCCGCTGGACTTTAACGAGCCGCGTTTTAGTTAGAGCTTAGCTCTTACCCAAGGACAAGCATGCCGAGGCTGATCTTTGACACACTATCCCCTTTAAAAGGGTGTCAGTGCCAGAGATGCTTCTAATATATAAAGATCACGAATTTATTACCATTGCGGCAAGCCTTACTCTCTCTAATTTGCAATGCGGACAAGTTCCAATGTCGTCGTCCACTGCAGCTTGCAAGAGGTCGTGCGGGGAGTTCGATGATCTCAGCCCCACTGTATTTCGTTTGATTTCCTCTGGGGTCTGGAGCAGCGACACAGGCTGCATAACTTGCTGTTGAGGCGCGACTGCCGAGTTTGGTTGTAAACCCGTAGGACGCATTTTTGCAAGCGAGACAACTGCCGGAGGAGGTCCCAATACATGCGGGCTACCAGCAATCGGTGTCGCTGTCTCGGCAACATGGGAAAAAAATACTGACAATCCAATAGCCAAACTGAGGAACCGCATGGCGCGAATCCAAAACGAGCTGCGCATCCTGGAATTCATCTTCGAGATAATGGTCTTCTTGTTCTTCCGTCAATATATATTATTTACGTGTAGAGCTACAAAACGGGCGGAGGACAACTACCTGTCGCAAAATGTGATGTTTGTAATTTAACTCCGTCCAGCTTCATTTTCAACAGTAGAAGCTCTTCTAGAATGCCATCGATGTCGTAGCTCTAGCTCCGAGTACTTCTTCAGTACTTCAACAAGTGCAGGCGCTTCGTTGCAGCATATGAGAATACGAACACAATAAGGCAGACGCTACTCTGCTGCTCCGCGTCGATCCTAATCGGAATGGTATACAAACGCCAAAGCTTAAACCCCTAAGCCTGTAAGGTCTTGAGGTTCATGCAAATCAAATGGGTCAAGGTTTTTGGTGCGGGACATGCATGAACTTAGGGGGGAGCTGAATCGGGGACCTTATTGGTGTCATCGGTTTCATGGGAATCAATTGCGTGGGATCTTGGAGCCTTATCGCGATCCTTGAGCCTTATCCTGATGATCTTCCTGCTCAAAGGTTTCAGGACCTTGGTGTTCATCAAAGACTTTAGGGCCTAACATCTATAATCGACGGGGAAACCAGACCGACATTTGCTTTGAAATAAATGATATATCTTCCTATAGAGACGTCGACAGATTTAATCGACAGGATCGATAAATTAAAGACAATCGATGAAGATGTCGACGAAGCGCGAATATTCCAATTTTGCAGGCGCCTCATAATGTCTTTAACAAAGAAACAAGCACGAACATGGACTCACATGAACATGATGAGCGAGCAGCAAGAAAAAGTCCTTACTTGTAGGCGGAGTTCTAATTATATCTTTGTAGTCTGTATGTTAATGTTTGGAGATGGAGAATGGACAAGGACATGGTGATGGCTAATGCCTCCGAGCACTAGTACAAAATCGCAGAAAAGTGCAAGACTTACCTCCATTTTCCGAGGTAGCACCACAGACATCTTCTTCACACTCACACAGCTTCACCCGACTTCTCAGAGCGACGAAAGTGCTCTGATAAAACTGAACATGTCGACACGTTGCCCTTCCTTAATCCCACAAGATCCATATCGATCGAGGAAAGCGCGTCTCGCAGCTCTTAAGGTAGCGCGCCCTACTGATACAAGAATACCCGGAGACTACAAAAGCAGCACTAACCAAAGCCATTAGTTACTTACGCAAGAGAATCTTTACTATTGACTTCGAAGACACTCAGAAGCCACCACTTCTACCACCCTCTTTACCTTTACCCTTGCCGCTCTTTCCATTACCCTTCCCGCCTTTACCCTTTCCGTGTCCCTTGCCTTTGGTGCGAACGAGAAGGCCAGCTCGTTCTGCGTCATTTTTGGAAAACAGCTCTACATTGCGGCTGTTGTTCAGTTTCTCGATGCCAGATGATGCGTCGTCCTTATCGGGCCACGGATTCCATAGCACAAGGTGCTTTCCGCTCGTCATCACCACCGGCTGGATTGTTCTGCGACCGTTTGGAGATGTGCCCCCGCTGCCGTTTCCTGCTCCATCAGCTTGAGGGGGATCCTCGAACCAGAGTGGACATTAGAGCCAGAAACGCAAATACTTGTGGTCAGTGTAAGTGTTGAGCATAAAGCGGATAACGAAACAAGTAGCACTCTATGGGGGTCATCAGATGAGCTATGCACTATCTTGCTCTACCCTACGCCTGTAGCTGCATAGAGCTGATCCCTTTCATGCTTATTCTGACAAACTGCGCCGGTCTCTAATAGACTCAACAAGTGTGGCGCCTTAAGCGTAGGCGAAGCCAACTCTCCAGGCCTTCAAATCATTTTCCTGCTCCTTCATGTCTAGCGCATCCCGAATCTTCAATATATTCTCCGCCAAATCCTTACAAAACTTGTCCCGCTCAGCTTCCGGAAAATGAACATCGGCAAATTCCGCGTTTAGTTTTACACAATCCGCGATTTTCTCTGGGAATTCGAGCAATTCGTAGTTTAGCCAACGCTTGACGCTGATGGATGTTGCCGGCGCCGAGCCGTCCTGTAAATGGAAAATGGGGAGAGGAATAAAAGAACATAATCGAGGTTAGAAGAAAGTAGCGACGATTGCACCACAGCCAACAAGAAGTAAGTTACGTAGAGCAACAGCCAGCGGCCGAGCATAAGGACTCTACATTATCATTAGCATTAAGAGTGAGTCTCGACCTTTATTTAGGTCTTCTAGTAAGTACGACAATCCCAGTAAATTTCTGCACGGATTTGACTGGAACGGTAAGGACTTCCTCGATGTTTTGAGCGTTCCACTTTGCTTGTACGAGAAACTTAGCGCCTTTAATCCAGCCGTTGATAATCGTCTGTTTGGCGTTGTCGCCTGGCTTCAGGGAGTATTTTTCTGGTTCGAGCTGAGCGTCGAAGCATACTGGAAAACCAGCATGGGCCGCATCCACGAAACCATACACCAAAGCGCGTAGGGATCTGACGTAAAACGCATGGACGTACTGTGTGGTTTGTTCTTTCGCCGTTTGCTCCGTGACGATCTGCTTCTCCTTCTCTCCGATCATGATACGATGCAGCTGCCAAGTGGTCGAATTAAGGTTCTGGCGTGGATACGGTCGCGAAGACAAGCAGACGATGTCCCGGGGCTGACCGTTCCGGAGCATGAAGAGGAGGATGAGGAAATATAACCGCTCGCGCAGATAGAAGATCACGCACTCATTCATTCACGCTGCCGCTGGCAATTTTTTTTTTTTGGGACCTGGGTCTATATTCCTCGCAATAAGAACATTTAATTACCCTGCGAGAATCCTGAAGCACAACGGCCAGGCACCTAAAAATACTAGACGATGAAGCACAACCGCAAGATCAAGCAAAATATACAATAATTATGATCAATTTACGAGCAGAAAAGATGCGACTGAAAACTTCTGTTAAGAAAAAAATTAGGGCAACACTGATGCAACTACAGTCTTTGCGATTGATGACAGCCTAGCAACCAAGAACGATGTATCCAAAAACTACAACACTATCTAGTCAAGCCCTAAAGTTCGGAACTGTCAGTCGCTGCGCCATCGTATACTTCCACCAAGTCGACTTTTTACCTCCTGCGCCACCTGCGTAGCGTTGATTTGCTAGGTCCATCGCGCATGACTGGAAGCGTATGACGAAGTCGACTTCTGGTAGTTCGACTTCTTCCTCCTTGAGTCTTGCGACGAAGGCGCCCAAGACATCCACCGGAGTACAACAATCATTCAAATCGATGACTACGCGATCTACTTCCCACTGCTTCTTCTTGCTGCCCTCGCCTGAGGCGTTGCCTCCCCCACTCGAGTCCTCTTTGCCTCCTCCTGTTGTAGGGCTTTCTGCTGCCAGGACTAGCAGCCTGGCCTCACGCAGATTTTGAGCCGTTTGGTCTACTACATCGGCGAGAAACTTGTAGTCTATGCCAGAAAGCAGCACTTTCCGTAAATCAGCCTCCTCGACTTTGTACTCCCACATAGCCGAGGATGAAGATTAGCGCATGAAAGTGATTCCGTCATCTGACTCACTCTGACAAACGATGAAGAAAAGTACAACTTGCAAGCTATTTCCACGTCTACCAACACTACCGGCACTATGAGGATGAATCAAATATTTGTCCTATCACAGTAGCACTAAAATAAAAATGAAATGAGTTGCAACTTATCCAGACATAATCCGTGGCGTTGTGTTCAGCGAGTGCGCGAAACTCGTGCGCCAAATCGTCTGAATACCGTTTAGCCTCTGCCGCGACTTCCTTTCGTGTCAGGGTCGACTGCGGAAACTCTTGGTTGCGCACGCCTTTAGCATGACCCGCGAAAATTGTGGTGTCGACCTTGGGGATATCTTTTCTACTTTTCGCCGGCTTACAACGCAGCGCGCCTTTGGGCACGTTCGGATCGAACTTGAAGTCCATTTCATACTGGATGTCCTGTAGTTCAATTTAAGACAAGCTATATTAAGCTCAAAAGAGTTCTTCTTACGGATGCGTTTCTTGAGAACTTTCACACGGTAATCTTATGCCAGTATAAGGATCACTATCACATTTTCATGGTATTGAAGATCACCCCAAAAATCAAAGATAGACCATTCCATTCAATTGTGTCAGTTGTCAAATGCAGTTGCGCACTTCGAGCGACAGTCAATTATGTCATGTAAGCAAGACAAAGGGTAGCAAAATACCTGACCGGGAAAAAGCTCGACTTTATTCGGCGACCTGGTCCCGGTTTGGGCAACATCCAGCGAACCGTTAGCAGCACTCATCCTGTTGATCCTTGGTCAAAATTTTATGTACTAGCTCGAAGCTTCAAACCAGCAGTATGTTATATTAATGAGTATACTCGTTGTTGTTTAGTACACAAGAGGATTGTGGTGTTTGATATACGACTATTTTTCCGTGGCACCAAAAGTGGTAATACAAATGCAACGACTTCTTCTAATCAGACGACTTTCCACATTAACTAAACAAAATCGAACAGAGATCGAGATCGCACTTGAGGTCGAGAACAAACAGAATTGCGGACAGTCAACAAGCCTAATCCAGGTGTCTTAGTAATCCTTGTTGAGTGCTGTAGTTGTAGTGGCTTGCCGTGAGTTTTTTTACTTAAGGAGACGATGCCGTTTTGTATCCACTTGCTTCTAGCTTCTAGTACTGCTATCGGGGCGGCATCGAGATCAACAGCGACACTTTTACATCAAAGAATATCAAAACGATGGATCTACATCTACTAGTCCTGTTCCATAACGATAAATAATCTAGGCGCTATGGATATATGATTCGGGGCCAGATGGTCCCCCCCTGTGGTGTGGTCTGTGGTGGAACTCGGTGGTGGAAGGTCTCTGGGGGACAGCCAAGCAGCTGGAAGGCAGCGGAGGCGGCCCCTTGGGCCCCTCTTGAGGCCTTCCACCTACGTCAGAGGCCTCCAGGGGACAGCCAAGCAGCTGGAAGGAAGCGGAGGCGGAGGCGGAGGCGGCCCCTTGGCCCCCCCTTGAGGCCTTCCACCTACGTCGGAGGCCTCTAGGGGACAGCCAAGCAGCTGGAAGGAAGCGGAGGCGGCCCCTTGGCCCCCTCTTGAGGCCTTCCACCTACGTCGGAGGCCTCTAGGGGACAGCCAAGCAGCTGGAAGGAAGCGGAGGCGGCCCCTTGGCCCCCTCTTGAGGCCTTCCACCTACGTCGGAGGCCTCTAGGGGACAGCCAAGCAGCTGGAAAGAAGCGGGGGCAGCCCCTTGCGCCCCTCTTGGGGCCTTCCGCCTACTTCGGAGGCCTCGCTCTAGGGGACAACCAAGCACCTGAAAGGGAGCGAAGGCGGCCCCTTGGGCCCTTCCGGAGGCCTTCCACCTACGTCGCAGACCTCTAGGGGACAGCCAAGCAGCTGGAAGGAAGCGGAGGCAGCCCGTTGGCCCTCTTTTGAGGCCTTCCACCCCCGGCAGACGCCTGAAAAAGGGGTCCAGGGCGCACGGCCCCACCCCGCGCCCTGGAACATATATTTTATAATATTATATCTACTTTGTTCGATCTTCAAGAACTACGACTACGTGAGCGGTTAAGTTAACTCTAGCTCTACGACCTAGCTCTAATCACAAATCGCTTGATCCGTTGTCAGTCTAAGTCTGTGCTCATCATTACTAATACTATGAAAATGAAAATCAAAATATCGTAATTTTACTGAAAGAATTCAGACGTTTGAGTGTGACTCGCAATTTCTCTACCCTGTAGGTTTTTTCACTCGATATGGATGGAGGTGCGCAATGAAATCAGAAGCAAAAACAACATCATCACTTCATAACGAGTATAGGTATGGTATACTTCTCAGTCGACAAGGAGTAGAACCGTAATAAACTGTAAGAAAGGATCCAAGCACGCAGCTCCCTGTTGAGGATTCTTGTTTTCTTGATCGTTGGCGGCCTCACTGCCATGGCACCGCCCCGGCCAAACACCCCCGCAAAATTTTGGGCAATCACCATCATCCTAATGGAACAAGGAAGAAGCATAAGCATCAGACTAGCACACGGCAATCATCATGCACCATAGCAGTAACAACAAGCATATCTAAGGCTAAGTTCAAAATGTTGCAATATTAGATGTTAAGACCGATCAGGGATGAAAGCGCGGCCTCCTTGTCGTGCCTGTTTTCCCACGGCAATAAAAAGCTCAACACGTACAAGACATGCACATGTTCCGTGGGAAAAATAACGCACTGACTAGAAAAGTAATTGTAATGACAAGCCATCAAATGACATCAGGCCTCGGAAGATACTGGATGCAAGTGCATATTTTTCAACATGTGTAAGTAGAAATGGAAGTGATGAATCGTAAATATTCAGAGACAAGGACAACTGTTGAGTGACAAGAACAGTGTCACTAAAAAATAGGCCGCCAGAAGTGTTGTTTCAGGGAAGCTGGTAACGCATGATAGCTGGAGACATCAAGAATACCTTGTTGTTGATGGCCCACGGCTCCTGGTCTTTCGCTGATTGATAGACACAACAAGAACAACAAGGAGAAGGCCACTAATCCAAGAAAAAAGAACTGCTCAAAGGAGACACAAACCCTCTCTCTATAATCCACACAGGAGTAAGTACTACTAGCATTTTATGTCATGAAACGACGCACGAGTGACCTACACCTAGCTCATGTAATCGGATCATGTCTGCTGAACTGGAACTGAATCGTGTAAAAATTGCTACAACGAATATGGAGAGAAGGGGAGTGAGTCAAGAAGATGCTTGAAAATCAAAATCGCATCTTGATGTACAACTTCTTCTTCTCTGTCGTATCTGAAGATGCATGACTCGCTTTCTTTTCGGTGTAACTTGTAAATGCAAGAACAGACTACAGCAGGAACTTCTCTTCTACTGTTTATGTTTAGTAGGTAAGTGGCACGAGAAAGGAAAAGTAAGCATGTGTAGCACACATACAGTTGATCGATATCTTTTTACTGTCGCTGTTCTAGTAGACTTCAACTACTTACTATCTAAATGAGCTTGTCTTATCTTCGCTAGATCTTGTTCACCAGATTGATTAGGATTACAAGAAACCGAAAGAGGTTGTTCCACACTTAGAATATTGCGCGCTTGCAAGACCCATCACGGCCACCTTCCTCCGGAACCTGACTGCGTACCGGCGAGTTGCTGGACCCTCATGGCTCGCGGAAGCCCGTTCTCGAATGGTTTTCCCAGTTCGCTCCTACGCATGTAGTTTTCAGGCGACTCGTATTTCTTCGTGAGCAAGCCAGACGTCTGATCTATGTCCCAGTATTCGCCTCCAAGGTTGCGAACCCCGATATCACTGTCACCTGAGGCTGGTGCAACAAAAAAGACGTCATACTCTAATGGCAGCGCCATAATCGCTGACTCACGCATACGACGTTTCACGGGCGCTACAACAGCTGGTGATGCTGTTATGCTCCTGCAGGTAGTTGTTGGACCATTTCTATCCCTCGAAGAAGCTTGACTCTCAAGTAGGATCTTCGGTGCCGCTTCCGTCGTTGTAGCAGCGTCCTGGATTCTCGTTGTTCCAGTTTGTGGTAAGCAGGCGTGGCCTTCCCGTTCATCTTCTACGTTTTGCGCCTTGGTATCTTCAGCACTCCGTCCACTTGTCTTTCTCTCCTCTGCGCCCACTCCGCGTATGAAATCGGTCGCATCACATAATGGCGGGCTGATCGAGTCCGATGTATTTAGCCGTTGCTCCATTGTCTTTGTCTCTGCTCGTGCTACATCCAATACATAAGTTGGAGAAGAACCAGGTTCGCTGGTACAGTTAGCAGCTGTCCGATTTTGCTTTGCGGCTTTGCGTCGTAGTTTCCTTTGCGCTGCGGATGAGAGTTGCCATGACGCGTCCCCTACGCTACCATCATCTTCGCCTTGCGTGACCAAGTCGGACGGAACAATACGTAAAATTGTGCACGACTTTCCACCTCTTGTGCCATTCATTGTCGACGTAGCCGTAGCGGAGGTTTCTGCAGTAGTTGGCGAACCGCTTGGTGTAGACACTGCCCTCCCTAGGAACTGCTGTGCTTGACCTGCTGATTCTCGTGCTCCTCCGGTTGCTTGCTTTTCGTATCCTGCTCGCTTGGACGCAGCTTTTGTCAGCACCGCCACGCTGCTTAGCGATAAAGCCGGAAACTCCTCTTCTGTAAGGTCTGCTCCTCCTTGGCTGGTGAGCTGTGTAGTGCCTTTTATTGAGAGTTTCGCTTGTTTCGCGAAAGGCGATTTTGATTTTGAGGTTCTCAAAACTGTAGGAGTAATCATCGGGACAACTGTTGCGGTCGTCTTGCTCCCTAACTTCGAGGTTAACAATGCCGCCGCATAGCTCTTTTCGGGATCAGGTCTGCGAGCCTCTCTGACTCTCGCGGCATGAGCTTGGTCTTCTGCACACATAATGTTCATCTCTGGCTGATGAATCTCTTCAATGTTCATCACGATTTCAATCGCCCCCGCTCCATCGTTTGGAATAGTATGATCGCCTGTCATCGTCATGGTCCCTTCTGCAACTGTGATATTACCAGTTGCATCGCCTAACATCATAGTTGGATTCGTACATGTACTGGACGAATTAGTAGTTTGCTTCACAATGCTCTTTCTACTCAAACGTGCTGAATTTTTTGATGCATCTGTTAATGTAATATTAGCTTTCGCGAGTGCCGGAAAACTACTAGAACTACTGCTACCCATCCCCAGCCAGCTGAGTTCTTCTTCAGGAATATCACCTTGTTGGACCACTTCCAGTATTTGTTCCGGTGAGTGCCGCGCGTCATATATTTCTGTCATGACGTCTTCTGCACACGCTTGTGCGGCACGCTGTCGTCGCCCTTGTTCTGCTTCTACTTCTATGTCACGATAGTTACAAAGATCTGGGCGTGGTGTCAAGCCGCCGTTGAAAAAGTCGACTGCGGGAGAGGAATCCCTACTCGACATCTTACCGTCGCCAGCAATGCTGCTCCCGCGGGGCGTGCGCGTCGCCGTCGTCGCGGAGGTCGGGGAAATTGTCCGACTCAATTTCAAACCTCCACACGGATCGGAAATCGAGGATGGCTCTACTGCGTCACAACTTTCGGCGGAAGAAATCCGTGAACCCACAATCTGCGTTATGCTAGAGGCATCTTCGCAAGCAGAACTGCGGCTGCGTCGCTCCTGCTCACTAAAACTCGGCGTCTCTTCTAATTCTTGTGCGTCAACGACAACGCCACAACGAAATTTCTGAGGCGAGGATGCACGCTCCTCCTCATGAGCTTTGTCCTCGCTCTCTTCTCCTCTGCCTTCGCCACCCCCCACAACAGGCGCGGTTATTTGTTCTACCTCTTGCAGGAGTTTCTCTCTTCCGGAGCCGTAGATTTGCATGTACTCGTCAAGCTGGATCAAGTGACCTGAAGAGCGACTTTTCGTTGCGGGGGCAGTTGCGGAAGAAGAGCCACTCTCGACCGTCGATATATTGTTGTTAGTCGCACTACTTCGGTCGACGTCTGCCTCTGCGCTGGCACCTGCAGCTGAGTAATTATTTAATTGATTAAGTAGAAGAGAGGCAGCATGTAGTCCTATGGAAAAAAATAAAAGATGACGCTGAAGCTTTCGGTGCTCCGTCCTGCGAATTACCTTTCTTTTCCTCCTCGTCATCAGCCGTACTTCGTCGAGATCTTCTGGCTGGTTCAGATTCCGCTTGTTCTCGCATTTTTGTTTCTGCTACTCCTCTAGTATTTTGCTCCTTTTCTTGAGGAATTATGGCAGCGGCGCGTGCCAAGGATGTTGCTACATTCGCCGTCCCCGTCGACCCTGGCAGAAGCAAGTTGTTAGTGTCACCTCCCAGAATCGTGGCAATCCCACGTTTGGTATTTTCTTCCTGCCGACGCCGGATAAGCACTGCATTCTCGTCGGCAGCAGCGTACCGTAGATGCAAAGACACAAGTTCCACCAACGACTCGCCTTCGCCGGAATTCGGGTGGGTCTGCAGTACCCTAAACGTCGCCCCGGCAGCACGCCTCTGCAATGGATAATGCCACGACCTTGGAGTCGCAATGAAATAATTGACATGAATGGTTCCGGTATTTGGTAACCTGAATTTGATCGCAAGGGTTCTCTTCTTGTTTTCCCTTATGATCAATTTCAGGTTACCAAATACCGGAAGCATACTTACATGACATGATTCTTGATGTTGATGGACGACAACAGTACAACTATTACAGACGATAAGTTTTCGATTAGAATCAACTGGAGCTACCACATTCTGCCTCGTAGTTGCTCGAGCCCAAAGACTGTCGGTGTTCTCACTTAATCACCTTCTTAAGATCAGTCTCAACGACAAGAAAAAACTATGTATTCGCAAGCTAATATCCAGTCAAAAGTAATATGTGAATACCTGGATGTGGATGAAGACGACGGCACTTCAAGAGGCTCGAGCTTGCGGTCACTGTGCCACATATCAGGCCAATTCCCATCACTGAATGCATCACGATAGCCCGTTGGGAGAGGCTCCAAGGTTGATGTGCGATAGACGATCATCAAATCCTGTGTGCTGCTCTTCTCCATCTGCACATCGTCCACGAGAAGACCCGACTGTGGTTATGAAAGTGATGGTTGAAGATGCTGGAACAGGTCCTCTAACTATGGACGTTACACTTGTTGATGGTGAACAACTGGCATCAAACTAAAAAAACTACAGCATTGTTAGGAGAGGAGATATGTTCATCAGATTCAAATACAACTACTAGGTCAAATAGCACTCGTACTAGAAAACCATAAAATTTTGTCGATGCGTTCGAGGAAATCTTTTCGGTGGTCTTGATATTGAGCCAATCCAACTTCCAGGAATTCCAGTCCGTTTTTCTTCAGCGTGTTTTTCCAAGCCTCTCGAACCTCCCACATCGCGTATTTCATTGCTTCACTGCTAATTTGACCGCCATCGACCACTTGGGTGCGACGAATTTTCTGTCGTTCATGAGGTTTGCCTGTTCCTGCACCTCCAGAAGTACCCGCAGCCACCTCTCCCACCGCTTTGCCACCATGCCGATGTGTCGCAGACCCCTTACTTGGTCCTGCCTGCTGGTCATGCATTGCTTGCTGCGATGCTGCCGCTGATGCCTTCCAAGTGTTATGTGCGGACTGCAGGCGCAAAAAGTCGCATTCTTGGAGCAGTGCGAAATCCAAAGGAGGCTCTCCCGTTTCCCGCGTAGAAGGATTCATCGTCTGTATCAGCCTCTCCAGCTGTTCCATCTTCCGGTTCTTCCAATGATGCGAATGCTCGATTCGGTACGAAATGCCTAGCTTCTGCGGCAGCGGCCACGGGCTGTTCGACTTCACTGGTTCGGGTAGGGTGGAAGGCAGCCGTGCTGGATCACTGTTCATCCCTCCAGCTGCTGCGCTTTGCATCGACGATGACTCTTTCGACTCTGACAGCATCGAGTCTCCACTTTTGGAACTGAGGTTCGACGTTTCTCCAGATAGGGTTCCTGCGCCTTTGGTCGCGGTACTACCAGGCGGCGCCCCACTGCGAAATGGCAGAAAGAGGCCTCCTGTGACGGTGACGCCGGACGCTGTTGACTTCGCCACACCCTTCGCGTCAGATCCTAGATGCGACACGACCGATGTCACAGTAGAACCAGCACTGTGATTTTCCACAAATGTCGTCTGGTACATCTGTTCTAGCAAGTTCCACGTGAGCCCTCGTAGTGTCCATTTTCCTGTGACGACCTCAATTTTTCGGATCGTGTGGTCTGACAGCCACTTCTGGGCAGTGTCCCAGACGACCTCGCGAGCCGTGTTTGCGGAAGCAGGGGACGAGGAGCTGCGGCCCAGTGGGTTCCAATTGTAGACGGCTTGCGCTGATCGAATCTTTCCGTTGCGAGCCGCAACTTGCTGAGCCATTTTGTTTACAACTTCGGCTACCGACAGAGTTGGAACATGTCGCACTCGAGATGGGCCTGGTATGGCTCCCGGTCTACTAGGGTCTTTTGCAACTGAGCCGCTTCCACCACTCGTACTTGATGTCGCTCTCCCTATTGCTGAGGCCAAGCAGATTCCCTTTTGTGGCGCGTGCGACTGAGAGGTGTCCCTTGCCTGAGACTGACTATAGTCTGCCTCTCTCATGCCGGGCGTCGCCGCAGGATACTCAGATTCGTTTGGTGCACCTGCCTTTCCGACATATTCTTGGGCTTCCTTAACGACAGCGACTCGTTTTTCCGGCGATCCTCCCTGCGGACTGTGAAGATGCTTCCCCATTTCGCTAGAGGAGCCTTCGTTCCCGAAGTTGCCGCCGCATCCAGCCGGGTACTCCGTATAGGTCCCTCCACAGGGTAAAGTCATCCCGTTTCCATAGAAGCCGCCTCCAAGAATACTTGGTAGTTGCTGAGCCTGTTGCGCGTGCTGCGACCCCGGCGATATCATCCCACCACCTGCTGCAGGCGATGGTGGAACGTAGTAGCAATAGAACACATTAGCGGAAGATTGCGGAGATGATGTTTCCGAAGCACCTTGCGAGGAGGTCTGATGTTGTGCTGCATTCGGTAGAAAAGACTGCTGGCCAAGATACGGGGCAGCTTGCGGGTCCAGTTTTGTCAGCGAAGAGCCTCCTTGTTCACAAGAAGCGGACTGCAGATCCGCGTCCTCTTTGTCTTTCTTGGGTTCATTAATTCCCCAGCTTCTGCGTTCTCCAATGCTTTCTGAGACTGGCGTCTCCTCCATAAAGGGCTGCGCCTTACTTCTCGTCCAGGCTCCACCTCCTGCAGGCGCAGTACCTGTGCCACTACCACCTCCTGACCAGTTGTACGTCTGCCCCCACGTCAGGGCTGCACCTGGCGGAATGTAGTAGACCATCGCACCTGAAGCGGCAGCCATGTTCATCGCGGCCTGCGCATCCATGGCTGACGCTTGTCCGCCAGACGCAGACCACGTGGCTGAGCTATGCGACACAGCACCAGGAGAAAAAGGAGCCGACCACGAATTGTAAGGAGCTGGCGAACTTGGCATTGGATGTTGATCAGCGAAAGGGATTGCAGAATCATGTCCACATCCAAATAAACCTGCCATGAACGACGTTGATGCACCACAACTTGCTTCCCCCGATGATTTCGTCGTTCTGCTCTCCTCGCCCTTCTCAGAAAATGCAGTGGTACTTGATGTTCCTGGTTTAGCCCCCTCGTTGCTAGCTGTAGCAGGAGGAGAGATGATATCAAGATGCGTACCATGTCCTTTTTTACCCTTACAAGCAGATGGATGTCCGCGCATGGCACTGGATACATCCTTACTAGAAGATTGATTATATCCGTTCTCGTCTGGTTGCGGTTGCAGAATATGAGGTGCTGTTTCGCAATTATCAACGTAGGGCGAAGATACGCCACTTTGTGTTACCGCGTCAGGCGTATGATAGTATTTCATCGACTGCGAAAATCCATCGTAGTGTTGGTGCTCTTGATGTTGATACATCATCATGCTGTTTTCGTCGCCGCCAGCACTACCATTTCCATTATACAGTGCAGCGACGCGCGGCACGCATGCGCTTGCTCCTTCTGTGTTTCTTGTCTCGGACATTGTCTTCACATCAGTACTTTTATTCTTACTAAGCGCAACCTCTTTTGAGAGATTGAGATGGGCGTGGGCCACGTCTTGCACGGTAAAAATCGGAAATCTCGAAGCGTCTCCCCGTCCGCTTCCATCACTTACTGTAGTCTTCGACGCAGGAGTATTCCTGCTGTTGCTTCCACCACTTTTACTTTTTGAATTTCTTCTATTCTCGTCGCGATAGGCTTGTTCGCTATCTTCATGACTAAGTGCCACGTCGCTCTTTTTCGCAATCATGGTCCTTCCGAAGGTCGGCTTCATTCTCACAGCTCGGCCATGTTGAAAGCTGGTGTCGAAGATCATTATCACACAATAGGCGCCAAGGAAGGAAGTTGCGACAAAGCCGCCGCGTCGTCTACCCCGAGCACGATTGTTAGCAGCATGCTCCGACAGGATACATTTCTCGTTACCTTCGCATTCCTTGTCTTTCTGTAGGTCGTATCTACATGCTGATGTTGTGGCTCCTCTATCAGATGTCGAAGTAGTTGCACTGGATCCTAATACACGGTTCTTCATCAAACTCAAAGTCAAAAAACCGCTGTCCTGAACTCCTTGTTCGGCAAGATCCGAGAGATGCTCAGGATCATCGCCACACGCCCAACTTTCCCATGGCCGGCATGTTAACGACGGCATTTTTTGCTCTTGGCATTCAGTTCTAGTTCTTTTGTTTCTAATAGTTGTTTATCTTTCTGGTCTATCTCTATCACTATCTTCAGGAGATCGTGCTATCTACCTAAGTAGTTGCGATATCCAAAGAAGCAAACCTCTGTCTCTTGTTTTCCAGAATACAAATACATTTACGAAAAAGTCACAATATGCAATTGCAAGGTAAAAAGTTGCGAGCAGGATTAAGAACAGCAACAGTGGAACAAATTTAGGCAACTTATACAAGCACTTCGCCTGTCGTAGTTAATAATAATTTGAAATTGAGGACGAGAGTCCAGGTGCTGCCAATCAGAGCGAGAGTTTATTTTGCTAGCGGGTTAGCCATCCAGACTAGCCCACTAGCGGCATCGAATCGCACGAAGATGAATATCAAATGACCATTTGAGATAGAATCTGAAGGAAGATAGGCTGTGCGTTCGACGCCGCTAGGGGCGAGTGTGAATGGATTACCAGAAAGAAGGGAGGGAGGGAGTGGAAAAAGAGAAATGAGAAAGATGATTCGATTGTAAACCAAGAGTAGAGAGAGAAAAGATTCGATAGCGATCGCTGAGATTCGATTAAGAACGATTTGATTAGATTCGATTCGTGTACGAATGTACACGCTGCGTGTAGGATGCGCAGCCCCCAAGATCATGAGTAAGTGAAGGAACGACACCGATGCCAGCAAATAAAACTCTCGCCTAAATTAGTTATAGCGAACACCTGCGCTGTTCTAGCATAACTGAAAATAAAAGGACCCGGCGGTCTGCAGATGCGCCGATAAGAGAGAAGAATGAAAAATGGATCTCAGGATTTCACGAAAAAAAAATGGATTGTCTAGCAGATACAACTTTTGTTTTTTCCATTTACCCATCAAAGTTTTTCTGACCTGCACTACAGGACTTGAACCCAGCGAACCGCGGGTCTTAAAAGGGGAAAAACCCAGAACACCATTCGGTAAGAGGATGATATTCCATAGATACCAGTCGAAACCACAAAACAGAATCCACACATTCAATCGTGACCCACAGCCAAACTTCTGCTCAGAGCAGCAGGGATAAGCTCGAAACTCGAACGCTTCAGCCTTTGAATCAACACCAGAAAGGTGCAGCTACTAGATTGAAAAAATATTTGGTCTATTCTTGGTGAGGGAGAATATCGCTACATCACAGTTGAGTTTTGCGTGGAGTCACATATGTGTCAAAGCGAAGAGAAAGAAGAACAACTACAGCTAGAAACTACTACTGTTAGTACTTGTACTTCTTGGGAAATTTTATTGTTATAGGATGAATATTGATTTTTGAAAGTAGAAAGAATACACAGGAGGCATTTCTAGCACTTNAGATGCGCGGTTACACGAAACCTGGCACTACGCACCAGAAGCTGCATTTGCGGGAGCAGAGAGAGCTGAGGAGAAGCGGCAGAGGGCCAAATATCTACCGGAACGGAGGCGTAAACATGATATTCGGAATCAGCCAAAAAGGCTGTGGTACCGTTGCCGACGCGGAAGATGGCTGTGCTTTGTTTCAGCTTCGAGACCCTAGTGAACTGACTGCACAACGGCATGAATTGGCCGCCGAGTAAAGGCACAAGGACCGCGAGCCGAGGCCTGCGAGAAAGCGGCACGTTGGTAACCAGTTTGTCCAAAAACTTCAAAACCGGCAAGAGGAGGTTGGTCGGAGGGAACCACCAAACGCGATGGCGCAACAAATGTTCGATGTTCTGGAAAGGCGGACTCCGGATTGAAAAGGAAAACTCGAGGTTCGGCGAGGAAGGCATATCGTCAGATGCCATGGCTACAGTGTCAAACCCGGGTAGTCTATCGAGAATCTGCAACCAAGAACGTTTGCACAAATGCCTCTCCGGAAAGGGGTCGGTCATAGAGTTGATAACATCGTCGAAACGAGACAAGGCATCAGCGATAGGGTTCTCAGCGCCGAAGATCTTGCCCGCGACAATCTCGCAACAATTGTGAACTGCAAAATCCCGAATGAGGAAAGAGGCCTCCGACATGCTAGGAGATGAGAAAGCGCCTTTGTTGCACGCCTTTTTGGCCGACGGATTGTCCGTGTAGTACATGATTATCTTGCCGGCCACTGAGCCCCCGAATTTGATGTAGGCTTCTAAGAGAAGGATAGGGGTGACCGACTCTTTGACGTTGATGTTGGAGTCATTCCATTTGCGAGGGAAAAGGCCCTGGAACCTAATGCCGTTGACTGTGCCGCCCCAACCCGTTCCGATGGAAGTGGCGGCATCGCCGTGCACAACTACACACAAAGAACTCGGGAGCGACCGAGTGAAGTGACCACCAAAAGTGAGAACCTCTTCACGCCACAAGAAGCACCTGTTTCCGTTGTAAAACAGGGGCGCGGCCGGGTTGCTCGCAAGAGTCGCCCGCCACCAACAGATCTCGGCGATGCACTCCTTCGTAAGTACCACAGAAGGGTTGAAACGATTGTTCTTCTGCCACTGCCTGGGAGCATCGGCTGCCATTATCACAGATTGCATGGCACACAGTGGTCCTCGATTGACTACAAAGGAGCAAGAACCACATTTGCCCTTGACAGATGCGAGATCTTTGACACGGCAACGCCCATATTGCTCGTAGTCTGCGAGGAAAGAATCAATAAACTCGATGTAGTCGATTCTGCGTCGCTCTTCAATGAGAACTCGCATGCCAACAGTGTCGCATTCAAAGCCTAGCCACGGGAAATGCTGCGAAGCAGGAATCCTCTTGCCCACTTTATCGTGCAACTTGCAACCCAGCGCAGTCATCAAATAAAATTGTCGCCCCAAATCAATGTCAGTCAGCTCACGAGAAAGACAGTCGTCGCCTGGAAGGACGGAACGAATGTCATCAACATAATCGAACATCCTCGATTTGACGCCCGAATTGGAGCAGACGCGAATGATTTCCTTGACACTTGCGTCGTTTTCGCCCGGCGCCGGGGCAATGCCAAACGGCAGGAATAAGTGCGTTGCTTTCGCAGGAACCGAGGGTAGGTCAAGACCAAAAAATCTTCTATGGGAAGGACTGATCATCCAATGCGGAAAACAATCTTTGAGGTCGATGCCTGAAACAAAGCAGTTTGGCTTCAAAAAACGGAAGAGATCCCACCAAGAAGAATACTCGACCGGCGAGGAAAATAACGACTGATTGAGAAAGCAAGACGACGCGCTCCAGTCGCTGATAAGCCGCACCTTCGTCCCGCCTCTTTGCAAGAGGATGGACGCAGGGGCAATCAAAAGGTTGCCGGGAGGGGGAATATTCTTGGAAGCTGGGAGAAGAGATGAATCGTAAATCATGACTTTCTTCATGTCGACCAAACGCATTACTTCGTTGACAAAAACTTTTTCATGCAAAACAGTACTGTAGTAATTCTCTGTCTGAGTGATAGCAAAATCGTCATCGACAGCGTCGAACTTAATTCCACCAAGCCAGCGTCTGATAAAATCAGGGGAGATGCCCCAACGTATGCATTCTTCGATAGATAAAGATAAGCCGTCAACTGTGCGACTGTCCTCCAGAAGGCGCCAATCATCCCGAGGTCCATCTTGTTTGTGTAGAAACTGCAAAATTTCGTTGTGAGTCGTAGGTAAACCAGCACTGATGTAATCGTTGATATGGAAATTCGAGCACGGCTCGAGGCCGAGGCTCGCTTCAGAAACCGGACCAAATTGAGAGTCCACCATGTCGCAAAATCGTATGATGTCTAGGCAATCTTACACCTTACCGGTGCGCACGATCGAATACATGCTGCCAAAAATCGCGCGATCAGCAGTGCCACGAGTTATATCAGCCGAAATCGACGGAGCTGCCGCCGAAAGATCAGCAGAGGAAACAAACTCAAAATCCAACTTTGACACCCATGCGGCCATTTTTAAACCATCAATGCCGTCTTTGTTGCAATAGTACTTTTCTAACAGCTCGATAGATTTGATAGTGTTGAGAGAAAAGGAGGCGCGATTTACAATGACGTTGATACGACTAGCCACCTCTTGAATGGTGGGGGGAGCATAAACATCATCCAACATATTTGCGTTCCTCCAACCGCCTTGAAAGAACGCCAATTTGCGCGAAGAGTCCCATTTCGAATAGAAAATGGCGCCTGCTTTTCGCAGGGAAATTCCTCCAACAGTAGAAATTGGCTTCAGGTGCCCAATGGCGTCACTTACTGCCTTGCGGATGAAATCCTTGCCAACAGGGAGTCCACGGGTTGGAATGTTGTTTAAGCCAATCGCGTAGAAAAATGGTTCGGCGGAATTGCACCATGCTTTTTTCATGTAGTATTGGAAGAAGTTGTTGGAGAACCGGAACCACATCCGCAGCAGTTCTTGAAATGCTGCAGGGATAGCGGCTTTATGCCCAGAGGCGAACTTATCATTCTTAGCCGAAGCGACGTAGATGTACAAGATTCCCCCTGAGCCGAACAAATTATTCGCCTTCAAACGCCTCAGCTCGTCGTTGCGACGTACACCGAAAAATCCCAAAACTAGGATTACAGCACGTTGAAGGATGATAGAAGCAGAAAGAAACGACTTGCTGCAAAGCGCCGCCACAGGGAGCGCAATGTTCAGCGCAATACCGTCCTGGGGCATCTTACCTAACTCGGATTTCCACCCAGCGAGGGCGTCGGACGCGAATTGCACTATGTCTCGGAAAACGGGAGTGAATTTTCTTGCGGTGGGGCAGTGGTAGGCCGCTTTCTTGAACCCCATCCAATGCCGTTTGAAACGCAAACCTTTGTCAGCAAGCGTGTATGAGATGTTGCGCGCACTATTGAAGGCGCCGATGGCAGAAGCGATTAACTCATATGTGTTCCATCTGATAGCTCGGCTTCCATCACCAATCGCGTCGATGAACTCGTACGATGCATGGCAGGAGTGCGATTTCGTGAACACGGTGAAAAATAACAGAGCTTCATCGTCGCAGGTGATTGGCCAAAGCGCAAACTGTAACACGGAGCAGATTAACGGAACAATTTTGTTCAAGATGGACTGATAAGTTTTCGCCGAGTTCTCGGCGAGTGAGACTGTCACGTCCTCGTGCGCGGCGTTGATGAGAGTTGTTTTCAAACTGGCCTCGATAGGGAACTGGTTGAATAACGCCTCGTCTTTCTTGAAGATTTCCAGATCGAGGGACTCGTTGTTGTCGGATCCGAACTTGAATGGCTTGTACGCCGCGCTGCCGTTGTCGCATTTCCTGCTAGAGAACTCCTTGTGGATAGCACCAAGCTCCGAGACCGAAAGTTTGAGCTCGGCGAGTTCCTTTGCGAACGACTCTGCTGAAGCAACAATGACAAACTCATCTCTGTCTTCGACAGCGGACACGAATTCCGGAGATGACGCTCCTAGCAACTCGTTACTCAGGAGGTCGGGCACGATCGTTCCCATACTACTAGACGAAGACTTCGTGTTTGACGCTTTGTTACCTAGTTCAGCTTCGATTTCGTCGGCAACGACGTTGTCGAACGGGTTGTTGGACGTTGCTAGATTAACATCGACGCTGTTGATGCCGAGGACATCATCCACGGGTGTGACATTGGAGACACTACTGGTCTTCGCGCGAGTTGCCTCGTCCCTGGCGTGAAGGAAAGGATTCGCCGCCCGAGTGGCGTTACGGATGGGCTCGGATTGTAGCACACGTTGCAGCTTGAAGAAACTCACTTTGGACAATTTGTCTCTATTATCGAGTGAGTAACGTATACTACGTGCAATTGTAGATTTTCTAGCATCCAGCCGCTCGATTTTGGAGCGTTTTTGTCTTCGCATACACTCACGCTCAAGCAACACTCGACTCCATACGATCCCACCTTGTTCGGTGACGATTGTTCAACACGTCCGCCTTACTCAATAGGCTGACACCTTGGTGAAACAGGTTCAAACCGTTATAGTAACTTGTTAGCACAATTCGCTTTGTATTGGTGGATTGTCGTGTTGCTTGCTCATGCTGGGTACAGATCTAGAGCAAGAATTGCCATGCAGGGGAGAGCTGTGACCAAAATAGGATTGCTGATGCTTTCGAGGGTTTTGATATTGGTTCGCATATTGCGTAGTGATCAGGCGACTGCTGGTGATTTCGCATCGGGTCATACAGTACTTGGGTTTCAATGAGAGGAGTGCACCAGATTAACAAACTATAATTCTGCGTGGTTGCACATGAGAAGCGATGGGTTCTAGTAATGTTACAGCTTCAACATCGTGTTGCAACAACGACCGTTAGAATTTGCCCTTTCCGTTCCCTTTGTTCTTGCCTTTGCTGTCTGTTCCCTTGCTTTGGAACTCAGCAATGACACGAGGATCGTCCTTATGCGGGCAGGCGGATTGCCAATGATAAGCCATTTTGCCGAAGTGGTTGTAGCACACTCGACACGAGATGGAACAAGAGTTGCCTGCACGTTCACAATTGCCGAAACCGTAGTCGTGATTCATGTTACAGCCGGAGCCGTTGAGGAAGCAGTTACGACACAAGTGATTCTTGGTGAAAAATGCGTAGGTCTCGGTGGTATTGACGGTTAAAGCGTTGTTGAAAGCTGCCATTGCGGCTTCCTTTGTGGCTGCGGCACCACGAAGGATGTCGGCAATGCGTTCGGAAGCTGATTTGGAGTTGTAGTTTGAGCCTCCATGATTGTTGTTGTTGCCGCTTCCGCCGCCCCCTGCACCACCAGACGAGTTGCGAGCCTCGAGGCGCTGACGTTTGTTCGAACCACCCCAGCTGCTCTGACTCGCTGGATACGAAGGTAGCGAGGAATCAGCAGCAGAGTTGAAGCCGGCCGGTGCACTTTGCCGCTTTTGAGCGTTCGTACGCGCCAAAGCAAGTTCGTCTTGCGAGATTTCAGCCATCAACGCTTTGAGTACACCCCTGGATTGCATGTTGCGACAGGCAACAGACGTAACGTGAGGCAAGTATACCAGATTGTAAAATCCTTGGCGAGTTTGATCCATGCGACCGCGAAGTTTGATTTGCTTGCCCCATTGCTTGAGCGAGAAGTAGACCAAGTAACACAGATTGGACGTGGACTGATCGAACGAGGAGGATTTGTTGCTGTTGTTTTTCTTGGTGGTTGATTGTTGCAGGGCGGTTAGATCAAGGTGGTACTTCACCAAAAACAGCGCATGGTTGGCGAGTGTCGAAACTGGTTCTCCAGGAAAGAACGAAATCAATCGATTGAGGTGGTTGCTGCAGTGAAGGAGACTGCCTCCTGCGGATGGTAGCAGCAACTTGCTCCATTTATGATGCTCATTTCCCTTTACGCGAAGTTGATCGGCCGCTTTCTTGAGTGCGCCGCTGTCACCCCCAAAGTTGGTGTGCATCATCAAGATTTCCTGTGAATATAACAGAAGTGTAACTCCGGGAAGAAATAGTAGTTTAGTTGGATTTTAGAAGTTTGACCCATAATTCTGAGATTTGTTTTAGTGACTACCTGAGGTGACAGATGCGAAATTTTGTTTTGGTCGCTGACCGGCGGACGCTTCAGAACTTGATAGGCGGCGATCTTCTCAGCGTCGGACATGGCGATATAATCAGCAAACCAAGGAAATTCAGAAACGATGTCCGGGCCCATGGACATGTCACCACTTGCAGCCTGTGGTTCATGTGCACGGAGAGATTAACAGATTTTTGGATTGACCCTTAAATTTACGAAATTTCATGTAGATGCTGACTGCCTTGCATGGATAACGATTAGGTACCGCGAATGCGCTCTCGATGTCTTTCATCCGAGCGGCTTGCTTCTGGTTGTTGCAGCTGACGCAGATGATTCGCGAAGGATCATTAGCAGTCATTGAATGGAAGAGATTATTGGCCAGAGGTCCCTGAGTCTTCTTGCATCCCAAGCAGACTCCTTTGTTGCAGCGTTTGTGTGCGCCTCCGGCTGCAGCTGGTGCTTTGACATTGCCACAAACTGCATGTAGATTCGCAACGGGGTGATCAACGTCGCACTGCATGCAAGTGAAATTCGTCAGGGCTGGAGGCTCTTCTAGAGCGACCACACCGCCCAGTTCGTTCATGTTTTGACACTTGGGGAAATAAGAAAAGATTTCGCTCAAGTTCGATTTGACAATTTGATCTAGATCAGGTTCAGCACCATCAGATTGATTGGAAACAATGGGTTCATGTTCGAGGGACGAGTCATTCCAATTGTCGTCAAACCACTTATCCCATTCGTCACATGTATAATGATGATGACTCTCGTCGGTTGTGGATGAAGCCCCAGGACTGTCCTCGAGGCTCTTGTTGATTTCAGCTAGGGTTTTCGACATCTTGAAATGTTTTGAGTCGAGTTTTACGCTATCACTTGCCTGTGTTAATGGGTTGAGAAGGTTCATGATGTGAGAAGTTTTGTGTTGTGAGTTCTATGCGCATATACAAACTTGCTTGCTAACGTTGAGTAATTTTAAATTTTATGTCTGGCTTCGATGCATTGAAGTTTCAAAAAAGACAGAAGTTGGGTGCGTCAGAGAGTTGGCGACGCTTGATGTTGATGGTGATAATAACAACAAAAACAAAAACCTATTGCATGGAAACTGTGTTCATCGCTTGTTCGTGATCGTTTATGTTGTGAGAATGACACCGTCGCAGTATGGTTTTCCAAATTTAGTCACTGAGTGTTTTATTGGTTGTGGTTCAATTTCATGGGAATTAGCTCTAATTCTGGCTCAAGGAGGTTGAGTTCGACGCTTTGTTGCTGATGATGTCTCCTTCGGCCGTGGCACGATTGTTGGTGGATAGGTGAGCGCCGAGGTCCCGAGTTTCATTGACGAAATCGGATACCACAAACTTCAACTCACTGTCAGCTACACGACTCGTCAAAATCATAGTGTGCGCTTCTTTCATTGAGGCCCGAATGCACTCAATCGCTGTGGTACTCCACGTGCTTTCCGTGAAAAGAGCGCCCGGGAAAAAGGCACTTGCCGAGTTCCACCGAACGAATTCAGTGTTACGTTTGCTACCCACAGCCGTTGAGTATGCTAAGCTTAGAATCACCTGAGTGATGTGATTGGGGAATAATGATTGATTAAATTAGATGTTGGATGAAGCAATCACTTTTAGTTCTTCCGTTACTTGATAAAAGGCAAAGGATTGATGATTGTCGCTGATGTTTGAGTTTACCTTGGACACGGAATGCTGCGGGAGGTCACCGCAGACCAGCGCTGTCACTGACAGAAGACGCAGGGTTTGATTGAATTCGTTCCATTGGCAATACGAAAGGATTGTGCAAATGGCTGCGGCGTAGTGCGGGTATGCTGTGGATAGCAACACAACGTTGTGGAGCAGCTGGTTGTTGACCAGTTTGGCTAGTTGTTCGTTGATTGGAAAGGCATCGAGTGTTTTGGATATTTTCCCCAGAGCAGATGTCTTGGCTGCGCAGAAACTGCCTTGAATGGTACCGGACCATTCAATTTTCTTGGCTTGCGCGAGACCGCAAATGTCCTTTAGAAGTTTTTTGATTGAATGTGATAGTTTCGCCGATTGGCAATGATGACTTGGTTTGATGTTCAGTTTGATCATTAGTTTTCTTCAATTTAGTTTTGAGTGACTCCAAAGGGACATTAGTTAAGCTTACAATCATCTCCTGCGGTGAGAAGCCACTGATGGTTAACGTGTTATGACTCGGCACATTGCAGCATGATCGAATGAGCGAATTTGATTCAGCACTTGCCGTTAACGCACAAAATTTGCAGATTCGTTCCAAAGGGCGAGGAGCGCTTTGATCGTCCGAAGTCTCAGTGGAGCTGCTGGCGTTATGCCCAGTGTTCGTCTTGATAAAAGGTGAGAAAGACTTTGCGATTGAAGCCTTCTCAGCTCTGAACTCGTTGGAGGCGGATGAGTCATTGGGAGCAATAGAGTTGTCCTTCATGAGCTTGTCAACCAATTCGGCTATGGTTACTGGGATGTAATGTTTGTCGAAGACTGCACTGGACCACAGTTTCTCGCTTTTTACTTTTTCGCTGAGAAGTTCTAAGATGTCACAGTCGTTTTTGAGCCCTTTTGGGCATTCGATGTTGAAGAAGTGGCAGGTAGTGTTGCCCGATGTGTCGCGCACCCAACCGTGACAGGAGAAATCGGTGCCTTCAGTGCAGGTTGCACGAATTGAGTTGACGAAGAAGGTTGTTCCGTCCATTGTGGGGTTCTCGTACGAATGAAATAGGATCTTGTATTCGAAATTGAGGTTGATGAAGTTGACGTCGGATGTATTTGGAGTTGTTTTGTGAATCACGCGCGTCTCGTTGCGTAAGTAGATTTTATGTTTGGAGTTTACGTCGTCGACGATATGCCTATTTACATCCGCGAGAGAAATGTCTGTCCAGTGGAATTTTAAAAAACCAGCGACGTTAGTTGATTTTCTCCAACAACTTGTCTCAATCACTGCTTGATACATGATGGTTGTCGGGGAAAAGGTTAGATGGTTGAGTTGATGCACAATAATCATTGGAGACGAGTTGATGATGGCGGTAGTGCAGTCGACTTTTCGTCGTTTTGGTTGATCATCACTGTTGCAGTTGTTTTGGTCGAAATTGGATGGGAAGACGTCATATTTTCCGTCGGAACGGGCGCGGCAGAGGAATTCAAGATCTAACCTGCCCGCGCCGTCTTGGAAGTCAAAGGACGAGTTCTGAGAAATTGGTAGATTGCTGGGAGAGCATCCTAACTTTGTTTCAATGTCGCAGAAGATGGCGAATAGCACATCGTTGGTGGATGAATTCGGAACTACTACGCATCCTGAGATCTCCCTTTTCCAGATGGAATTGTCAATTAATGCTTCGATGGATCCGGCGTACCGAGTGAATGAACAGGCTCGACGCGAGAGGTCGGCGAAGATGACATGGGCGTCAACTGGGTGCTGGTTAGAAGGCGCGGTGTTGGGCATTTTGTTGTATTGAGTACAGGAGTTTTGAGCCAGCTGATGAATAATCATATGCTTCATGTTTTCGTGGACATTTGTTGTTAAATGAGTATGCGGCATTACGATCAGAGGTAGCTTTTTGGCTTTTCTCCATTTTGATCACCGTTTGAGACAGATTGTTTCGAAAAGATTCGACTCCAGAAAAAAGAGAAATGAGAAAGATGATTCGATTGTAAACCAAGAGTAGAGAGAGAAAAGATTCGATAGCGATCGCTGAGATTCGATTAAGAAAGATTTGATTAGATTCGATTCGTGTACGAATGTACACGCTGCGTGTAGGATGCGCAGCCCCCAAGATCATGAGTAAGTGAAGGAACGACACCGATGCCAGCAAATAAAACTCTCGCCTAAATTAGTTATAGCGAACACCTGCGCTGTTCTAGCATAACTGAAAATAAAAGGACCCGGCGGTCTGCAGATGCGCCGATAAGAGAGAAGAATGAAAAATGGATCTCAGGATTTCACGAAAAAAAAATGGATTGTCTAGCAGATACAACTTTTGTTTTTTCCATTTACCCATCAAAGTTTTTCTGACCTGCACTACAGGACTTGAACCCAGCGAACCGCGGGTCTTAAAAGGGGAAAAACCCAGAACACCATTCGGTAAGAGGATGATATTCCATAGATACCAGTCGAAACCACAAAACAGAATCCACACATTCAATCGTGACCCACAGCCAAACTTCTGCTCAGAGCAGCAGGGATAAGCTCGAAACTCGAACGCTTCAGCCTTTGAATCAACACCAGAAAGGTGCAGCTACTAGATTGAAAAAATATTTGGTCTATTCTTGGTGAGGGAGAATATCGCTACATCACAGTTGAGTTTTGCGTGGAGTCACATATGTGTCAAAGCGAAGAGAAAGAAGAACAACTACAGCTAGAAACTACTACTGTTAGTACTTGTACTTCTTGGGAAATTTTATTGTTATAGGATGAATATTGATTTTTGAAAGTAGAAAGAATACACAGGAGGCATTTCTAGCACTTTTTCAATGGGATTGTGATTGGGAATGAATCATATCAAGAATATTAGATAGAGTCATTTAAGAGGAAATCTGTCAAAAATTCAGAGTAGCACAACTAAGTATAACGAGGCATCCTCCTAACAATCATAGGTACAACTGTAATTTCACTTTGTAGAGGTTTCGAGTAAAGACCATTATTTAGGCATAGACATCAAGGAAGGAAAGTAATCCAAGGAGGAAGGCGGGTGAAGCAGCCAAACAACAAGATCTAGATCGCCATGGAGGAAACCTTCGTCGGAAGCTCCTTTTCCTGTTCCTGAAAAAGTGGCGAACATAACACGCAATGAAAATAGGCCACACGAGAACGACGACGACGACGACGATGAGCATCTAGTGCTCAACGAGGAGAAGAAGAACGAGTGCAGCGATTTTCATAAACTTAGGTACAACGAAGAAGCCACCTCCTCCTAGCAAGAGTGTGACCGACAACTCCCGGACACCAATCACAGCTGCGATAGAACCACGGATCGCTCTTATTATTTTCCGCTCGCCGTCAGCATTACCTATGCTACAATGTAGATGAGTTTGGGTTGCATGATGAATAAAGATATTCGTAATCATATTGTCCAAATAGAACACATACACAAACACAATGAGATAATAGTTATCGAAAAAAGTATGACTCGTGATCATCCTTCCTGTAGATGTACTAGTTCCACTTTTATGACTGTAGAGATCAAACAGTGACTTTTCTCAGGGCGAAAGACAAAGACGCACGACCTGTAGGATGCTAGAAGCCCCGTCGTAGCTGGCGATGGAAGGAGTACGATGGCCCCATGAGCAAGGATTCGTTCTTGCTCAAGGAGCCAAACGTGGTGGTCCCTCTGCGTAAGTAACGTTCTACCCAGATTTTCAGAGGAAGGCCAGCACATGCTATTGTACTTGAAAATCAATTATTCAACTAAAACTTTCCTTCATGGCTCATAAACACGAATGTTCTGGAATTTTGTACTATAAGTAAAAGTTCATGATCATAGATATGGTGCTGGCGTTTTCAGTACCCATTCGAAATCAAAACGAATCTGTCATTGCATACATATCAGAGCCACACATTACATCAAATAGTGACTCGGATTCAGGCGCCTCTCCATGCCCGGGAGCCTGGTCATGGATCTCTAAGATGAAAAGGGTCTATAGGACTTCTTGCAGATCTAGTCCTTCTACTTCTTCTCGACGAACTCGATTCATTCATATTTATTACTTAGAAGATACCGGACGACAATAAATCGTTGTAACGATAGTCATTGTTGCTAGACGAAGCGGATCAATTTATAACTATAAGGCGTAGATGAATCAATAAATATGTTGCAGGCTGAAGAGGTTTTGGAAGACTAGGCAGAGGCGTTTTGATGAGATGACAATCGCAACAAGGCAAACCTACAGCAGACGAAGTGGGGATCACAGTGACCTCCACCTTCTTCTAGTAGATCTGACAATGAGATGAATATCGATGTTGTACTTCTACTTGTAGTCTTTATTGATTTTGATAGGATATTGCTCAATAATGAATAAGAAGAGAGACTATCGCTAAATCTCAGTGCTATAATGATGATCAGAGGACTAGATTGTAGGTCGTTTAGTGGGCTAAGCCCTGAACTAGAACTTTAGATCGGTAAACGAAGAGGATTTTGGAGGTGGTTGTTGGGGGGCTTGTTGGACCTGTCATGTCACAGTCACCGTCATTCGATGAAAAACCACCCAGACGAAAACATCTGTGACTCACCTGCAAACATTGAGGTGCTCTAGTACGGCATCATTCAATTCCATGGAATGAAATTGAAAAAGGGCTCACAACCTCCACTTGCCCGGCATACGCGCGCGTACTTCATTTCCTGGAAGCACGAAGTAGGTACTAAAAAGACGAAAATGCTCTTGAGGTTCGGATTGTAGATTAGAGGCGGCTATTACCTCGGACAGTGTTCACGCTTTCAACTTGGTGCATTTTCAGGGTTTTTGTTACTTCAAAATTGTTGAAATATGATCAGAATCAGCCCGTTGCCTTGACGGTTTTCAGACGCGCAAGTAGACCGCTTAATGTTCCTTGCTACGTGGCAACAGGGAACTAGTAGAAGCACAGCACACGACTAGAGTCTGCTACTGAGTCCGAGTCGTAGTTAATGCCAAAAAAGGAGGACCAGAGCGAAAATACAAGTACATCTGTCTACTTAATCATCTTCATCAAGGTGTGCGGGAACGACAGCGACTTTCATAAGTCTTGTTTTCATGGTCATACACGACATGTCATGCTCGCCATGACTATTTGGATCGCTAGAAAGTTGTCTGAACTTGCTTCAATGAATAGATTCATGGTCATACACGACATGTCATGCTCGCCATGACTATTTGGATCGCTAGAAAGTTGTCTGAACTTGCTTTATAATGAATAGATTCAAATCATATCAAGCACTCCATTATTATTATACGGCAATGGGTGTCCCCTCAATGATATGGCAATGTCTCGAGTGTTCTTGTACTGGCTCTCTATCTGGTGTCGCTGCAGTGACACACACAGGCCCATTCAAAAAATAGATGATGACACCTGCGGATTGAGCTCCATTACTATTTAGATCCTGGTCACTGCCTTAAGAATCACCAGAGGCGTTAGATCACAGATATAAGCGGCGACTTTTGGCGGTGTCACAGCAGCCGCGCAGCCACGCTGTCCAGCCCTTCGCCTTCGACTTGTAATATTATCGGTAGTACATCACCGACTACCTGCGACACCTTCTGCTTCATCATATTACGACGAAGATGGCATCGTTGGCGGTCTGACACTCTGAGTCAAGCCGCATAATCTCAGCTTTACTTGTTTTCAGTAACACCAATTTCTTACACTTTTTTTATTACTCCACTAGCTTGGGGTTGGGTAATATATGAGATCTACCTGCTTGAAAGAAAGGATAAGAGTTTTTATGTACTACCGAGACTAAGTTCGAGTTGTAGTGTAGAAAACAAAGTTGAGATGTGGCGCGAGGAGCAAGAGCACATGCATAATATCTAGACATGATAAAGGTAGAAAACCACGGATAAATTTGTCTTCTTTTTGCATCTTTTTATCTGTCGTGCCTCTATTCAGAATGCGCGACTGTAGATGACAAAATTTGTGATCATGATGTCTCATGTTCATGAACAACTCCAATTTAGCAAGTACGTAGCAATTGCGGAACTTTGCATAGCCCGCGCTATGGCTTGTACTGTTCTACTACATATTCCCGGTATCTATTGGAGTTTCGAACGCTCTTATCTATTTATCCACATTCTTTTTCATCTTGTGTCATTTCTTTCGACACTCTTCAACCCTTTGTCTTTACCGACAATTATATATCATCCATACCACAGACCATACCACAGGGGGTGGACCGGTCAGCCCTAAAACATATATGATACAGGGACGCAGACGCACGTCCCCCACCCCGGGGATGGCCCTGGGGTGACGCTTGTGCGCACTTTTCCGCTCTGTTTTGCGCGTCAAAAATGGGAGGCGGCGTCCGCTTGAGCCTCTCTGCGTGTACCCTACAGGCGTCCCGGCATCTGCCGACCCGAGCGAGGGGGAGGCCTCCGGGGGTGGAAGGCCGCCGAGGGCGGCCACGGTCTCGAGGCCTGGCCCCTTTTGCTAGGATGCCCTCATCCCCGAAGCGCGGCACCCGCGCCCACCTCCTCCCAGATGCGCGGTCCTCTTCTACCGAGGCGGCGCCGTTGAGACTAAGCGAAACAGGGGACGAGGCGACGGGAGAAGGGGGTGGCACTTGAGCGCGGGAAGGATAGCGGAGCCGAACCGTCTTCCTTGCTACAGTCGACAGCATGGAAGGTCTGTGGGGTGCCTGCAAACGGACTCCAGGGATCCAAGATGCGCCTCACGACCCCTTTGGAAGCCTTCTACCTCCGGCAGACGTTTCCAAAAGGGGTCCGGGGATCACGGCACCACCCGAGCGTAGGGGGGGGCGCTCCCCTGAATCCTGGAACGTATAAATATGCATACTCGATTAGCTCTCTTTCTCATCGTCTTCGCCACCTGCTGCTCATCCTTCACTGGAGGTTCAGCGAAGAAGACAAATACCCCGACCTCTGCTACAACCTCATGAAAAAACATCTTATACTACGTACGGTCCTTACGAAAACAGTGAAGTTCTATTTCTATCTCGATAACGCAGTACTACTACTAGAACAACTAATACTTGTTTCATTTTGGGAGTGTTAACAGTGACCGCCCAGCTTATTCCCTTTATCATCCTCAACACGTCTCAATCTCAAGCAGTCATCCTAAACTGCTGGCAAGACGAACACGAAACAGATTCAACCTCCAGTAGTTGTTTGCTTCTGTTCATAGATATCGATTCCCGCCAAGTGTGCCAAAATCTCTAGCATGTCTCTGACGAAACGGCCGGCGAAACCCGGACTGCACCCGCCGTTTGTGCGGTGGTTCTCCAATAATGACTCAACTACGATCTCCGGTAACTCCCTGAGCGCTTTGCAGCGTCGCTGCTTCAACGCTTCCAGTGCTGTCGCTGAACACTGTGATGACGCGGTTCTCGTGGCATTAGGTGCAAGACCACCAAGTCTAATCGCGCTACTGCCGGAGGTACTGCCCGGAGGCTCATGAGAAGAGACCGGGGGCTTGCTGCCTCTGTCTCTGTCAGGTGGCGTCAGAAAAAAAACTGGAGGTCTGCTGGGACGTGAGGGAAACTGAGGTGACTCATCTTGGACTGCGTGGTGTACTGCTTCGAATTCGTCACGTGTCAAACTTTTGATCTCGCCAACGCCATTATGATTCATCTCATACTCATATCCGGGGAGGATATAATTATGAAGATTGTTGCGGTTAGGGATAGGCGTATTATCTCCTTTGATGTCAGTTTTCGGATGTTTGTGGCATGAAATCTGCTCTGAAGTGCTCTTGCTACAATCAGGTGAAGACTGACATGATTTGGTAATGTTTCCTTCTTCCATTTCTGATGAGCAAGAGCATTGCTGCTGAGGGGCAACGCCACTCCGTGAATGCTGTGCACTTTGTCTATCACGCATCGACGCTACTGCTGATGTCGAAAGAAACCAGTTTTTGCGCAATAGCAAGACCACATCGAATACCCCGGTTTCGTGATCGCTGTAGGTCGAGCTCCCCGCCGACGCAGCGGATATCTGTCGCCTAGGGGTCGGCGAGTGGTTTCCTGGTGAAGGTTGTTGGTGCTGGTGGGAATTTTGATCTCTGATCGAATTGATGCTGGTGCTATCGTTATCGTTTTCAGTTTTACGAGAAGTAGAAGGACGTTGTGGACATAGACCACCTACTCCTGTGTTTATCATTGGAGGCACTGCGGGTGCTGCTCCTTTGGCTATGCCGTGGGAAGTGTCTTGGAAAAAATACTGTTCGTTCTCGAAATCACCTTGAAAGTCTTCCGATCTGCTCAATAGCGTCGCTCGTGTTCCATTACTTTTACTCGACCGCGATGATCCTCCGCTATGCTCACGGTCACCCTTCGATAGCCCACCGGGTGGCAGAGCAGGGAACCCGAGAGTCGCATTCGTATTATTTGGAAATGATAGCAGATTATACTTGTTGTTTGTGTAGTGATCATCAACCCCTCTGCCGTTGCCCGTGAAAGATACAACACCTGTCGCAGTAGAACCTTCCTTGCCTCTGTACCCTCCATACGCAAGAAGAACTTTGTTGCTGTGCGGATTCTCAGGTCCGGATCCTCCAACCGACCCAACCGGAGTCAGCGTGTGTGGAGTATGCGCGGACCGATTTGTGGCGGAAGCTGGGGTGTAATCGTGATATAGCACTAGCTCTCCTTGGCTAGGAGTGAGAGAACCTTTCCGATGGCCGGAAGTCGCTCGCCTACTGGTGATGGACGTACCATTGCCGTGGTCCTTGTTGTGATGCTCGTGGTAGGTTTCCAGGCTGAAGCTTCTTCCTGGATTACCTCCTGCTCCATCCACTGCAACTGGCAGTTGATAATCTATTTGGTTATGAACTTGATTTTGATTCTGGTTGTATCGTCTTCCCCCTCCTTTACTGCTGTTGATGTGCTGCTGATCCTGGTGCTTTCCGGACGCATTATGCTGGTGGTGCCGATGCGGATGCGTGTAGGTACAAAAATTAGTGGGGTCATCAGAGTGTGAAGCCGCGTAGCTCACTTGTTGCTGCACGTGATAGGGTAAGTTCGACGCTGTCAGGATCTGCTCTTCGTCGACCACTTCAAGCGCCTGCTTATCTTAGAAGCAGCAGTTTCAAGTCAGGTTGTAATATTTCTATATATTCCAACCCACAGCATTTTTTCAATTTCAAAGTCTTCGGCCAAAGGGCCAGCGCACCAGCTGGGGTGGGCGCAGAGAAGCACAACAAGAACAACTTCAAATACAAGATGAACATCAAAAATAGCAGCGATAAGTTACTTGTAAAAAGTTGTCAAAACGAATTAAGTAGCTTCCTTGGTGAGTAGTTCTAAAACGGGAGCTATCGTCTACATCTAGATGTACTTCAAATTCAATCTTCTTCCTATATTCATAATCTTGGTTTTCGGTTGACGATGCGAACGCCGGAAAGTCGTCCTCGAGTGCAGGAAAATCTCGTTCAGTGCAGTAAGAGAGCAGAGTCGTCAGTGCGCGTTTCAGTTGCTGCTGTATGTGCGGTGGCCGTGTCCGGTTTCCGTACTCGAGGATGGAATCAAACACGTACTCTATCGGCGAGTCGAAGAGATCGCTGACAACGAACTCGTCACCGAAGCGACCTTGGAACACCTCCTCCAGCAGAGGCAACGCCGGAGAAGCGAAACGCCGATTGAAATTGTGCACATCAGAATCTTGGAACGAACGCGCCTTTCTCCAGAGGTCCAAAACGACATCACGCTCCGGCACGTCCAAGCAGGAAACCACTAGGGCGGGCGGCGAGTGACGAAGACTGCGCACCTGCTGGTGTTGCTCCTCTTGATGTAGTTGTTGACCCTGATGCACCTGCTCCATCTTCGTTTTGAGCAGTGGTGCGATGGTCACCACGTCGTGGACACGTACTCGTCACTACGAGCATGCATCCAGCCAGCTTCAATCAACATCGACAACTGCGCTCATACGAACAAAGACACGTAGATCTAAATGCCGCACAACCGTTCGGCATACTTGTTTTGATTGAGAAAACGTATGGATAAATAAAATTTCGCCTAGAAAAAAACTATGCTGCTTAGAGATACGAAGAGCAGAAATAAAAATTCCGAATGATCATCACTATGCAGGAAACATGAACATTATCTAACTCTTGATTGATGAACGCCAATTAAGTTCACGACTACATTGGTTGTGTATGTTTCATCTTATGTATCTCATCTCAGAAAAGTTGTTGATGTTGATGTTTATGATGTCATCGTTCTGACCTTGAACGAGCTGCAGTTCGAAACTTACCACCTATAGCTATACCTATACCTAATTGTAATATATATAAAGCTAATCTTGTCTTCTACTGCCATCTAGTGATATTTTTTTGAGTGCGGATGCGACATCTGAGACACCAAGTTGCTAACATCAAATTTCTATCCTTGCTTTATTCGATAAAAAGAAGCCTGCCTGTCTGCCTGACAAGTTGAGTACAGATGGTGTTGTTCGTAGAAATTTCTAGCAGCATGATCACAACATCTTTTCTACCTTGCCTAGATCACCTCGGGCGGCGAAACATCAAGGCACAACAGCATATCCGCTTTATTACGCAAAAGCCACAAAAAAGAAGTTATTGATCGAGCAAACAAGGAAGAGTGTTATCGTATCGGGAAAACATATATTTGGTTGGTATTCAATACTCGTTTTTCATTCATATGAATGGCGGCTGGAGATAAATGCACATAAAACATGACGTAAAGATGGAAAAATGGTGGTTCTTGTCCTCCGTCCGCCTCATGATCTTGTCAGACATTGAATGAGGGTGCATAATTACGGGGATATAATGAATGGGTTCGCTTTCGGGATGCACATGGTTGCAAAGACCTGCAGTGCCAGAATGACAAGGATGAGGAAGTTTGAGACTTCATCATCAGATTTCTTTTTTGCATTTTGCCTTCGGGTTCGGCTTCGCTCCATCTACAGAAGTACCTGCTCAACAACAGGGCAACAGTGTGGGTCTGAATCAATTCTTCACGGTAGAAGACTGGTATTACCTTACTAGTATCGATGTGGCAAAAACTTGCCTTCCAAAATCTTATCATTCTGTAGCTCTCGTTCCATGGTAGCTTCTGTGGCGCAGCACAGTGACCTAGGAGAAAACAACACGTCTCTGATCACTTCGCTAGGTTCAAGAGGAGAACCAGAACCGGAACACAAACATTAGGTTAGGATTAGGATTAGGAGGGTGTCCGCCGTCCGCAGTTTTACCTGCCTTCTCAAGCGGATTAGCGTAGCCGTAGAAGGACTACAAGAGAATATTTTCAACACAACAAAGATGGTGCGCAAGTCCGCCCGTCGACCATACAGGGCTGCCTTGCTGCACAGACAAGTCATGCCGTGGTTGGCAGCAAGATGAACGCAGAAATCAGTATAATATAGGTTGATCTTCTTGACCATTTTAGACCGACCCTCTCGTAGTCACGACGCGCGATATCATTCTAGTTGTATTCAAAACTGTTTGCGGATGCCGTCATATTTTCGTTATAACCAAGGTCTTCCACGTGTTTCTAAGGTTGCATTTGCAGCAATTTTTAAGAGGAAACAAGTACAAGTATGCACTAGATGATGATGTTGCGGGTGCTCGTTCTGGCATCTGTCGATGTCGTAAAAATTTTACTCTGATTCAGTGCGTTCCAGAAGTCTCTATTTTCCGCAGGAATTGACTCTTTATTTCTGCTTCACTAGATATTGTGATATTCTAATCCATGATGGGCCAAAGACGAGCACCAGCCGCATACAAGATTCTTCAATCACGAATATGATGAAACTGCATTTCAAGAAATGATTCAACGCAATCATTGACAAGCGATGCAAAATCGACTTGAGAAGTTCGTACATAAGAACTGAAGATTAAGATAAGGCGTGCGTACCATATTTAGTGGAGATGCTGATCGAAAATGAGTACGCATAATTTCAGGAGGAATAATCGTTAGTACCGAAGATAAATGCTACTGGTAATATCAATGCTCCACCAACATAATATTCGTAGTGAATATCGACATCTACTCTTGTTACAAAAATGAGTTCAAAGACCTATAGATACACGATTATTTTCAATACAAGCTAGTTCCAAAATTATCTTGAATGTCATACAAATCTCTGTTCACAATGATCTTATTTGTCGGCAGCTCCACTTTGGACAGTTTCTGTCAACGCCGCGTGATAAAAGTCTATATTGTCTTTGCATCAGTACCAGTATGGAAACTTTCAAAACTTCTTCGAAGGAAAATGAATCAGCTCTAGCAGTAGCAAACGAAAGAACATATTAGCATAAGGGAAAAACAGCTCACAATCCACCTTCACAAAAACTACGGCCGCTGGCTCTGGCACAAAGTTACTAGGCGGTAAAGATAATGATTCATATTAATCGCAATTAGTGATCAGAACTATTCGTACAAACTCAAACAGTTTGCATAGCATGATCTCTGAAGTTCTGCAAAAAATTACCTCCTAAGTTTCACTTTCATGAAAATATTGTAGGTCGAAGTTCCACTGCTTCGTTTTCGCCGAGATGGTGTGATGAGTAGTACAACTGCTTTCCTGTAGTTTGAGTTCCGCGGAAGTAGAAACGCTCCTCAAAGAAAGGCCGATCTACCTTGGCAAACAGCCGCCAGAGGCGAGGCCAGGTTTACCTTCGTAGGCGTAGGAGGTGCACCAGCATTGCGCAAGCTGCTGGCGAATGCAGACAGACCCGCAACAAACCATTCTGGGCCCACTCCTGCGGTCTTCACGGCCTCAATCTCCGCTTCTTTGCCAGCAGTTGCTAAAGCAGATGGGGGTGCTGGTGGTGTTGCTGTTGCTGAAGCTGTCTCATCTTGATCAAAATCATCTTCTAGATCCAGGTCATCATCCACGTCATCAAAAAACTTCTTGCCATCTGCAAGATGTTGATGGTCCTGTCCTGCTTTATCATGGTCGAGATTCATCATGTCATTTTTGTCGAGCTTCTCGAGCGAACCCATCTGCTTCTTCAAACCGTCGAGATCTGCGCGCAATTGCTGCATCTGCTTCAGTTCACCATCTAGATCTGAAGGCGATGGCGCCAGCTTCTCATGATCCTGAACTGCATTATCATGGTGGTCTGCGCTTGCATCGGTAACTGAGGGGTCCGCTTGCTTCTCCAACTTCACCAAATCATCTGCTTGAAATTCCTTTTCTCCCAACTCTTCTGTCGGCCCCGCACCTGAGGATCGTCATCGCTGGTACACAGCTTCAAATCTAAGTCACTTTAACAACTAACTTCTTGAACGACCTCTCGCTACAGCTTTATCGCCGATGATTCACATTCAAAAGGTCACTCTCATTCTTCATGTCTTCTACAACTAGTCACCACGGAGCGGTCATTTATTCAAAAGAACTACCTCCAAATGCCGCTTCTTTGCCATGCGCACTCGTCGCGATTACCTTGCTATCAGCGGCCACTGTTTCGTCAGCCGGCAATTGCTTTAATTCAGATTCCACGAATTTTTCGAGGTCTTGCGCCGTTCGATTACCCTCAAAATCGTGCACGACACCCGTCTTGGACTCGAACCTAACGGTTGGAAAACCCTGAATCTCTTCTTTCATGCAATCCTTGAAATCCTGATTTTGTATTTGTTTTCGAGAGAAGTAGTCACATAGGACACCAAGACGTAAACAAAGAGAAAGAGGATTTTTCACTAACAAATCTGAGGAAGTTCTGGTTTTGATGCCTGTTGGTACTCCCGTGTTGAGAAAAACATTTGTTATTGTTTTTCATACACTTGTTCATAGACACGGAACGTCCTCTCAGTAGAAGTAGGTCGTGTAGCAGACGATACAGTCAAATCAAGAAAGTCAGAAACTGCTATACTAGGAACTACCTTAGCCGGTTCCCACTTGTCGTCCAGACACTCCTTCTGAACCCAGTTGACCTTCTCTCCTGCGTGGTCGACGGTCCATTTTTGCGTGGCTTCATCGAAAATGGGCTTCATGCGCACACAGTGGGGACAGGCTGCAGCGTAGTATTCGACGATTTGATTTTCTGCAGGCGTGACGTGTTCCGTCGGTACCACGGATGCTCCTTCGACAGGTAGCGGCTCCAACCCGGTGTGCTGTTTTGCAAACTGGACGAGCTGATCCGTGCCTCGTGGACCCTCGAAATCTGCGACCTCGCCTTTTGGTCCGAAGAATTTGATGGTCGGGAAAGCATGGACGCTCTCCTTCGAACAAGCATCGAAATCATTACCTGAAAAATGGAAACACGTAGAAACGATGACACGACAAATTTGCCGAGTAAAAACCGATACGAGCAAGCAGATGTATGATAGAGAATCAAATAAATGCTGCAACGTTAAGAACAAGAGGACTAGACGGCGATCGTGATCAACAGAGAGACCAGCAAACAATCTTCAGTACGTATCTTGTTTATTATATCGAACTGCTCGCAGAGTGGGTCCAACATTAACTATATTTGAATACTCGATCATGTGCATAGGGATAGGAACTCTAAGGAGTCTGCACCCCAGTCGGACTACAACAACGAGGAAATAGAATGTCTTCTTTATACTTTTACTTTATTTTGTTTTACAGTTTACATTTACAACTCTCTCTCATCTTCGTATAGCAGCGCAAAATACATCATCATGAGAACCGTCATGGTTCGATCCTTTATATGCTAACAAGTACCCGGTTTCCATGCTTCATCCAAGCATTGCTTTTGTTCCCAAACGAGCTTGAGACTTGGATTTGCTTCTTGAATCGCACGCCATTGTTCTTCAGCTGCTTGCCACTTCGGAGTCAAATCTGTGCAGTGCGGACACGCTGATGCAAAGTAGTCGACGAAACGGTATTCTCCTTCTTTCAAGTTGTGATAGTCAACTTGCTGCCCGCTGGCCTGACCGACATTCTCATTCTGAGTCCTGACGGAATTGTCGAAGAGCTTGTGCATCTTTCCGGACACCCAGTTGTACGCTGCCACTTCCGGTGCAAATAGCTTTTCGACGCCGTGGTGCATCATGTCCGCGACTCTGCCGAGGCCACCCATTTTCTCTTGTTCTCCTGGTGTGCAAAACGTGCCTAAAGTGTCTAAAAGCTGGTACTTGATGACGTTAATCTACTCTGTGATCTGTGCGTCTAAAACCTGGTACTTATTTTTTTCAATCATGTATAACCCCTAAGCAGAGATTTCCAGACTTAGACAGAGCTAGATGATTTTGAAAACATGTTGCTGTCACCGACTACAAAGTCCTCACATGTGCTTCGTGTGTACTTTACCACTGGCGAAGGCCCGAAAGTGTGATGAAGGGATACTCCGATGCGAGGAAACCTGCAGGGATCGATACCAAGTCGGGAATTTCCTTGTTTGCCCTGTTTGAGGAAAATGTGCTCGTGTCTCACTGTCACTCTTTCCCTTAATAACCGACGATCAGTCGTCGAGGACATCACGAAAAAACCCTGAGTTTCTGTTTTCCGACACGAAATCATAGACTAAATCATAGACTGAACGTCCACTAAAACAACCGACGGTGCACGTACATTTGCCTCCGATGAGGTAACACGAATGCGTCCGATATTGGGCTCCCACTGTGAGGACAGCCGCAAAAAAAGTTCAGAGTGCGTTGAGAACGAACAAGAAGAAGGTGGATCAGCGCCGAAATCGCGCGATCGGTCGTTAAATCGTCCGTGCCTCAACACCTTCTCTGCTAGATTTGAAAACGTTCAAAGATTAGCGACACTCCATTTGTCTTTCTAACGACACACACTTTTCGATCGACACTGACATATGAGAGACTTCCTGATCCTGACGACAAAAAATTATCTAAAGGACACCAAACAACCGCAACTAAAAATAAACGCATGATCAAGAACCTACTACAGTGTATAAAACAAGAAAAAACGCCATAATGAAAATATGTGACTGGAAAAAACGATGAAAAACATGAATAGTACCGACTACACTCTGACAATGACATACAATCTTTAAGCCAGGAAAAAAGGAACCTGAAATCAAGCAGATAATACATGTCGAGATGGCAGAAAGACAATCTATCTCACTGATATCTCCGTTACAGCTTCTGTGCAAAGGCTTCTACGTTGCTTTACCTCCGCCACGCAACTGAAGTTCTATAACACGTTCGCTCTAGTAAAATTAAATCACAACTATTTCGGCAAATCTAAATTTTCTAAAAACAAGCAAAACCTAAATTTTCTAAAAACAACGAGATTCCTCTACAAGTTCTTGTCGTCCGCAGGTTCTCCTGCCCTCGGCTTTGGCTTAGCAGCCACCTTCATGTCGTCCGCAGGCTCTCCTGCCTCTGGCTTGGCGGCCAACTTCATGGCATCCGCAGGCTCTCCTGCCTTCGGCTTTGGCTTAGCGGCCAACTTCATGTCATCAGCAGGCTCTCCTGCCTTCGGCTTTGGCTTGGCGGCCAACTTCATGTCATCCGCAGGCTCCCCTGCCTTCGCCCTTGGCTTACCAGCGGAAGCTCCCTTCTTCATGGCTGCAAAGCTCGGTGGCGTCATGGCAGCAGCCTTTGCTCCAGCCGCGGACTGCGGGTCCGGGTTCGTTGTAATCGTCACAGGTTCCGTTCCCGCTGACGCTGCTCCCGGTTCTGGTATGGCTGAAGAATAAAGAACGGTAGATTTCATCACATGAGAAGAGTGTACAGACAGAATCATGAAATCTAAATAATCCAAATTTTAAATTTTGATGAGGAAATGTATATGTAAATTATTTCTTCTCACGTCACAAAAGTTGGATCATTTTGGCATCAAATCCAAGTCCAACATGTTGGCAACTCTTATGAATATTCCTAGTGCTGCTACTGTTACAAGACGAGGTCTCGAATGTCAGTAAGTACCAGCTGGCGGCGGTGGGGGTGCCTTCCCACCCGCTGCTTTCGGTGCGGCTTTCGGCACTGCTGGTGCCTTCGGAGGTGGTGGAGGCCCTGAGCCCGTTACCGCTGGCGGCGCCACGGCTGCTCCACCGTCCGTCACACCTGTGCTCTCGTCCCAGTGCTCTTCGGACGGGCCACCGCTCGCTCCCTCGTGGTCGTGGTGGTCACCGCCGTCTCGCTCCAGCATTGGGCAGGCTCCCTGGCGCACTGCGAGCTCTATTAGCATCTCGTGCTCCATCTCGCGGACTCGCTCAGAGGCCAACGCCACACCGGCGAATTGGCCAGCACCCTGCATATCCTCTAGACCCATGCACAGTTCTTCTTCCGGCACATCCTGTGGCATCTTACCCCAGATCCCCATACCACAGCTAACGTCACCACCTTCTTTCGCGGAACCCGGTGGCAGACACACTTTGCTGCCAGGCTTGACGATGGAGAGGACGCCACCATACAGCGGATCCTCGGTCGCATCTGGCACGCAGTCCGCAACTCGCGATCCGTCTGCCTTCTTTGCGCACCACTTGTCCGCCTCTTCGTCGGATTCCGATAATGAAAGCAAGACCGAGGGAGAGATAGAAAAATCAAGCAACAATTGACCTTCGTTGTACCTACACTGATTTACTCCTGCTCCTGCTGGCAATCAAAGTCTCTCAAGCGCAAGTACATTGATGGCCAACAGATATTTTTTACGTCGCCTGGCCCTCGTGAAATCATTTGAGTGCGAAGATTGTTCGACGAAAAAAAAATGACAGAAATGCTGCATTCTTTGTTATACTCCTGTCGCAGTCAAACGTGTTGCTACAACGAACTTGCAGCGTTCTTAGCTAAATATAGAAAGATTCGAACTATTCGATCAACTGGAAAAAATCTCATAAGAAGAGAATCCTGGAGCAACATTTTTGGCAGGAATACCCAGTGTTTCCGCCAGTGCCTTCCTCGAAAGCGTGTTCGGTCGCCGATCCCGCTTCAATCGGCTCTGATGTTCCTTCCAGGCAGGAGTAGTGCTGCAGCACACCCGTTGCTGGGTCTTCCATGTTCATGCAGGCGATCCCGTAGTATGCTGGAGGAAAAAAGGCGCATCCTCCGTCCCCTGGCAAACGCTTGTCGACGCACTGAGCACCCGCTGTTGGCGGTTCGCCCAAACCCGCCGCTTCTGCCGGAGCAGCCTGCTGTGCGGGTCCCGGGTTCTCGTAGCAGAAGGCGTGCTTACCCCAGATGAAACCGTAGGCTTCTTCGCCAACGTCGCGCGAAAAGAAGCGTCCCGCGTCGAACGCCTCACAGCCGAAGCCAAACATGCCGCGACAGTCGACTTCGAGCACGTCCCATGCTGGCGATTTGGCCACTGATTGCGCAGTCTTGCGACCGAAAGCGGATACGAGCGCACTGCCCACATGGGTTTTCGGCTTCACACGCAGCGCTTCGACGGTCGGAGCGACAGCCAATGACAGAGCAAACCGCGAAAAAACCGTCATCTTTTTCCCTCTGCTCCTCCTCCAAGATGCGGGCTCTAGTTTTCTCGTGATCCGCTTTCAATCACGCCCCCTCCTTCTTAGTAAGACGGCTTTACGACAAGAAGGAAAGGACTGATCCAACACGTATTTGTTTCATTCAGAGCCAGGATAAACAAAGATACAAGCTGATCCAGAATTTATTCAACTGTGTCCAGAATCACACGACCAGTGATAGCGATAGGTAACCAAATGAACATTGTCATGTCATATAAGCAACACGAATCGCTTCTTTCTCTGAACATTCGAAAACGCGCACCCATCATCTACTTCTACGTCTACTCGACCGTATGAACAGGCTTCCTCGCTCGATGTTGCACTACAGGCACAGCATTATAACCAAAATAAATTGTTGTTATCCCATATTCCGTCGTAGCGAGAACATGAAAGAGTATGCTAATCATGCTTGCAATGAAAAATAAATGAAACCTGCGATAACCTGAGATCCAGCTCTTGGTCCAGGCAGATTAAAAATGGGTAGTATGGAGTCCCATATCGTGGTCTTTCAAAAAATCTGGGAGGTACTTACTAGGAGATTCTCAGCATCTTCGAAGATAGTCGTAGTTGTGATTTTTGTTATGATATTAGTACAGCAATTCAAGTTTTTGGGACTGTCGCGCGTCGTATTCAAGTCTGGATTTTTGTGTGCCAGTTGTGACCCTTCCCAAGGGTTACTTCTCCGATCTTTTTCTCGCATCTTAGATGCAGATCGTCGAGACCCCAATCCTATGTATTAGCTCCACAGCCCCTTCCCATCGCCCCCCAGTTCCCGCGACAGGCTCCGAAATCTCTGGAGTAGTTGCTTTAGAGTGCCTTTCGACAGAGGTTCCATCTTCAGCACGTCAAGTGCATCCTGCACATACTCTGTTTTGCGCATCCCGTTAAGAGCGATGCCTTGCGTAGAAGCTGAGGCGGCTACTAGTAGTGCCATTTGCTGCAGCTTCAGATGGTCACCTTGTTGACCTTGACTCTCAGTCGACGGAACAGCCAATTGTTCCGTCATCGTTTTCCGAAGCAACTTCTGTAACGGCATTGGTTTATCCACGAATTCTGCAGAGCTGTCGGCATGTGCCCAGTCATGTGCTCTGACAGTCATGCCAGGTGGAGCGATCGCACTCAGTGGCCGATTTCTTAGGTGAAGGATAGACAAACTCTTTTCACACCTCTGGTTCTCTCTCGCGGGACACGAAAACAAACGGCCATTTACGCATACACTGTCTCTGTCGACAAAAAGATCGTGCACTTCATCGCAGCATAAGCAAGATGGAGCCAGCGGATCTTCTAATATCCAATGATTTTCATCCTTACTGCGTAACGATGTAAATCCGGGGCCAAATCATCTACTCGGTAAAAAGAGAACATCTCGTCAGTAAAATAGAAATACATTTATTTATTAGGATCAGATCAGAGAACCCATAAGTTTAGCAGACACGCCATGCCATTACGCTCGACTACCTCCAGGTCAGGTTCGCCATCGAATCCAGGCACTGTGCTTTGGCCGCGTCCGAGCAACATCCCTGATTCCAGTGAATTCAGCGGGGCTTGTATCCCAATAAAGCCCGTGCTTCGGAAGAAAGTCTGGCCCCCTTTGCTTGAGTCATCCTCGCTACCAGAAGCAGCTGCTGTAGCACCTGAATGTCATTGTTCACGACCACGTCTTCAAGAAGGAGAATGTTTAACGAGGGTTGTGGTAAGCACTTGTAAAGAACAGCGGGACTAGAACTAGTACACAGCAAGAATATGAATAAACATAATTGTTCATTTCTCGCCGCACTAATGGTAATGGTAATGATAATGTTGATGCGCTGTTTTGTTCAGAACGCCTGTTTGTAGATTGGTGGCCGGCTACGTTCTGTGTAGTCACGTTGAATGGTCAGACGCAGGCCTACAAACAAGAAATTTGTAATGTCTCGCCTCGCCATGGCATCCACTGCTGCGCCCAAACACGATTGCAGGCTCAAGGCCTCGTAGCTATTCGGCCTACCGCTCACGGAATGATAGCAAGAAAGGAAATTTCCGCTGACACCAAAACCCGCGATCTCTCCCGCTGCCTTTAGCGCTTCCAACGTGGCGAAAGCTGTCTCAAGTCGCTGCTCCATCTCTCTCCATGCTTCTCCAAGTGGCACGCCAGCTATCAGAGCTTGACTCAGGAAGAATTCCGGGTTGTGGAGAAACAGAATGTCGGGTGCTGTTCCGAGACGCATTTTCGACGCAGCGTATTCATCGAGAATGAAATCCGGCTCAAGGCAATGCCATGTTTTCTGTAGTGGCGTCAAGCTAGCAGTATTTATCTGCTGTAGCGCGTTGTCGATATCATCAGAACCTTGAGTCCGTTCCTCGACTTGCATGTCTCCTACAGCACCTGCTGCAGTATGTCTTTGCTTCGTGTTCTGCGTTGAACCAGCAGATCGATCTCGAACGATGTTCTTGTAGCCAAGAGTCTTTTCATAGTCGTCACTCGTGCCTTGTTCCAGATGCTCCCTGGGCACCGTTATGTGTCCGATTTTCGTGACCACAACGATCTCGTCTCGTTTTCGTCTTCCTGAGTTCTCCAGTGCGCGCAAACAAGCGCCGATCATTTCCTCCGATTCTCCAGGGTACCGTGTACCGTAGTGCGTGCTCGTTTCCACTAAGTTGATCACGCCAGAAGACAAAGCTGCTTGCATGGCCTCAAAATGCGCACTGGAGCCGACACGGTAAGCCCCGAAGCCGATGCTGCTGGTCGTCAGAGCACCGATTCGTCGGAGATGCGATGAATGCAGTGACCCGGAAGCCACCGCGCGATCGATCACCGCGCGAGTCGCGGTCGGGCAGGCACAAGACATCTCTGTTTCTTCTTATATCAATCTTCATTCATGTATGGCGTCACAACATTTGAGTTAATTTCTTGCGGTTGCAGGACTACTTCAACTAATGACGCTTTTCGAGTCGCCTAGTAAGGAGGTCTTTTTTAGTCGGGGCGATGATTTGTCACACCTTAGGCTTACGTTTTTGCTAGCTTTTCATTTTTCTTCGTCCTCGGTTGCACTCGCATCATCTACGTAGTTACGCGCAAGTATGTCGACTCAAGCTATCATCAAACCTGGAAAGTCCTCGTCCCTGCACACAAAAATGTATGATCCAACGCAAGCGCATCGCTGAGCGTATCCAACCCAGGCCACATTGTGGTAGATCACGTAGATGGTAGACCTAGTCAGTCTCGATCGTGTCCGCACAATTCATAATCCTCATTTTGATCTTCATCTCCAGGAAGCGAAGTGACATTGTGGCTGCATGCGGTCAGCTACAACATTATCCGTTGCAGCCCTGGTCCCCATGCTCGTTCATTTTCGAACGACTTTCCCAGAAAGACTCCCCACACAATGACATTAAGTACAATTTGGAGCACCAGCCCCACTGCTTCGATCCTTGGCGCCTCTAGAGGTCGGAACAACACCAAAACCAAAAGCGGTACTAGGAAATACCGCAACTCAAACAGAGGGAGTGCCGCTAGAGAAAGCCCAGAGCACAAACAAAAGACCGCAGCGAAAGTCCAATATTCCGCACTGATACAAGAGGACATGGTCGTAGCTGTTGTTATTGTCTGCTTTGTCGACGCAGGAGCAGTGTCTCGTGCAGCTGTATCGGTGTCCTCTACGACTGAAACGTCGATAGGACCCCTCCACCAATCCACCGCGTAGGTGAACACGCTGATGGTAGCTAAAAATGGACAGGCGACAATGCGAATTACTGGTACACCGAACGCGCGCCGCCAGATGTAGAAGGTCAAATGTCGATTATCCGCTAGAAGGAATGGGTGCGCTATTGGAAACGTGCTGCACAATGAGAAAAAGGCCCACAGTTTTAATCCTATCGCAGCTTGCTTTGCTAAGCCCAGATCCTCTGTTGTAGTTTTCGCGGATGACATGCTATCTAATCTTTTCGCCTTTTGCTCCCGCTCAAGAACGTCTTGGGTCTGATCCTCCGGGTCGTTAACGAACCAACGCGTGACAACACGGGGAAGGAAACCGAGTAGGGGCACCAGAGCGCCAAGGTAGAGAATCATTGCTAGGTGGGGTGAAACCTCGTGAAACTCCTGGTGGCCGAGCGTTATATTGTAGTCATTCCACTTGAGAAAAGCCAGAAAACCTGCTCCAGCGACTATATGGAATCCGAGATCGAGAATAGCGATTCGAATGGCACACATGATCAGCGTTCTGAACAAGGAGGATGTGCCGGAGGTGGTAGAGGTCTTCTTTGCCGTAGCTATCGATCTCTGGCACTGTCGCAGTTTGTGAACCAGATGCGCAAGAGCGACACCAAAGACCCAAATAACGTTAAGTTGGCGCATGAGCAGACTGCAACAGCCGCACAGTCCCGCCGCGCGATGGTAACTGCGGAGATGCACCAACAGCATCGACAGCAGACACAGCGTCGACAAAGGCTCGGTATAAAACAAGAAAAAGTAGAAGAAATGCAGAAAAAGGAGATGCGCGCGCCAAGCACGTAGCTGAACTGACAACGCCATTGAATTGTGAATGTTATTTGTCACTGCTTTTGCTGCTGCTGCTGATGGCCCTTTTGGTTTCCGATAGACTCGTTTCTCTAAGGTTTGAATGATCATGACGCACAGTAAAAAACAGACCGGACCCACTACGAAAGAGTTGAGACCACGTAAGAAGTGTACTGATGGAACCTCCCCCTGCTCCGCACTGATACTGATAATATTCCTTGTTGACTGGTGGCTTCCGTGTGGCACTTGGTCTACTGCGTACTCTTGTTCTTCAGCATGTGCGCCCAGAACCACCAATTGGACCAACTTCGATGGTGATAAATAAACATTCTCAAATGCGGCCAAGCTTGCGAAGGGACTAAACAGACGATGAAAAGCAGCTGCAACAATGTAAATTCCCGCTGGCGTCGTTATTTTCGGGTCCCATTCAGCCTTTAGCCAGTCCTTCGTGTAACGTTGTGCTTGCGGAACATGAAAAATTTCGTCCATGAAAGCATTCGGCACTTTCGTTTGCGTCACTCGGAAAAGCGTGCCGTGAAGCGAGAAAATGGCGGCCAAGGATGCGAAAAGAAAAAGGTACCCTTTTCGACGGGAGACCCCCAGTGCGTTTTCCTTCATGTTCAGGCTATACTCTAAGGTGTTCTCGATGGCTTCTTACGGAGCAAGAACAAGCTGCATTACAACAATTACTTTACATAGGATAGTTCTTATTACAGAAATATCATGCGCAGCACACGACTTAGAAGTACCTTGGTGCATCTACTCTGTTGACTTCATTACCTTTACGCATCATTTGGGTGGATATTTTTTGTGTCGATTTTCAGGAAGACAGACGATCAGCCTCAAAACGGAATTCAGACTGGCGTGGGTCTTGGTGCTGACACTGTCATGGATCGTTTCTTGCTTTCATCTCCGAATCTAACACCTCAGCCGCTCCAAAGACAGGAAGCAAATACCGACAAAAATCATTCTTCTAACACTACAACACAGCGTCTTGCGATATGAAATCAGCAAAGCGACTCGCCATTGGCAGGTGGAGGTCGCTGCTAGCTTTCAAAATTTTTCCACTCATATCATCTTCGAGAAACTACTTTGCAATGAGCTCGACTAGTACTTGTCTTCCAGCACTGAAACTGATCATCAATAAAAAAAACAAAAAAAAAGATGGACGACCCATGTTGACTATAAAAAGTGGTCACTGAAGAGGAGCCACAAGAATACATTGGTCCACTCGATAATCGCATTAAATGTAGAACAGTCGCATCAATTTGTAATCGTGAATAAATATATAATGATGAAGATGATGCTGTTCGTTCTCGTTGGTGCTTGAAGTAAAAATACCAAAACAACTGAGAATGAGTCAATAGGAGTACAACGTAAAAGTGGAAATGCTTAACTTTCAGTGTCAGACAGCACTCCGAGACCGAGTCCTATGGCGTTCCTGCATGGATGATCGAGGGTATTTATGTTAATACGAGGAAAGATTACAAGTCCTCCCGCGGCCCAACAAGAACATACAACCCTGATAAGAAAAAACACATGTTCTTCTGGAGAACAGAAAGTCGAAGTGAATAGATACCAAGAATACCAATTCTAAAAAAAGGAAAAGCAACAAAAACAATCAAAGAGACATTGATCGCTTGCAAATTCATCCATCGCGTTCCCTCCTCCGCAGCAAAAGTGAGACGTCTATTTATTTTGTTGTATTTGTTCGGATAACGACAAGATGAAAGAAGAAGACGTCGAGTCAACATCATTCTGGATCCCAATCAAGTTATTGCCAAAATGAAAATTATGATCGACAATCATCATTTTAAAGACACTCCGATCAGATCCGCAACAACTGTAATCTTCAAGAGCATCAGCAAAGAGGACTTAGACTTACGCTTGCACTTGAAAGACATAATTCCTAACGCTAACAACGCGAAATACAATATCAATCTATTCACGATCATCTACTTCTTCTATAGTAGTAATGTGTCACAGCTGCGTTGACACCGTTATGATAGACGGTCACATTCTGGTATGCCCTGTGTATGGAACCCTAACTACGGACGGAACAAAGAGTAAGAAAGAAGCACTGGAGGGCGGAGAGAATAGTGCTTGAGATGAAGAACGAGTGAGAAATAGCTTATTGCGAAATGATGCAGCTGCTATCAGCTGCTTCTGTACCGCCGAATCCAATGAGTCATTTACACATTATCGTCTTCGTAGAACGGAGCACAATTGAGTTCGACCCATCGGATATAAGCGCTAGATGTTCGTAAGCGGACTCAGACGTCAAGCTCAACCATATTTCTGTTTCATCGCGTTCTGGACCTTCACGCGTTTTGCATGCTGCTCCGCTACCCTGCGGCGAACGCGTCTGCTCAATTCCGCAGAAGCCTGCTTTTCCGCAACAGTGGTTGGCATCGGCCTCTCTAATACTATGATGCTTTCTATCGTATATAGTAGACGCCTTTGCTCATCTTGCCTAGGAGACGTTCGATTTTGTGGCGTACTTGTCCTTATTGATGATCGATGATGACCTCGATGTGTAGTGCCATTATTGTTCCTTGACGGAGACCTTTCTTTTTTACCTGCTCTAATGAGTGAGAGTGACGAGCCCCGTTGCCGCGTCTGCTCCACAACCACCTCTAAGGAGGGTTCTGGAGGACTCAGACGAGGCAGAGCAAGCGCTGCAGGATAAAATCCTGCTCGCATATCATCCTCAGTTTGCGGGGCTGCCGGAGGCAGTTCCAAGTCTACCATCGAAAACTCGCAGTCGCCTGAATCCTCAGAGCAACGTCCTGCGAGTGCGAACCCAGCTGGACTCTCAGCGTTGTAAGGGCTTGCGGGCCCACAGCTGCTCGCTCCATCCAGTGCTGCCAAATTGTTACTAGAGGCATACCAAGTATTCGTGCTCGCCATAGTGCTCAAAGAAGCCGAGGCGGCGTGAGACCTCCCAATGCCGAAGGCGCCAGGGCTACTTGTATCTTTTCCGGCTGGAGGAGACGTTGCAATTTCATAGGAATCCATTGAGTGACATTGGGATTGTTGGTGATCTTCCTGACAAAAACTCAATGTACAGCCACATCCACCACTGTATGAACGAGGCCTCACCGACGTCGATTTACCACTAATCGAATGACCTTGCTGGCGCGTGTTAGCTTTGCGTATAGTATCGTCTGCTCTGTATTTTTCAAAGTGTGGTCGATGTGCGGCAATGCGAAGAAGGCCCTCGGTTTGCAACTCACCTGCGGTATGCTCTAGCAAAGCCTGGAAACCTTTGTGCGCCTCCCGCGCCTGGCCCAACCTATCGTCCATCCACACTTTTGTGCTGGAAGTAAAGACCGCGACTCCGCTACCTTCCTCCAACAGGTACGCGATCTGTGTCGTGGCGGCAATGTTGAGTTTTGATACAAATTCTGTCATTTCTTAGTATATGTATCAAGATCAAGTGATGTATGGCCATGCTTTGGAGAACAACCAACAACTCGAATTGAAAATTCACGACCAGAAGAGTAAGTACAGGACGAGGAGATCCAAAAATGTAACGAGCCGCAAAAGACGCCCAAACAGCCAGCTTAGTCAAAGAAAAACAATGGGCCAATGAAAATCTAGAAGCAATCGAACCAAAACAATGACGAGATAGACCGACGAAGACCAAAGTTAAGTGATTCTTTTTACAGCAAATAAAAGACAAGATGAGCCTAGAAGTAGAACTCAGAACAAGCTGCACTGCGTTGTAGCGATTGTCATAGATTGACAAGAGAGACCTTCATACCTTCCGAAAAAAAAGTGTAGGCGTTGGTTGACCTACACCGCTTTGATTGTCCTATAAAGTTTGGATTGTCCTACAAGTTTTGGATTGTGGAAAGGGAAGATAAAATATATTAAATTACAATGAATGAATGAGATCATCAAAATAACTACTTACAATGTAGTGCCCGTAGTAAGACCTTGTTGTAGATGTTGCTCAAAGAAGAATGTTTGTTGATGTCCTGCTGGTGTCGAAACCGATAAAGCAATACCTCTTCCAGAAAGACGCGTACGCAAGACGCTGTCGGCCGTTTCGCCTGTGCCTCGGTTCGTCTTTCTTCGAAATGAACACTGCCAAAAAATCCACGACCACCATGACAATCTCGTCTATCATCAGCGTCCCTACAACTGTCAACGTCCACATCAGCTCCCGGACTACCGCACTCCGCCTCTTTCGGGATCCTGGTTTCTTTTGTATCTTCCCTGCACGTGCTCGTGCAGCTCACACTAATAGCATCGGTACGGTCATCAAAATAGTGCGTAGAGTCTGATTGTGCACCACGATTATTCCACAGGCCGCCACATGTCATGTTGGTTCCGTCAACTGCATTGCAGGTGCATAGACCATCGTTCATCACGATCAGAGCAAACTTCAGCTCTTGCTTTGTGCTTGCTTCTGGAACTGCTGCTGTTGTTCCCACTGTGCCGGGTCCTCCCTCTATTTCATCTGCAAAACAGCTCGTCTTTGTGAGACGATTCGGTAGAAGATTGGCTTCGAGACTCGCAACAAGATTGCAATTATCGACATGAGCGTCCTCTGCAGAAATTTCTAAAAACCCATGCAGTTGGAGGCCTTCCTTGTCTTGCTTTGTTCCATCTGGTCCTAATGGTGTTTCTAGATGATACACCTTCTTCGCGTCCGCGCTGAACGCATTACGCGCGCCCCATGGCATGTATTGAAAAGCGCAGCTTCCATGACCACGCACGAGATGGACTGTACGACCTTTACTCTTTTTACAACGATCTCGAAAACCATCAGCGTGATCAGCAGACTCAGGCTCGGGAGTAAATGATAAATCTTTATCTGCGCTAGCTGCAGAGGCCGGCGCAGCATGTTCTTGTTGTAGTAAACCAGCACTATCAACAACAGCAATATCACCGTTTTTTTCGGTGGGCGATTTCAATCCGCACAGGGCCATGACGTTGCCGCGCCAATTAGGGTCCGGTGAGTAACTCAACTCAAGGACCTGACGCGAGGAAAGCTTGTGCAGGTGTTCCTCCAATGTCCGTGGAATTGCAACGCTTGCGTCCGGCTGTTTGATTTGCCTTTCCCAAGCAGCTATGATTTCTTCCACTGGAAGCACTGACTGGTAAACCTGCGCTACTCCTGTGTCGTTTTCAACAGCGTCCTCAACAAGGTGGATACCTCCGCAGACGCGATGTATTTCAGTAGTGTCAATCTTCCTGTCACTGCTTTCTGCGAGCTTAATTTCAAGAGGCTGAGACGCTGCAGAGAACCTCCTTCTACTCAGTAAAGGTGAGCGGGGCCGTCTACTCCTCTCCGTTAGTTCTTTTTCCAGAACCGACAGGTTCGTCATTGGCACAGCTTGTCTTCCAGGATGGCAAGTCCCTGTCCATTCCATTGCAACAGCACCGGAGCCACGAGGTTCCTGCCATACAACTGCAGAAAGGGTTGCCACCGGCACCGAAGCAAACAGTACTCGTAACGGTGGAACCCAACATCGTTTCTGTCGTAGAGGACTTGTTCTCCCCATTTTTTGTTAGTTCTCGTTAACGTGAAAGGACTTCTAACTAGATTTGTATGTCTTACTGATACTGAGCTACTTGTACTTCATTCATGTCATGTGTACGTCCCCAATGCCTTCATTCATTAAAGACAGAACTTTTGATTAATGATCTACCTCGCGTGGCCGAGGCGAAGTGACACTTCCATTAATAAATATATAATTGGCTAAAAATGTTTCGCTTGATGCAATTGTGTCAGCCGTAGTTGTTCGTATTCGTCTGCTTCTCAAATATGACCAAAGGGGTGAATAATCGAAATTGAGAAAAATACATTACTACACGACGATTGACTGATTGATTGTGTGATTGATTTACCTATTCATGAGGATAAGTAGTTAAAGCTAATAACAAACCTTAAAGCAGATAGTCAGAATAAAAAGGCTTTCCTGCATACTCCGTGGAGATAGTAGAGCCATCAACATCATGAAGGTACTGTTCATAAGGATAAGGATCCTTCATCTTCATTCACTCATCTTTTACATCTGGCGCATTAGGGTTAGCCTTTGAGATGCATTTTTTCCTTCTCCTTACTCAACATCCAGTCTCTAGAAGATGGAAGATCCACTACGACTACTTTGAGGTATGCATAGGTTTTTCTTCGACATAGCGAAGCCTAAAGGGGCTAGGACTATTTGTGGACTAAGAATCAGACCGTCTTACACAGATGAAACAGACGTCTTCAACAGGTACGTAAGTAGTTCTGTGATCAGACTCAGCGTGCATGGACGAAAAGATAAAAACCAATAAGTTGGCGCGTCAACATTCATTCATTCATTCACGCTGCCACTGATCTTTTTTTTTTGGTGCCTGGGTCTATATTTCTCGCGATGCGAGCATTTAATTACCTGGCGAGAAGCCTGAAGCACAGCGGCCAGGCACCTAAAACTGCCAGACGATGAAGCACAACGGCCACCGCCGCAGAAAAGCTAGAGTCTGGGCCCCATATGATCGAGTAGCGCCAGTCTCTCCTACAAAGGGATGCGTGATTAACAATCGGCTGATACAAACCTTTATTTCAGATTGAAGTTTGCATATCGACGAGCAAAAGTACGCGGAAGAATTTGTGTGGGCGAACGCAGTCGCAGCGTATCGTTGTACTAAGAAGAAGTGTGCATAAGCGGCAGCTAAAGATATGCAAGGCCTGTTTGTAGGCTGGATATGCATCTTTGATCGATCGTTTTCAATTATGAGACACTGTCTTTGGTGCACACTTTTCTCACAAGGACCGAGTTGCTTCACGACTGAAACTGCGACGATGCACACCGCACTACAGCAAGACCTAGCACCGCAGATCATCAGGATCATGGAATTTGTTGAAGATGTAAAGTTATAGTAGAAAGAAAACATCAACACCTGCCACCTGGTTGTAATTCCTGAAACTGAATAAAAAACACGAAGAAGAAGTAGAGCATCAGGAGATCATCAGGCGTTATGTTCCTATTTTCACGTCTCTATGGAAATGGATCTGGATGGAGGGCCCGCCTCAACAAAGCTCACAATAAAACCTCCAAGCACCGAACTGTGATGACTTCGCTTTCATACTAGAGGAACCGGAACCGAAACGGAAAGTAGGGCAGCCTTCTGAATGATGTAGTTCACATTCTTCGCACTGTCACTGGGGATATTTTCTCACACAGCCGATGCCCCGACTTGTCACCTGCGTAGAAGCCAGCAGAGCGACTGCAGGTCCATCATCTTGATCGTCATTTGACTGGTTCGCTACCTGCCCAAGAAACACTTTCGGAAACCAGCGACAAGGGCTAAAAAACCCTTGTTTTTTGACTGAAGTTCACAGGTGCAGCAGAAGGTGAGGGTGACCCACACTGTAGTGGAAGTTAGTAGTTTAATTTTCTATTTCTTGTCTCTAGTGATTTGAGATTACTCAGCTACACGACGTTTATAAGGTGAAGACATCCTGCTTCTGCTACACGTAGACATCTTACGAAGGAGGTAAACATTGCAACCCTGCCATTTCTTTGAACGGTCGATTGCTGTCTTGTTTCTTTGTTGTCACCAGTGCTCAACCTTAGCAATGCGAAGAACATCATTTCCTATTCCCACTCAAGTGGAGAGAGTAATATCGACCCTTTATTATTTGCAGCTTTTCTTATTATTCATATTTTACGTACACGACTGGTGAATATCTTAAAACTGAGGTAAGTACAACGATCTCCGGGTCCTTTCGTAAGACCACGGTATTCCATCGCGGACCCAGCAAGCAGATGCAGTCACGGGGAATGATCCTGTAGCTAGCTCAGCTTCAGCGACATGGACCGTCTCGTAAACCGGTCGTGTGATTGGACTCCTCGATTCAATTCGCCATTTCCTGTTGTTGACTTGGACAAGGGAATTACAATCCTCGTCTAGCGACGCGTAGGACCGACTTCATTGGCCAAGGAATCTGAGGTCTTCGATATTCCCCTCTCGAACACGAGTTTCCTTGTGGCTTCCTTCGACATCAGGAGGACGCTGCGGAGGATCAGGGTCTGTGCCCAAATCGTGAGAAGCTTGGACAATTCGCAGCATGCTTTCGAAGTAGTCGCTCCAGATACTGTTGTGTGGTTCAGGAAGTACCCGCAAGAAGCTATCGACCGGAAGAAGGAGTATGAAAGAGCGGGAGCATCGTTGGGGGACAATGAGCGAATCTTAAATGATCTAGAACACGCTGCTAGAAAATCACTCAAGAGGTGTGCATTTGCCCAATTCTACATTCGAGCCCGTGTGTCTGTGTGATCTCTGTAAAATCATAATCAGTGCCAAAACATCAACCACCTGACTATACAGCTTCAGATATTACGCAGTGACACGAAGAGACAAGTCGAGCCATCACCACAAGTATAGCATTTTATAATACTGGCCGTGCCTGATCCTGAAGATCTGAATGTAAATCCTGGTCATAAAGTGGTGGCGCCTGTAAACTCGACCGTCGTGGAAGTGCGACTGCCGCTCTGCGTGTGCAAGACTAGTGCGACTGACCCCTGCTATTTCCAGCAGCTCATGCCTTGTGTTCGAGACAAGCTCGTCCTCTGGTGCCTCATCTTCGCCAGCAGGGAACCTCTCAATCAGCACAAGCTTGTTCACGCCCGGGTCTAGGGGACTGTCTGTTGTTTGCGCCTCCAGAGGCACCCGATCGCGCATCAAGTATTTAAACCGCCATGCGTGTGGGCTTGCGTCGTACGTTCTTCTATTTAGGCAACCTGCTTGTTCCGATAAATGCGCTTCTATATTCGGGTTTTCAGCGTCGCCCGGTGTGCACTCACTGGTTTTCATGATGTCATGTCCTTCTCGTTCTCCGCTACGTGCTTCCAAGCCGAAGCCACTGGTTGAGTCTCGGCGTCGGGACGCAGCAGAGACGGACACTTCATCTTCTCTGAGTGAATCATCCAATTTTTCAAGCATTTTACTCGACAGTAAGGGTATGGCGCTCGTTGGCCGTCGAGAAGAAGAAGGAAGTGCATGCGCGCATCTTATCGCTTCGCACTCTGCCTCATCCGGATCGTCTGGGCCTGGAGCTGACCCAGCAGCACTTGACCCTAAGGAGCCCTCGAAGCGGTCGTCTGCGTCTGGCTCTTCTTCGTCAATAGCATCATCACGCAGTGGCAGTGGCTGTATTTCGTGGGACCCTCCACTAAAAATACCGTCTTCGTGTGGCCGTGTGAGGAATGCGTAATCGCTTTGGCTGTCAATCACCACATCGCTTAGAATCCCGCGTGTCCTCTCAGCTTGCAGCGCATAGTCCTGTAAGGTGTCGAGAACCCTCTCCTCGCTCCACCAGCTCCTAATCGACATCTTGCAAGTCCTATCGGCGACAGCAATGCCTCCAGCGAAGTCCGGTGCTACTCCGCCGCCGCCTCCGACAGTGAAGCTGCTACTCTCAACATCTTGCTCGAGCAGCTGTAACTGATGGTCGACCTCGACCACTTGACCTAGTCCGCGATGAACATCTTCTACCCATGGTTCTTCTGGTCCGTGAGGCAGGAGAGACTCAGTAATGACTTCAACGTAAATGATCGGCGCACGGCTACTAGGCGATCCTGTAAGCCTTCGTGGCCGGACATCACCCTCTAGAGCAGTCAATGCGGTAGCAACGTTAGGCACTCGAGGTTCCTCCTGATTTATCGATCCGAAAGTCGTCGAATACGGGAAACTCGTTCCATCATACAAACCCGCAGCAAGCGCCTCATCGCCCAAGAAAACAAAAAGCGGCAGCGATGCAACAAGGAAACGCATCATCTTGTATAGTTCTTGTTCATGATACAGGTTGAAAAGGGTAAAAATTCGGGAATTACATTCATTGGGTGGAATCGGTGTAGTAGTAGTAGTATGGTGATGATGTTGTGCAAAAATAAAAAAGAACAACTTGTATCTTAGTGAAAGTCGTAAAAAAGTTGTTTGAAAAGATCATGCTGTAGTGCTCAACATAAAAAGCATCGCACACATCATCGCACACAGTGTCCTCTGTAAATCCTGCAACTGTGTCGGAAATGTATTCCCAGTCTTCAGGCAGCTAAACATTGGATTTGGAATAAGTGGTGCACAAGCTCATGTAATTCATTGGTTCCCGCAATCAAGGAGATTCCAGTCCACTCTTTAGTCCATAAGGTGAAGTAAGGGAATCAAGCTCATTGTTTGAAGAAGATCGGTGCATGCTTGTGATAATTGCATGAGCGCAAAGACTTGCGTGGATGAGGACCAAGCTCATCATGAGCCTGGATAGACGCAAAAAATTGTCTTCCGATTCAGCCTGCGAATTTAGGTTCTTCACACGTACCAGCATCTAATCAGCATAGGAGAGCACACAACTTAGTTCGCAGATCGACAACGCGAGGCAACACCTAGCGCTTATGCGCAACTCTTTATCGTGTTCTCTTGGAGGTGGTCTCTTCCTGAAGACCGTGTTGTGTTGTACACTTTTTAGTCAGAGCTTCCACAAGACAAGATTCTTCCCTTCAAAGTCGATGCATGAAACGCGAATTTCGTCATTCTTCGCAAGAAGGTACTCAATTAAATCGACATAGCTTTTGATCAATTTCCCAGTGCGGGGATGCCGCCTATTGGGGAAGAGCTTTGAGCAGGTACAACAGGGAACGAGCGCGAAGGCCTTGTTTGCTGCAAGAGCATAGTCTATCATCGCTTCCGCCGCACCATCAACATGCATCCCGATGACCAAATCGAAATTTTGAAAGGCTTCGAGTAGCAAATCAGATTCGTCGCGCGTTTGGTACTGTTCTACTTGAGCTCCTTCAACATATTCCTCGGTATACTTTATATGTTTAGAAAGATGTGGATTTGCAGCTGCAGCTGGTGCACTGCTCTCAACATCGATTTTATGGTGTCGAGGCGAGGAGGAAGATGATGAGCGAGAGGCTGATCGCGACAGGGCTGCTGGTGCGATGTGCTCTCCTCTTGATCTAGATCGTGATCGCGCTGACGTAGCAGTGGAGGCTGTCGACGCTGCATCCTCGGCCACGCCTTCGTCTTTTCTCAACGAGCCCCGCTGAGTCATGTGCTGATCGATATGAGGACTGCTTAAAACCAAGCGCAAGACACCGCTGTTACTCTGTGCACCATGGTGTTTAACAGGCGCGCTTCCAGGAACTCGCGTAGGAGTACTGTCATGTTCATCATTTCTATGCCGTCCAGCTACTCCACGTTGATGCTGATCTTCATCAGCCGGAACCACGGCGTCGTCCTTGTTGACTACCTTCACAAGACGCCCTCCGCGCAGCTTCTTGTACTGCTGTACCTTTGTCGATTCGCCTATCAGGACATCCTCTTCCACCCGCCGTTTTGCGCTGACCAGAAACTTTCTACGAGAACTGCGATCCGGCTCAAATAAGAACTTCTGCAAGAGAGGGTGATCGAAGTACAGTTTCGCATGTTGCAGCCTGCCCGGAAGAAAAATCTCATCCCTTTTTGTGCTGGTCGAGATATCGTTGTCGTTTCTATTTGAGAGCGCCATCGTCATGGTATTGTTGATTCTGGTTAAGTTTTCGGCTCTGAGGTGCAGGTGGAGATTTGGTGATCTTTCATTTGAGTGTGTAGAACTCGAGGTAGGTCGTGGTGATTGGGCGTCAGCGCCATCAATATGACGCGTCACATCATCTTTCTCAGTCATCGTGGTGTGCGTGTTCAGTGCGTCCATTATGGGCACGGAAACATAGTCCAGCAAACTTGGATTGCAGTGGTAGCCACCTCGCGCGAGCTTTTCACTGTATTTTGCTACATCACTTGCCCTCGGATCGGCAAGAACGCAGTCGATCCCATTTAGCTGCGACAACTCAAAACTAAGCTCGCCCTTGCCTCCAGCGACGTCCAGAAGTGAAAAGTTTCGCCTGCGGAGCTGTGCTGCCAGAGGATCATGACTCCTGGGTGAAGTTCTCGTGTCCGCGTTTCCACTCGGTAGTGCAGCAGGGCTGCTTTCCCTTTTTTGTGTTATAGATCTGTCGTGGTTCGCTCGCCGTCGCCGCTTCGTCTCCACATGCGGAATAACGTGATCTAGAAGCCAACGACGAAACACACCCACACGACCGGACTTTCCGAACATCATCGCCTGTCGTGGTGGTTCATCTTGGTTCGCCATTACAGGCTCGCACACGAAAGTGGAATTACTGCTTTGAAATGACTCCATTCTTGCTGCAATGAGTGAACCTGGGGCAGCACCGCCAGCGACTAAATTGGCAGGACGCATCCCTGCACTCCCATATTCCTGCGACTGGTGCTCCTGTCCCGACTGTGGCTGGTGTGGCTTCGCTTTGTCTTTAAAGAATTCGTGAGTCAGAAAACCGCTTAAGATACTGCGTTTTCCCTGTAGTTCTGGGTTCAAGGTCAGTCCAGTGCTGACCCCGAATGACTCGTTACGTTTGCAGTTTTCCATCCCTACCGCTTTTGATATGGTCTCGATGCCCGGGCTAATAGAATTGCATCTATCCTCATGTGACAGAAAGCAAGCTTCTCCGTGTAAGCAGCGTCCGCGCTTTGCGAAATGAGGACACGAGGGCGGTCGCATCTCTATCCGACTTCGAAAAACGCCACATCGTTCAACCAGGTGACTCTCTGCACAGGCCAAATGCAGCCAAAAAAGCTTGTCGTCGTGCAGTGATACTGAAGGTGAAGGAACTCTGCAAATAAACTGCTCCTGCTCATCCTCTTTCTGGCCGTGGTCTACAAGAGTACCAGAGTGCTTTTGCTTCAATAGGGTCGAACTCTCAGAAGACGGAGAAAGTCGCAACTGAGCCGCAGTGACCGGCCAGATAGCCGCTCCTCTTTTGACAAGAGCATTGCAGGCAAAGCAGACTGAGTCCTTGCCGGCAAGCTTCGTGGTCACTTGCCTCGTCGGGACTTCATTATCCGCTGAGTTCGAGGCAACACCGCATGCAGCCGTCATCTTCTTCGACTCGGCTTGATGGTCGACTGGTTTTTCAGCCTTCCCGTGAGCTCCCAAGCGCGCTACTGCTGCTGGCAAGTTTCATCATCACACATGGCAAACGATATCTTCAAACTCAACTGTGATAGAACCTAATTCTACCATTTGAAAAAGTAGTTACTTTACTGTCACCATATTCATAGATAAAGACTGACAGTTAGTGTTAATCTGTCTTCATGTTAAAAAACGATGCCATCCTTTTTCAAAGTGCGTTAGCGCTCCTTCTACGAAGTAGGTACCAACTAAGCATATTTATTGCGCACAACGACCACCCTTCTACAGTCAAATTGACCCGTTGTTTCTGTGAAGTTCGTTGATTGACAGGGCCGCGAAGAACCAAGAGGTGGTCTATTTCTTTGATATCTAGAAGTTCGATTTACAACTAACACACTTTCATAGGTAGAACTGGTGTACTCAAAAAATTTGGATTTTTTGGTTGTTTCTTCTTTCTCGTCGAGATCACAAGCTTTCTGAGCCAAAATGAAAATACTTCATCCCGATGGGATCCAGATCAGGGCATTCGCGTTGCCGAGCCCCTTTCGTCTCACAAGACCTTACACCATAGAAGATGATAAGACCAAAGAGACCAAACTATTTTCCTCTACATTATTTGTGTCGATCACATCTTCATCTTTCAGCTTGGGCATTTCGAGGGCTTGGTCTAATGCGTTTTGAATAAGTATAGCGCCAGTGGAGCAAATTGAGGGTGAGCGTGTCAATGAAATCATGTCTCAAGACAGCCTGAATCGAAAGTTTCATTTCTGTCTCGTTAACAATAACAAAGCGTCAACCGGCATTTACTTCGATTAGGATCCAATCACATGGTCATGGTCAAAAAGTCTTCATATGAATCTGTAAGTCATCGTCTTCTACATACTCGCACACACTCTCGTTCATTCTCGGTGAAGCTCAAAATATTCCTCGCCGGAGGATGAAGTCAGCTGACCTCATTCCGCAATCGAATGCCCGAGCTTAAGAAGTCTACATCCTTTGGGGCGACCGGGAGATCCATCGTATATTTTCTGGGTTGTGCATCTTCCACTGCAGGCGGAGCTCCAACACACCTCTGCACCAGTATGGCGCGCCACGAGGTCTTGTTTATCACGGAATCTATGAAGAAGAAGAAGAACAGCAAAGGAGCTACAACTTGAAGTCAAGCTTGAATTAGAATTTTGTATTCAAAGGATTAAACTTACTAATTATTCCTCTGTCTACTAAAACTAACTTCTACTAGCAGAAGTTGTAGTACTACTACTTCTACCTAGTCGATTATAAAAAGTCATACCTCGTGGAGTCGTCATACTCATACTGGTGCCTAGTTCTACGAACAATCTTTCGTGTCTGCGTGTTCAACCTGATCGACTGACTACACGTACTGGAAAACTAGGAGTAAGAGATCTATGCTCTTGCTGCTCTTACCCTAAATACTTATGTACTCTTGCGTACACTTCTCCACGTCTTCTGCTGGTACTTTTTCCAAAGCGAAGGTGAAGACTGCAACGTCCTCCTCCAAAGTCGTCGTTTCTGACGTGGCTCCGTATTGAAACTTCTGATACATTCGTACTTGGCACGCGCAGGTGTCCTTCTTCTCTCCTGAGAACCGAATATTGTCAAAACCCACTAACTTCTGCGGTGCGAGCCAGGTCAGGTAAGTCTTGCACATTTCTTCACGGCTTCCGAGGCCAGCATTCCGCATATACACCCCATTGGGCCGAACCATCAGGCAATCTATACTCGCAAAATCAGCGTAGTTTTCGGGACACTCGTAGATTAGAACAAGGGCCAGCACTTCATCTCCTAGTCCTAGTACTAGCAGTAACATCTACACATTTGTTCTATATATTTCCCTGTACGTCGTGGTGTAGCTGTAGTTGTACCCGATCATGATCTTTGTAGCCTATGGCACAGGTCGACGTCGATATGCAAATGTATAATGTCCCCCCAGCTATATCATTTTTATTCTTTCTGTTTGTTGTATATTTCAAAAGTAGTTATCATGTTCCGTGGCTGGTAGAGGGTGACAGACGGTCCTTCTATCGCAGTTGAGATGGCCGAGCCGGGAGCGTAGGATGAGCCCTAAATGTAGATGTGCTTCGAGATCGCTGAAATATTTCTTCACCGAGACGATATCTTCCTGCAACGGCTGGTTAGCCACCGGAGAACTTAAAGCCGTCCACTCCCCACACTCGGAGGCAAATCCCCACGCGATGTCGCTTTCCGTCGGAGGAGATTTCCTCACCAATGTGACTTCCTCAGAAACGGAAAAGGACATCTTTTTTGGCTTTTGGTTATGGTTAAGCGCGTGATTATCATAGTTTTAAGCTCGATCTCAAGTATTTTTAGGCTTATTGATCTCGTTTTGAGTTTTGATCTTAGATAGTCGGGGGATCATGGAGAATCGTGGGTTGTGGCCGAGGCCGAGCATAGAGCTTTTAACGGAAATGAGCCCATTTGAAGTGATCTGCTGCTGTAGTAGTTAATATAGCTGTTTGTCGCATCTGCTTCAATGAATAGAAATCGGCAGATCTCTTTTGTGCGAGAATCAGAGAAAAGATGTGATCGATGATCACATTTTAATTTAGCCGAGTACAAGAAAAAGAATGTACAAACAAGAACTACTTCAAAAATTGCCTCTTGTAGGAATTTCGTGCTTAATAAAATTAAAAAGACTGCTGAGGCAGTGTCAGTGATATAATGTAATCTCTAATCTCTTCTCTTTACTTGTAAAGTCTTGCCTTGGTTTTGGTTTTTATCTTTTGCATTTGATTACATAAACATTCTGAGTTTTGACTTTGAGATTTGGTTTTGAGTTTTGAATTTTGAAGACCAAGACACGCGGAGACAACACCGCCAAAAACGCGCAGCGTTTTGCTATACTCATGAACTTCGAAAGTTAAGCCATGAATTTTGAAAGTTAGGAAGTGAACGCTGAAAGTTTGCGAGGGCGTGAATTTTGAAAGTTCTTAGGACATGAATTTTGCAAGTTTGTTATGGCGTGAATTCTGAAAATTACGGCGTGAATTTTGAAAGTTAAGGCGTGAACTTTGAAAGTTAGGGCATGGTGAATTTTGAAAGTAGTTAGGACGTGAAAGAATTGTGAAAGTTAGGGCATGAATTTTGAAAGGTGAGGCCTCCCTGAATTTTGAAAGATAAAGCATGAATTTCGAAAGTTAGGGAATATATTAATTTTGGCAGTGAGTTAGGGCGTGAATTTTGAAAGTTAGGCCATGAATTTTGAAGGTTAGAACAAGGCAAGAATTTTGAAAGTGAAAGCGCCGGCGCGCTTTGGCTTCCCGCTCTCCTCTCCCCCCAGCCCCGGGCTCACGCAGTTAAAGAGTGAGCTTTGAAGCTTAAGGCGTCCGCCTTGGTGCCGCGCTCTCCTCTCGCCCAAGCCCGTGGCCTGCGCTGCCCGATGGTGCGAGGCGGCGGCCTCATGCAGTCGCGCCGCGTGCTTGCGGGCAGTCGCATCACCTGCTTGCAGTGCCGCGCCCTACGGGCAACGCCCTACACCTCTGAACCCCCGCGGGCCGGCGTGGCCTCTGAATGCCTCAGACCCCAGCGAACAAATTCCCAAGGCGTGGCTTGGCATGTGCCTTCGTGTGCCTTCCTCTTGAAGATAAGCCCGCAGGCGCTTCCACCCCTGCCTGGCGTCCACATATCCTCCAGAGGCAAACTGCGCGCACTAATAAGGCCCGCCGCCCCGCGGCAACGCGCCCGATGACGCCCCGCCAAGGCTGACACTTCTCGGGCTCTTTCTCAATTGTGGCGCATGTTCAAGCGTGTCCGTGCCTGTGCTTTGTCTAGCAGTCTCGGGCTCCCATCGTATCCTTCCCCTGGGGAACCACACCACGTGGCTAGTGCCATTTACCCTCTGGTGACCTGATCCTTTTTTTATCATGAGATGAGTCTGCGGTTGCGGATATGCGGAGCAACAGTCAATGGAACACAATCCCACCAGCGGAGTACCGGTCTGCCCTCGGCAATTCGTGTTTGCTGCATTAACACATCGTCATCGTCATCGTGTCCGATGATGCACCACTGGCACTGTCATAGTTATCAGTTTGTTACGGCGCCTAGCACCTCGTTTTCATTAAATCAAAGCAAGAGGTATCCGTTCAGCTTGCCAACGCGCACGGGGAGATGTGCAGGTTGCGTTTCATAATTATATCAACATATCTGATTCGCATAACTCAATTTCCACTGCTTACTTCGATTCAGTTTAGCGCGTTGCAAAGCAGGATTTATATTTGGTTTTTTGGTATTGGTTACAAATACTACCTAAATTCCTATGTAACAGTTCCATTTCCCATTGCTTATGTTCGTTGTAGAAGTGTTTACTTAGTCTCTACTTTTATGGGCCGTGTAATGATTTCGACGTCGCGCTGCTGTGCAACTTATGCATAAATCTGTAGAATTCTCTTCCTGGATTACATGAGATCGTTCCAGGAAAAGACATCAAAGTGAAATTTTCTGCACTAGTGTCCATGTTTTCAACTACACATCTTCTTCTGCTTCGCATGGAAGGACGTGTTAGAAGTAATCGATGGAGATGAAAAGGAGAATAGACGGGTTTGGCAGCACAAACCAGTCGTAGTCGAGTGAGTAGGTAAAATCGAAGCGAAAAGAACCCGATTACCAACACCGCATGTCGTCGCGCTGACGATTAATTATATGTGAGCTTGCTGAACCTTTTTTGTTTCAAACCTCAACTTCCGTCACTTCGTTGCACAATCTAACTCATCTGGTCTCGCATGATGTACAGATGAGCAGCTGGACAGAAGATGATTGGTAGAAATTAGTCTTAGTGAGTAGTACGAGAAAAACGACATGGGCTTGGGCATGGCATGCTATGTTGAAAAATTGCACAACTCGTACTCGTACCGAGTAGTCAGTCGATGTCCTTAATATTTGTACTTGTACTTCTCTCAAGTTTTTTAATCCTTTTCTGCTCCCTCGTCAATTCACAGAAGCAGGACTTGTTTATGACGTTCCGTTTCTTTCAGAAAATCAGAACAGAACAAGCAGTAATATTGGTGCAGTGAATTGCATAAATAACAAGTGGTAGAGCTAGTAAACCCAATTCACATTTTTGTAATCTTCTTTCATTCCTAGTATGAGCGGTTACAGATGCATTTCCTCGTATGTTCCAGTTCCCGCTTGACAATGACGAGATACCTTTTCACCACTGGGATGTGATGGAAAATCGAACTAGTAATTTACGACAGCAGCAGCACGGGATGTATAGAAGTCGCTGAAGTAAAATTATGGTGTTCAAGCTATGGTGAATCTTATGCTCGCTCTTCTACTTTTTGTAGCTCAGAAAATGCGCTCCTGTCCTTTTGTCACATGATAGTCCGCAATGGCAATCTTCTCTAGCTGTACAATTTTCTTCACAACAAGCTGGACGAGAAGGAGGAAAAGAGTATTAGAGTTAGGTTCCTTTTGACCCATATCGGGTCGGGTTGCTCGGGTTGCTCGAGTTGCCAACCCAAATTCTTTGCGCGGCGCCCTTCGGGCGCAGATTTATGACCCTACGAGAGACCTTAACAGGAGCGCACGACACGACCACGCGCCGCGCCGTAGTTGCATACTGATGGCGGCGCGCTCGTATATAAATAGATAGCGCGCCAATCCATTTCAATTCAGCAACCCCCTCCAGTATGCTTACTGCTATGCCCAAGACTGGACACCTCGCCCGCTGAAGCAAGCAGGCGGAAACTCGCTCTCAGCCCCCAAGTAGATTGGCCACGCTCGCACCCGAAGAAAAAAGGGAGAGATCGCCAACGACTCGAAGACGACACACCACAGCGCCACTCACCCCAAAAAAAACAACAGAGAGCAGGGGCCTGCGCTCCTTGTTTTCGCTTCAAACACGCGTCCGCACGCTACAAAAGAAGAGCCCGAAAGCCTGCAGAGCCCTTCGCACGTGGCTGCCCCTTTCTCTTTCAAGAGCAAAAAAAAAAAAAAGCTGCGCTCTTCTCGATTTCCTAACTTCGAGCGTACAAATGCCCCCCCATACCGCCCGGCTTCGCCCCATTTCGCTGGGTCAGGATTCTCCTGGCAACCCGTGGCAACCCGTTCCAGATTTGGAACTCCTGCGCTTCGGCAACCCGAGCAACCCGTTGCAACTCGAGCAACCCGAAACCCGTTATTCACCTTATAGCTTCAATATTACCTTAACATTTATTGCGAATGAATGCAATGGTCGTTGGTGTAAGTGGAATCAGTGTGAAAAACTAAACAGGAGCATACTACAAACAATAACTCGCTTCAACATGATTCACAAATCATCCAACAAGCCCATCGGGATTGGGAGTGGGCGCATACCTCTATAACATCTCGAATCGGGTTTAGCCTCGTACTGCTGGTGTTTTCTTTCTGCTAAGAAGAATGACGACGCGTCGCCTCGGCGCGTGTCTTCTAATAGAATCTCCGTCGAGACCGTCTTCTGCCCGTCTTCCTTATGCGCATCCGCAGCACCATAGATTTGGTTGACTGCTCGCTGAAAGACTTCTTTTCCTTGGAGTGCAAGCTTTTCCTGCGCTGCTGTGGAACAGATGATGATTGAGCGATACTGCGTTCCTCGGTCGTTGCCCTGTTGGGCGTAAATCATAAAAAGGTTCTCTTCCATCTAAATGTTGTCTATCCACTAGATTCTAGGTAGCACTAGATTCTAGGCAGACCTCGGTAACCTTCCTGGCATTTTTCATTTGCCACTTTGGAAAAGAGCGCTGTCAGGAGAATCATCTTCCGTGTCAGAGATGGAAGAAAAACACTTAGAGTTGATTTTTTATCCATATACGTTGTGCTGTCATGAGCGATCCAGAATTCGCGCAACAAGGTACGAAAGTTTATCTTTGACTTGTCGTAGACGATGCGAACAACTTCAGCGTGGTTCGTCCGGCCTCCGCACACTTCGGCATAGGCCGGATAAGCGGTCTCACCACCCGCATATCCCGCTTGAGTGGTGAAAACGCCAGGCAACCGCCAAAAAATAGCTTCTAGACACCAAAAGCAACCACCTCCGAATATCGCCTCTTCCGTGAATGCCATCAGCGGGCTGTCGTTGTCGCCTGCAGTCATTTTGTTAAATAGCAGCGGGCTTTTGAGGACAAAGTGCTTGTCAGATACATCGGGAAACTGACTCGGAACAGCATAGTTCGACCGGCCAGATTTGGTGCAGTCTTTAGCTGGGAGTAACGCCAACTTGCTCCTTTTGCGAAAAGCGTCCTCCTGCTCTCCCTCATTCAGAATCCCTGCGAATCCGTCACCGACTGTGAGGGCTTTTTCAATGTTGATCGACGCAAGCTCGAGTTCAGACTCTGCGAGCTTCTTCTGGAGCTCATTCACTTTCGCCTGTTCCTCAGGGGACAGCACGCGCTCTGTTTGCGTACCGTCACCAGGAGCTCCATCTCTACGATTCGAGTCCCCGGCGGGGGCGTCGGCATTTCCATTTGCTTCATCTGAAGTTTCCGCTAACGCATTCGCCACTTGATGTCCAAGGTCGATTTGCTTGATGAGCACGTCGCGAGTACGCCGTGCCAGATTCAGCTCCTGCTGTAAACCCTCGACCTTGAGCGAGTTTCTGCGCATCTCCTGCGTCAACAGTCGCATTCGCTGGATGAGCGTCAAGTTCGGGTCCTCCAGCGTTCCCACCTTGTCAGCGGGACACGGTTGAAGCTCTTTCATTTTGGGGAAATCTTTTTTCGTCTAGTACTAGGTACGACGCTTATGTAGTTCTTGTAGATTTACTACCGGTACAGATCATGAACATGAAAAAAAGAAAAACTGCAACTGGAACTAAATCTTAAAAAACAAGAAAGGCAAACACTACCATGACCTTGTCGTCATCTCGATGCTGACTACATACACAAAGTACAAGATCAAGAGAGCCGTCACCTTCGAATATTCATGTATTTTGGGCCTCGTCTAGCAGTGGGGGAATGCGGCAGGTGGGTATCCCGATTTAAACGCTTGAGAGTATCATGGGTAGTTGTTACCTGCCTTCTGCAAGGATTATCGTGCCCTTCTTGTTCTCTTTACTAAACGCAATAATTCGCGAGACTGACAATTATCATATTTTCATTATGATCAAAATAATATGGAACAACTTTATCGATTTGAGCCAAGTTCTGCTTCTGACTAGTCACAAGAATATGCATTGACTGTGCTATATAATGCCTCTTTACATTTACTCCATCTCCAGAGTAAGTTTGAGTATCTATGCATCTAAATATTAACCTCTCCGTCTCTCTCTGTCTCATTCTCCTAGTACTAAAAAATGTATGAGTCATTGAACAAATCGGCTATCTCCAGGAACTCTCGCACATTCTAGAATCATGTCTCCTCTAGAAGCTGACGCTGATGTTCACAACCAACTGTGTCCTCAGTCGGTATGAAGATATCAGCTGTGCATTTGCATTGGTTTTCTTTACTAGGCAACTCGTTCATGCTCTCTGTCCACCACTTGTGCATGTCGACAATTATTTCTTGATCCTTTGCGAGTGCCTGCAATTGCGGCGACCAGCAGAATAAAACGACACAAATTCTCTCTGGTTGTTTCTGTTGTAGTTGTTTGTTCAACAAGGATGTCACTGTGTCAGTTGAGGACATTTGTGCAGCATTTGCTTCATCATGGAAACTCTTTTTGATGTCCTCTGGGTTATGGTAACTCTTCTTCGTGGCTTCCTCGTCTTCGGATTTCGATTTGGTGATCCTCTCAATATTACGTTCAGCTTGATCCCTTTCACCCACACCCTTCTCGGGTTGAAATACGAATCGATGTGCCATGTTGTTGTTGCACGTCACCCCATGAATACTCACGGTTGTATTTGATGGCAGTGCGTACGTTCGGGAACCCAGATGAAAGGCTACATTTTTCTGCTCAGTAGATGATGAACCTACATCTGCTTCATCTGGTATTTGTGAAGAACAAGAGAGCAACCCTTTTTTTGGTGGATCAGGCCGTATTATTTCTCGCCACTCTTGCCTACAAATTCCAGAGTTTCTTCCGCAGTCTTTCGCATGATTCACGCTGACGGCGTCCGTCGTCTCCTCTAAGGGTAAGCTTTCGCAAACGGCTTTCGAATTCATGTGGACAGTAGTCCCGTCGTGATGATTTCGCGGCTTTGCGCTTCGGTTATCTCCTCTACTTGTAACTCTCTTAGAGGACGAAGACGGATCCTTGCTCTGCATAGATGATCTTCTGCTCAGTGAGGCCTTTCTTGTCCTCCCTGGTTGAGGTAGCACGCACGCTGCTCCTTCTTTCATTACCTTCGTTGTTCTGGTTATTCTTATGACCTGTTCATCTTGCGCTGGTGCCAGCACAAGAACTTTCTCTACTTGTTTTCCTCCTTCTTCCACCTGCATCGCTGCTAATTGCTTTGGTGTTTGCGCCTCCACGACTCTTTCTGCTTCAATATTCGGTGTAGCCTGAAAATCATTCACGAGGTCAATCACCACTGTACACAAATGGCGGTGGCGGCTAAAGGAATCCTGATGCCATCCCAGCAATGTTCCAGATGAGTAGAGCAGTAGATCGGCATGTACGATGTTGAGACCCAGTGCCTGCTGCACACGATGAATCTCTTCAAAAATCAAATTCTTCTTCCCTCTTGAACCTGCAGTCGGGATTGAGCGACGAGGCTGGTAGTGGTCGACTTTTTGAATACATCGTCTACTCAAAGTCGAAGGTGCGTTCGTGTGCATCTGCTGCACCACCAACAAAGAGTCAAGATTCACCCTCGTCGGGCGTTGCTCCCGTGCCCAGGCAAGCTCTGGATGAGCCGCCTGCAGTGCATGAGCGGTCTCCCGCATCGCTTCTGCAGTCTGACGTAGGGGAAGTGCAAAAGCCAATGGCTCTCGGTGCCCCGCGATGTCCGAAGCACTAGGCGGCCAAGATCTGTTCGAACTGATACGCCCATGCTGTGCTTGTAGGGCAGCACTCTTCTCGTCCCTGTTTCCCTTCATAGAGAATTTTCTCTCTACTTTAGTACACAGCGCTCTCGCACGGATGAAAGTAGAGCAGCGTCAACATTCTTGCGAAAAGCGACTCCAGCCATATTTCTGCGATGGACGCTAAATGATCTAGTACGATTATCTTCTAGAACAAACTCTCGAGGAGCATCAGGCTGGCTCCGACTCGATTCGGATTCATCTTGTTCTAGTACAATTTCTCTTTGTCCGGCGAAAGCAAAAATCCTTCTTCCACTTCCTCCGAGATGTGCGACTTTATATAAGCGAAGATTATGCTTCTGTAAGGCACGCGCTTGAGTGCCAACGCTAGCACCTCAGACTCTCAATCCTTATTTTCACCTCGACGAGAATACAGTCAAAGTCAATCCATCAGCAGAAAGAGAACAAAAAGATGAGACGTAATCGTGATGTTGAAACATCTGTCGTACCCTCTGCACTTTCTGTGTGATGGTAGGTTGAAAGTGTAAAAAAAACAGGGTCTTTCTCCGGTGAAGATGTCATCAGAAAGTGCCAGCATTTGACCACATCGCTGCCCCGCCCTGTGCAGAGGCCCAGTTTCTATATGGTAGTATCAATTGTCTCGATCTACATCTACTACGGGTACGACTTCTTGCACCATGTTGAAAGTTTCCATCTCCTTTAGTTTGAAGTCGTTGAACCCGTTCTACTTGATGATGTCCTGTTTGTTTCATCCATATTCCGTCAAGAATCCATGAGAATGCCGGTACCGAAATACGCATAACGTATTTGTAATCGCAAGGGGAAGAGCGATGTAGATGTCCATGATGTATTCTGGTTTTTCTGAGTGAATAGACTAGGATAATACTATCTAGTAATCGGTGTCCTTCCCCAACCCCATCCCCATCTTCGCCAATGCCCCCCCGCCGTTTGCAACGACATTTTCGATTCGCCATATAATTTCCACTGTTCAAACTTTGTAGTATCTCGTTTCTACGAATGGCATCTTCACTACTTTAGCATCTGCGGTCTTACTACGAATCTTTACTTTAACAGATGATCCAATTTTGTTGAAGGGTTTATTCAAATATCCCATTGCTATTTTCGTGCCGAGTACTGGAGACTCGCGCCCGCTGGTGACTACGCCAATTTTGTTCCCGCTCGCTGGATCTAGCAGATCCATTCCTTCTCTTGCTGGTACAGGACCCTCCACGACCAGTCCGACGCGCCTTTTCGAGTCGCTTTTTTCCGCCACTTGCTTCAGGACCGGCTCGGCGCCAAGGAAGTTGGCTCGCGTGCCGCTTCTCCTCGTTTTCGCGATAGTCCAAAGCAGACTGGCTTCCACTGGTGTGGTCTCCTCATGGATATCGTGGCCGTAGAGGCACAGCCCAGCTTCTAGTCGAAGAGCGTCGCGCACACCCAACCCGGCGAGTCGCACAGCATCATCCTCAAGTAACCCGTCCCAAACCTGGCAGGCAACCTCCTTCGGCGCGAAAATTTCAAATCCGTCCTCGCCCGTGTAACCACCCCTGGCAATCAGGCACGGTGTACCAAGTAGATTAGTGTGTGGTCGATGCTTTTTAATGCCTAAGTCTGTGTTTCATCATCTTCTGACGAACTACAACGTGCTTGTAGATAAATCGATCAATCCAGAGAGTAGGGCCATCTGCATCTAGATCTGAAGGTTTTTTTCTAAATTATAGGGGCCCGGATAGAGAAACGAGGAAAACGTAGAATTACAGATACATTGCTTGCTGCATCACGTCTCGCTCGTGCTGCACGTTACATGCTCCTACTTGAGTATCTACCAACAAGTAGTCAGTTCTTACAGTTACAACAACAACAGGGATACAATACTAGTCAACAACAAAACATGATCAGACAACGCTTAACTAAATCGAGGAAAAAAGCTGACCCAAAACCGAATTTGGCAACGGACTGCTTTGCTAGTCGTTCAAGGACGCCTGCAGCTTGAGGACCTTGGAGCGCGAAAAGCCCACGCTCGTCCCAGTGAACACGAAGACGGCAGTCCTGAACGAGTTCGAGTTCACTTTTTCTGTCTTTTTCGTAGAGTTGTTAGATTTTACCGAGTGTTAGTAATGAATGTCAAGATACAACGAACATAGAAGACCCAGACCCTTCAAGAACTTCACGTTTACATTTCAAGAAAATTATAACAAAGGTAGAACAGGAAAAATGTCTAAGGCTAGAATTATCGCCGAGATCATAATCACAATATAGCAGAAAAAGTATTTCGAAGACTGTTTTCAGCTGAAAAGGTACAGGTTGTTGCAACTACTAAAACGCACTGGAAGTTAGAAGTTATACCTTGCCACTGCTCGTGAACGTTTCGAGGTGTTTTTTCAAGTGATCTAAGTCCTTGTCAGCGCAGCCTGCGTTTATTACTTGGTAGATGCACGAGTCGTGTGTTGAACTTGAATTTCCGACACTGTCCCCGCCAATACTAGTTCCATGGTTTAAAGGAGATAGTTTGGGACTAGTCGTTCGCAGCAGAGCCTGGGGTGATAGTCACACCAGACAGAAGTAATACGATTCAGAAGGAAAGAGGAAGATGATGAGCGCCGCACATATTATTCGCTTAATAACTCTCAGTCTCGTTCTATTCTTGGAGCTACAATCAATAAATAATTTCCAAATATAAAAGCGAGAGCGACAATGTCAATGTAAGACGGTAAAAGATAATTTTTCTCAAACCAGAACCAGCAATATCTCCTTTCTTAGGTCTTAACTGCTTCAAAAAATATTCTTCCTCTTGGCCTCCTCCATACAGTTTTGTGATCATCGTGTCGTCGATTATCCCGCCAGTCGCTGACGTGAGTAAGGAGAGCCCACCTTGTCCTGGTGCTAGTGCTTGGACATCAGCCACACACATGGTCTTCCGTTAGCGCGATCCACTTGCACTTCGTCCACGGATGACTCACCTATACGACAATATTCTGTTCAGTACTTCTTTGATTACTACAAAAATTTGAGTACTTATCTTCAGCTTCATCAGGAGACTGGCTAAGAAGACTTATTCCCTTAATCCAAGAATTCCGTTGCATCGCGGCCATGCCAACTCAAGGAGCACATGTGCGACACGTCAAATAAACTGCAGCTTTCCCGAGTCCATTTAACGCTATCAACGATGGACAGAGCATGCTTGTTCCTCTCCGCCGCGTCGCCAGCATTCATAGCTGATGAGGAATACTGCACAGGTAGAGCATAGCCGGCAAAATCTACGAGCTTGCCGCCATATGCTACGTGCGAGTCCTTCACAATAGTCGGTTTGAGAGCAGTCTTTGCAAAGTACCGTTTTGCTTGCGACGCGGTCGCTGGTCTCGTCGTTTTCCTCGATGAGAATTGTTCTATGCTTCCTATGGAATAATGTCGCTTTCGCTGGCTATGATGCGGGTCTGCTCCAGCTGCATGTTGCGGCAGCACTGCACGTCTGAATCCGAGGCGCGTCCTCGTTTCCCTCCTGCTTTGCCCAGCGGACGACTGCGGCAAGGGTAAGCAGAAAGTAGGGCATGGACGGTGACTCCCAGTTACCGTTTCGAGATGCGCACTGCGCAATAGAGGCCGAATCATGGTCATGGTGTCCCCTGACATGTCAAGCAAGATCAACCAAGTGTGGGCCTCCCTCTTTCACACCCCGGGCCTCAGTCCGGCGCAGCTCTCGGGAAGTTAACTGGTGCCTACCGCTATACGATAGAGTTGGCCTGCCCGTCGCCGTCCTCTGCTTTGTACATGATCGGAAAACAGAAAGCCTCAGTGAAAAATAGAGATGGAGATCACCTTTATATCGCCTGCCTTACTCAAGAGGACGACATTCCTAGTAGAAATCGAACGAGTAAGAAAGAATAAGTTATAACGAGGATCTACACGATGCAAAAACTCAACCTACTCATCGGTAGCGGTACACAAGTCTTTTATAATATTCTCCAAGGGGCTACACATACGACACTATGACCGACCACCATACCGTGTCTCTCGTTGTTTATGTCTTGCTGAGCAGGCCGTTTCATATTGATATTCAATCATACCAATTAACTGGCCCGTCAACTGTTAACTATGCCTCTTTACCCTCAATGACGACTCAAGCAGCATGACAAGACGAACACTCAAGCAACACGGCTATACCTAGGACGACTAATTTGTATTTGACGATTGAGATAATACGAGATGGTGATGGTGATGGTGTATCATTTTCATTTAATTCTTGGGCGTTTACCCTGCGCAGATAAATACCGTCAAACATTTTTGATTTGATCGGTTACAACTCAAGGGGGGGTCTTCCATCCACTCAGATGGGAGTTAGTCTCGCATCTGATGAAAAAGGGGTGAGGGCCTCTTTTTATATTTAACTTGTGGTTTTCTTAGGGTAAGGCTAGCACTTCTGCTTACGGCATCTTCAGACTGACTTCAAATATGAAATTTCTTACTTCCTTCCGCTCATCGTCATCGTACGAATACCTTATAATCTGTTTTGCTTTTGTTAACCCAAGCAGAGGAACGGTTGGAGCTGGCTCGTGTGTGATGGCACTATAGCGATCCCATCCACCTGCACCTGCCCAGCTTCACTATAAAAATATACGTAGTTAGTGCTACTAACTTATCAATATACTGAAATGAATTTGAATTATTGAGTAAGTAGATTCAGAGTTTCAAAAATTGTATCAAATTACAGCTATTCCTTTATATTCATACAGTCAGCTACAATTTGTGTCAAAACTATGTTTCGGAGCCGCTTCCTGCAACAGTTCTCGTTAATGTTGATCCTGCAAAATGGACCGAAAACCCAACCAGCCCTATTAAGTAACTCCAAGCCACCATCCTTTTATGAAGCTCCCCCTTTTTCTGTAGCTGTACGTGATTCTACATTTATTCTACTCACCGCTGTACCACTGCGGACGAAACGGGCGCTGCCGACTGTACTCAGGATGTCGACTTCTGATCCTCCTTGATTATGTTCCACATGACATCTAGTACGGATGTCCCCTGATCATTCAACTTCTTGCGGATCTCGAAAATGCCCATCCACCTCTCATTCTCTTGCACTGCTTTGTGCAAGAGTTGCACCACTGACATCACGTCAATGTTGCCGCCCCTTTCAGCTTGTGCGCAAGATAGAGGTGAAGAAAGACCCCCAGATACATGATGTCGATAAGAAGCACCAACTGATCCGCCTTTTGAGTTTAACAGAGATCATGAACGGCTCAACTGTGAACACAAACCTGCACCCGAAACAAGAAAAAGCCCTTTCCTTATTCATCCTCGTTCCAACGCATATTCCATCTCTTACTCACGTGCACTTATCATACAAATGTACGCTATTCAATCATCAGAATGTCAAACATTATTTATCTCTATTCTGGCGTTGAGCCATGAGCATGCTTTTTATGAAACTGAAAGTAATCCCGGAAATGAAGACGACGTCGCATTCGTAATCGACGTCCTTGAACCGCACATGCTGGTGGATCTAGATGCGGATCGATGTTGATGCTTACTTGGTATACCGTAGTTTAGTTTTGACGTTGTTCTTGTTTTCCAATTGAAGCAATTCTGAGTGCGAGGCCGACAACATGATGCGCTATCTAAAAGGCAAAGTATGCTCGACACGGATCTTGGAATCAGTGGTTCTTCCCATGCCTAGGTCCTCGTGGAAAATTATTCAGTGTTAGTATTGCCGCATCCATTCGCTCATCCATAAACCCGCAACCGGAACCCGGTGTCCCTTCATTAGAGAATCCACCGCTCCACCAGCTCCGGTCCGTCCGCACCACTTATCGATGACTCATCCGCAGCTCTATCAGGCGATTAGCAATTAACAATTGCTCGTCTGCAGTTGCTCTACTGGAAGCTCACTCGCCGAAAGCAGGCGACTTTTCGATCTCTTCCTTTCGTGCATCTGATTCAGCTTCTTCATGTAATCGTTTCTGCGGGTGCATGTCAAGGACTCCAACGGCGTACGACGCGTAAACATTCGCAAAGAGGTTCCTGTCAGCGTTAGTATTAAATGCAAGATAATACAGGTAGAGGATTGATACAACTATAAGCAACATCTAATAAGAGCATGAGAATGAGTTTCATTTTGCGTGAAGGAAAGCGTCTTTCTCGACGAAGACTCAATGCGAGGACTCCTAGGTTCTTGAGATTGAGAATTATACTGATTCTGAGTAGTAAAATATGTATGGACCGGAAAAGCTTGGCCCTCTGTATTATAAAGCACGTCCCGACGTTTTCCTCAGTTAAGCGGACCAAGGCCGCAAAAACCCTGGGCCCCTATTTTTGTCTCTGGCCGGATCCCCTATTCTTCTGCCGGTGTCCCGGGAAAATCTGGGGCCGCGGTTTCAGATGGGCCCCGAAACATAGGGGGCCCTGGGGCCTCTTCTTTGTAAGCTGGTTCCCCGACGCATTCCACTGCCAGCGCAGCGCCCAGGTGGCCTGTGCCATACGCGTGCGGACCCGGTGGGGAGCCGCGCGCGCTTGGCCGCGCGGTGTCTTAGTAGGATTGCCACCAAGCTACTGCTGGTCAGGCTAGGCGCATTCTGTTGGGTCTTTCGTTTCTCTTTCCCAGTCGGCGCTCCGCAATGCCCTCCCGCTCTGGCCGCGGTGCCTCGCATCCGCAGGCGGCTCAACCCCGACCCCAACCCCACCAGCGGTAGGTGTGCGGGCAGCTATCAAGGCACAGCGTCGCGGCGCGCTTCTTTCTTTTGCGATCCCCCCATGCTACGTTTCTTTTTCGATCCGCGGGCCGCCTTCGTTTTATTTGAAGGGCGTCAACCTTTTGCGGCGGGCTTCGAAAGCACTCTGGGATCGCGTAGTTGCAGCCTGTTCCTCAGGGCTGCTCTGGTGTGTGGCGGCTTATTGTGTGGCCTGTGTGGCACCGCGGTGCTGTGCGCGCTTTCACCCACCTGGTTCGCCCCCGTCGCTTCTCGTCTGGTCTTGGCTGCCTGTATTGGCATCGGGTTTGTCGCGTGGGATTGTCACTCATTGCGTGCGCAGTCACTGAGAGAGCTCGCGGGTCGCTTGGTGTGGTTAGGTTCATTGCGCGGCTCTCTTTCTTTCGTTGGCTAGCCGCTGGCTGGCGCGTCCGCTTCTGCGCCTGTCCTCTGGGCTTTCCCGTCCTCTCTTGCGCGGCCTTGCAGTTGGTTCTACCTTTTCCTGCCCTGTTCCTCGGATTTTTTAGTCCCCTACTTTTGTAGATTTCTACCTTTTCTTCCCTTCCCTGTCTACGTTTTTATCGAAGTGTCTACCTTACTTGTCGAGCCCCTTACTTTTCGCCCCCCCCTACGATACCAGGCCCCTTCCAGTTCTGGTCCATGTATATGATTACTATTTTAGAGCCCAGTAGCGAAGTTTATGTTTGAACCGACGTAAGGGCAATCTTACCCTTACGTCGTTTCAAACATCAATTTCGATACTAGACTCTAAAACTAAATGATCTGTCTAGCCGTAAGTGTAATCATGTTGAAAATATCCAACCAGAGAAATTAGTACGCACAGATTTCTCTAGCATGTCTCGCTACATCCATCTCGGCCAAAGAGTCGGGAAACTTCTCATCCACTAGGCCATCCATCAGGGCTTTCGTGAAGTCACTCACTATGTCCGGACGCATGCCTTCATCGTCCAGCTGAAGATGAAGAAATGTGTGTACAGCTGAAGATGAAGAAATGTGTGTAAAAGGCGTACGATAGTACAAATTCTCTAGACATCTTGTCACGCATGGGGAGAACAAGAACAGGCATGATGTAAAGCTATTCTAGAAGGTCTACTACCTGCGTCATTTTACGACGTCATCAAGGAGGACACGTTTTTAGGTGTCGATCTTCCAGATCATCAGGAGGGTGCAGATGCTAAGCATGCGCATAATTTATCAGCCTCTTGCTCCTACAACAACCAGTAGTCAATACAAATATCACCAATCTCAATATCAATACCTCCAATAGATTCATGGTATTTATTTATTATCTTCTCTATCTCTATGATGTTGATATAGATTATGTACCCTCATCTCAAAGTGGATTCGCCAGCAAACTTCGACGAAATCTGTCGCTGAATAAATCAATCGTTTCAACTTTAGCTGTGCCTCTTCATCTTCCTCATCACGAATCCTTTGTACTCTCGCTGCAAAGTAGCCTTCCTCTCCGCCAAACTCCTCAGTGCGTAGAACGCTCTTCGCACGACCCAAACATTCCTCGTAGTCAAAATACCCTACGCCGTCAGTAAGCGAAAAGTACGGTTCACAGCATTTCAGTTTGAACAAGGCCATAAATCCGGACAAGGAACAAGCTTCCTTCGTCTTCGCGGTCTCTACTTCTTGTTTTTCAGCGATTCCAACAGGCACATCAGGGGCGGCGGCTTCTTCACCGTCAGCGATGTTGATATGGTGATCAGCAGGCTGCTCTGCGTCATCTTTGTCGTGGAGGGTCAGAAGGCCGTACTTGAGGCTATACAAAAGGTCTTGCGTGAACCTTTCTGAACGTGAGGCCAGGGACATTTGCTTATTCCTCGCATCCTCCTCAGCTGCTTTGGCTTTTCTTAGATCAACTAGAAGAGCACACTCCTCTTCATGATGCCAGCATTTACATTATATCTACTATGTTGATTTTAACATCTGGAGTTTTACATATTCATCATCATCAGCTTCATCATCATCATCAAGGTTCGTGTTGATAATGCTGTCGATACAGAGTAGGCACTGCAATTGCATTTGCATAGATCTGCATTCTTGAGCTGTACTAGAAGAAATCAGTTCAAATTATCAGTACCTAGTAGTTTACTTGAGCTTGAAGCAATTCTTCCACACTTAAAACTCCAAACTCCAAAGGTTTTCAAACTCCAAACTTTCTCCACCTTGGTATAGTATTTTTACAGTTAGAGTAGCTACTCTTGTCCTTACATAACTTTCTGGCTTTTTCCCGCGCTTCCTGTCTTAACCATTCGAGCTCCTCCTTTTGGGCCTCCTCTTCCGCCAGCCGGTCTTGTAGAGATTTATGTGCCATTCTTGTAGCTACACCTGAAATACTCTGGGGCACGTCAGCCGGAGCAGCAGGAGACGAAGCACCACAACCCATTTTCAAACGGGGACGCGAGATAAACGAGTACTTAGTTATGATGTAAAGTAGAAAATAAACAACAACTGCAAAACCAAATGCAGATGAAGCAAGTCAGGTTCTGCGTGAGGATGAAGATGGTGAAATAAAGTTTGAATCATGATATTGTCGTGACTGTCACTGTAAGTGTAAGATCAATGTTGCAAAAAACAAGAAGAAAACTTATTGTCATAGTCCTACTCGATGTCATACTTCTTGATATAAACGACAGACACGCTTCACTATGCTTGGGGTCTTTTTGGTTCCGTCTCTAGTAAGACTCGGTGAGAACCAACTGTAATTTTCACTTCAATAATAGGTTTCCGAAAGCCTTTTGCTTGTCCAGAAAATTGGGGCCCATGTACGCTTTGGGAAGCAGTAGAGACCTGCACCGTTTAGAACAACATGATCGAACTGTCGTGTTGAAGTTTTTTACGATGGATAACGGTCGTAACGCATAATTCATTGATGTTCATCGCATGATAATCATGGTTTCTGTTTCCAACAACTAGCTCTCGTTCACTTGAGTAGGTTGAGATGGATTTGAGGTTGAACGAAGGAAAAAACGAATCAATAACGTCGGGTTTGGATCTCCTCATCGCTCAGCGAAGGTGACACACCTGAGATTAGCACACCGACAAAACGACCACGTCAGCTGCAAACACAGACATGATAGTGCGTGACTCCACCAATAACACACAGCTTTTGGAACAATATCACGATCGCTCCTTAGACAGAGACCACTAGGGGTCACTCAAATGGACAGACAAACGCGACAGACCATTAGCATTAAAGATTTCTCTGAATCGTGATCATGATGAGGGAGTTGTTCATGATTTTTCATATTCTTGAAATCGCTCACGCTCATCTCCAGGTGAAGCATATAAATTGTGCAAGATGATGAACACGAAGAAGTCGACTAAACAAGGCCGTTGGAGTTTGATGGTTCTCGCCTCCTGCCATTTTCTTCAAAGCGTCCGACTTAATGGAAGATTGATTCTCTACCACAGCTATAATCGTTTGTATTTTCTCATGGTCACTCATGGACTCGTTACCAGAAGCAAAAACTTCAACTTTCATCAATTCGGTCGTAATATCTCACTCTGAAGACAAAGTAGACATTCTACTTTTAAGGCTATGCGATGCAACGCAAATTAGTCACCACGGCTGTGCTGGAGAAGATAGGAAAATGACCCTATAGCGAGGGCTCTGAGTGATCGCTTGAAGCAAAAACTTGCACCACATCCGTGATCAGGGAAAAAGACAGGTAGAAGAAGCAAGTGATTGCCCTTCCTTGGCACTTCCAACAGCAGCAGCCGGTTTTGGTGCTCCTGCTCCGCCAATTTAAGAAATCTAAATTTTAGAACGAGGAGCTTGATCATCGACATTAATCCAAGTCAAAGCGTGATTACTTATATTAAGAAGTCACTGCTCAGACTATCTAACGAATACATGACTCAGACGATGAGTCAACAAGTGCGACTATAGGGGATATTCATATGCGTTTGCGTTAATAAGACATTTTTTCAAAAATGCATTTACAAGGAAAAGTGAGCTGCAATAGCAAGAACCACGAATACCAAGTGTCAGAATACAAGAGAATCGATCAAAAACTCGACTGTCTATCCAAGGCGAGAGATGAAGTACATGTTCTTCACAGTAAGATTATATCGTTCATTTTTTCTGCATGTAGATTTGCCACAACGAGGACCGCATGCGCAAATCATGGGAGAAGATCAATATTTTCCGGCAAAATCCGCTGTACATACAACTACTACTACGACACCTATGCCTCTCGCAGAAGGACCTCCATCTCGGACCTGGTAACCGTAACTTCACTTTCTCCCGCATCTGAGTACTTAAACCCGAATAAGCGCCGAGTTGAAGAGGACTACTAGTACAACGCCTTGTGTTTACGATTATGTGAAAGGTCTGCGACGACCGCCCGAGGGAATCCGATGTCGCCTAAAAAATCTATTCGCAGAAGTCCTTGTTTTGTGCGAAAGCGCACTTCTGGCACGTGCAAGAAAAGGATCATCACAACGTCGCGTCAAAAAGTCTTTCTCAGTCCCTAGCATCCCAAAAACTTCTACCGGCGACACGCTAGCACAGATCAACAGTCGGAACATCGTCGAGATGAAGGGCGCCCTATGGCCAACTAGCACACCGGATCCTAATTTTTCAATCCCCGCCAGCTGATGTGATTCTGCTATGCCACTTTCACGAATTCGTAGGAGTCTGGTCGATCCAGAAGTAGTTGTCTAATTCCGTCGTCCCTATGCAGTAATATGTAGTATCTTTAGATAAACTCTACTTGATTTTCATTTCACTAGCTACTTGCGTTAGTTTCTTCGTTCCTGGATGTTGCTTCAAGAGGTTTCGGCGTGCTGCGTTTCTTTCCATCTCTTCGAATCGTAGTTGCTTCGCGTCTTCGTATATAGGTGCCCATTCCTTGTAAAAGTTAGAGGAGCTGGAGGAGCTGCTCAACTATAACGTTTAACTGAAAATAAAATGGCCACTCATCTTCCTCTACTTCCTTACCACTTTTATCACCTTCATTCTCCTTGAGGAGGAGTAGGAGTTGTTCTTTATTTAACTTTATGAAATGATGTCTGTATACCAATATTTCTACAAGAAAAGTCAAGATGCTTCTCTTCAAGATGGATTAGTCAGTAGAGCCTTAAAGATGCGCTGGAGCTCAGCTGTGTACTTCTCGTGGTAAAGATTTATCATTTCTTGAGAAGGCTCAGGAGTTCGCGGACAAGGGATGGGCTTTCCCACTACGGAGTGCACCGGCGTCCGAAACGGAAAGAGCCCTGGAAGGAAATTCGCGTGACAACAGCTATGCTACGAGATCAAGCAGCACAATTGTGGCTCTAGTTGCACAGGAGGAGGATCATGATCAGATCATCTTCATCACGTTCTTCACGTAAGTAAAAGCAATTTCCGATGGTTATCTAACACTCTCACAAACTAACCATTCATTGCCAAGCCCAAGTAAAAGTAAAAAGCCGCGTTATATAAGTCTTGCTATCCGAAAAATATCTATGAGAGACTGTTGTACCTTTTTTGAATCCGAAGAGTTTGTAAAAGATTCCGCCTGTTAGACTTCGGCCGGCAATGAGGGGCAACGCGAAACCCATTTTTTTTTGCAGCCAGTCCTGCCACTCTTTGGCTCTGCCGGTAAGCTCTACAGTCTGATAAAGGTCCGTTTCCCCAAAACTGTAGACTGGGACTAGGCTGGCGCCATTTTTTAACGCGTACTTGACAAAGCCTTTTCGGTTTTCAAGAATCTGGAGGTCGAAGATAGCAGATCAACCACGGAAGATGCTCTTACTTCGCAGTGAATCTATTAAGAAAAGATTGCTCCTATGCGTGTGCGACGAGTTCCCGCTCCAATTCTAAGTGCATTTAAAGATGCATGCATACAAATGGGCGTGTTGTAAAAGCTACTGCCATTGCTTCCAAGATGTTGGTGGCATCTAGCTTCATCGTCCCCTACTAGTACTACTAGAGTTGTACTTGGAATTGGTGTAAGTTTTGATTTTTAGGATTAGGTATACAAATTATTATAATTAAGACTTGCCGTAATTCATCTTAAGAGGCATCCCTGACACGTTTTCAAGGGGGAAATACGTCAAAGATGACTTCCAAGATGAATTGTTGTAAGCTCTAATATAATTAAGTACAACAACTACAACAACAACGATCTTTGCGTTTGAATCATATCGAAAACGAAATACCAAGACGTTATTGCCAATATCGGATTCTAGCGATTCTTTCGCTCCTCCTGGAACAAGCGCCACGCTCTTTCCTCGCCTCAGATTATTCGTGATACTCTGTGCTGATACGTCCTGCAAGCCTAGTGCTAGCAAGAACTCCCGCCAGAAAGGTATCTGAAAGTTGATCTTCATGGTCAGTAACCGCACGTCGATACCAGGGAAGAGAAGATCGAAACCGGTGGCGAAGGTGGAAAAATTCAGCAATGCGCCGACTGACAGGATGCCGTGTGGGTGGTATCCAAACATGTAAGCCTTGCTCGGATCTAGCTTGCATGTGCGCGTTAGCTGAACAAAGTACATTTGGAGCTGCAGTGTTGAGGCACGTTGTGCAACGAGTTCGCTAAGACGAGATGCGGTTGTTTTTGCGTGGAGAGTAAAGTAGAGGTTCCAGAGTGCAGTACTAGTTGGAAATTAAGTACCCTACGCATGCACATGCAGGCAAGAGAGGATTTGGATGTTTCTGTCTTCGTGGACGAACATCACTGAAAAGCAGCAGGGGCGGCTACAACTATTTGTACTTCAAATTATACATTAGATAGAAGAAACTGCGAGTAGAAGTTGTTGAAGATAAAAAACCTAAGAGAGTATAATTATTACCTTCACCGGAAAATACATCGCCGCGTGCCTGTAGACGCGACGCCTTCGGCAGGAAGGACAGTGTCTGTCGTATTTTCGTGGATGAAAGACACGACTCCATATTTCTGACAAGACGTAACAAAAGAGGCTCCACGCAGTTCGCACACTCCCACCTACTATCGTGTTTGCACTTTCTGGTCCACCGCTTTCTTTTGATGACACGGAGGAAACGTCCGAAGCGACTGAAACGACAGATGCGGAGATAGATCCGCGACGTGAGGAGACACGACGAGCTGCTGTGGACGACGATGGTGATGAAGATGATGATCTTGTACAACTAGTAGTTGCTGATGGTGATGTCGATGTGCCTACTTTTCCTTCCACGCCGGCCTCTGCTGGTGGATCCTTTTCCTCTTCTGTTCTTAAAAAAGTTCTCCCTCTTGAAGTTCCAAGAATTTCCCTACTCCTCGGCTTTTTTGCGAGGACCACACTCGCCGCGTCAGAAGGAGTGTCTGTCAATGGTGAATTCTCTGAGGAGGGCGCAGCCGTGCTAAGCCCCTCAATGTCACCTCGACAATCGGAATCGCCTTCAGCTATCCACTCATCTACGCTTGAGCCGTTTCCTCCCGTGCTCAGCATGTACCGTAATTGCTCTCTTCGATCCTCCTCTTCTTCTAGGTCTTCGTAACCGTCCACAGTCAGCTGCGAGGAATCTTGATCTTCTATATCTAAGTCATTTTGATTTTCGTCGTCTACTTCAACATCGTCTGCAAGTTTTCGTTCTTGATCAGCACGAGCAGCACCTCGACCTCGCCGAAACTGTAGTCTACGACCTCCGGGTTCGTCGTTGCAGTTAAGATTCTTGTTTTGTAGTTTGTTTGTTCCGCCAGATATTAAATTTAAAGGTAGTCAATCTCAATCAACACTATGCGTGGCCTCCGTGTGTCCATTCCCCTTGGTTTCATTTTCTTGAAATCTTCAGGGGGAATCTAATCCACTCAGGATATCTCATAAGCGATCATGATCGACTACCCATAAAAAAGGTGAATCTACTTGTGGTTCTGCCACAGATGCTTCATGATCGTTGAATATATCTTTTGGCATGTCTTCACCACTCTTTTTTGCTTCGAACCAGCCGGTTGAGGCACCATGATCAATGAAGAAGATCCAGGATACGTACCCAAAAAAACAGAGCCTCATGGGACCAACGAAATTGACAATACTTTGGCTGGTTGCTTCCGCTTCTTGCGGAGTAGATATCGTCATTGCCAGGGTTAAAAACCTGACGAGTCAAATTAATTACAAAAAATGATAAACAACATACTTATTCATCCCATTGCCGGCTTTTAATGTTGTCTTTCTTGTTGTAATGTAACGATGAGCACATCAATAACTAAATATGAGTTATATTTATATATGTACCAGGGAGGGAGCCCCCCCCTGTGGCTGGGTCTGTGGTGGACCACGCCAGAGGGGTCCAGCCTGGCCGCCTTTGCCTGGTCTGTAGGGTTAGCCACATGCAGCACGCCAAGGGGGTGGGTCCCGCCTTGCCTCCTCTGCCAGCTCTGTCGGGTACCGCAACACGCCAGAGGGCGCCAGCCTTGCCATCTTTGCCAGGTCTGTAGGGTACACGCAACACGACAAGCGGGCCAAGTCTTTGCCACCATTGCCAGGTCTTTAGGGTACATGCAACAAGGCAGCGGGGCCCTGCCTTTGCCACCTTTGCCAGGTCTGTAGGGTGCACGCAACAAGGCAGCGGGGCCCTGCCTTTGCCACCTTTGCCAGGTCTGGAGGGTACAGGCAACAAGGCAGCGGGGCCCTGCCTTGCCTCCTTTGCCAGCTTCAACGCCCTGCGGTTTGGTGGCGCTCTAGGGTACAGGCAAGAAGCGGGAAGGGGTCAGAAGTGCCCACTTCTGACCCCTTCCCGCCAGGCAATCCCTCGAAACGAGGGGCCGGGGCTGGCAGGCCCCCCCTCAAAAAGTTAGATCGGGGGGGGGGCCTCCAGCCCTGAGCCCTGGAACATATATAATGATCAACAAGGAAGAAGAAGATCGTGTCTGTGTCAAAAGTAGTGTAGTTTCAGATCCAGACTTTAAGTAACAAGTCAGTGCATGAGGTTGGAAATCAAATACTTTTTTATCCGGAGACACAAATAGATAAGCGTACCACGTGGCAAATTATAGTAATAGCTGTAGCTACGCATGAATGATAATCACTCCATCCTTGTACTCCCTCCACCTCGAGCAACAGAAGTACAAGCATTTGATGAAAGACTAAGAAAAAGAATGTGCCTGTGCGTCGTCAGAAGTAACAAGTATCCAACAACAAGAGGACATCAAAGAAAAGTACCTAAGCAGCCAGCGATCCGCGCAGAAAACGAGCCAAAACGAGAATGTGAGTATCGTGTTCAGCGCGGTCAAGAAGAACAAGAGGATAGCTCGTACTTGCAAGCGGTCGTTACCTGACCATTGACCGACTTTGCCAGGCCACAGCCAGACGCCTAGATATGTTGTCCATATGGCGGCACACGCGCAGCCAAAGCGTCCGAAAAGCATATACGCTACGTCCAGATCTATCACAGCAGCCGTTATCAACAAACCATACAAGACACGTTTCTTCACCGTAAAATGTCGCTCACTTCGTAGAAAAGTCGCCGTGAATGTGCGAACTTCCTTTTCATCGTCAAGCGCAGGCTTATTCATCGGCAATGTGGCTTTAACGCTTCCTCCATTTGGCGACACAGTTATTTAGAAACAAGGCTCACGACATTTTCTGTTCCGATGGTCTAGTCGTAGTAAAAAAACGTACTAGTTGAATTTCACTAGCTCTAGCAGCCTACTTGGAAGTACAACTCGTTACATATTGCGGACAATTTCCTGTAACTGCCTAGTGGATTTTTTGCAAATCAAAGAGATAGAAGTGGCCACTCAAACTACGCACGAGCATCTTGAGGTAGCACAAGCAGTGGGAAACAAGAACCAATACCAAAGTTGTACTATGTATATTTACAATTCCTGTGCGGTCGTGCGGGCGTACGCCAGACCATAACTGTTGTCGATAAAGAATTCTTCCTCAAGCACACTCTTCAACCGTCGTGCTCGAAAGGCCTCCTTGTTCATCAACATGCTTGGCGTGGGCGAATTTTCCTCCGAACCTTCTGCTTCTGCGCCAAGAGATAAAAGTACATTTTTACCTTCAACGTCCTCCTGTTGTCGTTGCAGATCGATCTTTACTCCCGTGATGGTGGCGTCTGGACCCCGGGCAACGTCATCTTTGGCAATCTTCTGCGCACCTCTTTGTCGCAGTCCCATGGCCTCGTCGGGATGAAGCGAAGTCATGGTGACGGTGTTCAGATAGCAGAGTAAGCCTTTCTTGCAACGAATCTACGCACACCTTTGCAAAGAAGGCGCATGGACCCAGAACGAAAATCCAAGTAAAGGCACGAGGGTGCTTACCGTCATATTTGTCCGCTCTTTTTGCAGTATTACCGAGTGACTTTCAAACTGATGTACTCAATTATCTTATGCAATGTCATGGACAAAATGAAACAAAAAAGCAATGACCCAAATCGAGATGAAAAATAGATAATATTGCGAAGACAGACTTCGAGAAGATGGGCTAGAAAGCCAAAACGTGCAATTCTCGTACTGAATAGCCGGCGCAAGGACGCAAGTAGCTGAAGGACAATGAAGATACTTATGCAGAAAAAATCATGAATATTAAATGATTCTTCAGCTTGTTCGGTACGCAAGAAATTATACACAATTCCAAGCGAGGTCGGGATTGCACTCATCAATTATATTTTCGTTTTTTAGTATCGCGGAGGGTGCGGGGAAGGGAAGTAGAGGAGGAAGGGATGGGGGAAAAAGTCCTTTAGCTTTAGGCCAAGTCTCGCTGGCTCGCTGCGCCCTTTTCATCTTAATTAACAATGAATCAAATACTGCTGCCAGCACGCACTTGCAAGTGAAAGATCCTCTCCTTACAACCTTTCATCGTGTGAAGATAGCTTGCCAACCTCGGAACAAAGAGCTAGTTGCTTTCTCCAGCAAGCCTCAGAACAAAGTGAGTTATTCCTCCCGATCACGGCTATCAAACAAAGAGACAATGCAGAGAACACTGTTCACCTTCAAAACATTGTAATAAATCTGGTATGGCCTCGGTTTCGTCCTGTTCGTGTTCCTGTCCTACAAATTCTGTCTTCCTGCTCTTCTCGGCAGCTGCGACCTTTGATAATGATGGACATTGAAAGAACAGATTAAGTAATTATGTTTATGCTGACGCATACCGAAGCTTATGTTTAGGCGGGTTTCAAAAACAGGTAGGCGTGGGGCCGACTCATGCGTCAAGTGAGTCAGTGTGTACGTGGGAGGTAGGGTGCTGAAAGTGAGGTGTGTGCGTGATGTATGTCTGTGAATATGAGTCATCTTATGGCGTCTGAAGACGGCAGGGGGAAAAGGATATAAAGTTGCGTATCATGATGTGGGGAACGTAAGTAATTGTATCTTCGACTTCGGTATGGATCATGGATAATTCACTGTAGTGTCCACAGAGACGGTTGCATCTAGTATCGCAATATCGATATTGAACATCAAGTATCTACTTCTCCGGAGAGCATAACCATAAGTACATATCATCATGAATATGTTGAATGTGAAGATGTGTAGTACGAGTATGTTGGTGTAGAAGTTGCTGTACCACCTAGAGCCTAATTTAATTGTAGTTCTACGGATCATGAACATGATATTGTGGTTCTATGCAGCTTTTGTTCTCGAAGACGATCGGGGTGATGATCTGTTCCGTGCAGAGCCTGGTGTGCTTCCTCCTGCTGCTCGTTCTTTTGTGAGGTCCCAAGCATTGAGAGCTTCGAACGCTTGGTACATCTGGAGGAAGTTCGTCGCTTGCTTGAAAATATGTAGTGGTAGCGCGATCAGGAAGGCGGCAGTGCAAACTTGGAACGCAAGGGCTTCGCCGCTCGCAGCTGCGCTTCTGGAAGCTATATAGTTCGAGTTCTCTGCAGTGAAATACATGACGTAGAGTGCACAGTACACGATCTGCTCCGCAAGACATACGGTAAACAGCACGGCCTTGTTCTTGTAGTACAATCGAATCAGACAGTTGCTATTGGACATGTCTTTATGGCTAGTCTGACCTGTCCTGAGCGACGCGTACCTGCAACAAATTTTGATTTGAAATTAGTACTTTCGCGACTTTGACGGTTCTTGCATGTACGTCCTTCTCCTTTGGTCACCTTCTTTATGATCAGCTATCAAAAAATCCTCCAGGCTGCATGCAATTACACGAAATTTTATTTGTAGGTTTGTTCTCGAAAAATCATATGAATATTTGATGCAAGCTTAAGCTAAGCAAGAGAAATAGATAATACTAGACCGACTTCTGTAGGAGTAGTATATCTACAGACAATATTTTTCAGTAGAGGGGGCGATGTTGATGTATCATTGATTTTCTTTTTCAGACGTGATGCATATTTTCAGCGTAAGTATCTATAAGATAAAAGTACATGTGTATCCAATGGCTCACAACGTCGAGGACCATGAGTGAGAAGAAAACCATTGCGTAATCCACATAAAGGTGTGCCAGTACCGCAAGGAAAACGTTCGTTGAACATCGGTCGATTACCTCGAAGCACATATGTATTTTTGATAGACCAGAGCGGACCAGCTACAATCCTGAGTCTGGCTTAGTACTCTGGAACTACAGCAGATTTTGATTGGAGGAGAGTTGAGATTGTGCAGTTGCAGCGGGACTCAGTGTCAGTCTAAGTAAAGATATATATAAATCGACTACCATGTCCAAAACCGCGCCCATCTCTGATGTTTGGTTGAAGTGTCGTGCGGCCATGCCGTCGAACGCATCTAAGAATGCCGAACTTGCGAAGAAGAAGGCTGCTCTAGCGTAGTCTGTGTATGCATAATGGAAGGAGACAAACAGCAATAGCAACCGTCCATAGTCGATGACGTTAGGGATGTAGAGGTAAGGGGACAGCGATGAAGCCGGCCGAGAAACATCAGATTTTCTGCCGCTGTTTCGCGGCGAAGAACCACTGGTGGAAGCCATCTTTCCTGATGCAGTAGCAGTTATAAATATAATTATAAGTCCCCTTTTCAAAGATTAATGCGTTTCAAATGCGAGCGACTGCTTAAGAAAGACATCAAGATGAAAACAAGTAGAGCCACTTGTTTGATATTGATTCTCTACAACTCAACTTCAACACAACTATCTAAATTAAAATGTATCACAAAATCAACTTCAAGATAATACTCGAACCAGTAACTGTTCAAGGCGATTGACATTCATAATCTATCAACTTCATTCATTCTTTACTCGCCAGAAATCTGGTGCGTTGACTCCACCACGTGTGCCTCGTTTTATCGTGACAACAGAAAGAGGGCTAGAAGTGCGGAGCGAAGTGAGAGGTGAAGGAGATACCCTGAAACACGTTTACGATTTACTCCACAGTCCGGAGTACTAGAGAAATGCTGATAGAATTTTGCTGAGGACGCATTTTGTCAATCTGTCAAATTGAAATCCACGCTTACAAAGAACAAGTAGTATAGCACCTCGAACCAAAGGCAAAGAAGATCATCCTCGCAAGTAGTAGACGAAGCAAGACGGGGAAATTTCCATTGACAAATCAGATGATAAAGGGACGGGTCGTTGCTTTTTTGTCACCGATGTAGTGGTCCCTTTCAGCTCTCGCTAGTACCAACGATCTTCGTCGAAGAAAAAAGCTTCAAGCAGAGATAGATGTGACCGACCTCCAGGTGCAGCTAGTAGGAGTTTTTTTGTGGATCCAATATTTTTCAGATCTTTCATCTTGATCTTCTAGCGAAGAAGATCCCAGGCTCTACAAGAAGTTGAATCTTCCTCATTGGAGATGGAGTCAAACAAGAGTAATCTCTTCTACAACTGGATCCTGCTGAAATAGGAGTAGAATACGTCCTCGATCGCCGAATTTCTCGACAGATGAAAAGATCAACCAAGAAGAAGCTGTCAATCTCAACGACGGTTAAACATCACGAGCAACCGCTGCTGCAGGGGAACTGAGTGTCAAGCAGCTACTTCTGCATCAATTTACAACGCCCATGTCGCATAGAGATGAAAGAATCCATGATATTCATCTTTATCAGTATTAAACACAAATTCAGATTGCTGAAAAAAAACCTGAAATCGAAGAAGAAAATTGTTCTGTCTACTGTAACTGTAAGAGCAAGTGAAACTCTAACTACCTATACCTATTGATACCTCCTAAAGAGATTTTCAATACCCTTTCTTACTTTGCGCGTCTGATAGATTCACTTCATGATCCAAGAAGGACTCCCATTGCAATTCATCGTCATCCTTTGTGAGAAAGTTGTTTGAACTTAAGACTTTCTTCTTCTTTACAGGACTTGCAAGCTTCTATCGCACCGCGTTATAATTGGTATCACCACTTGTGCTTGATGCAGCTCGGCTTTCGCACTAGTATTGAATGAAAGACATTATAATATAGAAAAACTGATAGGGTCTCATTTGTAATCCTGAAGAATCATCCATGATTATCTATCACGAAGATCATCATCAACCTACAAACATACAATATTAAACATCCCAATTCTATTTTTGCTTAATAGACAGAAAAAAAATAGCTCTGCGAAAACGCGCGAATCGAAGAAAAGAACTCATTGCAATGCGCTTACGGAGAAAAGTCGGTCTCTAACTCGACTAGAACTCATCAATAATCATGTGCCATCCAAAAACAACTGAAACTGATCCTGACAACTCATAACATTTCGACATTAATCGAAAATCTGAAAACTGTACAAAAAAGGACTCTAAAAACAAAAAAACAGTTCCGATGCTTGCTTATACTAAGTACGCTTAGTCCATTATGGATTTCTTGTCAAATTAGCCCGGCATAGTACCCATCATAATTTACAACTTAGGAGTCCCTTATTTTCGCTTTGTAATGTTTGTAACCAGAAGTAGGTCAGAGTTTTCTTCAGCCCCAAATCCTTGATGTAATTTTTGTTGACGAAGAGCTTCACGTTCATGAGGCGTAGTTGTAACTGTAGCTAAAAACTTTAGGCTTTTTTACTAAAAAACAGCTGCGAACTCGGTATAGTTCAGCATGTCATCACCGTCACGATCGCAGGCGCGCCAAAGTTCGTCGAGGTCAGGATCTGAGAGGCTCGGATTATGTTTCGACACGAGACTTTGGAATCTTAGTTGGTCGATGCCTACCCCCTGTCGATTGGACCGGCACAGGTCGTGATATAACGCCAGCTTCATAACCGAATCCAGTTCATAGGAGGATGGTGTTCCTTGTCCGATTGCAGAAGAAGAGCTGCGAAGATTGGGTGACCCAGAGCGACGCGCCGCAGCGCGCACAAGGCTCTTGCGTGTTGTGCTCAACGCACACTGCATCCACAGCGGCATTGCTTGTACTCTCATGGACTTGGGTGGGGACAGTCTACCATCTGGCGCTGCTCTCGCAAACGAAGGCACAGCTGTGATGTGTGTTGGTGATAACTCACTAGTGGCCGCAATTCGCACCTGCGGGCGTGAAAAGGAGGCTGTTGTTGCAGCACGCAGGTCAATATTTGCAGTCAAAAATGATGGCACTACACTTTTCACCTTCTCGTCCCATGACGATGGAGCATTCGCCTCTTCACCCGTTTTTATCTCGTTTTGTACTTCTGTGCTGTAGTCACCCGGGAAATTACGTGCTCTTTGGACACTGGAACGGTAAGCGTCCTTAGCAAATGCTACGGTCCGTGCAGCAGCTGCCGACGCCGTCGCGCTAGGAAAAACTCGCTGCTGTACCGCTGCGCTAGTGTAGGAGGGTCTGTCAGCGCCAAGTCGGTCTCTCGTAGATGAGGAAGAACCCAGTAATGGGAGCATGCCGACCTCGTGGTCGTCGGCAGGTGGTGCGGATGGTGACCCGTCGTCAGCCTCAGTATACCCTGCGTCCGATGGCGAACGTAACACAGGATACTGCGTCGGGGGTTTCACCTCGGCCGCTGGGCTCTTACTCGCAAATGCTGGAGTCGAAGCACCTGCATCTGCGAGTTCGGTCAGAGACGGCGGTGATATCTTTGAAGCGACATCTGTAGACGCGTTTACTCCTGCACTACCGCCAAATAGTAGGTTTTGCACTTGCTGGGAGTACGACACTGAAGCAGCTGCACTTTCGTGTGCTGGCGGCGGTGGTTGCGGCAGTACCCCAACCGAAATCGGAAGTTGCTGACCGGAATTCATGTTGAACACGTTTTGCTTTAGGTTTGGCGTGGTGTACAGCCCGGGCAATCGTGCTGGCGATCGATTGGGGTTCGGGGCGAAACTTGGATACGAAACAGGTGTGGCACCAGCCACGACCGCGCCTCCTCCAAGGGTACTGACTCCACCATGATTGGACCCGGATGAAAATCGCAAAGCTTCCCGGTACAGCTTTCCGGATGGGGAGGTCGTTGGCGAAACAGAGTCAGCGCTGCTCCTCTGATTATTTACGGATCCCCCCGCACCTCCAGAAGCTCCGATAGCATGCAGGCGCTCGCGCTGCTGTTGCAGAAATGACGGAGTGGTAGTGCCGGCACCGCCGATGCCGGACATGCGGAGGCCAGCAGGAGGGGACAAGTGCCCTGTACCAGCATGGTTGGCTACGTTGCGGAATTGTGAGGAGTTCCCGAATTTGAGTGTTTCACCCAGTTGAGTAACGCTGTCGTAACCACATGATGACGATGGTCTTGCCGAAAACCTCACACTTTTGTTGGTCGATGGGGCGCTAGGACCCACGGCCGCAAAGCTGGTCTTCTCCAACATCGCGGTTGTTCGAAACTGTTGTATTTGTTGATTTTATCTATCAAGGAAGTCCTCGTGACCATCTTTGTCTTTCATACGTCTGGATCAAAATCGATGATTGAATCATACAAACATCCATTTCCAAGTGATGTTCTGAAATTTAACTACTCGTTGTACTCCACCCAGTAAAGCCTCTACTCACTTGCCGCTCTTGCTGAAGCAAGCACTCTAGCATCTCTAGATCTAGTTGCGTTGAAGTTAATACGCTAAGTTTATAGCACGAATACCTTTGCCCCTCTGCGCGCTTCGTCCAAAGCAAGTGGGAACTCCGAGTAGACAACTGTGTAAACAAGAGTCTGAAACTCAGCCCAGGTGAACCAAAAAATTGTGGGATCATTGACCTGTTCCAGGAAAGCACCTATCTCTTCCTCGCCTTGAAAAGACACACCAACCTTGCAATGTCGTGTCACTTCGCGACCAAGCTTCGTCCATTCATCCTCGCGCGAAAGCGAGCCCGTAAACGGTTCAAACATGTAAAACGGGTTGCGGATCTAGGAATGAAGGAGTGTTTGCGAATGGAGAAGTCGTCCGAAAGATGATAATACTGAAGAAGTCGTGGCTCTAGTTTCCATGAACATGTAAGAACACAGAAGAGAAAGAGAAAGAGTAACGTTGTTGTATTTCCTATTCCTGTTTTATGTTACAACGAGCTGAAGAAGGTGTCCACGACTGTGTGAATTAGCTCCGTCGTCGACCACGCAAAATTACCAGGAAGTCTAGCTGCTCTCGTTCTCGATACGCGGATACAACATTCAGCACTAGGTGAAGAACTCAAAATTCAACTTTTAACACTTCGAATTACTTTTCTACCTTCAACAAACGGTGGCGCTCTTGCCCGCTGACGATGTCCTTGCAATCGATTATGCTGTACAGCTGATGAGCCAGGAGTCCAAAAGCGCTAGCATTTGAGTCTTCTGCTACTGGTATGAAGTTGCAAGCGACAATGTGGCCCTCATTCGTCAAGTTTTTCAGGGACTCCCAGACAGAATCGGACGTAACTGCATTCTCCGAGACCTGCTGGTGTGATTGTTCAGTGTGCATCTGTGAGAGTCACAGTCACACATTTGGTTTTGGAGGACTTCTAATTCTTTATAGATATTGATCGGAGTTATTCGTATTCTTGTCGCCACAGGAAAAATAAGACGAAAGCGTAGCCGAAGCTTGCGAACATCCGCATGCGCATGGGCTGAACTTTAAGTAGGTGTAGGCTGGGGCTCGAAGCTGAAAAAGATAGAAATAGATCTGTAAACATGATGAGCCTCTAATTCTACTTGGTTTTTGCTCCTTGTGTTTTATCTTCAAAGGCTTACGTCCCAGAAGGTGCATTCGGCAAAGTGACTGTCTGATCCTAGATGGCCTTCGCCCCAAGTGTCAACGAGGTTGGATTGTTTGCGTGCCCATGGGAAAAAGACTTGATAGCCTGAGACGCCCGACAAAATGGACCAGATAAGACAAGCAGATACGCCGTTCAGCATTCCATAAGTCCCAAACAACTTACCCAGCGCCTTTTCAAGCAAATAAGGCCACAAGGCGCCGCTGTAACGACCTGTTGTAAATGAGTACTTAATATTAATATAAATATTGAAATATTGGATAAACTCGTTGGGCTCTGTTCGTGGAAGCAACTGAGAACACTTTAAAGAATCATTTTATCTCTTCAAATGAGAAGAGAGGAATGCGCAGTAATCACTGCAATTAGTTCAATCACAATAGAAACTGTCTCTTGCGGAGCTCAGGCAACCGCGAACTTGAGGAGTTAACCCGTAGGTCATAAGAAGGCTTCGTCAGAGAAGAAATGTTAATTATAAGAAATGAATGGAGCTCATCCCATCGACGAGCACAAAGAAGTTTGCATGTGAGTCGATGATTTGTACGACGCTCAAAACAAAGACGAGCCAGATTCATCGATTTGGTGGGATGCATTGTTTGTTCTGGTGGGGATCTCGTGGCTACGATTGTCTTGGTGGAACACGTTCTCTCGTCATAGTACCTACTAAATTTCCTCCGAGTGCTGCTTTTACTTACTTAAGAAATTTACAATTCCCCGGTCTTAGAGTGACGAGAAGAGCGTTACTCTGAATACCATACTAAAGAAGATTCTATTTCATACCAAGTGTTACCTTTCTAAACGAGTCCCCACCTTAGACGTTACCGCTAGTCGGTCTACTCACAGAAAAACCTCTACTGTCTGGATCGTGGTTTGCACACTTCCCGGAGTATGTTCTTCATTCTCAGCTCCTCCTTGCCAAACGATATCCCTTTTCTGTAGCTCCCTAAGTACGCCGATTCCATCTCCGCGTTTGTCTCCCGGACCGGTGACCCAGTGGAAATGGCCACGCATCAGTTCACGGAACTTCTCTCGCTTCTTGTTACATGATGCGAAGAACTTCGTCATGGTGTCTGACATGTTCGAAGGGTCAGATGTGTGTATCAGTGACTTTTTCGAGCGGTGAAGTAGTTGCTTGCTTCTGGTTATTGCTTTAAAGACGGCGGCATCCGTTTCGAGTCCTGCAGTTCTGGAAAGGAGCCTCGCGATTAGTCCGGCATTATCGACAAAGTCGTGCTGTTGCATCGCATCTGCAAAGTCGGTTACGTCCTTTGTTATTAGTCCGCCGGGTACGAGAAGAGTCATGTCGGCAACCTTGGTCTTCACTTGCTCGGTACGCTGACTAGCTCGATCATAACCTAGCGCTTCGGCCCCGTATGACCCCGTAGCCGCAGTGTCCACTACCTCAACGAACCAATCTAACATCGTCGTCCTTAATGGTTTCTCGGTCTCGATAGCCTTGCTCAGCTCGCTCCTGTCACAGGCGAGTATCGTGCAAGCAACCATCGGTCGCATTCCGTCAGCGCGTGCCTGTGCTAGAGCATCGCTACCGGCTGGAAGGTATTCTGCCATCCCTTTGTTGTTTTTCGTCTTGTCCTCGCGTTCTACCTTGACTGGCCGGCTCTGAAAACTACCGTCTGAAAACTGTAAAATCACTGGATCCTTGATACTCAGCCATAGCCGAATATAGACTTCATCCTGCAGCTTCTTCATGGACTGCACCATGCTATTAATCCGCTTAGCATTATTCACATCACGGTCGGCATCGTTTCCACTACTAAGCGTTCTCTGTTCGTACAAGAAATCACATGCCCATTCGGCTATCCATCCAGTAGATCCTCGTGTCCCCTTCAGTCTGGTGACCTCAGTTGCCGTCAAAAGACGACTGCCATCATGACAGATGCCTCCTGCTGCCTCCTCGTCAGTCTTCCACTCATTCAGCTCCCTAATTTTTTCGTGTAGACTGATGTCCAACGCTTGCTTCCCTTCACTATCCTCCACCAACCGCACCATCTTCCCGGTGAAGGACTCCCAGTCGCTGCCTACTTTCACGAAGTTCTCCTCCTGCAACGATCGGAAAGCGCGCCGCATTCGCGAGTGGATGCTTTCTTGTGCTCCAGCAACTGTCGCGTCGCCGATGACCATGAAGTCGTCTACATGTGAACCAAGATACGCAATAACTCGGCCTTTCTCTCCGAGAACTCGATAGACAGTTGGCGATAGCGATGCCGGAACGCACTGATCCCGCGTCAGCTCAGTTCGGCTTTTTGAGTAAAACGCGTAAGAAGCATCCAGGAGACCATATTGTGGCACCCTAATTCCAAGTCTGTCCTGTTTCGCATACTTCAACCCGTTTTCGTTGTTCACGATGTTCAGTGCTTTCTGAAAACTTTCTCCGAATTCACCATCGCCACAGCCAGGAAACCGCATCCGAGGCATGTCCTTCTCCGCGTATGGTTCACTGATGTTGAATGCCCGTGGTACGTCGAAGAACTCGACAAAGCATTTCGCAAAAGCGCCAGCAAGTAGGGACATGATGCGTAGTTCTAGAGGTGCAAGCGTAGGTGATGCGTTTTCTGACCGCTCTGTGGGTCTTTCTTGCAGATGACCACCTGGTGCCCATCGGCACTTAATCACCACATTGTATTCATCCTCATACTTGATGTCAATGATGAAACGACTTGTGAGCAACTCCTTTTCGCGTTGTCCTCCTGACTTCCACTCCTTACCCTCCTCTTTCAGCACATTCGCCATCTTCTCGCCATTCTGTGGAGTTAGCGTTCCTTTCAGCTCCTTTGCTATTGCGTAAGCAATGTGCTCTTTCGCCTGCAGCTGTGAGATCGCGGTGGCGGGAGTCATGTCTGGCAATTTCCTTGCAGACCTCAGTCGCTTTCGCATTGCCGCGGTAAACCCATCTGAATGGATCGACATCACTCGACTTTCTGGCTTACCAGAGTCAGCCGCGAATGTGCGCGCAAATTCAAAGCGTAGTGCTCCCATGGTCTTTGGTGGCCACTCCTTACACATCTTCACTGATCCTTCGCGCCCTCCTTCTTCAAAATAAAAGCCGGTAGATGTTCTATCTTCATGTAGTGAGTTCGACAGGTCATACTTCTTGCTCGCTGCGCATCCCCACACTATTGAGATCTCATCGCAAAGCCATTTTGGCTTCACCCAATGTCCGTCGATTGGTGTGTCGCGGAGATAGTTCACCAGTGTCGCGAACTCTGATGTCTCAACATGTGCGCCCTTAGCACGTATCTCGAAAAGACGACGGACAATAGTCCCAAGTGACCTGCTGTCCTTCTCAACTGGAATCCCCAGCACGTTGTCCTGTGTGGCTTCCCAAGTTGCAGTCGATCTAGTGGTGGTTGGTTTCTCAAGCTTCATCTCCATCAATTGTGCTTCAACATGTTCGCACATCTTGCTGAACTGCTCCTCATTAATGTCTACCATGTTGACACCAGCAGCACGCCATGCTGCTTCCAAATCGTCAACCCGACGCCACTGCCCTTTGATCTTTATCATCCTGCGCTTACTACATCGCCTTCTGCTATTTGTTCCAGTGTTCACAGTCTTCGGCAAGGCAAAACGAACACGACGCTGATGTTTCTTTGATCCTTTAACGAAGTGACTATCAGTTTCTCGAGCAGGTTCTTCCGCCGATGTATGTGTAGAGTCCCTCTTGCCTGTACTTTCACTAACGTCCGGAACTAATCCCTCCTCAACCGTGTACGCAGTCATCTCCATATCAGCGCTCTGTGCTTCTGTATCCTCCTCAGCACCATCCTCGTCTCCTCTCCCGACTTCTTCCGAGCCACTGTCCAGCTCGAAGTCTGGTGCAAACTCTATGACCTCTTCTCCACCAAAAGTAACAACGGCATCAGGGATCCCCAATCCTTCAACTACACCATCACCATCAACATCGGCCGCTTCTCCAGGATCAACATCATTCCCCGTTCCTCCTTCTTCATCCACCTCGGCTTGTTGTTGGTACATAGTCAAGTCGGAATGGATTGGATTCAAACGTTTCTCACTTATCCAAGTTCCTCCCAGTGATAGCGCATCGTCTGAATAGTCACCGCATATGACCTGAGGAAGTAGATGCACGCAGCGCGTCTCGTTCGCCGGAAAGGTTGGATCGACATACCGCGCCTCGGCGCAGTCAAGACAAGATACCAACTTGCTTGAGGTCGAGCTCTTCTTCCCATGCACTCGCTGCACCAGGTCACCATTCCTCGCTTGATCGCAGAGGTCATCGAGATGTGGTAAGTCAGAAGCTGTGATCTCTGTTGTCAGCGGCATGCATGCCAATCGTTCCGAGTCCACCACCGGCAAAACCAGTCCTCTTTTCACATACTGTCTCGCTGTTGTGCCACTCAGTGGCTTCAAGATGTACTTGGCGCCGTTTTCACTTTGTCCTTGGAAGGTTGCCGCACGAGACTTGTTGTCCTTGTCCTTCCACTCGACTAGGTCCCCTACAGCCGGGACAAAACCATGTGTGTCGGTGGTGATCCGTCGTCGCAACTCGCGTAATGCTGCATGCAGGTTCGCATCGAGCATCGCTTCACTACGGCACATTCTCATGGCTTCACGGTGCTCGGCCCTCAAAAGCTGGCTTTTCTTGGCTGCTCCTACGTCCCAAAACTGCAATGAGTCAGTCCCTGGCGCCTCGTACTTCCCGTGTATTCGCCATTGGTCGCCGTGTTCTAGAAACGATCTCCACTGATTTCGATCCCGACGCGACCATGTTGCCAACGGTACTTGTACACTCAGTGGTAGATGTCGAAGAAGAGGATGCTTCTGCATGATATGCAGTTCTGTCTTCAGGTGCAGATTGCTCACTTCGGCCTCACTCAGTGCCCGTGGCGAATTAATAGTCACAATCATGACCCGTATGCCCACTCCCAGAAGTACTAGCACAAGCTCCCGGGAGATGTTTTCACGCCCTGGGTCCAGCACCAGAATTCTCCCGATGTTGTCGATGTTTCTCGAGACGAAGCCTATGACGGCCTTCTTGTTAGGGTAACCCCTTCCTTTCTTGCTCTCCTCATCATCTTCCTCTTCGTCCTCCTCTTCATCACCGAGCTCTCGCGCTTCTCTTTTTGCAGCAGCAACTCGTTCTCGTGCTCCTTCGTTCTCCAGCGCATTCACGTACTCATCTGGTTCGACGGGATCCTGATCACCAGCTGCTCCACCGTACTTCACCTTGAGAAACTTGTCCCCCGTGTATTCTCCCCACGTATCGTTCGTCACCTTGCGCACAAGTTGTACAACAGCTCCTGGCGTTATCATCAGTGACGCACTAGCGAAGGTCGTGTCCAGCATTGAAACGGCTGTGACATCAACTGCGTTCCACGAACCGATAGACTTATGGATCGGCCATGCAGTGTACCGGTATGCCGTTAGACTCCTTCTCAGGACTCCCTCGATAGCAATTCGCGCGTCCTCTGCTGAGACTCCACGAAATTGCTTTCTAACGACCTGCTCGAGCATCTTCTTCGGTGTCCTGCCGACTTGTCGTTGTGTAAATGCTGCAAGCTGGTTGCACAACTCTCGCTGACGTCTATTCATCTTCCTCCGTGGATCTGATGGAATGGTCCAGTTCTTCCCATCTAGTTCATCTTGGCCTGCACTAACACTGCCGACTCCAGTTTTCACAATTCGGCCGTTTGATGTACAACGATTCCCGCTTGCCGCTAGTGACGAGACTAAAGAGAAATGCACCGGACGACGTTGATCACGCAGCTTCATCTCTTCAGCAATCAGCTCCGCACACGCAACTGCTGCCCCATGTCCACAGCCGCTCACCACCGCCACTGCGGTTTTATGGGTCGCCAAGAAGTCGACAACTGACTTCGCAAAACGCGGGAAGTCTGGGTGACCACTGATCTTTTGCTGTACTCGACAGCTAATACCAGTAAGACCTTCTTCTACTACATCCTCGATCTCCTTTGGTACTTCAAATCGAACGGCCTTCCCTCGGAGAAGAAGTGGAACTTGTTTCCCTTTGTCGCTGGAAACCACACGCCGAGTATGTATGTAGACTGGTGGGCGTCTCGGTAGCCCGGAAGAATGGTCTCAATGGTTCACCATTCTTCTTCTGTTCAACAATTGGCACTCCAATCAAGTCGACGCTGCAGATTGGCATTGCCGCCTCCACCACGTCAATACCTCTAAAGTAGTAGATTTCCACTAGATTCACGTGGCTCTCGCCTGCTAATGGTATCAATTCAGGCAGTCGCGCCCTCTTCATGAAATCGCGAAAGTCGTGGTGAATGGAGTAACGCTTGTAGATGTTGTCAAGGTCTCGAACGACGCGAATTGATGCCTTATCGTCATTGCGGCTTGATACTGATATTTCATTGGTGCCAAGAATAGTTTTCATGTACGCACACCATGACTCAGACTGCCAGTCAGCACCCAGGTCGTCTTGAAAAATTTGTCCAACAGTAGTGGCCTCGATCTTGATTAGCTGGATACTTTTCTGTTCGCCAATCGTACCACTAGAAGACTCGTTGTTATTTGGATCGATTACGAATTCAATACTCTTACTCATTCGTTCTTGTGGTGCAGCAAGCTCTGCCGCTGCCAATTTTGCTGATGCGGAAAGTGGCAAACCCCTGTTGTTCACGCCATCAGCTACCAATTCCAAAAATCTTTCATCTACGCGTTCCCACAGGTTGAGGAAGTACTGTTTCTTTACTTGCCTACCGACATAGCTTCCGCAGACGAGTCGTTCCTGTGAGTTCAAAATATCGATCTTCAAATCTATCTGTAGAGCCAGCCCAATCAGCTTGCTCGCTTCGACCGGCCAGTTGCCGTCGTCTATGACCACGCCTTCAACCGCTCCTGCAGGTACTGGACAGCCAACTGGTGCAAAGTAAACAATCGGCACGGTACCCAAAATCTTGGCGGTGCCTCCTGCTGTCTTGGCGGAGAAGTTTGCTCTTTTAACCTCTACTAGAAGACCACAGCTTTGACATCTTTTCTTGTATCTTTCAACTTCTCGTGATCCTAGAAATGTGTACGCATTAAATCCCGTGTCCACCAGCCATTTCTTCATTTGTTCCTCATCTAGTCCTCCCGCAGCAAGTGCAGTGATCTTATCTACTCCTCTTCCTATCTCCTTCCTGAAGATCTGCATTGCTGTGATCCGCTCAGAGAATTGGCCCTTACTCGCGGACCCCCTAGTAAGGGCCCTCAAAAACCCGTCTTACCACTGCTTTCGTCACCAACTCTAGATGAGGTACCCTGTACCGTAGCAGCACTACTGGCATTGTTTCCAGGTACAAAATTTGCAGCATGGGGATCTAGTTGTTGCATCTGCATCACTGCGGTACACTGTAAGTCGTCTGGGTTGTAGTCTAGTGGATCATCCAGTTCTTCGGGTATCATCTCCATGATCTCCCGCTCCGTTACTCCACCAGTCAGTACACGATTTGCCTCAAAGTCATCAACATCGATGCCGATCTGTTGCACCTCCGTTCCCGCCGTATCATATAGGGTGAGCATCGCCTTTACGTTCGAACCATAGTAACGGGGACGACGTTGTCCGCCTTGTCCTGACACTTGTGCACGCATTTTTCCCTGCACTTGCCTCAGCTTGCGAACAGCAACCGCAAGTACAGTCGTTGCCGGTTTCAGCGGGCAGTCCTTCTTCTGATGTCCTGGCTTTTTACAGTGCCAACAGCGAGGTGGCTTGCCTGCTCTCTTCTCCGGACAGTCTTTTGAAACGTGTCCTTCTTCTGCACAGTAGTAGCACACCTCCTTCCCTCGTGCTGGCTTGACCTTATCGCGAAACTTGTCGAAGGCAGCGGAAAACACATCTAGTTGATCGCCATCCTCTGAGTATCCTGTTTTGTCCTCAACAATCTCACCCATGTGCACACGCAACAGCCGTTTGTCCGAGATGTCAAGAAGGGAGTTCGCAGTTCTAATGTTTTGATGACGTATCGCGAAACGACGGATGTCCCGGTAGGTGAGGAAGGCACGCCCCGATGACTTCAGGATGTCCTCCTTGGTAGCTTCTGACAACTTGACACGCTGGAGTAATTCGTGCAGAATTAGGAGATGTCGCTCCGGTCGACGCTTGGAAGCCTTTGTCTTGAAACCCACACTGTGTGCCGCTCGAGAGAAACGCACAACTTCACGATACAGATTTGCTCCTGGTTTGTTCCATCCTCCACCACTAATGGACCACTCCTTGATGTATTCTGCTGTTCTGTTCGCCTTCTCTGGTTCAAGTTCCAGGAGAGTCTCCAAGTAGTTGTGGATCAACCATGTGTCTGGATTCGAGTCGTCGATCAAATTCAAACCATACATCGTGGCACGTTCCTCCGCTGTGTGGCATTGTTCCAACCAGTAGTCCTTCACTAGTGTGTGTTCGTGATCTTTCGACAGAACTCCTTGCTTACTCATCGCTGTCATTAACTTCGATTCCAAGTGTGCTTTCCAGGTAAACAAAGATCGTTCTTCCCGATACTTTCGCAGACCAATCAGGTTCTTCACATCCAGTCTTCCGATGTGCTTCTGCCTGACACGGTAGCCCTGTCGCAGTACTTCGGATTCCAAAGGAATACGGAAAGGATCTAGTTGAGTAACAATCCCACCATGCTTCCCAATTTTAATAGTTCCATTGGGATTCTTACGCTTCGTCCTGCGAGAACCATAGTTGTCTCCGCCTATGTTACGAGTGTTAGCATACATTTCGGCCTGGTATTCGTCTTCCGAATTAAATGCAAACTGCACGTCTCCTTCTTCTCCGTTCCACCATTCACGCTCAAAGTTCTTACGCCCGCGACGTCGTCCTGACTTGTCAGATGCGTCAGAAGAAGATGAAGAGGAGCTATCTTCGGATTTGGTTCTCCTACCACGTCCTCCGTTCTTGCTTCTCAATCCCCTTTTCTTTTTGCTTCCTCTCTTTTTCTTCTTCTTTCCTACATGACCGAATGGCAAGCTGTCATCGGAGCTAGAATGGTTAGATTTGTTCGAGTCAGACGACGAAGATGAAGACGATGTTGAGTGTGGAGGTGTTCCAGCTGGGTAGCCAGTCTCGTCGCTGCTGTCGGAAGACGTAGAAGATGAGTCGCTTGAACTTGGATCAAAGTCCCCCGGTGGTCCTCTCTTCCTTGCTTTCACACCCTTCTTTTTCTTCGTCTTTTTCTTCTTCTTTTTGCTCTTCTTGTTAGACTTTTTGCGATCGTCACCGGAACTCTGATCATCATCCTTCTTCTTTTTCTTGTAGTCACCACCATCGCCACTGCCGCCCCCTGAATCGCGACGCCCTCGACGGTCGTCCTGACGCCCTGGTCGTTGTTCCTCAGTTTGGCTGTTCTCGTAGTCGCTTCTTCCAGATTGACCTCTACGCCCCTTCTCGTTCCTACGAGAAGTGCCCTGACCATCACCATGTTGTCGAGTTCCTGATTGATCTTGCTCCATCGCGCTTTTCTTCACACGATTACGGTTGTTGTTTGGAGATGGAGAGGTGGAGTTAGGACGCTTCTTTTTGTTGCGGGACCGTTGTCTTGACTTCTTCTTGTTCCGTCGGCGGTTTACAGATGAATCTCCACTCTGGTCAGCATGTCTACCAGTTGTATTACCGGTACGGCTTGTCCCGTACGAGGCTGATGAGTCTGGGGAGAAACCACGTTGTTCTTCTGCGCGACCGCGTCCTGCTACAGCCTTGCTCTTTGTTGGATGGGGTACTGATTGCCCTGTAGTAGCCGTGGCACTCTGAACATCGTTTGTGTCACCTGACAGTACATAGTACTCTGCCCCAGATTTTCCTCTACTATGCGGGAAGTCCTGTCGCAGGAAGCGTTTCATGATGTAACCACCATGCTCACTGTCGTATCCGCGCCCATGAGGACGTCCGGAGTCAGAACCAATATCGCTTGCAGAGTCGAAACCGAACGCACTGCCAGTTCTGGGTTGATGCCCACCATCGGAGTAGCAGCGCTCCCTTCGCTTCGCTCCTTCCTCAACTGTTGGCCCAAGCACTAGTGGTCTGTCACCATGAAGTGCTCCAAGTTTACTCGGGACGCCGTAGTGATGATGAAACTTTTGTTGTAGCTGACGTCTTTCTTGTCTTATTTGCTCGGCATGGCGTTCCCAGTTCACGACGCGTCCATTTTTCATTTGCAGTTGTTCACTATCTTTCTGTTGTAGCAGAAGACGTTCGCCCGATGCAATCTCCTCCTTGACTTCGGTCTGTTCATCGGCTGTTAAAAGGGAAGTGAGCTCAGCAGACGGACTCTTACTCTGCAGGGTGATTCTGTTGCTCGCCTTAGTGACATCTCTCTCGATGTTAGCAAGACGCTGTTTGAATTGCCGGAGCTCTTTGTTAGCGTGGTGCATGTTTCGTTCTGTCGCCTCGTTGAGCATTCTAACCATCTCTGGGGTCGTAGTATAACTGTCTCTGACTTCGCGCACCTCGCACTGCAGTCGGAACACATCATCTCCCACATTCTGGATGTCCGTGCCCATAACTCCAATAAGTCGGCGCTGTTCCTCCAGACGCATAGCTAGTCCTTGGTCATCGACGCCCTGTTGCTGTAGTTCAAGCTCCATCCTCTGATAGGCCCTATCCACAGCATCTTGGGTCATCTTCAGTAGTGACATTTGCTCGGCAACCTCCTCTTTTACTCCCTGTATCAATTGATACTGTTCAGCCAGTGACAGATCTAGGCGATTACTGGTGGTTGATGCGATCCTCTTCGCTTCTTCGGCCTTTTGATCAACTTGAGCTATATGGTTCATCACAGCTCCTTTCGCTTGCTCCACTCTCTGCCCAAAGTCTTGTCCAGTTCCACCAGCAAATTGATGACTCGGATGATATCCTGAGCCAGAGGATTGCTCAGGATGACCTGAAACGGAGTTGTTCATTGGAAGAAGGCGACCGGTAGCATCATATTGTGGCTGGTTCTGCTGGAACGGGTTATTCCCGACGTCTTGATTTTCTCCACTATGAAATCCGCCGGTCATGTTGACGTCCTGTGGGGCAGTAGTTGGCTCGTTCTCAATCGAACTACTTGAAGTAAGTGCTTCGAAGGAGTTTCTCCTTCTATTCTTCTCCCTTTTCCACCAGTTGTTCCTTGTCATGTTATCGCCTTCAACTAACGCACACTTTCCTTGAGGATCTTACTTGTATGATTTTTACTCTAGTCGTCGAGATTGTGCCAACTATCCTTTTCTACTTGTTCGTAACCGGTGGGATGGGTCAATCAATCTCGGACAAATAGCACCTATGTGTGCTTCCTACAACTCAACTACTCCGAACCTTTCAGTACGGGTTTCTTCACTTATTATAGGAGAACCAATTCGTACTCCAGGAACAACGTGCTCTTAACTACCACTAAATCATTAAAACAGTGGGATCGTGAACAAGTCAAACAATTGCACAGAGAATGGCAGAATCAGTTTTGTCATGAATCCTAATGATACAATACGGCGCTCACCTCCTAGTTTATGCGTCTTACTTCAGGGACACCAGCACGATCATGTAGGATTGTCCTCGGATTTAAATTTGAGGAGACGTAGACAGGATGCATCGATCAACTGCCTGCCATTCTTAGATTCAGATCTCGAAAGATTTCAGGAAAATGCTATGCAATGATTGTAGCTGTCCCTATCACATGTAAAATGACTGGTGACGGCCTTTGTTCAGAATGTCTCCACTGTCGTCAGTCGGTCTTGACGATTCTGTTAACACTAATTTTCATTAACTGCTGAAGTGTTACCCCAGTAATACGGGTTTTGCACCGTCCTTCGTCGTTCTATCTTACGTTTCTACAACATATTGCACTACAGCTCAGGCTGTAGGATCAGTTAGTCTATCTTGTTGTCTGCAAATCAGTCGTGTCAGTAATGGGTAACCCTTGATCTCAACCGAAGTTGATGAGTCTATGTCCAAGTTACTAGTGCAAATGCAACGCTCAATACAAGAGCAATCTGTCAACTACCAGATTCTTGCGATGTTGATCCGAATATTTATCAAAACCCTTCAGCTTCTTCCTTCTATCCCTGAGTTCCTTCTGCCTACCAGACAGCTCCTTCAGAACCCCAGCAATCAGCGATTTATTTCCTCTCCAAAACAGACGATGACCTTCTGGTGTAACCAAAAGTTGAACGATGCGCTCAAGTCGTGCGTCTGCATTGCGTGCCGATAGCTTCTGGATCCTAGTCAGGTCCTCGATCTTCTCCTTCAAACAGAATTCCCATGTGGGAAAAGAGAAGATGGCACCGCCTAGAGGAAGTTCATTGTAGAAGCGTGTGATTTGTTCAAATCTTGACCACGGCAAAAGCTCCTCTCCCAGACCATGTAGTACTGCTAATCCAGCGTAGTCATAGATCATGATCTGTAGTGGTGACGTAAGGGATTTCTTCGACTGTCTTTTCTCGATCCTTCCTGCCCAGTTGTCAAATCTCCTTGATCTTAGTACTTCTTCGGAGCATTCTAGTGCGGCAAGCTCTTTGTTCAAGTGGTCACGTCCCCTTTCGTATTCAGCCGTTAAGTTCCTTGCCGTACTGCTACTTCCTAACTCATCCCATCCTTGTTTAAACAATGATTTTAGTCTCTTCCTGCGTACTGGTGTCGGAGGCACTATGCCATCGCTACTGGCCTCCCCATCACTACTTAACTTTGACAGTAGTACGCTATCACTGCTCAACTGGTGAGACAGAGCCTCTTCCTCCGAAGATGTTTCCGCCCTCTCCGCTTCGTCCTCGAGAATGGTCTTCAAATCGAGAGACGGGCTTGTTGTTGTCATGTGCGTTGTTCTCCTCTTGTACAGGTTGGGCATCTTCAGCTTGGTTTTCCTTATAGCATGAGATGACGGCACTAGAACTACTGGCTAGTGTTACTTGTTGCTCTTCCAGGATTGCACGCTCGATATCTGGCGCAACGACTCGGATCGGTACTAGTCTCTCGCCTTCCGGTGTCCGCTTTCGTCCTCCAATGCGTACCAGATTCTTCATAAACCGTGTAGGGTCGCGGTAGTACTTCTTTCTCCGCTTAGCATCTAGAGTTTCAATCTGCTCGATGGTCAGAAACTCCTGGTCTTCTTCAACGTGCAATGTGTTGCCCTTCTTCTGTGGCATTCCATGCAGTCCCTTGAAGAATTCAGCTCGGCCTCGTCGTCTTAGGTGATTATACTCTTCCTTAGTCACCTCCTCGCGATGGCCATGTTGATTCATCTCTGTCGTAATAAAACCTAAATAGAGTCTTCCTCTCAGTTGCTTCCTTTGGCTAACTAACCGGTGGTGTCGTTAACCACTCTCCGCTACCATTGAAATATTGGATAAACTCGCTGGGCTCTGTTCGTGGAAGCAACTGAGAACACTTTAAAGAGTCACTTTATCTCTTCAAATGAGAAGAGAGGAATGCGCAGTAATCACTGCATTTAGTTCAATCACAATAGAAACTGTCTCTTGCGGAGCTCAGGCAACCGCGAACTTGAGGAGTTAACCCGTAGGTCATAAGAAGGCTTCGTCAGAGAAGAAATGTTAATTATAAGAAATGAATGGAGCTCATCCCATCGACGAGCACAAAGAAGTTTGCATGTGAGTCGATGATTTGTACGACGCTCAAAACAAAGACGAGCCAGATTCATCGATTTGGTGGGATGCATTGTTTGTTCTGGTGGGGATCTCGTGGTTACGATTGTCTTGGTGGAACACGTTCTCTCGTCATAGTACCTACTAAATTTCCTCCGAGTGCTGCTTTTACTTACTTAAGAAATTTACAATATTTTGTTCGTAGAAGAACATTAACTTAAACATCAAGATCAAATATGATTTCCTACATCATGAGTCACTTTCTCAGACTGCGGAGCAATGATAGCATCCAAAGTGCGAAACTCGCGAACGCGATTTAGAGCAGATACAATTATTTCTAGGCTGTAGCTGTACCAAAGCAAGGTCGCCAGTGTTGCCAGTCCCCTGCGTCTGTTTGTGTCTTTGCACAGCACGGTACACGATCATTAATCGCTACTTCGCCCGGCAGAAAATCGGCTGTCGGAAGGTACAAGCGCAGAAAGAAGAAGTTCTCCCCACCGCCGGCGGCCGCCGCGTCTTGCGCGTTCGGTGGCAGTCCGGATATTGTACTGCCACGCATGAGCTGTCCGTTTCTAAAAGAATTCGCGAAAACCCGCCACACCAGTTCCGGCATGTCCGCAAATGCTGAGAGTGCGGCTACAAAACATGCGTTTGTGCCTGAGACAGCGTAAAGGCCCAAATGCGACAACTGCTGTCCCAGAGTCTTCTCATTTTCGGGGAGCAGCGGCCACGAGCGATCCCGTTCCTCTTGTAAAGCCTTGAGCTGGTTCAAGCGCACCGCAGAGACCCATCGAACCGGAGATTGAAAATCCACGGCGTGCACCCCAACACTCATCGCTCTATGCGTAAAATGGTCCTCACGTCCGAACCGGGAAGGGTTCAAGACGTTGGGATTCGCGATGTGCGTCTGATCCCAGGTCAAAGATAACTGACTCTGCAAAGGATGCTCGTCCCCTGCTATTACAGCATCGGATTCGGAAAAGGCCGTATTATAATTACCAGATCCAGACGAGCCGTCGTCTTCTAGTTGTATGTTTGGTCCCCTCCTGATATCATTATTTACTTGAGAATTTGTCCTCTTCTTGAGCGCATAGGCAGGCTGCTTATCTTCTCTGACGGTCAACGTCTCTGTGAAGAGCGTAGAGCCTGTTTCCGCACGACTTCCGAGCACAGTGCGCGCTGCTGAGACGAAGACGGGCGTTCGTGTTTCCGAAGCGGAAGGGCTCGAGAGTGGCAGCTTTTGTAAAGGCGAAGCCGTTTGCAGCGTTGACAGCTTCGGCACTTGATCTGTGATGTTCGTTCTGGCATCTCCGGATCCCGTTCTTGAACCTGATCCAGGGAAGTGAGAATTTGTCGGTGGCTCAGTGCTAGTGTTAGTGTTACCCTGTTTGATTTTTTGCTCCTCCGCGGTACTGAGTTTAGGTGTCAGTCCGCGCTGAGCGACCTCCGCTGACCGCGGTAACGTTAGTGCCTCAATCTGCTCTCGCACTTGAGAAGCGGCGCCTGCGCTGGTAAGCATGTCCAGCTTTTCCGATATTGCTACCAAAGTCAATGCGATCTGATCATTTGAGTCCGACCTTCCACCTCCAACGAAGGCCTTAACCGCCGTTGGTGGCGGTGCGCGAGCTGTCTGCGCGGTCGTATATGTAGGAGCAGGCGAGGAAGCCGGACATGCGATCTTCGCCGCCGTTGAAGTTACAATAGGATTGCTGGCAGTGGCACTACTTGTCACGATAACGAGAGGTGACGTCACGGCATCGCTCTTGCCAGTGGAAACTGCAGCGGCAAAAGGATTCTCTTTTGAATCCCGAAGCAGCTTGGGAGTTTCTTCTCCTGAATCTGCCTTCTTGACGCCCCCAGGCGTGCCAGTCGCGGCGCTAGGGGTTTCCTCTGGTTTTTTCGTCACTTTCACAACACTTTGTTGGGAGGCAGATGAAGCAGCAACTACCGACGGAGCAGAAGCTTGTGCGTTCTCGCCAGTGGAAGACTTTGCAGTCGCAAAAACCGTCTTGGTTTTTCCTTCGCTTGGATTCACGGGTGGTAAGCTATTCTTTGAACTAGACGCAACACTTGCGACCACTGCAGCTGATGGTGCGTTTGACATTGAGGACGTCACGCCTGTCTCGAAAAGCTTAGCATAAGCAGCGTCCCTTTCAGCTTGCTCGTCGAGCGCTGCCGGTACAGCGTAGAAAGCCCCTGTTGTATCATCCTCTGCAGAGCTTGGCATCGGCTGCTGCACAGAAGTACCTTCGGCCGCCTGTCCTTTTGCTGATGTGGCTGGACCGCTAGCCTCGGATCTAACCTGAGTCCTCTGAGAAGATTGTTCGTTACCGCTGAGGTTGACCTTGCCCCCTTGCGAACCATGTACTTCTGTATTTTTGGATGAAGTAGCATTACTTGGAACCACGACAGCCTCGCTCAGCTGCTGAGATGGTGCTGATTCATCGCCTGTTTCCGGTTCTGGCGGTGGCGTTACTATCAACCGCATACCCATACCCAGCATGAACTCTTTCTCAGGAGCACGCTCACCTTCTGCCTCTGGCGCGCGTTTTCCAGCGTCATGGTTCGATGCTGAAGGCGCGTTGAGAGCTGCTGCCACGTCCCTCTCTAGAATCTCCTGTGAAGTAGATGCCGTACATCTCACACTTGATAGCATTGCAGGTGAATCTGCGTTCAGTGCGGCTGTTCTTGCTTCCGCTGCGGCCGTTGAGGAGGACGTGGATGCGTGCGCGTGTTCCGCTTCTCGAAGTTGCGCGATTCGAGCCTCAGTGGCCTCTACCTCAGGCGATAACGAAAGTACGGTGGCAGCTACATCCTGCGAACGGGTATCCCCTGGATTACTCGCCATTGTCGTTAATTCCGGTTCCGATCTCCGGTTCGTGCCCGACGGCGCAGTACCGCCAGCCCGCACGTTCTCGTCCGACGAGATCCTAAATGCGACGTTCACATCTTGCTGTTCGCTACTATGTTCAGTCGCGCCAGAGGAAGCGGGAGCTTCCTGCGCACGACCGTCTGCAGGAGTAGGGGGCGCACCGTTCTGCTCCCCAGAATTGCCTGGTGCAACACGGTTGCTTTCCCCCGTACCGTCCGCCGTCATCGCAGCGATCACGGTGCCTCCCGCACCTCCCGTTGTGGACACGTCGACCACCTCGCGTTCAGGAGCTGGCACTTCTTCGGGGGCGTCCCCAGTGTTCGCAGCTGCAGCTCGATCAGTCTCGTTTTCGTCCACCTCGGTCAGAAGCTGCATGAAGTTAGGACCGCCGCTCCCCGAACTCATCTGCCGACCAGCATTCACCAGGTAGTGGGCAGCTGAATTTGGCGTGCCGGTGCCAGAAGTGTGCAACCCTACTGTTCGAGAGCCGTTTCTTGGGTCATGTGCCATCGATGAACCAACTTCACCACTTTCCACAATTTCCTCATTTTGCGGGGAAACATCTGGTGAGCGGCCCGCGCTCGGCTCTCGCGGCGCGGTTGCGTGCGCCTCGTGCTCCTCGTCGATGTCCTGCGCTGCACCCGAGCCGGCGGCAGCCGACCTTCCCATGCTATTCGATAGCGCGGGCGTCGTTGTACTGAGTGGGTCAGAGGACGAAGCACCTGGTGCGCCATTCGTCTCAACGCGAGCTGTTGCAGAAGACGTTGACGCGGCACTTTCGGGAGGAACACTAGCACCGCCAGCGGTTACGTCTGCCGCCTCGCTGAGAATCACTGCAGCATCCTGCTCGGCTGTTGTCATAACTGTCGTGCCGAGCTCCGCTTCTGGCGCTACCGTGTCCGAGTCACCAAGATCGTGCTCCGGTTGCTCACCCGTCTCTGCTTGCACCGGTTGCCCCGTCTGCCCATCGATGGAAACGATCACAGGAGCTGCACTGTTCTCTGCGCGCGGCCGTTGTTGCTGTCCGCCACTGCTCTCAGCAATCGGTCTTGTAGGTGCAACAAGCTCTTCTGGCTCAGTGCCCGTGCCTGCCGGCAGCATAACGTCTGCCGGACCCCCAGAACCCGCTCCAATTTCTACGTCGTTACCGAAGTCATCGCTACCTGGTGAGGCTGGGACAAGGTTGGTAACTGCTGTAGAAGTCGGCTCCTCCTCTGCACGTGGTAAAGGACCCCCACTTCTAGCAGGACCCTGCTCACGTCCTTGCAGCGATCTGTCGACATCCTCGAGCAGCGACATGCTCGAAGTGCCACCTGGATTCAAAACTAGCACTGCAGCTGAGGACAACAATGACCTGCTTGGGTCAACGCGCGACTGTTTCGCCTCGGGCTGCTGTGGTGTATCTTCGCTACCTTGCCCAGCGTTACGCAGGGCCGTGCCATTACCCAGTCGGGTTGACTCGCTTAGGTCTGAAGGCGAAGCCATGGATGGAGAAACCGCTGACGCCGGAAGTCCGCCTGCGGCTCCAGCATCGGTGAGATTTCGCTCTCCGCTCAGCGACGCCCCCATCGAAGTCTGTGCTGCAGCGATACTATTTGGTGCGGCTGACTGGTTTCCTGTGGACGCCAACGATTGCGTTCCAGATGCGGCAGTACTACCGAAAGACGTTGCGTTTTGTGTACTCAAAGCATTCGCAGGCGGGCAGAATGACGAGGAACTTGATGACGCTTCTAGAAACGGGAAAGGTGTTGAGCGCTGCTGATCTGCGACGCTTCTCAGGAGAGCTTCTTGCAAATCTTGTGCCTCTTCGAGCGGCACAAAGGCGCTGCCACCAGTTTCCCCGCTAAATTCGTTGTCCAGTTGATCGCCATCTACTCCGAGTAGAGCCGACGCAGCGCCCACTAATGGTCCTGCTGCGCTTGAGCTCGACGCAACTGTTGCTGCAGGTCGAGAAGGCGATGTCTTTGTCGACGCTGGTCGTTTCGCGAGTGCTGCGCTGGACAGGGGAGCTTCAGCATTTGCCGCAGCGTCCAAATTTTCAGAGGCAATTGCTGCTTTTGGTGAACCCGCAAACATCGGATGGATGCCGTCGCCAGCATTGCCCGACGCCTGCAGTAGTTCGGCGAATCCGTCAAGCATCAACCCCGCATCGTCATGTGACCCTGATATCTTTCGCGTTGTAAGCTCTCTTGCATCGTCTTCGGAAGAGGGCGGAGGTGGCCCAATCCCCGCACTTGAAGAGGCAGACGCAACTTCGAAAGCAGAGGAAGGAGCCGAAAGTAAATCCAAATCGCGACTACTACCATTTGTTAATAAGGAGCTCATCTGTTTCTGCTTTGGAGGTGAAGCGTTTTTCCTGCGCTTAGACCCGTTGTTCAGTCCTTGTTGTGGTGGTGAAGCAGGTGACGTCTGCTTAAATTCTTCATGAAGATCCCTCTTTGTATTATTGTTGCTCGGTGGAGAGGGAGACTTTATATTTTCTTCCTCGACTACATCAAGAAGCGGCGACGACACTGCAGCTGCAGGAATAGCATCAGATAGCTCTGTGTCAGGCAACGGACCAAAAATGTGCAAGCCTGCCTGCTTATCCATCAACCGTTTTTTTCCGTATTTTTGCACCCACGCGACGTACGAAATTTCCTTCACGTCTCTGGTTGCCTCCCTCAGCGTGGCCATCGCGCATCGATCAGCTCCCAGGCCGAGATCCACCAAGAGCGCGAGCGTTTGTGAGACTGTCAGCGACCCTTGGTAGTCGACATCACGCTCTAGAAATGCCGCACCCACGTCGATCTGTTTTTTCGTTTCGCAGGCGTCTGCAATGGCGTAAAATAGAGCTTCCTCAGCCTGCTCTCGACGGCGCTCCTCCGACCGCTGGCGTGCAACGCGCTGCCCTCCAGCATTGGCAGAAGAACTAGCTGCTCTTGAGGTGGAGGAGGAGGCGCCGCCACTGACTTGCCGCTCCGGCGACCCGGACGCCAGAAGGCCACCTCGCCCCGGCTGCTTCGTCGCGCTCGACGGAGGCGTCGATGGCGTGGATGGCGAAGGCATCATCCGCTGGCTCTTCGTTCGAGCGCTAGCTCCGTTTGTTGTAGCTGCCACGCCACCTGCTGTCGCTGTAGGTGGAAGCCCTGGAGGCTCGACACTAGCCCCGATGTCCTCCCCCTCTCCGGAAAAGGTGATGCAAGACTGGTTTCCTTCACTAGCTTGCACGGCTTCCGGGGAGGATGCAACGGAAAGAGGCGGCTCCATGAACCGCGGTGTTGCTGCTGGCGCGAAGGGGCGTCGCTGTTGTTCAGCCTGGAACGCCACAGAAGCTGACTGGGGAGCGCCAGTTGTACCAGTAATCTCTGCGGCTAGTTCCTTCGGGTTCGGAGACAACTTCTCTTCCATTGTCATTATTTCTGGCAAAGAGGCCTCTTCAGGAACTCCGAGACTGTTCGCTGCGGCCGTGTCCAGTCCTAAAGAATGCGTTCTCGTTTGGCCTGCAATCAATTGTGAAGCCTCGTCCTGCTCTATTAGTGCGCCGGGGTAGTTCGCCGCAGACTCGTCATTCCCAAGAACAGCCTCGTCGCCAATTCTTGTGACTACTGGAGGAACGAGAGGATAAGCAGCTCGATTCCCGGATGCGAGTTTTGACGAGAGTGGTCGCCGTTTGGCAACAGCGCGCAGAGTAGCACTTGTGATTGGAGTGGGATTGGGCTGAATTTTTACCGGAGTCGATGGACGGTTTCCGCGAGAAGATGATGAACCCCTTGACAAAGCTCCCGTCAAACGGCCTGCGCTGCTTGCAGCCGTTGCCGATGCTGGCGTAGCTGTGCTACTACAAGGCTGGACTGGAGGTGAAGGAGCTTCGCCTGCTACGATTCCTTTCCCATTGGCTTGCAATTGACGTTGAAGTCGACCTCCAGCTGCTGCACTACTTCTGTCAAAACGTGGCTGCGCCGATGCATTTTCGGGTGACTTCGTCCCTCTTGCAGCTTTTAGCGCAGACGTGATCGCACCTCCAGCGCTAGCGCCCGAACGTTGTGCTGAAGATGATTTAGCGGTCCGAACACCCGCAAATGTTGCTACTCTGCCACCCTCACCGGCTCCCTGTTCCACGTCTCGCTTTCGCACGCCAGCGGCTCCTCCACCAGGAACAGCACTCGAAGACGTGGACGGCGTCGACAAGACTACGCCGCGCTTCTTTAACCAGCCTCGAATATCGACTTTTCGCGAGTTATTCTCCGGAGGCAGACGCTGTACGACTTTGGTAAACAATACAGGATGAAAAGCTGGCATCCCCTCATCCTCCAAGAGGGCTTTGAAGCTGGCCGCCTCGACAGGTCCGGTTGGCCTTCGAATCTCGTGTGTAGCCGGGAGTGATCTCACGAGGTTGAAGACCTCCTCCTCGAGGCGAGAGGCTAACCTGTCCTCCATCCTGTCTACAACGCTTCCTTCTGCCCGAGAAAAAAAAAACGCTTCAAACTTGATGATCAGTGAGTAGACTTCGTGAGAATGTTGAAGTTGACACAGCTTGTATTTTATTATTTTCATCGATACCAGCGCAATATTTTTGAAACATTCCTTCGTGTCTAGCGTGATCCATGCACATTGGACCTTGCGATGCGACCGCGACAATCTCAAGAAGCTATGAACACCTGGCGAGAGGAAATTGCAACATTCTCATTCAACATGATGCACTGCTCATAGTTTCAACTATCAACACTGCCATCCCTTGCATCAGAATCTAAGCGCTTTTTGCACGTTTTGATATTGTGATTGTGTGAAGGCTTCACGGTATTGGAATTGGTATTGCTTGCGCCTTATAGAGACGAAGCTCGTGCTGACCGTGAAGGTCTAGTCGATGTCCGTCAATACTGCCAAAAAAAAAAGCGTTTTTGCCGGCGTCTGGACAGCCAAGAATTAATAAATACATTTTCAGATGCACTTGGAATTGCTTCAGCGAACGAGTCGAAACCTCGAGACTGAGACATGTGGTAGCCCTACAGCAGTCGTAACCATTTTCTGCAGCAGTTTCGGGTTCGATCGTGAAATTGGAGCCACGACTCAGCTGTGCGTGTCTTCCGCACGCAACTAACGACAAGCAGCTGCTCTTCAAACTCAACAACGAACCTTGAGAGTTGTCAATAAGTCAATCTTTGTAACTCGTACCGTTTTCAGATGAGGCCTCATCTTCATCATAATAGCCACAAAAGAATATTTCGATACTTCGGCGAATTTTGCTCACGAGATGTAAGGAAGCTTTTTTTCTCTGGGGGGTGCAGTATGAGTATAGAAAGCGGCAGTCATCATCATGACCAATGATCGTGTTTACGTTTACAACTACTTGATGCAACTGACGCAAAATAAATGGCGAGATGTCTACTTCAAAAACGAATCAAGAGGATAGTTGGAATGGTTCTTCTAGTTCATGAATGGTCTACGTAGGAATGCGACTTTTAAGCGACAAAAATGGATCTCGGCTATTTGTATTTCTATTTTGATAAGAAAAGTATAACTAAGGACTACCGAGTACACTTCAGCTACGGCTCCAGGCCTATTGAAAGTTCTTAGAAGTAATTTATGTTGACGTTGCAGCGGCAATGGTTGTCGTTGTGGATTTACTACTAATTGTAGTGAGCAGAAACTGTTACGAAGACCATGAAGATGACCACCAGCGCCGGCCTGTAGTTTAGATCCACTCTCTGCTGTGAAGTCTTGGGATACGGCGACGGACAAGTCATTTCAAGTGTTGTATGTGCACAATGCATGCTGATAATGATGTTGTACTTTGTGTTTGACAAGCGAAGATCTTATCGATCCTGAACCTGATGCGTTTTTGTTGCTACGGTGCACCCTACGTAGACACATAGGTAGGTTTAGGTCACATGCTTTTGCAAAAAATGATCTTGATCAGTACGAAAGAGGACGCTGTAGTTGTAGATTATTTCACAATAAGCTCGGCAGAAATCGGTCATGCACCTGTAGTACTACTACGCTACTATAGCTATACTATTACATACCTGACTTAGATGGAAAGACCGATGTGATTGCTTTGCTTGGTTGCGGTTCGTTACTACCATCTAGTTTTTAGATCTTCCATTTTTTCATGATACCCACGCGGATAGTGCTACTACCATTACTCCTACTACCCATTCAGTCTAAACCTGCTTAGGATTTTCGCCCAATGGTACGGATCTCTTCACCCGTCCTCGCGTTGATGGCCTCTAACAGCCCAGCTCGTGTAGTCTTCTCAGGGACCTGTCCACTAATGACCATTTTCGCTCGCACGTGGTCCTCGCTCAAATCGTACCGATGCAACAACGCGAAGGAGTCGCTGCTGCATCTCGTAGCGAGTACATACGTCGGTCGAGAGTAACCACCTCGGTCATAGGTCTAGCTACTAACGTAGTACACCTTCCCGTTGCGACTGACTCGGTCGTGTCCCCTTACGGAGACATAGTTTGGACAGTACTCGCGTCCCGTCTGCATGCTATGCCTACGACATCCGAAGCACCGACCGACGAGGCGGGAGAGCTGGTGGGTCTCGTATTGCCGGCAGCCGGAACACTTCTCACCGGCTCTGTCCACAACTCGCCAGCAGGAAAAATCTTGGCCGTCTTGGCCTCGGCAGTTGCAAAACGCGAAGGCCTTTTTCTCGTCGTTTGTGACCCCTCGACGAGGCGACCTTCAACGCAGGCATTTTCTCGCGCTACGATTTGAGTTTCAGAGTTTTTTTTTGATGATTTTGCTGCTGCTGATGGTGCTGCAATTTGTCAACAAGTACAAGTTTCTGAATCTTCTTCAACGATTAGACTGCTAGACGATGACTGAATTCGTGTCATCGAAAAGCCACAATTGCCTCGAGAGCATCTGCTTGTTGAATTATATCATCTGTCACTCGTTGTGCTAAGCATATCAAAAATCTTCGCCAATCATAGATGAGTTGCAGTAGTATGATTATGAGACGTTTTTTGCTGTTTGGCAGCAGATTGCTTAGCTCTACCTCAAGTTAAGGTCTCAATGTTTGGCATGCCAACGAATTTCCCGTCTACATCTAACAGAGCAATATATAACGTTTCACAGCTCGCATGGCATGGAGTGCATGGATCGCATGGAGTAGCATGGAGCTAAAGGGGGAGCTTCTTGCGCCCCTTAAAGCTCTGCGCTCCATGCGCCATGCGTGCTATAAACTACTCTGATCTAATACTAATCCGGAATTTCCGTTTTTCTTCGACTTTCCAATTGACTGAGCAGTACAATCAAGAGACGCGTCGTGGTCTTCGCACCAAAATCAACGTCGATGAAAACGAATCTCTCCAGCTCCACAGTGTTCTATGACCAGCTGCGGCAGGGAACCTTTTCCTTGGAGTAATCGACTCGTTTAAACATCCAGGTCTCCACGCCTGCAAAAATAACGAGCTCTACGAGACCGTTCAGGGGTGTACAATACTCAGGCAATGTCAAATCGTTAACTTTAGTGATCCATGGCACACAGGGTCAAGATGCAACAAGCCTCGTCAGAAGCACGTCATCAACGAACTAGCTTAGCGAGAACTCATATGCATTTCCTTGTGCTTCGCTGCGAGTATAACAAGATGGATGTAGAATCACTATCACATTCATACTTCCATACTTTCTCGCTGAGCGAAATGCAGTTCAGATTATGAAAAGCAGTTCCAGTATGCAGCAAGACGGATCTTCTTGGAAGCAAATCCAATTTTGTGCATACTTACAGTGAGCATCCATGTCGAACATGCTGTCTCTGTCTTTCTTACTTAGTGTGTGCAATTGCAAAGAAGAACATCGAATAATATCAGGTCAACAATTCACTTCGTGATCTACATCTACTGGAGTTGTGGAATTAGGAAATCAACATCACTTCTCACGCCGAAGAAGTTTCTTCGTTTCCATTTTTGTATGTGCGGCTACTTTAGCACTTTCTTGGGCACTAATCGAGGTCCCACTCTCGCTAGCGTCGTCTACTGCCTCCTTACTTCTAGATCTACCTTCTACATCGTCCTTCACCCCGACGAGAAACTCCGTATCCGCTCGTTCCTCGGAGGATTCTTCATTCGGTATTTCATCTTGCAGCAAATTGTCGTCCTGCTTTGCGCTCGTACTTGTTTGTTGATCATCTTCTGCAGATAGTTCTACCACACCTTTATGCGGAAAACCAGAGACAGGTGCATTCCGTTCCTCGTTCTTCATACTATCACTCCTTGTATGGGATCTGTTTTCCTCGCTACTACCTGTTTGTAAGAAGAAGAAGGAACTAGAGGCGGACTCGTCAACTGAATGCACCAAGTCTCGCCAAACGTTGCGACTGTCCTCTTGCGCGCTTTGGTCGAGATTGGACTCCAACGCGAAGGCGGCACCGCTGAGATCTTTCAGCTTGTGCAGCGCAGCTTGGCAGAAATTAGACACGACAATCGCTGGTCACTTAATCGACATTCTTGGGATTTTACTCACTAGAACCTTACCAAGCTAGCTATTCTACGTCTGCCCGATTGAAAGCAAATTCATCGTTTTTTTCGGATACGGATCGGGTTCCTATCTACTACCAAAAACATGGTTTTGACGTTGAAGTGGTCAGTATTCAACAGATTAATAATCACTAGAACCATAATCTGGATTTTTGTCGTGGCCCAAGCGCGGTTCAAGGGCTTCATAGCGAGCAGAGCGTCCTGTGCGTACTTCCAGGTGTGCTCTTTTCTCTCCGAAAATTTCATGCCAAGTTCTGATGCTACCCGCTTTTTCAGCTTCTCAAAGCGCGCCATAGTATCTGCAAAGCCGAGAATGAGCCTTTTCTCACGCTCGACGTGCTGGGTTTCAGCATCGTTCTCTTGTTCGGTCGTATGAGAACCAGGATCAGCTTGGTGTTGGATTTCTTGATGCTCTCGGTCTTCCTCTTCTTCCTCTCCTGCTTTTTGATGCTCTCGACTGCGTATTTCCTCACCATCGTCAGCTGTGCCATCTTTGTTTTCCTCCTCATGCGTCTTCAAGGACGTCACCAAAGGGTCGTGATCTTCGGCGTGGTGTTGCGATTGCAGCCGTCGAGAAAGTTCGTGGACAGACAGGGAGATATCTGATTCGAGACCTTCGAGGTCAAAACCTAAGAGGATGAATTCTGCTCCTTTGTTTCTCAACACCGAATCAATTTCTCAAGAACAGAGGATTTGTTTCTCATTCTGATTCCCTGCAACTGCATGAGACAGATTGATAATTTTCATTTCAAGTAGTTAAACTTAAAGTTATGGATGCAACTGACAAGTCACGTCTGGTATTAATTTCTATGAAGCCAGGCTACAAGTTTCTTAGTCGTATCCACAGTGACAGAGTACTAAACGAGTAAGTACCTATTCTCTGCATCTTTTTCTCATTTTCGATCTGGTGCGCTGCGTCAGGCGTCTTCTGGAATCGTTTTTCTATTCGAGCTAAGCGTCGCTGCTGTACGAGGAGAATCCGCTCAAGTTTTCGAGTCTGCCGCTCATCTGCATCTGGATGCTCGTGCCTCCTTCTCCCTGGGATTTTCGTACTTTTGCGGAGAGATTCTGCATCCTTGTTCTCTTTTGTCTTTCCTCGGTCTTTTCGCTTTACGGCCGATGCTGGCTCGAAAAAAAGAAGGCACCACACAGCTAGTAGCGAGCAGACGATAGTTTTCGGAGCTCGCGAGTACACGGTTAGTCCTCGTAGTTGAGGAACGTGAGCACTGAGAATCGGTGATAGATCGCGGCTCTTGCGGGACATTTTGAAAATGAAAGGCATGCTCATAAGTGTAGAAGTGCGTCACTCTCGTGCTGGTTCTTGACGAAACAAACGAGATCACAGACCGAGAGCCTGTTTCTGCCAGCTATCGCATTCGGAGTTAAACTTAACAACGCGGACGATGTTAACGATATTATAGTATGTTGGTCATGTATGGCTCAAGCCTCTCGGATGTCGTGTTGTTCTGTTCTCAGTGGCTCACGCTAAGCCTCGTGCTCGACTGTCATCGGGATGATCTCAAAGGACACGAATGCCAATGATCATGAATGCTACTTCCAATGCACAATCATAGCGATCAATGGATAGACTAGGCATGGTTATCCTGATCCTAGTCGTATGATGCACGTTCAGTCCGATCCCTTCTGACGTGCTTACGTTGATGATGAATGACTCATCTTACCCAATGAACCAAACAGAGACTACGCCAGCCAGTGACCATAAGCCACAGGCAAGCATATCAAGACTTGCTTGCGTTCAAGATGCAGACATTGCGTTTCCACTGAGAAGCGAACCTGGCGCGGAGGCCTGTGTTCTTGTGGTCCAACATAATATGAATATGAATCATATTTTTGTTTAAAAGTTTTCGTGACCTCGTACGTTTCATTCTCTAGTCTTTCATAGCAACAAGGCCGTTTCCGTTTGATGCTTTTTATCGAGCACGGAATCGAAAAATTCGAGCCAACAGTCAACACTGACAACGCAAGCACGATCGGACAAGGAGGCGCGCTTGCTCTCTTCTCTTCGCGCACATCCCCGGATCTCTCTGAGGAGGAGTCTCTCTGAGGTCTTCCTCAACGTGAAAGCGACATGCGAATCAAATGGAAACGATTGTGTCGTTGTCGATCATTCTTCAAGAATTAGAATAGAAGAGTCACAATAAAAACGAGCGTGACGGTAGCGTTTTTACTGGACCTTGCAGCGCGGTCACTGTGGGAAGCGAACTCGAAAGCGACAGGTTGTTAATGCATCTCGACAGTTGATTAGAAGGGATTGCGGACTTCATTGCTCTCGCTTCAGCGTCAGGTTCGTTGTCTTTGTACCGCCCACCGCGCCAAATATACAGCATAACGTGAAGCCGCAGAGAATGCAGGTAACGCCAAGAAGCTGCCTCTTCCAGTTCATTTTTCTTGATCTTCTTGCACCAGCCGCAATCGTCGCTTCACTGCCTTCAGCTTTCGAGCGGACCCTGCCAGTGCCAGGGCTGCTTTTCTGCGTACTTGTTGACCTGGTTGATATCTTCTTGGTTCGCAGTGGTAGTAGTTGTCCCTGACTATATTCCTCGAGGAAGATTTCTGTACCTGTTGTTGCCACGAGCGCGAGGCCGTTAGCGGCAGGTACCATCAATGCCACATCGTAGTCAGCCAATAGGAAATAGTAAACCAAGGAGCCAGTCTGATTAAGCACATACGGGACGTAAAATCGTATATCCAGAAGAATGCGCAATAATTCACGAAATGTGAAGACAACTGGCTCCTGCTCTCGAGAATCGTTTTCTTGCTTTTGTTCGTCACTATTCGATATTTTCAACATTCGTGCTCGCTCATTTGATTCATCAGGAGCCGCGTGGTCAAAACTACCTCGTCGGCTTTTACTGGTGGAGGCTCCTCGTGAAACATTTTTGCGAGAACCTGGTCTCTCGTCCCTGGCTCGCTGCGCTGCTGCTAAGCGGATGAAAGGTGTAGTGCAGCCCCACAAAACGCTAACCAGCAGCAGCCCAAACACCAGTTGCCAATCGATTGCAGGAAGGACTGCGTGGTCGATCTCGATGCCGAGTTTTGCTATAACTTGACTTAATAAGGAACGCACGAACGATACCATATTTCTATACAAACCTCGTCTCTCTCTCTACTGTTGAATCTCGGGTTTTGGTACACTCATGTCAGTGCGGCAATCTTTGTCTCAAATTTGTGACATCCTGTTCAGTTCTGAAATCCAGGTGATTTGTTCCTGGCTCCGCTTTCAATATCATCGTGTACCTTACCATCCTTAAATTCCATGTAGATGCGCAATTCCAATTTACGAGAGAATTAATAAAGCAGCGTAAGACACGCATGGAACGAGGCAAAAAGCTCGATGATTGTTCTTTCTCACAGATTCTCGATACCCTCTCGCAGAACCGGGTTGAAATCATTGATGCTGCTGCTGGTCATCCGCATCTTCAATGCTGGAAGTACCCTGTCGTGCCCTGTTTTTGGTCAGGTTGGCATATCACAACTAAAAATGTAGTTAAATGATTCTGCATTTTAGGCAAACTAATGTTTTTTGGGGTCAGTCAGTCAATCAGCCGAGGTTTTTTTTATTCCGAGAACGCCGAAAGGGTGATCCCAGTAGCTGCGACTGCCGCACCCCTACTTCCGTAGGCGCTATGAGGGAGAAAAAATCAAAAATAATTAATACGAGGCAGTTGTTAACGTTTTGCGTGTAGGTCCTCTAGTACCAGCAATGCGTGGTGTAAGTAGTAAATAGTTTCATCTCGATTGGGTATCCTGCGTACGAATAGAAATACCGACGGTGGTGCATATAAAACTCTAGATGGGGGAAAGAAAGTGTTGATAGTGATGCTCTGTCTGTGCAGGTAAGTAGACCGATTTATTCGTTATTTCATGACGATCTGGAACTGGATCTCATTATCTCTATTTATCAATGAAAATATAATGTGATGGAAGCTGTTCATTAGAAAGGAATATTGTTGATTCATTGTGTCTGTTCGTGTTCTGATTGTCAAGTAAAAAAAGGCAGTAGCAATAGATACTGAATCTGAAGGAGGTTCAGGGTGTTCTTTTCAGACATGATACGCGGACGGAGCCACAGTCGGTACGAATGAATTGTAATTGTGTTTTGTGTGACATTCCATTAGTATAGATTTCTAGTTTACAGCTCAGACATCATGAGTGGAGCAGCATTCATTCTGTGCGTTCGTGCTACGGTTATCCTATTCCTTCCCCTTCGTCGTCTTCACTTACGATATGTAGGGGCGGGGCCTCACTCCCTGGTACATATATAAGTACTTACAATGCTGGGGGCACTACACTCCAGGGCAAAGCTATTTTTCGAAAATAAAACCAGTGAATTACGGGACTACTTTTAAATCTGACCTGGGGCTGACGCTTTTCGCGTTTTTTGTTCGAAACGTCAAGCAAGAACGAGGAACGACTACAGGTGCAACTACAACATGAAATCCGAAATATTAAATTCAATGTGTCTATGTTCAAGATCAAGTATATGTTGAAGTTGATAAACCAAGTGTATAAGTAATAGCAAATGTAAACAACTTAAACGATAACAACCAAAACAAACATGATAATCTTAATCTACCTCTACATATCGCTACCATTCAAACCTTTCCATCTTGTACTTGTAGTATGGTCTACGTCTGATGAGAAATCGTCTGTCACGAACTTACCTGCATGACCACATCTACTCCATCTGGGGTTTGCTTCCTTTGAAGATTTCGGGGACGGCGGCGTGGTGTACGACTTCGATCACGTGTCATATCCCTTTGCTCTTGCCCTCGTTGCTCACTTGTCACTCCTTCTCGCGGTCTCCTATTTGGCCTGCCCAAGAGCTGCTTGAGAAGCGGAACTTGAGAAACAGAAGGTAATCGGCTACCAGCTGGAAATTGAATCGATTGTGCGTTAGCACTTACCACAGACGAAATTCCAGCGAGTCCTTTAGAAGGTCTCGCAGGGCCAGGAGTGTCTTCTCCTTGTTCTGCTGGAGATGCTTGTGCAGCGCCGCTTCCCTGTTGCACTTGAGAGGCTTCCGATTCTCTGGGCTGAGGCGAAGCCGACTCCTGAGGAGGATGTGAAGCTGGAGTGGTTGCGGATTCTGTCGCTGCAGACGAAGAATCCGCTCGCGTGACTTCCGTCGCAGGAGCATGTGATTGTGAGCCACTTGGGTCATTCGTATTGGTTGCAGGTTTCTCTTCTTCTGCAGCCCGAGCACATGGCGTGTTGGTAACAGCTTTCGCATCTAAGGCTGGAGCTTTCTCCGAAGGTATCTGAGCTTCTTTCCAATAGCGTGTGCAAGCTTCAACAAAGCCCTCTTGCGTTTTTGAAGGATCAGGCTTTGCTCGCGCTTTCTTCCCCTTTTTGCTCCGACTGGCAGAATCTGGGACGACGCACAAAATTGCTTTTCCAGTGCATTTGCAAAAGCAGATGAAGTAGTTAAGCGCCAACTGGAGCAGCTTTTGATGATCGAAAGCTTGTTGCATCTTTGCGACTTTTTTCACCTGTTGCGCGGAGCTGCAGGAGTGTGCCTGTCCAGCGGTGCAGGGCAGCACAACGTCATCATTTGGATGTAGGTTCTCGTACACCGTATTGCGACCTAATCGTAATCCTCCTGAATTTTTCAAATCATTAAGTCCGTCCTCCTTCCCAGCCTGATAAGCAGCCAACAAGGAAGTAATGTTAGTGTTTTCGTGCTGCTCGCACGCCGCTTTCCTACGGCCAAAATGACAACTTGCCGCCGATATAGCGCCCATGAAGCCAACCGCTGCAGCAAAGCTCAAATCCACTCTCATAGGCTTTGGCACGTGCCCCAGGTTCAGGTCGCGTTCAATCGCATGGCTATTTCCGTCTGGAAAATGAAGGCGACCGTGCTCGTAGTGACTTGCAACACTGTGCACCCCAATTTGTCCACTCGCATCCTGAGGGGGCCGCGGAGAAAATAGACCCAAGCCCTGTTCTTCCAGTGCTGCGTTCATTCTCGCCGTTTCACTTCCAAAACGACGCTCTATTCCCTGGTAGTCCTGGTATGAAGATGATTGTGTCAAAAGTGCTGAGGCAGGATCTTCTTTGCCCTTCTCGGCGCGATCAGCAACACGGTTGGCCTTTCGTTCGCCCTCTCCTCGCGTTTCGGTCGCGATTTTCGCAAGTTCTGCCTGTACCCTGTTCTGAGCTTTGATTTCGGCTTTCGTCTTGGCAAACTCTGCTGCAAGAGAGCACTCGTTCCAGGTTGAAGTCGGAGATGCGTCTGCTTCGCTTTTCTGGTCTTCAGTAGACGACGCAGCTGCCTTCTGCGACCTCTGCTCCGTGTTCGGTTGTTGTGCTCTATTCGGCGAACATGGCTCTCCTGGGGATTTAGCTGCAGGGGAGGTTGATGCTGCACCACCGCCAGAAAGTTCTTGGGTTTCATATTCATTTTCTCGTCCCTGAGCTGCTTTTCGCTCTACAACTCCCCATGATCTTACAGTATCACAAATATTAAACTCCTGGTCTTTATCTGCGGTCGTCGTAGGAAAGCCGTCTCCACCACTTTCCTGTGATCGATCATAGGTCTCGCACCGGTGGTTCTTGATCTTGTCGTTCTCCTGGTAGTGGTAGTGCTTATGCTTAATATTGATATAGATATTATTCACGGTCATGGGTTGGATCGATCCTCCAACGACAGATGCACGCCCGACAGCAAACATAATAGCTGATAGTGCCGCCGCAACGCAAACATTCTTTCCATACTTACCGACCAGACTGCTGAGCTGAGAAATTCCTCCAACAACAGTTTCTGTTTCGCATTCTTTGCTTTGGCCAGCAGCTTTTTCACCCCTTTGAGAATCACGTCTATCCGCAGCGACCGAGAGTGCTTCCCCAGCTCCCTCAGCAAAAGGAGCAGCTTTTTCAGATAAGGCAGGCTCGTCCGAAACACTACAACAGCCTCGTGGCGTTTTCGTTTCCGACTCTACATATGCTTGGTCAGAAGAGCCAGGCGTTGACGTAATGTCAGTCTTAGTGATAGCATGGCCAACTACTTCGTTTCTAACAGACACTAGATCTGCGGCCGCTTCGCTACTGGCTTTATGCTCGCCTAAGCGTCCACGCTGCACCCTCACCCCTGTGGATGTGGACACGGCAATGGAAAAAACTAAGAGGATCGACAACATATTGATTTGTGATTTTTGATGTAGAACCCTTCCTGTTTGCACGAAAATTGAGTTTAGCTCCAACGATACTAGATGTAGATCCTCGGCCTTATCATACGTGATGATCATTCAATAGCGTAGTTACACGAGATCTTGTCTTTCTATAACGTATGACCCGAATATTGAATCAATATATAGTAAATATCTTATCAATTATAACGTTGAATATTGTTAGGGATCTCAAAACAGTGAATCAAGAGAGTCAAATTCAAAACGAAAACTGATAAACAACTTTGAATAACGTCAAAGTACGGTGAGGCCGAAAAAAAAAACAGGTGAGGTCAAAAGAAAAACGGCATAGGGTGATGTTATTTAGCTGAAAAAAAAACTGAAGGAACAGGAGGGACACCTTTCAAAGTTGCAAATTGCAATAGTTGTAGATGTAGCTAAATAACAACGGATTTCGATGAGATGAAGTGAGTAGGATGATTGTTGCTAGTTCGGGATTAGGCAGTCGACGTTTTAAGACAATTTCAATCCTGATGTCATTTGAAAAAAACCTGGAAAGATACGTAAGAAGGAGTCATGTTATCTGAACGAGCATCTATTTCACAACCTACAAGAACAGGTAGTGCTAGTGTGAAAGGAAGTAGAGATCATGGTGGAGCATCATCGCGTATAACAGGATCCTCATCTGGATTGAATCTTCGTGGTATCGCCCCCTGAATCCTCCTATCGTCCTTAGGCTCTTTTCAACAGAGAGATTGATATCCATATCTCTAAGTCAAGTTCAACAGTGCATCAACATTACTGGAGATAAGGATCGTCTTCGAATGATCTGCATTTCTCACTCTTGCATCTTGGATCGTCGTGAACCAGGCTTCATCGTGATCTTGTTTTTGATGATCGTCGTCTCTTTTTGTAGTTCTGCTCATCCTCATGCTCATCAAAATGATGACAATGATTGTACCTATTCTTGAGGTGTTAGACTACTAGACGTTCTTCTAGACAGAATAATCATTAGTATTGGAAATGCATCAAAATACTTTGCAACACAAAAGTAGAAATGGCAACATGATTGCGCTGGCTTCCTTTACTCTTTTTTTGATCGTAGAAGGACAAGAACATGCATGAATTGTTTTTGAGTTCGCTTCCGAATGAGAGCATCCATTAAAAGTGTCACGACAACTCTCCTACGGCATTTTTGCTGGGCGCGCGACCAGGAAACTAGCTCGACTTCACGAAGACCAAGTACGGTGAAGAGTTTCGCAGTCCCTCATCGCGACGCCCCATAGTATTCAGCTATATTATATAAGTATAATATGGTTGTCTACGTAACGGAGCAGTCGTTCTACTTTCTCTTTTTTCCTCCTTTTTTTGCGCCTTTGCCGTTGCCTTTGCCCTTCTTGCCTGAGCCTTTTCCAGCAGACGACTTGCCACCACCTTTTTTTGGCCCCTTCTTGCCCCCACCCTTCTTACCTTTCCCCTTTTCCTTCTTTTGCTTACTTTTCACGCCTGAGAGCACGTCCTCTAGGCTCTTGCCCTCTGAATCTTTGTCTTTGTCGGACCTGGTGGTTGTTTTATTTGAGAGTGGAATCATATTACGTATGAGGAAGAGGATCGTATCAAGTGTCAGCTACCGTAATCAGGTTGAGGCGGACAAAACTTTCCTGCAAATGAGTCGTGAGTAATAGTGTCTGCTTCATCATGCAAATTAATGGCTCCGGTATTTGGTAACCTGAATTTGATCACAAGGGTTCTCTTCTTGTTTTCCCCTATGATCAAATTCAGGTTAGGGTTACCAAATACCGGAAGCATACAGCAGGACGAAGTTTTCCAATACAACATCGAACTCAAAGTAGATCAAGTTGTTTACGTTCATCCAGCAGGTTCTTTGAGTCTATTATATTCTTGTAATATCAAGAGTTTAATGATATTATGGTAGGTACTTCCATTTCTCGATTTGGTCCAATCCTTGTTTTCTCTTCTTGGCTTTTTCTTCAGCACGCTTAACCCCGACTGCCTTTCCGAACTTAGCGTTTGCCTGGTTTCTCTTTCGCTCCTCCACGGCGCCGATACGCTTTTGCTCATCCACAATACGGGTTCGGACCTTCAGCATTTGGTCGTCAGTCTTAAACATCTCCGCGAGAAAGTCATCCGGTCTTGTTGCTGGAATCTTCATAACGCGAAGTCTTCGGTACCCCTCAGCAACGAGTTCCTTAGCTGTTATCATGTATGTTATCAAAAAAGCAGTTAAGCATAACTAAGCGTAAGATGAAAATAGACCACTTCAAAATTGATTTATTATAGCTGGTATAGCTCTTCTACATCTAGGCATACACTGATCACAGTTGATAGAGATAACAACATCACAAGGGCAAGAAAGTTCTGGAGGTTATGATCAGACTGACTCTGACACTAGAGGACGATCCATAGTCCTCTAGTACCTCACAGTTGTATGCTCTACGGAGGTCTTCTTTATGAGAGTGCGGAGAACAAAGTGAGGGAGCTATGAAAATACCCTGTGCTAGAAAGGATTGTTCTCTTTTGACGTCTTCTTCAGCCTCAGTTTTGTCCAACGGTTTTGCTGCTGTCACAGCAAGGGTCTCAATCCACGGGACATGCTTTTGCCCAGCAGCTGGTTTGTACTTGATTTCATCGCGTTTCAATAGTATCGCAGGGGCGTCGCAGATGCGCTTTGGGGCTTCAGGCTTGCTAGAACTCGCTTCGCCACTCGCCTCTCCATGCTTGGCGATGCGCTCACCAGGCTTCAACAATGAAGCAGCCTGCGCAAGAATGGAGGCTGACATTCTGGTCGTTTGTCTGCTGATGAAGTAGATAAGTACGCACTTTACAAATACAAAGAACAAATGAAAGAGTAAGGGGTAACGATAATTTTCGCTTTTGGTGATGAATCACTATAACAAAAACAAGGTCGCAAAGAATAAATATCACAAGCTTAAAAATGATCAAGATCAGAAAACAATATGAATATTGTTAGATCATGAGTGGGATATATGTGAGATTGAGATAAACACCTCCTGTTGTGTGTATCAGTATAATAAAATGAGATGTGCTTGTCGCTAGCTCGTAACTACAACTAGCAGTTACAGTTACTGTAACTGTACTAACTTACAAATACAAATAGCAGTACGTTTTCCATTCGTTGTTATCCTTCTTCTAGTGGCCCATGGCACACCTGCTATCGATCCTGAATTGATCTGTCTCCGTCTTTGCAGGATCAACAGTGATCTCATGTATATAGATCCACATGATAGATCCTTTATCTTCTCCACATTTCATGATCAGTGTGGCAAGCGCAGATGCATGTCAAGAGAGGATCCCTCGATCTTTAGAACTTTGATGAGTCTTGTTGCTTAATCATGACATGATGGGAATCTGACAATTGCTGCCTCTTAGAGAGAAAGAGAGACATGAATCCAACATCCAGAGCGACCCGAGGATCATGCTCACCAGGAATCATCGTGATCACAGTTTACAATTTCAGCATTCGTTTTGCTCTACTGTTTTTCAATATGCTGGAAAGGGGTCTCGGAAACTCCGAAGATGAGGCGCAAAAGGCGCATTTCGACTTTCCAGACAACTTTACCTAGCGACGACTCGGTCGTGGTGGTCGCAATCGGGCAATCGCATGCTGTTTTATTATTGTCGCGAGGGGGCGCTCCCGCTCGCAGTGGAGCTAAAGCTAGCTATCATGTAAAAACAGATTAAGTTAACGAAACGGCTCGACGTGTTCTTTGAAACGATTTTTGATCTGCTCGGCAATAAGGGATATGCTAACATCAAGCACAGCGCAGTTGCAAGTGGCACTAAATTTCAAATTGCCGTAAGTCCCATGAAAATGGCTGTGCATATTCCACAAGTAGTTGTGATTACTAATGCAAGGAGTGTGTTGATCATGACGAATCATCAAGCCGCGCAAGAAGAACTGCGATGTTGCGCATCGAAGAAGTAGAGCATGTACGATCATGCCTCTGCCGCTTCATCTTGGCGTTAGACTGTTCTTGTTGGGTAGGGTGTAGGCGCTTCCCTAGCAGTAGAAAATCATGACCAAGTCTGACTTAGTTTTCTTTCTCATCTTCTACTTGCTGTTTCCTAGTTAGGGCTCCTCGTCCTCCAACACTATTCTCAAATAGTTTGTGGTTCAGGTGTAGTTTTCTGATGTATAGGACGAAGTAGTCAAAAACCTGATCAAACCGCCTGTCCAAGAACAGACTGGATTCGTGTTTGGGTCTGGATCCATTCAAGCATGACGTGAGCATCGTCGATATCAAGCGAGTAGATGTCAGCGACCTTTTGCGCTGAGACTTTCCCACCTTGTTTTTGAATGTATTCCGCGAGTTCTGACGCCAGTGCCTCGTTTTGCTTCAGCCCGTTTCTCTGCACAACGTCCTCGAAGCGCTCCTTCATTTCCTTTAGGCCCTGAAATTGCGCATCCTCCACGCGCTCTTCAAACGCAGCGTCGTAGGCTGTTTGTTTTGCCATAAAAAACGAGCCCCAAACTTTGAGAATAGCTGCATTCTCGGCGTCCGCGGTTGCTTCATCTTGCTCCGGAACAGAACCTGCATGCCGACTGCGAAGAAAGTTGCCGACGATGTCACGCTCTCCGTGTTGCAGTTCCAACTTCTTTTCTGCGTCTTCTTTTTTCTTTCTTCTCTCCTGTCCTGCATCAGTTGAAGAAGAGCTTGCTGATCCTTCTGCGCTAGCTTCGGCACCTGTTGATCCGGAATTAGCGCCTCCCACTGAAGTGCTGGCTGCAGTAGACGTCGCGGCATGAGCACCAGAGGTGTCCGTTGATGTCGCAGCAGAGGTTGTTGAACTATTTCCGTTCTTGGCAGCTCCTTTGGAGGTTTCCGCATCTTTGTTGGCAGCATCCTCTCCCGATGCGGTGCTTTTGCTTCCCGTTGGCGTGTGTCCGAGCTCCACTAGCTGCTCTGTCAATTCGGCTACTGGCGCGATTTTGGATCTAAAGAACTCGGTGAACTGTGATCGATTTCTGTGAAGCATCTCTGGACGGAGGAGCCACAAAACATCCTCCAACCCTTTGTCCCACGCCTTGACACGTTGTCTCGCGAGTGCCTGATATAAAAAGGCGCTTCCGTTGTTGGGGTCGCTTGTTACTGCGCTTTCACTTTCCTTCAATGCTCGACGATACCTTTATTAATTATTTTGTTGAACTTGAATTGTGCTCGAAGAACGACAGAATGATCATTATCATCAAATGTGGGACAACAATAAAACCAAAAAATTTGTGGCCGTGTCGAACCGCAAACAAAATCAAAAACTTGAATCTTCACTAACTAGGTTTAGGAGAAGTACAATTCTTGTTCCATAAGGAGCTCGGAACGGAACGAGTGAACGAGCGACTTTGCCATCACTACGCGAGGGACGTCATCCACGTGCATCGGTAGTCCTTCACATTGTGCGATCGCATCTAAACCCTGCTGATAGACTTGCATTGCCGTTTTGAAGTCGCGGGCTTCGAACTAAAGTGAGAGATGGGGAAAGGGTCTTTCTTGTTCTTGGAGCCCAGGAAAGAAATTGCAGTTTCAGAATTTTTTTCTTTATCTTTGCTAAAAGAAGATTCATCAACTACTAGTCCAAAGTACGTTTTATTGTTTTTGTCATTCGAGTATATTGGAACTTTCTTTATTTCATCATGAACTTCGAGAAGGACATGGGAATTGCATCTCCTTGTCCACAGTGTAAGGCTAAAGAAAGATCATGCTTCTCGGATAGTAATGCAGTACCAACTGCCTTCCGCCATCAAGCATTTCGTTAACGTAGGACATGAGCCCATCTACGTTAACGACTTGTTCGCCAGCTTCCACATCGACATCGGTGGAATCAGTTGAGGGTGAACTTTCTTCCTCGGTGCCTGCTGCTTGCTCTTCTTGCGGCGGCATCTTCGTTGGTGTTTTCTGCACAGCCATTGACTTGAAACTTTTTAGCCTTAAGAGCTTGACTAGAGCGAAGACAATCAGGTGTCGAACACGAACTCAGACAATGAATACAGAAGATATTGAGGTTCTCTGTGTATTCAGAAATCAACAATGCACGACCGGTTCCTTGATGCAATCAAAAAGTTCTTGCTCTAGGCATAGTACATAGTGCGTGCTTGTGTTGCCTGCGAAGAAAACTTTTATCAATGGAACATGAAGAGATCGTGGTCGTCAAATATGATCAGCTTGGATCTTTGTCGGGGGGGTGAGCTTCCAAACCCCAATAAATTGTCATGGATCTACTTTACTTCCAGATTGACGTAGTTGTTCGGATCAGTTCTATCTTCATGGTCTTGAAGTCTCCACTTCTAAGGAAGTTCGTCCCTGTGTAAGTCTTAACAGAGAACGAGGATCGACGCGGCTTCTGGACAAAGCTTGGATCCGAAAAGTTCGATTTGATCCTTAGTTTGAACTACTTTGCATTGTTTTGATCCTCGTCTCGAGCAGCAAGGCATGACAACAGTAACTGTGGTGAAGTCCTACGACCTTTTAGATAGTCGAACAAGCAAGCGCATATACGGTCTTGTTTGTAGATCATCCAGAGCAGGACAGGTTGTCGTCAAAGTCGGTAAAAAAATACATTGTTCCTTGTGTTCTATCTTCATCTCTTCCTTGCGCTACTAGATCTTTCTTCATGACATCATGACGAAGTAGCGAAGCGTTGTGGAAATACTATCACCCATTCAAATCAAAAAGTTCACGTACTCCTATTTCAACGCAGTACTACCACGCAGTGCCTTACTTGTTGCACAAACCATGATATTCTCGACGACACCAGACAGAGAATTTGTATTTGATTGGTATGAAATAGCTCATGCACCACATTCAGCCCAAAGAAAAAAGAATACGATGTATTAAAGTCACGAAGATTATGCCCGCGTGTATAGTCATGGATCGAGTGTGTGTGTGGTGTGGTTAGTAGAAGAGAAAAACGTCGTAGGAAAGTGTACGTGTACCAGACTGTGACTGTTTGGTTAAAAATCAGTTTAAGATGCAATCATGACACGGGACACATTGAATCTAAAATGAGTGTAATAATCTCGTACTTTTTCTCCTAGATGCCGTTTCTCGGGTTAGTACATCTTCCATATTTGTGTTTGTGTGTTTTAATTGAAAGCAGGGCTGTTCCTGTTGTCGTATTCGTTGTCAGACTTAGAGGTACCGACGTGCATCCCTGAGAGCCTCCCTCGGCCCTTTTTCCCCTTGAAAAAACAAAGGGCCAAGGATAATGTTGAGGATGGTCCAGCGGTAGCCTTAACAGACGGCGTTTTTGTATTTCTACCTCAATGTCCAAGCACAACTACGCGTTCTCTACTCGTGGCCGCGCGTCAAATGCGCCTGTCCGTATCCGTCTATCGTATCCTCCTTCTCATTGAGCGAAACATAGTAGACATTTTTCTCCATTTCACCACGAATTTTCTCAAAGATCACCGCATCGTCTGGTTCTACATTGACCGTCCGCTTAGTAGTGGAAAGAGCTCCACTCGAGCCCACGCTTGCTACTATCGCCATCGTCGTGTAACCACGTGGTTGGGACGCTCCACTATAATTCTCTCCCAGCTGATTATGTTCGTTGATCTTTTGTTCCGCATCGGATCTGCATTTGTAAAATGGAGGCGCATCACCCGTGTCTTGGAGTAAAGTAGGCGCAGATCTCTTTTTGACATCAGTAGTCGAAATGGGCGCACTCGGTGTTGTCAAAGAAGCGGGTTGAACAACGATTTCAATGACCTGAAAAAGCGGACCGTCACCACGCGCCCGCTCTACCTCAGGCCACTGCTGCAACCTGAAAACGTCGACGTTAAATCAATCTACTAACTATCAATCCCGCAAACGCATCAACAGCAATACGTAGAATAAAAGAGGTTCACGAGGATCATGCAAATGCCGCGGCGGCCATACTGATCTTGATCTCGGTATACAAGACGAAAATATGATGGGTTCTTCAGCTGCAGGGACAGCGACTACTGATTCTGATACATAGTTATATTATAATCTAAATCTATGAAATCGGATCAGGCCTGCTGACCATGACACACTTATAGTAGAGTAAGGCACTTTTTGACCCGTATCGGGTCGAGTTGCTCGGGTTGCTCGAGTTGCTCGAGTTGCCCACCCTAATTTTTTGCGCGGCGCCCTTCGGGCGCAGCTTTATGAGACTCCGCGAAACCTTAGCAGGAGCGTACGACACTGCGCGCCGTGTCTCTGATCCTTGATTTTCTTCGGAGTGCACCCTTGAGACAGGAGCGAGTAACCGTCTCGGGCTCAGGATTCATCTCAGCCACTTGCTTGGTCAACGAACATCTAACTACTCGCGAATCTAGTGTGATCATCCACTTCCAGCTTCCACTCCCAGCTGGTGCTTTCTCTAGTCTACTCATCTCACCCCCAAGCAAGGCTAGACGCGCCGCCCTATAAAGCAGACGGGGGCTACTCGCTCGCACCCCCGAAGTAGATTTATTGGGAATACATCCGAAGAAAAATGGGAGAGATCGCCACCGACCAGACGACACCACACGCCACAGCGACACTGACATCAAACAAAAACAACAACGGGCAGAGTCTTTCGCCCCCTTGGTTGCGCTTTAATAAACGCCCGCTGGCAAGCTACAAAAAAAAAGTCATAAGGGCCCAGGAGGCACTCGCACCCGATTGCCCCTTTCATGAGCAACAACAAACGCAGCACGCCCTTACGCTTCGCCCCTTCGACCGGCTGGGTTTGTGCTCGCACCGCCCTGCTTCGCTCCATTTCGATGGAGCGGACACCTCCCGGCAACTCGTGGCAACTCGTTCCAGCAGTGAAGCTCTTCGCTTCGGCAACTCGAGCAACTCGTGGCAACTCGAGCAACTCGAAACCCGTTATATAGATAGTACTACAACTGATACTATTTATCGGACCACGCGACGTAGCACCTGTAAATCGAGTCTGCATCTGTTTCAGTCGCATTGCGCTTCAGGGATCGAAAAAACTTCACGAGATTCGTCCACGAGCAGCCAGGTGTCACGTTCTCGCTCCTGAGGGCATCCGCCCACCACTCGAGTAAGAGCCTGAGGCTACGGTAGAGCGACGACTCACCCGCAGAGCGAGGAAAATTAAAGTCCATCTCCTCACTCAGATTCTGTCGAAGCACAGCAACAAGATCTGTGAATCTGTGGATTTAGTTGGGCATCAACATCGTTGTTGCGAGGTATTGTTCGAAGTATTTTCAATATCGCTTTCAAACTTATGGATATGGAAGGTGAAAAGTAGATATCAACGTACTCAATTAAGGTTAAACTACGCATAGAACATGAACAACAAATGTTGGGGAAGAATAATCTTACGGCATTTCTTGATTGATTCAGACTCAGTGTCACCTTTGCTTCCTCTCTGCCACAGAGGCTAGTACTGCGTCTACGCGCCGTTGCCGGTCGAGTCGTCGATCTTCTTCCTCTAACGCTCGACGATGTGCTTGTTTCCTCGCTTCACCTTGGTCGAACTCCCCACTGCGGAGAGCTCCTCTAGGTCCTTCAATCACCGCTCGCAACCTTTGCCACACGTCAGCAAAACGCAACAGAGCTGGATTTAGAGTGCCAGGCTGAGTTCGGTCCCCTTGCGCAGACTCAGCAGGATTTTCGTGGTTACTCCGATTAGCCTGATCATGTCTACCTTCTACGTCCAGTGCATTGCCTGTTTGTTGACCGACACTTGGTACTTGGTGTGTTCCCTGTGGTTCTTCGCTGCTGTCCTCTCCTGGGCTACCGGCAGCCAATAAACCGCTATTCTGCTCCTGTATCTGTTCCTCTTGGCTGTCAATTTTGTTGAGTCCTCTAGTTCTTTCAGTTTCTCTTTCCGCCTTTACACATACAGCTCTGGTCGAAGGAACCGGGTCAGAAAAATGTCGTCGGAAGGCTCCTTCAAGATACCACTGGGTGTCCACATAAGCCAAAAAATCTACGAACTGCGAATCTGAAATCATGCCTCTCCCCTCAGAAAAATCGTGGAATAATCGTTCCAACGGAAACCGTCGCCGCAGGCTGGTTTTGAATATTTTGGTTTATTTCATCATACAGAACATGCACATGACTATGAACCTGAACTAGACGAATATTTTTCCGCCTTTTCTGCGACATGGTCATGGTCCTGTGCATTTGTCATGACTCGAAGATTGAAGTAGTCATCAAAGACTGGAGTAGTCATCGAAAACTGGAGTAGTCATCGAAGATTGGAGTAGTTGATTTCGCAAACCAAAAAACGATACAATGCTCTGCGCTCGCGCTCCAGAACAGCGAGGTTTCGAAGAGTATCAAAACTCTGCAACCGTGGAGTCGTCGGTCCCTTAGCAGGGTTACGACTTGAAGATGGTGGAGCATTCCGAAGCAAGTACTGTCCGAGCCATTTCAGGGCGTTGAAATTACTTGCCGATCTAGCACGAGCCACATGTTCTTCTTGTTGACTTTTCCCATCGTCGAAGTTGCCTGAGGACGACAGCGTCGCGAGATCTGCAGCTTCGCATCCACCGACTTTAGAGGTTACGGAATTACGGTCCTCACCACATCCCTGGCTGTTTTTCTATTCGCAAAAGAGCCAAGCATGGTAGTGCGGGACGTAATTCGGAAACCCCTAACTATCCCTTCCTCGAACAAAGCAGCTGCATGCTCTTTATGAATTTGGCGAGCCAACTGTTCCAAGCCTTCGAGCAAGAGTGGCCAAAGCCCACTTTCGACCAGAAAAAGGTCGTGATCTTGGCATTTTCGAGTTCCGAATCTCCTGTCAGTCAGATGTGCGAAGAATTCCTCCAGATCCTTGGTTGTGGTCGGAAGCGCCATGATCGCAACTGCGATGGGGATGGCGTTGGCGGGCGTTCTTGCCGTATATTTAATATGACAGCATGAGCTTGTTCCTGTTCTTGGGCATCATGCACATGATGATACAACTTCGCCATAATATGACATCGTTCAACTAAAACAAAAACTTTGTACTGAACTATATTATATTTTATAATAATATGTCTTTGTTGATCTGAATGTTGATCGAGGCTTTTGTTTTCAATTGTCCACCATTTCGCATAGCTGTATTCGACCAAACTGCATCTGATCACCGTTTTTTAGGTGGTGCTGCACGTTGATCCTGAGGATGAGCACTGCCTCAGAAACAATAATGACTGTAGCCGTAGGTCGTGGAAGGTTGGAGTTGATGGTGACACCGAAAAGATGAATACTGTCAGAAATTTTGATCAAAACAGAATCTCATTCTTTTTTGAAGAAAGTAGGAGCTTTTAGCAAAGAAAAGAAACTAGGTATTTCCTCGGATTTCTTTGTCGCTCACGCTTCATTGGTTCGAACGGACTCTATCGGACAACTCAAGACAGATAAGCGATACCGAATGGATTGCGACCCTTCACGGGACACACGCGCGCAGTCAAACGTAAACAGACTCTCTGCCTCGTGTATAACGCGCTTCCTCAAAGCAAAATCTTCGCGAGAACAGAAGATTGCGCGCGTGATCGCCATGTAAACACATAGGACTCGATTCCTATAACTGCGCATTCGTCCTGCAAGCGAAACGGAGACTGACCCGCGTAGGATAAACTTTGAAGTCTATGACGGGCGCACGGTAACAGTGTTTACACTTGCGATTCGATTTCTGTTCATCTTTTCCGTTTCGCCAACAAGGAGGCGGAGGATAGAAACAAAAGATAAGTAGCCCTGCTTGTTGAGCAAGTCTAGAGATTCATATGCCTCCGACTTACGCGCCACCCGATTCCTCAGACCGTTTTTGGATCACCTTGTTGATGTAACATCGGTCTGTCGGTAGCTGCACTCCTGCGCCACTGCTTTTCATCTTGTTTCTTGTGAAAAGGGGTGCGGGTGCTCCGTTCGCTTTTCCTTCGACAGTGTCATCTGCGTCTGAGCCGCCGTCTTCATCAGCCGAGTCCTCCTGCATCATGGCGTAGAAGTCTTCACGCGAAAGGCCAAGCGATGCTGGGTGCTCGATCTGCACTGACCCCACGGAGCAGGCAAGTCGCCCCCGCGGCAAGCGATTCGCCAGTGCACTTCCCGCATTCGAGGTCGCCATTCTGGGTACCACACTCTCCAAAACGCAACTCTCAAACAACAGGTACTCCATCACTTTCCTCTGCACAACGAGCGCCGACTCTGGATGCAGGGTTCGCAGAAGCTGCGGTAGTCTGTGCTCTGACGTGGGCAGAAAAATCTGTCTCTGGCATCGGCCACGGTTGTACAGGAACAATGCTGGCAACGCAGTGGAGCTAGGTTTAGAGGTAGGGTTTTCGTGTTTCTGTTTCCCGTTTGTTCTGCCTTTATCCCTTAGGAGAGACAGAGCAAACGGAAGCAAGAACACCTTTAAACTAGCCTTTTTAATAGGGAAGCTGGTAGGCAGGATTTCTTCGGCTCTAGCATGCACGAATTTCACCGAAGAGAACTTGCGAGCTAGATGTTCCGTACACTTCGCGGTCGATTCGTCCAACGCTGAACCAACACCACTCAGCAACACGACGACCCACACGCATTTGGTGTTCGCGGGAACGCTCGCCGCGCACTGCTTTGCGAAGAACGCGGCCTCGGATCGCTCTGGCATAGCTGAGTCACCCTTTCCGGCTTGCGGCGAGGAGTCGAAGTCGTCATCATCGAATCCATTTTTGGTGTCCGACGATAAGGATCTGACCATGAGAAGTGGGAAAGTGAATGGCACGACATGATATTATGAATGGATTTATGCTTAAGTAGCCTACTTCTTATACATCGTGGCCGCCTATACAGATACACCAGCTCTGCACTTGGTCTTGCCCAGAAGATGGTCACGATAACTTATGCATGTGAAAATATAATACGTTCTTGGCTCCTGCCCTTCGATCGGAACGCACGATGCTTGGTTTACTTCGCGGACGAAGTCTGCCTTGCGTACACGAATCAGTGTACCAAATATACTTCGGGATGCTTGTTTCTGAAGCTCAGCCATGCGGCGTCGTCGAATAGCGAGAAGCTCAGTTTCATCGTCGTCGTTAGTTTCCGTTTGTTTTTGTACAACTACAACTGCTGAAGCAGAATAATTCTGCACTAGTGTCGCGCTAGCTCGATCTATTTCATCTGCATCGAGGTTTCTATCTCCCCGATCACCTTCATGCACATCCAATAATCCGTTGACCTCGTCCAACCCCATCGCTGCTCTCGCGTCTGCGCATGCTAGCTCAACTTGGTTCTGGTGTCGCTTGAACAGTCGCTCTGAGGAGGGCAGCTTTGTTTTAGGGGCAAAATTGCCAACTCTTCGATGGTAGTCGTCCCACTGCGACGTGTCATCGCATTTCTCACCGCTAATAGCATCTTGGACGAGGGACGTCATTTTCGCACTAGTGCCAGTGCCACTGGTAGCTGAAACACTAACTTTGACAATGAGGAGCTTTGATTTTGACGCGAGAGAACACTCACCACGATGAATAAAGATAAACTCAATTTAAGTGTATGAGCTACGGCAAACAGCACAAGTTAGTAAACGATATAAAGATGTGGATCTACGAAAGAAATTGCAATAGAGCAACTGCTGTTGCAACAAGCATGGAGCCCACAGAAAATTACAGAAGGTGTTAGGATAGGTTTGAAACGGACGATAGCATATCTCACAAAGAACTCCAGCAACAACGGCGATAAATAGAAGGATGAATATGCAGACCGACATACACACCGTCAGACATCTCATCGCCGATCAGCTCAACACGTTTTCATATCTTGTGGGTGCTACAGCTTCTGTGCCGCCAAGGAGAAAGTGAGTAATGGAACTTCGCTTTTATTGATAGAACAAGGGGTTCGTTTGAGAACCGTCTCCCGTCAAGTCGTGTACAATTTGGACACGACTCGGTTAATTTCGTTATGTGTAAATTCATTTGCGAACTCCGATAATGCATCGATATGCAAACGCGGAGTTGTCAGTCATGAATAAGATAAACCCAGCTGCAAGCTTTAGATTAGCTATAATGAGCACGCTTCTCCATAGATTTTTCCAGAGCTTTTTTTATCGTCCTTCTCTACTGTTCGTGCACTTCCAGCTGCTCTGCTGGTGACGTAAGTCGTTATATTTCATTGAAATGTGGTGCACGCTGCCGCAGACGTTAGTATAGGCTGCCCCAGATCGATACAAGTGGAATGACGGGGAAACACACGATGTCCATTGGAGAAAAATTACCAAACTATCATCTTCCAAGGAAGTCAATGTCAACAATCAGGCGTGAGCATGTGCTCCGACAATCTATTTCGAATGTCGTTCAATCAACAAGAGAGGTGAAAACAATTTTGAATTTTCGTTTTCAAAGAAAAACAACGCAGTAGAATGAAGTCGTAGCGAGAGCGACCTCATTTTTGAATAACTTACACTTAGTAACATCTCCATTTAAGTAGTTGAAAAAAACAACAGAGAAGTGTATGGCTTATTGTCGCGTCGTCCCTACAAGAGAGCAGAACACCCCTGAAGTGGCACCACAAGTCCCAAGTCGTACTCGTAGTCGTCACATCCTTAGTAAGAAGTAGACGAAGAAATGGCATACCCTCATGCACATACCTCAGCCTCGACCAGCAGACGTTGACGGCCGCACTGGCGCTCCCCCGGCAATTAGCGAGCCTGGAAGGGTCCTACCCGTGAAAGCAGATTTCGGACGACCCTGCGTAATCGCCGACGTCCAATGGGGTTTCGAAGTATCGCCGGACTTCAGGATACTCTCAGCATTACCTATCATTGAAAAAGAAGCAACAGCTCGACGGTTCACTTGAATCTAAGCCTTGTATGTTCTGTTGAAAGAGTACAGAAGCCACTTCTTAAACTAGAACTAGTAGCGACTGTATCTGTAGCTGTCGATTGCCAAGAATTCGGTTAAAACCTACTTTCCTTTGATAATGAAGCTCTGAATCGGCCACTTATCATCGTTTTCGTTATCTGCTGTTCCCATGGAGCTTACCAAAAGAGAAAATCGCTAAAATTTAGAGGCAGAAGTCTTGTAAGTTGTGTCCTCGGCATCGATAATTGCAACTTGACGATATCAACTGAAACATATGTATGAGGAAAAATACGTTTTGCTGCCTCCATTTCCTGACTGACGTCGATCGCATCCGGACTAGGCTCTTCGCTCAAATCGAACTCACCAATGTCGAAGTCTGGTGATTGCGAAAAATTGCTGTACGCGCGTGATGCTATCCCGCCTCTTGTTCCAGTCCGCTTCCCGTCTGGAGAGGCGCCCAAAGCTGCGCTCGCTCCAGCGCCACGCAAAAGCGGAGAGGAGCCAAGCAGGACTGTTGTGCCACCCCCTTTTAAGGTGTCGTGCTCGCCTAGTAGGGCGTTGTACTTGCGCTCCCATTTGTTGTTCGACAGGTTCATTTCATAACGATATTCATCAACCTTGGCCTCGAATTTCTTCGTCGTCTGGCTCTGATCTCGAAGCCGGTTCTTCGCGTCAATCTCTCGCGCTATGTAGCTCTTGATGGTTGCCTGTAGAGCGGATATTTCTTTGTCCTTGTCTTGTAGTTTCTGCCTCATCACCTGAATCTGCACCTCAGACACGCTCGCGCTCACAGGCCTCAAAGCGGGCGCAAGGCGCGAACTGCTTGACGTTACTGCTGCGGCGCTGCTGGGCTTAGAGCGAATATAGGTTCTGCCGGCTATCACTTCATTGATCAAGGAATCATAGAAGTCAACGTCAAGTTTTTGCTCATGCGGATTGCATGGACCATGGGTGGCCTGTATAACATTCGGAATCATGAGGATGTTCTTCTAGTTCTTCTTCTTGTTGACCTTCTATCTAAGACCACCGATGCATCAGGTTGTAGTACATACCTAGATAAATCATGTGCCTTGAGCTCGAGGTCGACCAAAGTCCGAATAGAATTTGGTCTTGTTCTTGTGAAGTATCTATGTGAAGCTTGTTTGCTCTTCTTTCTCAATATTTAGCATAACTACGTTTGCAGAGCTCGATGACGACGCACGTTGTGAAACGCCTGCTCCGGGCTCTACGCCCGCTCGTGTGAGAAGCTGGGCGACGGCATCGAGGGACAAACCCAGTCCGTCCGTCTTCTGTTGCGAGGACATGTCGAACTGCGCACTGAGCTTCTTCAGTTTCGTTTCCAAATCTCTGATTTTCCCTGTCTTGTCCTGGTTTTCTATCACTAGTCGCTTCACCTGCTTTTGCAGCTGCTCCACGTCTCTTGCTTTGGACGCTTTTCTCAGGCTAAGGATGAGCATATCCTTTGCTCCTACTTCCTCCTGCAGCTTCTCGACTTGCATTTCTAACCGCGTGAAAATTAGAACAAATCGCAAACATAATATGACCTCATTTCTACACATGATAGTTTGATATCAAGACTCCCATTCATCTAGCTATTTACCTCTTCACTCTACTTCAACATACCAGTCGTCTTCGCATTCTAGAGTCTAAAAAAGCATTTCAATAGCCATCGTTATCATTAATATGTTCGTATGATGATGATCAAGAATGAAGCGCATTACTTCTGATCTATCTGTATCTTCTCCATAGAATGTTTTTTCCTTGATGTTCGTATTCCATTTTTTTGGCGTTCCAGCTTCTCACGAGCCTCCCGCTTTCGTTCTGGAACCGTGTTTCTTGCTCACGCAATAGTTGCTGCGTTGTCTTCTCCTTGGCGGGCTTTAGAGGGAGATCGAGTCCGCCTCGGCGTCGGGGTCGTTTTTACCCTCGTTTGTTATTCTTTTTCCCTTTTCATACCTCCCTTGTATGCAATTACAAACTCCAAGGAAAGACAAACAAGGGTACCGGTGGGAGATGCCGAGAGAGATGGATTATACACGCTGAGGACCCTAAAAGTTGTTCTTCTTGTCTGCTCAAAATCCGCATATTTTCAGTGTTCCACAAATCAAGCATGTCCCTCTCCTGCTTCAGGCTTTCAACCTCCTCTCGCAGCTTCTGGTTCTCCACACGAGCCTCCCGAACACCCTCCGAAGATGTCCCTATCACCTGTAGTTTAGAATCAGAACTAAGATTAACCTGGAATAGTAAACTGTGGAGTGGATCATCAGCAAGAAAGCGGATCAAAGTGTGGTCGTAGATGGAGAGAGGCGGATCGTTGGATGACCCGACAAAAAAAGGTATAGATAGAATACATATTTATAGATAGTATCTTCAAACGCATTCTTAGCAGGGCGACAACATCAATTATTATTTAGTACGTCCCGATTTTGCTTCTGTAATTCGCCCACGAGGGTACTGAGTTTTGCAATTTGTCGTTCTCTTTCGTCCATCTTCAGAGAATAGCGCTCCCTTTCATCGTTCATTTCCTCCTTCAAAGTAGCGATTTCTGCCTGCATGGACTGCTGCAGCGCCGCTTTCCTAGATGGACTGTTGGTTTCCTTGGTGAACTTCATGAGAATAAGCGCCGCTCGCTTGATCGCCGCTACTCCTGGCGTATCCGCCGGCTCACTCGGTGACCGGTCGAGCTGTTCTTAGAACTCACTGGGTTAGAGCTAAAGCGTGAGTGGTCAGGCTCATCACGGCCACTATTAACGTATCATCAGCAAGAAAATGGTCAACGCGTCTTTGTCTTTCAGCAGGAAATCAATTATGCCTTTGCGTAGTCTGTCGTAGTGGTACTAGTCAACCTGCTGCTCATGCTATCTCAACCAGCACAACATGATTGATGAGTACCGGATGGAGGATAATATATTTGTGCAAAAAGAGTAAGAGATACACAGGGACAAGAGCAAGACGTCGTGACATCTTTTTTCATAATGTGGGGCCTCATCTTCTGCTGCTGCCTCAGCGCCACCAACCTTCTTCACTGCGTCTAGTATATCTTTCCCAAGCTCGTCGAGCTGCGTCTCCGTTCGTTGTGCACTGTGTTGGGCTTCCTGATATTTTTCTTGTAAAAGATCGCAGTCGCCTTGCGTTTCCTCCAGAGCTCGCTGAAGCTCCGCTTCCCTCGCTTCGCTCTGCTCCAGTCTCGTACTAAGCGCTATGCGTAATTTGGGAAAAAATGCATGACCTTCATCAATTTTTCTAGATCTAAGAAGAAATGTTTGGGACGATGGGAGACCCAAAGCAATTCTCAACTGCAGTAGTATTCAGAACGTAAGCAATCAATTGAAATTCTTGCGATCAGAAAAGTCTCAAGAGTCACGCAGAATTCTGACGAGAGGCCCCTATCTTCTAGGGCTAGGTGTAGATAGAATTTTAAGAAATGAAAGGTCGCGCTCGCGTTCTCGTCATTTTTTACATGCTTTGTTCAAAAGAGTGACCATTGTAAAGGTCCGATCCTGGATCTAGTGGAAGTCATGAACATGAATAGTCCCGGTTCATCTACGTGTTTGGTTGTTGTTCTTGGCAATAATGTAAGAAGGTACCAGTCTCTTTGCGTTCCTCGTCGCCCGATCCAACACCTTTGCTCGTCATGCGTGTTCCGAGGCTGTCGTTCCCTCGCACGTGCCTGTCCATGCCCGTCTTCCATTTCGGGCCTTCGTCATCCCCCGCAGTTGGGGTTGTGTTCTCGATTGATCCCGACCGTGTTGGCGGTCCGCTATTGCTCTTGCTCTTCGCTCTGGGCGGCATAGTGTCGGAAAAGAGTGAAAGCTTGTTGTATATCTATCTTCGCTCGCTTTCCGTCCCTGGTCCTGGTAAAACTAGGGATTGGTCATATCGATCAAGACCTATGGGATTTCGTTCCCAGAAAATGCTGGAAGGGATAGACGGATAACTACTCGTGATACGATGCTTCGGACGTCGATAGAATTCGTATGGAGAACCGTATAGTTCCTCCCGGAGACGAGAACAGTGACCTCATCTACTGGGCGGACGGTAGAGAACCAGAATCCCCATCTCCTTGCTCTTGTTCGAAATCATCATAGCGTATTTCTTGTGTCCATGTTTGCTCGGAGGACGCTTATCTCTCAACATCGACTTCGTCGAGCGACGCGTCTAAATATACGGCTGCGGCTGGCCCGCAGCAAAACATCCTTATTTCATCAAAACTTTGCAATTGCATTATTAAAGGAAAACGCAAGCTTTTTTGGTACAATTTTCCAAGCCATTATTTCTGAACATGAAGATTCCCGGTGAGCTGTCAAATAAAGAGCAAGAACTACCTGGTCGCGCGTCTACTCGATTACTCATACATGTCTTGTTACTTTCTTGCTTGATAAACATAAACTAGCCCTAATTTTCAATAAATTTTTGCATACACTTTTACGGTTTTTTCTTGGACGACGAGGACTTCTACTAGAGGTAGAAGAGCAAGAGCTTCTGAAAAGCTTTTGAATTTTGACTTATCTTCTTACTCTTTTCGTTTACAATTGTACTTTTGACAGTTCCCGATTTTCTGCCTCCTCATCACACCAGCCTACTAAGTGGCTCTTGCTGGCTCGTCTCCCACGAAGAAGTAGACATCTTCTGGTTCATCCTTCTCCTATTTTCATTTCGTTTGCAATTCTATCGCGTACTACATCTTCATCTCTCTGCTCCTTCTGCTGTAGTTTCGCTAAGGCTGCTTCGATAAACTCTCTCTCAAAAAAGATAAGGATGCCCATCAGCATTTGCTGCCATCGTGGTCGTTACTTATGTGTTCGGCCGAAACCTTAGCTTATCGATGTTGATGCTTTTACAGCTAAGTATGTAGTTCGTTATATGCTGGGATATGCAGAAGCAGATGCGCCTGAGTGTCCGTCATCGCCCATGGAAATGGAGCAACGAATGCATAATTCATTTCTTTGCTATTGATGCTAAAAGTATATCAATATGGCCCGGAGAAAAGCAAAATTCTTTACATCTTCTGAAACAGAAGATTTTCGCGTCAATCAGACAACAAGTCGAAGCCTTCATCATCATCTAACATCATGACCTCCACCTTCTCATTCATTCAATAAATTTTCATGATGCTAAGCAGCTTCCTTGGTCATCTCAAAGCGTATTGGAAAATTCAAAATACATTGCAAAAAAATATATGACGGGGGGACATTCATCATGGAATCGAGTACTCGATGAATACACCTCGATGGATCTAGTACTGGAATTACGGACTTGCTCATGTTCGTCCTATGCCTATCGGAATCATACAATTAGCTAGGCAGGAGCCTACGTACTTGTCTATCGAGTCACCTCACGTCAAAGCCTTCTTTTTAAATTTCGAAGAAAAAGCGAAACATCTTTGTCTACAGTTGTACTACGGAAATTTTTTACATGTTCGTGTAGATATTAGTTGCGTCAATGCTGTTAGGTGGTGTTTTTGTATCTTATTATAACAGGAGTTCTTCAAGGGGCTATGTACTCTGTTCTACACCTGCATGACACCAAATCGCGCCTCTGCTACAACTTGCATCTTGTTTTATGGATGGCGACATTCCATGATCAGAACAATATTGCTCCTCGCGAACGAGACAGTTGCACTAGTTGTAGCAATAGAACTAGTGATACAACTAAAACTATGTGTAATTAGTACAACTAAAACTATGTGTAATTCATATTAATTAAAATGATGTCTGAAAATATTGAGAAAAATCATGTTTCAGCCCACGCTTTGTCGTACTCGTAGTTCACTGTTTTCTTGTCTAGACAAAACGTAGACCAATTCTCCTGAATCCGTTATTTCATTTTGATTTTATGTAGTTAATTGCGCTTAGGGCATCAGAGGTTGATAGCCGTTCTCATCCTCCGCGACGTTCCTCGATGCGCCATATCGTCCCGCAACGAAACCGAAGCTCAAGCCGATGAGCAAAAGCGTGAAGGACAACATGCTGGCGTCTGGTGTCACCGAAGCGGGATGCTCCGCTAGGAGAACGTTCTTCAATTGACTCTGTGCCGCAACAGTAGACGTGGAGTGTTGGATCATCGTTAGAGGAAATCTCTTCTCCGCAACCTTTTAACCAATATTTATAGAGAATTTCGCACTTTCCGGATTTCTAAAATGCATGGTATGGATTGCATGCATGGCAATGGATGGCACTATTTAGAACTAAGGTTTTTTTTTTCGGGGCGCCCTTCGGGCGCCATCGTCCGCACTCACTGTGGTCGTGTTTCACCTTCCAACAGCTTGGGCGCCAGCAACTTCGAAGCATTCGCATCCGGGCGCAGCATACGCAGGCTACAGTCAGAACACCCCCCCAAAGACCACCCCCCCAACGCCGGCAACGCAGAGGACCATAGAGACGCGCCGGAGCCTGTGCACCCACGCAAGAAAACTAGCGCACTTGCCGCGTGCCTACTTAAACCCAGCCGGAAACCAAGACTAGACCGAAAGCCAGACGCCACTGCATTCCTGTTACTTCTAACGCGGGCCCATAGCGGAAAAGTATAATAAGCATCAATATACTGTAAGCACACTGGTCGCAAGCATGGCAACGCCATCCCGGGGGGAAGTGGGGGCCTTCATAATCTAACATCTTAAGCACTTATGCCTATCGACCATTACGCACTTAATACTTAGGGGCCCGGCTTCTATCTAGCTGCGAATATCTAGGCTAGTTTGCTGGCATCTCCAACGCGGCCAGGCGTCAGGGGCTCTGCGTCCTCCCTGCAGCCAGCTCGAACCGAAAGGGAGCCCACGCGCGGCCTCACCCCTACGAGAATCGAGCCCCCTATCCGCGGGCGGGCAGAGCACAACAAGATAAGCAAGGCGACGGCCCTCCTGTGGCCTTGTCAGGCGAGGCGCTGCGTTCAAGCAGAGAAGTGCGCGCTTCCCCTTTAAAAAGGTCACGCCTTCGCTCCGCCTGGCCATGCCATCCATGCAATGCATTGCAATCCATGCAAGCCATCATCCATCTTAGGAAATGCTCTACGGGAATAAGGATCCTAATGAGGGGCAACAAAAAATCTTCTACCCACATAATCATCTGCAAAATGTGTAGAAGATTATTTGTGTAGACGATTTTGTAGTACGAGTGCGACTTAAGACTAAGTATTTTGTAGTGATACCCCCAAACCTTAAGAAAGATGAACGCAACAACTCCCTGATTGTTACGCGAAAAAGGGAATAACGAAAGAATCATCGAAAGAAAAATAGTGAAAAGCCGAGGATAGGTTCGAATAAGATAGGGAAACACTTTTTTTCCTCTTAAGGGTGCTTTCGACTCCTTTTCCTCGTACAGCCACTCGCCCTCCTCAAAGATACTCGGGAGAAGCGTGTGCGTGGCGATCTGTTTGCGCTCTACCTCGATGGGATGGACGTCTCCGTTAAATCCGACGGACTTGGCCCACTCCTGAGGATAACCGTAGGAGACGCCCACCTTGCCGTGAGGCTCGTTCAGGAAACCATCGTTGTACCTAGAGATAGCTTCGAAAATTTCGTGTTCTCCGATCTTGAGCAAAGAAATGACTCATTTCTCAGAATATGGGTGAAGAACAAGAAGTCGAGAAAAATGAAAATCAACGTCAACATGAAAATAAAATAGCAATGAGTAAAGAACCTGATGGTCGCCGGAGGTGGAGAGCCTGAACAAAACATAATAATCAAAGAGATGACATTGATAAATACGCTTATACAACATGTTTATGGTCACGGCACTCCCTAAAAAGTACTTGACAATGAGGTAATCCGAGAGCTGCCACCATTGATCTACGACTTTCTTTTGGAGTGCGCTCTGCCATGCGTTCACATGCGACGAGGAGGTATCGTGAAGCTCTGCCAGCTCCTGGTCCAGCATGGTCTGCAATTCGTCTTGCTTCGGATAAATGTCATTTTCGGACATCATATTGTAGTTCAGTTTCGACCAATTGTTCACAAAATCGAATGCCCACCAAGCACTATTGCGTGTGAATTTTCGATTGGTTCCCGTTGCGTACGAGGGATCGACCGTCGTGGAATGCTGAGGAACGTCAAGGTATTAATCAAGTTCAAGGGCATCCATGATCTTATACTTATGTAGTGCCTATTGCATGTAGAAATGTTCGACAGGAAATGCAAATATGAAAAATGGTAGCAAAGAGGGGAAATAAATTTCGGAAGACCGAGCGAGTTTCTCAAAATAAGAGGTCAATGCCGAACAAGATGTGAGGAAGTACCGCCATCACCGGCACGAAGACCGAGGTCGCAGGTGTGTCGATGGCGAACCAACTGACGGCTTTGCCCTCCGGCAAGGCTTCGTTCATGACGCCATACACAGTGCGTTGGATGCTGATGCCTCGTGGAATCTGGCCCATCCCGGTGGATGCGACGCCGCCTTCCGTCGGAAAGGGGTTGCCGAACGGGCCAGCCAGCGCGCCCTTGCCCAGGTCGAACTCTGTGCCCTTGTAGAGGTCGCTGTGCATCTTGAAGATGTCCCGACGGTCAAGCGGCTTCTCGACTTCGACCGACCACGGGTAATCCATGGGCTGCAGGTGCACTTCCCAGTTCTTCGAAGGGGCCGCGAGCGTGAATAAGCGCCACAGGCGAAGCGAGGCGTACAGCGGAATCGGCTGTCCGTGCGTCGTGAAAGTGACCGTGTCGGGCGCAAAGGTGTTCGTGAAGTGCAGTGCCTTGCCCTCGTCCCAAAAACCGGCGGCTTTGGCGACGGCGCGGATATTGGGGGAAAATAGGAAGTCCGCAGTTTGCTCTTCTGGTACTTCCTTGATGATGAAGTTGTTGGCGATAAACGCCGCGTGACCCTTGGGCACGCGTTGGGCCACCCAAACCGACTTAGCGATCCCGGGATACCCACCGACAACGTGGAACACCCAAGCGTCTCCAGTGGCATCCGCCACGGTGACTGCTTCACCGCCGTCATCGACAGTGGTACGGCCATCCAGCTCTTTGCCGACGGTCCACTCGTTCGGCATCGGGTAAAACCTAAGCAGAAAGAACGAATTGATAGGAAAGGAACTTGGTGATTCGTTAAGGATGTCAATGACATTGACAAGTCAGTCGTGAAATCATGCACGTTCGTTCAAAAATAGGCTCACTTCCCATAAGCATGAGTATGTACATGTAGTAGTGATCAGCACACAGGAGTAATTCGAGTTTTTACCAATGGATTATTTATGTACCCTTACTTCTGGTTCTGACACTAATATCATTAATTCTCGAAAAAGAGAAATAAACCGTCAACCATCCACCATGGAAATGGATCATGATCCATGTTAATGATACCCGTGCTCTTCTGCAAGACTTCCCATTGTTTGCACTGCGCAAAGCGAAGTCACGCAACGCTCCATTGCAATCTGCATCATGGAGCTGAGATCGATAAGAGCTGGAACCCCTGTAGTCGGTCCCTTCTTCCCACCAACGGGCCAGTTCATAAGTCGGGCTGCGCAGCTGGACTCGCCCGTTCTTTAGAGAAGTGTTTTCAAGAACAAGAAGTAGAAGTGCAAGTGGAGCACGAAGAAGTAAGATTTCGAGCAAAGGTTGGAACTAAAAAATGCAGTAAGAAAGAGGGCAAGCAGTCAGTTAGTAGCATTTCGTGTCGGGTCGTTACTTATCATCTTTAGGTTTCAAAAATGGGTATGGGCTGAGTGTTCATTTCCATAAATGCTCAATCCTTTCTCGTTAATTAGCGGAAGCACGCCTTCCCAGTAGCCGAAAGTGTGTGCAATTTGTGAAACCTCGCCTACAGCTGGCGTAGGTGTTTCGCCTTCTTTCGGTTCGTAGAAGCTGCCACGTCCGTAACCAATCCATCGAGGGGCTGCTCCAGAAAACATATAAACTTTTCGCTTCGCTCCCAATCCGTGATCGCCGGCAGGCACATAAGCCAGACGCCCATCGCAGTTGCTGCAGTCGGCGTTCATGCCTGGTGCTTTATTCTTTTGTCTATAGGTTTTACCTTGTAAAAGTCTGTAAGACGCCAGTCCTGACAATGACAGCGACAGATAACATCAATTAGTATAATTGATAGTCCTAAAACATCGCAAAAAGTAGACAAATAATCTAAATTAATATTTAATAATGTTCGTGGATCAGACCTAACGAGAAAAAACAAAAACCGCAAGAAGAAAAGACAATGCCAAGCAAGTACTTATCTCCTAATAGTAATAACGAAGCGCCGGCACTGTCGTGGCCCTGTCAGCCCCACAGGTCTCACCTTCGAAGGCAGGCTGGAGCTCTGTGCAACGCCTCCAGTGAGAGAGTGCTCAGTTCTATGGTTGTGCGCACTGGTTTATTCGCAATGGGGCATCGGTCCACCAAATAAACCCACAACCACAGAAAAGGGCACGACCTGCTTTATGCGATTGTTAACCCTAACACCCACGCACGGAAATCCGCAGCAGAATACCCAAGGCCATCACTAGCGCCAAGGTTGCATCCCCATAGGTCTGCCGCGGATCCTTCTCGCTAGAGTTGATGCCTAGAATCTAACACAGAATCCGCAACCCGTCAGATACAACAAAACTACGACCATGAATGTGCGCCTAACCCCATTCCGCGGCCCTTTCTCCAAAGCCCAAACGCGTGCCGCTTTCAGTTGGGGCCTTAACATGTTGCCATGTTCATGCTTTATGCTAAAAAGGACCGGACGAAAGACCCAGGAGAGGCAGAGCCTCAACGGTTGCACGTAGAGAGACCCAGCCAGCGCGGCCACGCGTTGCTTTTTCTTGGCCCGCCAAGGTCCCCCTGCCCTCGCTCTTGCCTGCCACCGCGGGCCGGCTATGCGCGTGGCCTGGGCCCTGCGGCGCGGGTCCCTATGCGCATCTGGTGGCTCTCTTCCAGTCTTTCTGTTGGACTGCCGTGAGGGTCTTGCAAATTCTGAAGAACTTGCGTGATCTCCCCAGCAGTCCAATAAAAAACCGAAAGCAGCTCGCTTATCCTCCCACGAATCGACGTAGCGAAGTACGTGAGTGCCAGCAGTCTCGCCGCAGTTAATTCATCAAGGTGCACTACCCAGCCCGCGGGCTGTCTTTCGCTGTAGCCCGTGGGCGGAGAAGTGGTAGTACACTTGGAGCCGGGCGAAGTTTGAGCTTGTGGAGGCTAGTTAAATTTTAGTTTACTACTAGAATCATCAGAATGCTTGATTTCCTGAAGATTCATTGATGATTGTATTAAAGTAATTCGAGATGAACAAGTCCGGTAACAGTACCTGGAGATCTTCATTATAAAAAAAATATTACCTGCAAAAGCTGCGTTATTCTTTGTAGAATTTCCGTTGAAAACTGATGCTGTGCATCCTAGCGCGCCGTCAGCTTCGCGTAGACCCCATGCACTGGTGGCAGTGCATGCGGTAAAAAGGACCGCCTTGCGGCCTCTCAGTGCCGGGACCATGTTCTAGTCCTTGCCTCCTGCGTGGAGCCAGATCAAATGGACGTAGTTCAATGGAAAAGTGAAGACTTACAAATCAACCCTGTCACCAAAGGTCTAGTATTCGAACTCACTAATCACTATCAAACACACACTCATTCTAATGTTTGTATCTTTTCCTTGAATTTGTATGAAAAGAAACATCAAATAAAGTATTTTTGATTTCCCGCCGGATAACGATGCGCCATTCTTTTCGGGGACAGGCGAAGCGCTTTGAGCTATTTAGTTGTAAGCAAGCGCAAGGGGACTCTGAAATCAGCCTTGCGGACGCGCGCTCAGGTTTCAAGATTTGACTGTTCTCTCTGATCATTCTCTTAACTTTTTCGTTTTCTCTCTTCGGACAGACACCTGGGTTCCCTTTGATCAATCAATCAATGAGGGTGCCTCCACAGGGTGCCCTTTGACTTTGTCTTTACGATTCATGTCAGTAGATTGACATGAATATCAAACACTAATCTCCGCCACGCCCATCCCATGCCCACCTCAGGCTTTGGCGTGCGCCTACAAATACAGAGTAAGAGCTACCCTGTGGAACAACATCCCGCAAAGGTTACGGGAATCGTGTAAATCTTTTCATATTACCAAGTCACTTGCTTAAATAGAGAACTGGAGGTTTTATTCTAAGTAGATTGAGTCCGACTTCGATAATCGCGTCGAACCGAAAAATACTTTTACCTCTTGTTTTCTTCATCTTTTCATCAGACCTCACGTCTTGGTATCTTCCGTACCATAATGTCTTGCTTCTTCTTGTCTTCCTTTTTCGATGAGGCTTTGCGAGCCCCTACCTCCCGGAACGGGTACGTTCTGATACTCCTTCTCAGTTTCAATCATCCAATGGCGTAATAAATCGTTTTCTTGTGCTAGTGTGAGTTCGCGTTGGGTTACTTTTTGCTTGCGATCATACGATATTTCCGTCTGCTTATCCCCAATCAATGTCCCAACATACATTAGCACGAAAACCGTCGAAACGTAAGGTATGCCAACTGGTGATGGGGAGGGAAAAATTGATGAAATTCTAAGGTATGCCGACTGGTGATGGATCGGGAGGGAACACGAACATGAAAAAGTCGATGAAAACTAAAACCATTCTGTATTGATCCACCACTTCATCTACGAGGGCTAGCTACGCATGGTCGACTCACACTCTCACTCAGTTCTTGTCCCTATAAAAATCATGCAGGCTCGATCTCTTCGTCTTCAAGAACTTAAACTACTACTTTTAGTGTCTGTTCTTACAGTGATACCTGAAAAAACTCCAGTTTTGGCGTCGTTCCTCAAATACATGATGTATTTTTTGTAGATCATCTGTTGGAGTCTGCTTTTGCTCCGTCTCGCAAATATGCGAAACCGGATTCCACCGAGCATCTTCTTGTCCACTTCCGCTGACTCGGAAATGTCTTTCAGCTTGTGAGCAGCGGTAATCGTAATAAAAATGGTCGCAAACCCAAGCCCAGCCGCAAGAACTAAGCCTCCGCTTTAAAAAGGTATACTGGGGAACAATTGTACGTGAGGGTAAGATGACAACGAATGCCGTCTATGAGTCTTCAGCCCAACATCGAAGATCGGCGCGGCTTAGTTGATGCCATGGTTCCTAGTTCTGCTTTTTGGAATGAAAATTGAAACAAGAAAAACCCTTCTTGGTGCGCGCTCAACACGAACAGAAAACGGTCAACAAAATCTCAAACTCTATCCAAGCAACCAAAAGAAAACGACATCATCTACAAAAGGAAACGACATCACAACACGCTGTAGCTAATACTAGTACTACTACTAGTTATGGTGCTAAGTTGTTTTAGGTAGTGCTACTCCTGGAGCTGGTTCTGGTGCCAAGGTGTTTCTAAAACACTTCTTGACACCGGGCTTATCAACAAGCTGTGTGTCTAGCATGCCTCTTGTTCTCGGAAACACGGTACGGGGGCCTTTTCTAGCATCCTTTAAGGTGCCGTGGAAGTGTGGTGCAACAGTCTGAGTAAGGTTCTTCATCCAGGAGCAAGCTTTGCTGTTCGTGTTCTTGGCTCTTCGCTTTTAAGAAACGGAACTGGAGGAGTCCAAAAATTTTTCAGAATATCTTTTGCATAAAATCAGATAGCAAAGAGGTTCTGAAATCATTCTTTTCAACCTGAAGGAGCTTACTCTTGTTCGTGTTAGCATCTTGAGAAGCCACCTGCGTGGGTGGATGCCATGGTTTCCAAGATGGCAATTGTTCTATCTTTTGATACTCTTCTCTACCTCTATCCGTCGTACCTTCCTCGTCATATGGAATCAACACGTTTTTACCAATGGTACTGCCATCATTTTCATGATGCTGGACCAGATTTATCCAAGTCTTCTTCGCGGCATAGTGATCTCGCGTTGCCTCTCCCACCCAATGACGTACAAGGGAGCTGAAATCGATCGCGACATCCACGTCCACCTCATCTGAAAAGACCACGCATCTTCGCGCAAGGATGACCGACTGCAACGACGCGCGGAATACATGGAAGAGCTTTTGGAAGCTTTGCCAGGCTAAATTGGGCAAGCTTTGGGCTAGCAAAGTTTCGAGAGAGGCCTGAATCTTGTCGATGCGGAAGCGGATGCTCCTTTCATGAACAAATTCAGCGGTGGGTGTATTAGTTGTATCGGCGGGTAATGGACCTGGAGGTACTGAATCTGGTTCTCGCTTATTGCTATGACTCGTAGCTTCCTCCAAGACGAGGAAGGTAGCAGTCTCCCGGACGACATCGGCGCAGAGACTATCCAAAGTGGTAGCAATGCGGGAGCGTCGTTCTGTGAACCTTCGCATAAAAGGCGGTTGGCTGTTCCACGTCTTTAGTATTTCCAGGAGCGTGAACGAAACCCGTGGCGCTGCATCGCAATAGCTGTCGCCGTGATCAGGAGCCGCATCGCCATCTTTCTTCTGCTTTTCTTGTCCAGGTACATCGTCTTCTTGTGGTCTTGTTTCATTCGTGGCTTCTCCACTACCACGGATTTGACTTGTGCCACCACTAATTATGGCAGTATTGTCCGCCCCTCCTGCAGCAATCACTGCAGCAATCTCAATCGTATCTTGTTTACCGTCAAGAAAACCATACTCAGCTTGTTCATTTACGTAATCATCGATGCTAATCTTTATTTCACCAGGCTGCGGCGCCTTGACGATTTCCTTTGCTCCTTCAGGCTGGCTTTCTTGCTTGCTGCTGCATGTCATTCGTTTTTTCTCGTAAAGAAAGCGCTCGTGTGCTTTTTTCGCTCTCTGCAGTTCTCTACTTGAGCAAGCAACTATTCTTCGCAAATGTCTGGTCTGGTTGTACGTTTGCCAAGTACTAGTTTCTCCACCAACCACAGACGGACTTGGACTAGGCCTAGCATTTTCATGAGTGACAAACAACGCTTCCATGAGTCTCAAGAGACACTCCTGCGAGTGCCGCAACCCAAATATACAGTCTCCATCCACGAAAGTTGCGCGGTTCAATTCTAACAGAGTGAGCGCCGCAAGCAAAGACGCTTCTGCAGATTCGTCAGCGCGGTCATTTTTCTCAGCAGCCTCAGCAGGAGCCTCCTGAGATTCTTGAGTACTATTTGTACTCATTTTCCATTGAGCCTCAGGTTTACAACCAACGTGGTAATCAACTGATCCGATTCGACACAGTAGATGCTCCAGTAGCATGCGTAATGTTGCAGGCCAAGCGATTGGTAACAACGTCGCAGCTTGCCAGTCTCGCAGTGCGGTCTTGTTCAATGCCCGCGCGCGACAATTGTTCACCAGGAACTGTAGTGTCGAATCAAATGCGCGGACCAGAACCGCACTTGCCTCACAACTGCAGTTCACTTGCGAGCGCGCCATATTACACAGATGCTGGCGCAAACTGCCACTCGCAGGTCCACCGTTTTTCGCCAAATGAAAGGAGCCACTATTCCTCATCGTCCCGTTCAGTTCGTCTTTCTCCGATGATGTGATTTCAAGGCCTTTGGCGGAATGATCTGTTGCTGGCACAAGAGCGTATATGTTCTGGAGCATGCTAGACGCTGTTGTCGATGTCTTGGTTGTTTTGCCATGATTTACCGCTCCTTGCAGGCGCCTTATGAAAGTGCCTCCTGTACTACCAGCCTCTGATGCAGATCCACAAATGCCTGGCAGACCGTGACTCCCCTTCCTTCCACCTGTGTTCTCCTTTCGCCCTGCATCCGGTCGCACACAAACACAGCACCCTCCACGCTTTCGACGCCGTGCACCATCTTCTTTCGTTGCTGTCGGTGGTCTTTGCTGTACCAGCATGCCTTTTCTAGTGTCATAAACATGATTGTCTTTACTTACATCGGCATCACGGACCACAACCTTGATCTGGGAAACGTCCAAATCTTCATCGGTGTTCGCGTTTTTATGATCTTGAGTTGCTCCTGGGGCAGTATTCGCATCAGTTGCGTGTGACGCTGAATATTTAGCACCTGTGGTCTTGGTCTGGAGTGGTTTCTCGTCAGCTTCATCTAGAAGGTGCAGAATCGTAGGATCCTCAGGCTGCCATATATTGGCTATCTCCTCTTCCTCTTCGACAAAATCCCGGAATATCGAGAAGTATTTTTTCCAAATGTCACTGCGCACTGACACACGCAGGTTACTTTCAACACCTCCCAGTGCTCTGCCGACATCACCGTCCTTTGCGGGACACGAAAAGAAATTGAGACCAGGATAGTCTGTTGAAGTTGGTGTTTCAGCAGTAATGCCATTTGGCGATGGCGATGCGGCCGCATTGTAATTAACTCTGCTAAGATCCGCAGCGACGTTATCAATTTGTGTCACAGGCAAGTCCAAGACTCGAAGGATCTCAGACAGGACCGCTGCATGGTCACTCAATGCTTCAGAATCATGGGCGCTTGAGAAAGCGCTACGTGTTAAATTATCGGGCTTCGTCATCTTCTTACCAGTACTAGACTCAAAAATTTCATACATATCTTCCAATATCAGTGAATATAACTTTCTTGTATCTTTCGTGTTCGTCCTTCCTCGGCCACCTGAAGATATTTATCATGCAAAATTTCAAAAATTATGTATCTATAATAGTTAGATCATGATCAGAATCAGGACAAAACTGAGGAACGGCCAACGGGCAAACTTTTCAATAACACGTGATGGGGAAGGGAAGATGACTGTCAGGTACTGTAGCCTCAGTGATGCATGCTGCACCGCTCCGCTCCACGGCGCTCAGGATCACTTTCCTACATCCCTCACTCAGACTCACACCCTCACACTCCGTAGGCAACGAGGCAGTGCTTTCGCTCGGCGCGATAGATAGCCGCGATAAATACATACGTAGCGGTCCGTGCTACGGACAAGAAAAATTTGATGGCTGCTTTGTCGCCAGGACATGATTTTCATTCTTTGTCGTGTGTGTGTGTGTGTCTCTGCCACTGCGACTGCCTGTCTCCAAACATAAATACACTTTCGCTGTCCGCCTGCACTGAATAAAACGAAGATTGAACACTTCGTTAGTTTTGCTGCATCGAGGTAGCTCTACCACTAGGCAGCACCAGGAGGCAAGAACTATCAACAATAGGGATTGAGTCTTCGCCTTCATTTCGATAAAAATCGAGTAAAGCAAATTGATTCAGCATCGCTGCCTATTCTGTAAGGACGATATGTGCGTATGCGTAATTTGTTCATCATGTCCCTCCTCATGCTTGGTGCTAGACGCCCAAAAAACTGGGGAAGCAAACGGGGTTCGGACTTCGCAGCTCACCATTTCTTCTCAGCTTCGAGAAAGTCGGAGGAGGAGGCTGTTCAAACGGGACAAAATTTTTTATTGAACTCGACTGGCAGCGAAAGCCAGGAAAAGTACGAGGTGATGGTGACGTAAGAAAGGTTAAACAAAGAAACGGAAAGCGATTGACAATGACAGTGACACAGAAACATAAATATGCAACAACTAAAGGTGAAAGAAGTATAGAGAGTAAAAACAGGTAGATAGCGAAAAAATATTCAAAAGTTGTATATGCGATTCATTAATGCATATTTCGCCATGAATGTAGATATTCATATTGTCGTTGTTTCTTTGACAACGTCACGGGCAATGTCTATCTCCGTGGAATACCAGGGGCAAACCATTCAAAACGCCAGCATCGGTCGGCATGAGGGCTGTGAAAAGAAAGAGCAAGAGAAAGTAGACGAAAAGGAAGACGATGAACGTGAGGGTATCTGATGTAATGAGAATGTATGGGTTGAAGACAGTTGACTAGTTTAGTATCACATCACGCTCCTGCAAGTATCCGCAAGGCGCCATCTAGTTCGTCGTTTACGCTGATACAGTCTTTTGAGCGTCGAGAATCCGTTCAACCGCCTCCATCGTCATCTCATTTGTTCTCTTTTCCTCCATGGCCTTTCGTCCTGCTGCTAGCGTAGCTGTGATGTCGAGTGCGGAATGCAAATCGTAATCTTCGAAATAGTAACTACAGTTATTTTCAGATAAGTCGAAATCATCACTACAACAAACGAGAAAGTACTAGATGAAGCAGACTGAATCATAATTACACTTTGACATCTGCGCCAACATATCAATGTTTCTTGTTCTATCTTTTCTGAGCAGAGAACTCAACAGTTAGCTTTGATTATTGGAATGAAAGTTATAATAAAGCATGGATAGAAACTTCAACATCAAATTCAAACTCCAAGTGCAGCAAGTCCAAGTGAGTACTATTTCCCGCCTTCCTGCCCGTGATTCGATAGCCGCCTACTTTTCCGCTCTGGAAGAGTTGGGGTGGAGCCCGATAGAAAGTTTCCATCTTCGCGACATGCTCTTCACCGTGAAGCTCCGCCTGTTTACCACGGTTGGCCAGAAATCGATCTCGTCTAAGCACTGTCCATTTAGTCCAAACATCTGACAAATCTTCGAAGTGAATGTCGACGAAGCCGATATCTTCCAAATGCTTTCGGTAATCGTCGACGCTAGGCGTGCAAACAGCCCCAATAACGTTCTCCAGGCAGTATCGCTCCTCTTCTGACAACGACTCCCTCTGTAAGTAGTCTTCAATGACGAAGGACGCATTATCGTTGAGAGCAGCGAAAATTTTGCGATATGCGATCAACCGTGGCTCCAAAGGAATGTGGAGAAAAACCTATGTATATGTTGTGAAGAATGAAATTTGAACTTTGTCGTGGAGCAGCATTAGCACTACCGCACCATCGAACTCATTGATTGAATATTTGATCATGCACTACAACTTACGGACAGACGCAAATGCTGAGTCAATCGACGCAGCGATTCCTCTAGTAGTATAACTACTTGTAATATGCCAAAGAACAAGTAGAAGGTCATACTATCATACGGAATCATTTTTCTATCTCAACATCAAGTTCAAGAGGAGAACTCTACTAGGTAGTATGGACCAAAATCGAGAAGAAGCCATCGTATGTTTCTCCAGCGGGAAAAGTAAAATTTCCGGCGGTACAATCAGCAGCGTCGAATTTTGTTTGTGTTGCTAACCCGACTTTCTTGGACACTCGGTTTGCCGCTTCGATTAGCGGTTCTTGGATGTCCACACCGTAGACGCTACATCCAGTTTTGTGTGCTATGTATCGTCCTGGTCCGCCGATGCCACAGCCTATATCGAGTATTCTGGAGTCCTTGCCTACTTGCAAGATTTGGATCACGTCATCGTTAGCGTCTAGGCCAAGGTAGTGGTATTGATCCAAATGTCCCGCAGTCATCATGTCCTTCATCGTGATGGGCCTGCCGAGTTCCGCTTCCTTCCTGGCGATCCATGTGTCCAATGCCGCTACGCGCCAAGAGTACATTACCGAAGGCGTGCACGATGAGCTCGTGGATCCGCCAGACTGCGGCTCAATTGCGGGTATCGGTACTGCAAGTGTTGCCATCGCCATTTTGCTGATGCTGCTTCCCTTTACCGCTAGTGAAGGTTCCCGCTCAAGAAACTTCGACTAGTAAAGGTGATGTCTCGGCGCCGAAAAAAATGAAGTCGGCACCTCTGTTTCGATAAAAAAACAACGACTGCTTCTTCTTCTTCTTCTTCTTGTTGATTGCCTCCAGACAGTGTAGATAGGGAATGAAGGAATCTTGTCTATCACAGACTTATTGGGCGATTCCGGCTGGGGTTTGTACTTGTTTCCGCGTGCTACCATGAAATAGCAGACCGCACAGGCACAACCACAGGAGGAGTGAGCGGTTATATCGATCTAGGCATGAATCTTCTGTGCATAATCCTCATTTTAGCGATCTTTAGCTTCTGGTTCTGATGAATCTTGAAAAATGTATAATCGAATCAATGATTCAGAGAAGGTGAAAAAGCCGTGTTAGACCAATGTCGAGGACAAGATCAAGCGCATTATTCTCAAATAACTAAACTTATTGGTCATCTCCTCGAGCAAGAGATTTTTATTTTTTTCAAAGTCACGGGGACGGGAATCGACGAGAGAAGAATATAATATGTGGAAGATGTGCATTTTGAATTATAGCAAAGTCATATGATAGTGAAGATTCAAGCTACAACATTGACTCAGATAACTCACGGAAAATCGTGATGCGGAGAATGGAGCACACTTCAACAATACGAATAACCCAAAATAACAAAAAGAGAAGCGATGTTAGACCAGCCATGTAGTAGCCGTAGGTTTACGAGTGAGGGAAAGCCTCGCCATTGCAAAGAGCTGACTATCCGATGCCCCGTTCAATACTGGAACTCTGACCTGCGGGGGATGCGAGAAACGGGAGTCACCAACTTCAACAGTGGTACAAAAAGGTTAAAAATGTAGTTTGAGTAGAAGAAAGTCTCTTTCTATAATTCAAATTCTATTCATAATAGCCGGAAAAAAAGTCCAACATGTCTACTCCCCGGGGCCGGGGTGGTTACTAATAGTAATACTAAGTAGTACCGAATGAAAGAACTGTAATTACAAGATGTTTTCTCAGTATTACGTCGCACGTTGTCTTCGACCGAGAATATTTTCGAAGTAGATCAAGGTCTTACTTTCACATCCCATTTTTGACCTTGGTGGCTTTTTGCTTCTCTTGATTGAAAGTGATAGGCTCTGCGACGATCTCCTTTCGATCGCGATTCACTTGAAAGTAAGCGATCCCCTGGAATTCATCTATTCGTCCCGAAAATCTGAACAGGATCAGGATATCCCAGTAGAAGGTTTGGCTCGAAGATCTGGAGAAACAAATTGACGATTCGCATTCGTGGATCTTCAAATTCTAATTCGATTCCAAATAAATCAATCAGTTGCTCAGATGTCTTGAACCATGATGAATTTTTAGAATCCGAGCCTTGTATTTTTATGATGCCAACACATTGACGAAACGAACATGTATCACAAAGAGAAAGATGCATATTTCAGGAGTCAACAGGATGATAGAGGAGAGGCGCGAACGGATCTTACTTTCGATGAACCAGAATTGGCGAGCAGAATTAAGGATCAAGGTTCAAGGTTTAAGGTCCTTCTTTTTTGTATGCCAAGATCGCTGGAAGGGTGAGCCCAGTGCTCTCCAGTGTACCTGCTGGCGACGGGTGGAGGTTTTGCCTCCTTCTCCTATGGTGCACTAATTGCCTAGGAGTAGGAACCCGCCGACTATACAATAAATCTGATGAAATCCAGGCGCAAAGGAGGGGATTAGTTGCGTTGTATAAACCTCCACCGGCTGCCAACCGTCCCGCTCTTATACGCCTGCCTTCAACGCACGAGGGCAGGGCCGCCAACCCTGCTTCCTCTTGACTAATGCGCATTCAACTGACAAGTGGGAATACTACAAGATAGATAACTACTGGCCTAAAACCCTAAGCACCACACGATTTGCCCTAGCCCAGCCTCCTTATCGTTCCTTCGCGCGGCCTCTTGCTATCATCTTCCCTTTTTCCGCACTAGGTAGGCCCTTTCACCTCCGCACCTCCTTCCCATCGGCTCAGAGTCAGATGGTCCGCGGCTCTGCAGAATCGATATCTTTCTACTTCTTGTTCTTTTTACGCGGATGAAAAACTGGCACAGGAAGTTGCAGTTCTTCTTCGCCTGGCAGCGCGTTTGCTCGACCTGTTGCACTTTTCGCCTTGGCCTTCCCTCTTGCTTTTGCCTTGGCTTTGGCTGTCGCATTGGGAGGCACACGACCGGAAGGCTCTAAGGCTATCGTTGCCGCTGCAGGTGCAGCGTGCACCGACGCAGAAGACGATGAGGCGCGAGGTTGGATATTGCGCGTTTGCCCTAGTACACGGTCGGTTGCAACTCCTGCTGGTCGAGTAATAGCAACATTAACCTCGCCCTCGACTGATCCTTCTAGTCTGACAGAAGCAGGCGTGGCGCCTTCATTTTCTGATGCCGGTGGCGCACGAAAAGCAGCGGATACCAAAACGCTAGCTTGAACTTCTGGCACCTCCTGGACTGAAGTTTTGCATAAGGGTGTAGCCAAAGATGGCAATGCAGCTTTGTTCGCCATGAAATCAATTTGCAGACTTGTGCTGCTTGTCGCTGATGATGGCTGCGCGTTCCGGCTTCCAGGAATAAAAGGAATGCACTTACTTTCCCCAACTTCTACGCGACCTATTCCGCTCCTGTTGGTTGGTCTTGGTGCCGCGCCGAGCATTTCAACATCATTCGTCAGATCGGACTCACTCCCTAGAGTCTCTAGATGAGTCGATAACGCAGCCGAGCTTTGATGGTTACCTTCTACTTCTTGCGGACCACCCTCGCTTTCTTGCTCAACATCGATGACCGCCTCCTCTGCACCCCGTGCGGCCCCCGCAGCTTTCGGCTTCGCTTTGCCCTTTATTCTCGTTTTAGCTTTGGCTTTTACTCTCTGCCTGGCTTTAGCAGCAGGTCGCGACGAGGAAGAGGATCCTCCCTGTTCTAGAAGGGTGAACAGATCCGACTTCTGTCCTTCTTGGTCCTCTCCCTCGACGTTGCGATTCTTTTTCTTCTTCTTCTTTGCGCGACCCTCTAGCGGTACCTCTTCGTCTCCGAGAACTCCTGCGTTGGCTTTCTTCTTCTTTCGCTTCTTCTTGGTTTTTCGACGGTCAGGGGCATTCCTCTCACCCTCGCCTCGATCGCCATCGCCCTGAGAGACCGTCGAACCCTCATGTTCATTATCGTCTTCGTCAGCTGCGTCATCATCATCGCTTCCAGTCTCATCCTCGCTCTCACTTTCTTCGGCTGCTCCACGCATTTTCGCGATGGCGCGGCGCAGACGCACTGAGCGCACCAATGCAATCGGCTGCTCTTCTTCGAGTTGGAAGAACTGGCCAAAGTAATCCGCCTGGGCCCTTTCCTTGCGCATCTCCTCGATTCTCGGCATGTCCAACGTCCGCTCCACTAAGGCGTCCGTCATGTAGCGACCAAGCAACCGCACAATGGCTTCCAGATCCACCGTCCCCCACTCAAACTTCTCGCGTGAATGATCTACAATTGGTTTTTGGAACGCGTCCCACACCTCTCTGGAGGGGAAATCGACTGGGAACACCCAGTAAGGACGCAAGGCGCGATGCTTAATGTGGAATTTCTTGGTCACTTTCGTGGGCTCGAAGAATTCTTTGTTGTCGAAATTTGCGACATCCTGTGCCCATTCTCGAAGATTCTTTAGTTCTGTGAGCCAGTTGAACGGCATACCCGACGTCGTCGTAGAAGGTTGATGATTTTGCTCTTCATCAAGAGCTCCTTCTTCGCCCACAGCTGCTGCGAAGGGGGGCTCGACAGCAGTAGGAGCGTTGTTCAAATCGCAACTTGCGCGATCTACGTAGCCACTGTTTTCCGATGATGGACTTGGTCCTACAGACACTCCTCCTGATGATATTTCTATTTCAGAAGCTGGCATCGCGATATCGCGCTTCTTTCCGAAGGCCTCTATAATTTCTAACGCGTTGACTATGCCGATGCCCTTGACGCCCATGGTGTAGTCGCACCCCAGCAACATCGCCAGGGCAATCATGTCGTCGTAGGCCAAGCCCAAGAGCTGCGAGATGTTGCGACTGGTGTACTTCTCTGCCTCCCCCTTGCTTGAGAACAAGTGCCGGAAAACCTTCGTTGTCCCTGACTTCGCACTGAAAACCACCACGTCGCTGTCGTCTGAGATAACGCAGTTCGCAAGTTTCGCCTCCACGAGATAGGCGCACTGTGCTTCCGCCTCACTAGGCGCCTCCACGTAGGGGACACCAAAAGCATAAAGCAGTTTTTTCAGTTCTTCGTACATGTCCTGCGAAATGAACTCCTCGTCGCGCTTGGCCTTGTGCATCTCAGCCCTCAAGTCACTGATCAGCGTATCTGTAGCAATTCCAGTCTGGCTGGGTCCAAAAACGGCGTCTACTGCGTTCTCCAGAGTATCCAACTCTTTTGCGCTTTCCAGCATGACAGGAGCGCCAGTTTTGTTCAAAAAGCCTCCACCTGCAACATTATGAGGACCTAGTCCTGTACCAGCACCTGCAGAGTTCACAGTTGTAGTTCCAAACCCAAAGCCACCTCCAGCACCATCCGCATTCCCAAACCCAAAACCGCCACCAAATCCAAATCCAGCCTTCGGTACAGGCACACTGGCTCCTCCGAAACCAAATCCAAAACCAAAGCCTCCTGGTGCCCTGGCAGCACTGGTTTGAGCGGTGTTTTGTACACCAACTGCGCCAGCCGTACCTCCAGAAGAAGACGAAGAGGAGCCGAAACTAAAGGCGTTCGGGTCAAAAACCTTCAAACTGGCAAACTCAGAGGAGTCTGCTGTGACAAATTGACTCGTTTTCGGCGCTGTGTAGGAAAACTGCGAATCCGTTTTGTTTGCTTTCTTTGTTGGGATGGCTGGTGGAGGCATCGCGGACGAAGCCGCGCTTGGAGTTGGTCCACCTGAAGATGAAGGTGCAGGGGGTCCTAGTACGTTAACTGCGGGTGAAGTAGCAGCCACATTCGAGGTCGTCGATCGTGCAACAGCAGCTGGTAGTGTAGTCGGAGACACAGGAGCAGAAGCTGTTACTTCACCTACGGAAGCCTGCGAAAAGACTGCGGGAGTAAAACTTGGTGTTGTAGTCGATGGAGTAGGTAGCGCTGGTGAGGGTTGCGGAACAGCATTTCCAGTTGGAATCAATATCAAGGCTGGGTTAGATATAGCCGCTGAAGAAGGTCTGTTGTTCGCAGACGGTGGCGCTGCGCTCCCCTGTAGGTCGTTTGCAGCGCTACTTTGGTCGTCTTCACCGTTTTCGACTTCTTCGAATGAGAAGTCATCAAGAGTCAACTCTTCTGCGTCATTTGCAGTGAAGTGATTTGTTTCCAACGTAAAGTCGTCTAGTGAGAGGTGTTCTGGCTGGCCTTCCTGTGCGAAGTGGAAGGAATTATTTGCAGTCATTTCAGCGTTTGCATCTTCCCCCCCTAATACTTTTCTTGTTGCAACATGAATTTCGTTTGCTGTGGCATTCTTTGTTGTCGCATCCTTGGTATCTTCAACAGCATCTCTACTGCACGCTGGCTCCACACAATTACCTCCATCAACATCATCAAAATCCATGTCGAACATCGCAGCCATATCATCGTCAACGAGAACAGCTACTGTTACAGCATCTTGTGTACCAGTACTAGTAGCGCATGTCCGCAGCTCTTGAATCCCAGTTTGGGTTTCCGATGGTCCTTGTAACTGCACTTTGGCTTCTTCCGCAAGTAGCGCATGAACATGGTTACCTCTCTCATTCTCTTGAGCAAAGTTCTCCATATCAGCTTCCATATCGGCTAATGGATCAAAATCATCATGATCTCCATTTTCCTCGACGCACAACAGTCCGCATTGAGGGCCATGATGTCTTTTTGTTCCGAAGTTTTCACGTGTTCTTTGTGGGGATATTGAAGAAACTCTTCCAGTAGCTTGCAACTGGCCAACGCTTACTTCATTTTTCGAACCCTTTTCCTCCTCGGACCTGATGTCTTCGTAGTCCTCTTCCTCAAAATCGTCGTTGCCTCCACCGAATAAGAGCGAGTTCCAATCGCGCCCTGGGGACGAGAGACGACGACGCTTCGACGCCGAATTACGACCGGAGCCAGATGGTCCACCTGCAGGGCGTGAAGATGAAGTAGACGACGATGCGGCGGCAGTTCTGTGTGTAAGTGTGTCTCCGCCACCCAAAGAAGCCTGATCATGATCTGGCTCAAACTGAATATCCGCACTTCCTCCTGTTTTCGTGAAAAAGTTTGCCGTTATTGATCTGGTTCTAGTCAAGCTGGAAGTAGTGGTTTGTTCAACACCAGAGAAAGAAAACGTAGAGGCTGCTGTGGTGCTCATGCGACTGAGGGAATTGGCGGAACCACTTCCGAGTCTCAGCAGCTTCGACACATCCAAACTTTCAAATGACATTCCGTGCTCATCTGTGAAATGGCTTTTCGCTGATTGCGGTTGTTTCGCTCCACGTCTGCGTCCTCCTACGCTGGTGGCTACTGAACCAGCTGCGCTTGCAGCATCGTCGAAAGCACTTGGCGCTCCATCATCTTCCATTTCCGGGAACGGGTCATACGGCACTTTTCCTTTTTTGCCCTTTCCCTTCTTGCCACCTTCGGCATTCGCATCAACGCTTGCGTCTACCTGACCTCCTGCAACAGAACCAGCCCCGCCCTTGATGTACGTACTTTTAACTTTATTACTTGCAGACTCTTCTCCTTTCCCAGCGCCATCTCGGCCTCCATCTCGCCAGAAAAATCGACGCCCACCGCCGCCACCGCCCTTGCCGTCCTCTCTCTTTTTACCCTTTTTCCCTTTCTTGCCGCCACCGCCGCGCAGAGTCGAGGCAAAGCCAGCTGCAATTGGGCGCAATTTCAACCAATTTGCGAGATTCCCAGATGCTGCATCATCCAGACCCTCGGCTCCTACACCTCCTGGCGCATCCGGATTTAAAGTCAGCCCTGCGACAACAGAGCTGCTAGAACCCGTGCCATTGGCAGAACCGGATAAGCCACTCAGCTCGTCGCCAAGAAGCTCTCCACCGTTTTCTTTTCGCACCTTGGCTAACTCTAGCTTCGTCTCCTCGAGTAATTTGTTGGTCCTGATATGTCGGTAAAAAGTCTCAAGCTGGACATTGCTGAAGGCTTCGCGAGACGTCCTGCATTCCATAGCCTTGACACGCGTTTCCGTCAACCATGCGTCGATCAAGTTCGTCAACGTTTCGTACCTTTTCATCGGGTCCAGTCGGTCAAAAACTTCAGGGTCCACTAGTGTGCCCAAAGGCAGAGTAACGAGGCGCTTCACGCCGTCGGGACCCTCGATCTCGTAGCCCTTCGTTTCGTCACTGCGAGTGATGTTCTCAGGCATTTTGAGCAGATAACGCTTGAGAACTTCATCCGAGACCTGAATATCGCGATCCAAAGCAGACTGTCCAACGGAAACACCTAAACCGTAGCCGCGCTGACGCTTGCGTCGCTCCCAGCCATCATCGATCACATTTCCATTCGCATCCAGAACCTTCTTACCATCGCTTCTCCTCTTACTAGAGGCGGATTTCTTATTGGCAGCAGCTGAGGAGGATGCTCTTCCTAAAATTTCGATCTCCATCTCATCATTGTCGTCTTCCTCCTCGCCATCCTCGTCTTCTTCTTCCCGGGGTTCCTCATCTTCAGGCTCCTGCAAAAACGCCGCTCCATCCTCTAACACGGATTCCAAATTCGGGTCCTGGTTATCGAGCATTTCTTCAACCATCAGATTCATCTCCATCTCGTGGGCAGTAAGGTCGGCAGCTGCTGAATTTTCGGTCCTCTGGTTGCTGCGTGAGGACGCAGCCGCGGCGGTCAGAGGTCCCTTTCTCGGTGGGGCTTTCGCTGTACTAGTAGTAGTTGTAGGTCCATTTTTTGTCAAGTCGCACGTCTTTTTCTTCCTACGTTTTCGCCGTGCTACAGGTGAGTCCGCAAGTAGGTCGTCCTCTTGATCCTCGTAGCTCTCCTCAGAGCCAGAGGACGCGTCTCCAGGAGTAGCTTCAGCCTTCGCCTCTATTCTCGCCGCTGCTGCGGCTGCTGCATCCTTCTTTTTTTTCAAGAAGTTGAGCTTAGGCTGCACAAGTGGCGTGGTCGTCGCTGCGGGCAATGCTGGCGCTTTGCCTTTTGCAGCTCCCCTATTACCTCGGTTTTGTCGTGCCGTACCCTGATTTTGCGCAGAAGTAGAGCTAGACGATGCTCCTCCATCTACTTCGGTCAGATCCTCGATCCAACAGCCTCCTTCCTGCTCTTCACCATCTCCATCAGCATCACCGTCTGCGCTTTCTGGCATGCCTTCCATCTTTGCAACCTCCTTGCGCAGCAGGTTGCGAAAAAGTCGCTCCGTCACCTTTTGGAGGTTCAAGCCGCCTTGTTCGCGCTGCAGCTGGCGCTGCCTCAGCGTGCGGCGCTTCACCTCCGGTGGTGGACCATCGAAAACGAAGATCGGACGGATTCCCAAATGTAGCAGCTTCACTATCCTCCGAAAGAATCCGAGCAGGTGGGCCCCGAGGAATGAAGAAAGAAAGGAAAAGTAGTATTAAAAAACAAGTCGTCAGGTGATCGTGATGGATGAAGTCCTGATTCCCAGAGTGTCTTTGCATATTGCCTTCGTTTATTATATATATGCCATTTCTAGGCGAGGTAGTTAGACAGACAAGATCCCTAAAAACGTTGGAGAATTAAGCTTCAACTCAAATAACTATCCTATTCCCAAGACCTCCTAAGCCACTAGTACAGTATGTCACAACTACTACCTTGTTCCAGTAGTAGTACACGATCAACGCATAACTCGACCATATTGCCGTCTGGATCTCGCATTGCCTTGACAAAATGGAACATCCAAATACTCGCATCGACGGCTACTGTCTGATTCCGCAGACCTTTGAGGTCGCACGTCGTCCCCGCCGGAGCAAGCAGATCCCAAAGCCCGTGAACGCCCATTTTGTTTGCTAGACAATTGATCAAGAAATGGGACGATTCCAACGGTGAAGATGATCCTTGTTGCGGTTGTATTTAACATGCTGTAGTGTCCTGCTCGTACCAATATATTGGATATTACGTACTAACTTCACTTATCACTTGATGAAATTATGCTTATGTTTTTTGACATCGTAGGCATAATTATGAGGAAGAGAGAAGTCCTACATGCGGTCCGCCCAGAACAAGGGCTCACGCAAAATAACACAGGTCAACTACAGCGCCCTCCTAAGCCAAGCCACCTCCTGCAACATTGTTTCTGTTTCATCTGGAAAAATATGATGGCTTCAACTTTGTAAACATGAAGGGGAATCCGAAGCGAACCCACGGGAAACTGGGAGCCATGGGATAATAGACGGGGAGAGATCAATTCATTGGACTCTGCTTTTTTGATTGTTAGATGGCACTAGCACTAGGCAATGCAACATTCTCTGATCTAAAAAATGAGAAACGCATGGGCGATCCCGCTTCTCTGGTTAGAGCAAGTCGTACTTATTATAGCTTGATATTCTCTTGTTCTTGTAGAAAAACCTCTCCAGTGACGTGCCTTCTTTTGCTATTCATGGATGAGAGTCTTAATACGTACCTAGTCACCGAAAAGCAAAAGAGAACATCTAGCGTTAGCGCATATGCTACTTTAAGTTTTTTCATGATGGCGAACATCAATGCTTTTGTTCCAAGCGTGCGCGGTCGTGGTAAGTTCTATTTTGTTCTTGGAAACCTTCTGTTTATGCAATATCTTTGGAGCAGTGAATTGGGACCTCAGTGGCTGTAATAGACCTGCACCTGGTGGAGTTGGTGATGGTGTTGTGGTTGTGGAGAAATGGTAACATAATATCGGCGGAAGCGTGAGATAAGTGCCAGAGGGACTAAAGGATGAAGCAGAGAGAGGAGATGAAGAGTAGGAAGAACTAGGATGAGATAAGTTGTAGAGAACAAGTTCTCTACCTCACCGTATTCAGTAAGGTGTCGGACGCTGTTCGGAGAGGGGCAGGACGATTTTTTTCAAATGATAGCGTCCATCGCGAGCAGAATAAATGCCGCTGATAAGAACCAACACATCAAGTAAAACTGATAACCTGAGGAGCGTTCTTTTGCTTTCTCGAACTCTTTCGAGGCTTGTTCAATGTGGGCTGTAGCTTGTTGTCCGGTGTCAATGATGGCGTCCATTTGCAAATCCTGCTGCTCCACATGTTGCATCATCAGTGACATCGTGTTTTGGATAGATGCTAGTCGTCTACTGACGTCTGTTGTTCGTTCCCGTTCCTGCTCCACCATCTGCAGGAACGTCTGTGCCTCCGACGCCAATGCTCGCGTCTCTGCTTGGTCATCCTGGACTTGATGGTGGATTTCGTTGCCTTGGGAAGATGGTGATGATGAAAACAGAGGGTTGTTTCCCTTCGAACCTCCTGACTTGGACTTGCTGGGACTTGTTGATATGTTTAATATGGCCGTTTTGCTTGCTCCGACGCCGAGCACTTTGTCAATGACGTTGACTTTGAAAATATCTGCGTTCGCTGGTTGAGCGACCTCGTTTACTACTTTCTGAAACTGGAGATCGGCAGGTCGCTGAAAAAAGTCTTGTCGCTCGATTTGTCGTTGCAGTCGCTTTTGCTCCTTTTTTACGTACGACTCCTCGCTCTCGCGCGTCAGCTGTCGTAAAACCAGAAGCACATTTTCAATGAAATCGCCCGGCAGCGCTACCGCCAACCGCTTCGCTTTTGCATCGGCATCAGGGAGATCCTGTACAGGTCCCGAACCCGCGTTCGTGTTCGAAAGCTGCGGAGGTTTCTCTTGATTATATTGGGGTCCTTCTGCTGCTAGTTTCTCTATCTGCTGCTTTAATTTGGCAAAGGCTGATGAGTGATCGCCCGTCTGCGAACCTACCTTGGACACTATTGCTGAACGAATCTGTAAACTTTCGGCCACCCAAGGATGTGATATCTGCTTCTGTCGCTGCGGGTTCCGAGAGCCCGAACTCCCGCCGGAGCTAAACCTCACAAACTCGGGCGTACGATCCATGCTTGTATAACTCGATTTTTTCGACTACACGTTGATGAGATACTACAGGCACAACAACATGATACCTTTGTAAGAAAATCAAAATACGATAACCATATGCATCTAGAGGTAGCATTATTAATGATGTTTGCCATCTACAGGTGCTGAAGCAATGCACAAGAACCTGCTGCATAGCATCTATACATGTATATGTTGATAACTTGTTGTTACATGTAGAAGACGCTCAGGCTCAGGGGTGTTTGTCATATTCTCTAACTCAAAAATCAGCCTGGAACACCACAGCTGCAGTCTACAAATGAAAGTTGAGACCTTCTTCACCTGGTGCGTCTCATTGCTACAGAGACAGATTTTCATTCGTGCATGATGTTGACTGTCGTAGAACAAGTTTGCAGAAAATTTTTCATGCTCGCACAGTTGCCATAAACAGATAATTTGATGCTCAGAGAAACCTGTGCAAAACCTTCAGATTAGAAACAGCGATGACGACTAGCCATGCATTCCCGGGAGATTGATTTAGACGAGGGAAAATTTAGACGAGGGGCAGATCTTGTGACTCGAGAAACCAACGCGTCTTGGAAGTATGTTGTAGCGAGATGCGGTTACAGCCGCAATACTGATACTAGTGAAAGTGATACTAGCTTAAGCACATGCTTGCTAATCTTCTTGGAACGGATCAAGAACAAGATGATGTGAATAAACGCCACAGGCACAGCTATTTCTTTACTTTACACCCCTGTGCTGTTCTTTCGCAGGGGAGATGCGCAGCACATATTTGCAAATGAGCGGCATGCAATAAATGTTTCCGTCGTTACCGAACACGCCTCCCTCCCACTTGTTATTTCCACAACGGATATGCTCCGCTCCTGGTATTGGCATAACTTCAGTTTCCTCCGTTTCTGTGTTGATCCTCAAAACTCCCTCGGCTTTCAGAGGTATACCGTATATGCATCGGTCTTGTGGAGAAAAGAAGCCGTTTTGCCATTTGTTTTGAACGCGCTTACCACAACGATGCTGTAGAGGCTCCCCAACAAGCTTCAGGGCGACGGTGTATGCACTGCTCTCGGCTGATTGCTTGTACAACGGCGATTCCTGCGGACACAGAAATTTGTGTTCCGAAAGCGTCGTCACATTTTTCTCTCTGGCATGGGCCGTTGCTCCAGAAATCTCGATTTTCAGAACGCGATCGCCGTCACCGGCAATGCAGTACAGCTGCCCGTCGTCGTCGCAGACTCCACCCAGGTACTTGTACTTCCCGTCTTCGCGATGTTGACCACCAGGCACGCATCCGATCTCGGCAACGTCCTCCAAGTCGTAGGGGTTAATTCGCAGAACGGTGTCTCGATTGTTTGGGATCCCGTAAATGCAACCATCTTTCTTGCTGAAGTTGCCACCGTGCCATTTCCAGCCTGAACATCCAAGGTCGGGGCCGATCAGCTGGACTGTCTCCGTCTCAGGGCAGATGCGCAGCACTCGGCTAGCGTTCTGCGGAATAGCATACATCGTTCCGTCAAGCGCCATTTGTCCACCATACCACTTGGCTGCATCTGAAATTTTTTATTGGTGCAACACTAATATTGATCGTCTACAATTGAAAGGTAGTGCTAGTAAGCGTGAGGATCGAAATTTTATCGTTATACCGCATGTAGTTATGACAGTAGCATGGAACGATTTTTTCGAACTCGGAACATCCGAGTTAATAATGGGTAAGAATCCGCACACGGCTCTCGCAATCACACCGAAACTATATCTTTATTTTTGCTGACATCGAAGTTGTCGTCGTACTCGTAGTACCTTTTGTTAGCAGGTCCTGGTCGCCAAAAAGCGAAATTTTTGGTTTACACCCACAGTCCTGGATTTCGATCTTTAGCACTTGGTCCGAATTACAAGGCATGCAATAGATGTTACCATCCTGGGCCACAATTCCGCCATGCCATTTCCATGGCCCTTCTATTGGCACAATAAAGGCATCAGGCTCATCGGATTCTCTTAGATACACCAACTCTACTCGGTTGTAGTCTTCATGCCCATGGCGAGTGTTAATGCGCAGAACAGCCTCGCCCCAACTGGGGATGCCGTACACGCAGCCATCGCGTGCGAGCACGCCCCGCAGCCACTTAAAATCGCCGACGAAAGAAGGGCCGATCAGCGTTGTTTTGCCCGTTTCTGGGTCAATTCGGAGAACTTGCTTGGCGTGGCCAGGAATGCCGTAGATACACCCGTCTTCGCCTACGGAGCCACCCAAGTACTTGTCTTTACCTAACAAGGGCGCATGCACATCTAGGAGCTCGGTAAAAGCTGCGTCTTGATCAACGGGGATATTTTGATCAGTTTCCGTCAACTTTCCTGGTGTCTTCGTTGACGATGAGGAGGAGCTGGAAGAAGAGGAGCCGCCACCATTGCACTCAGGATGCAGATGCACTGCCTTAATATTGCTGGCAGTACGGTCGGGATGGTTGCGCTTCCTGTTCGGCATTCCGGTCTCATGTCGATCGCAGCCTGACAGGCGTCTTTCGGATCCGGTTGCATTACTTCTTGAAGACGGGCTAAAAAACCCATCGTCGTCATCCTCTCCACCTGAAGTCGTCGTCGCAGATTCATCTTCAAACTGGGGTTTCGATATCTGACCATTGTTCGAATCTGTGGACATGGGATCCGCCTCATCAGGCTCTAGCAAGTACAAGTCTTTGGCCTGCGGCTTTCTTTCTTTTGCCAGCTTCGTCGCGGCCTTCCGCTCCTCATCGGCTAGCTGTTTCTTGATGCGTTTCTTGAGCTCCGATTTCGAAATATCCACACCACTGGAGACAATTTCAGCTCGCACTCGGTCGTAGGCGTTTTGGTATTCCGCTTGCGCAGCAGTCAGACTCCTGACATCGCGGACCCCGATGGTGGAGCTTCCGTTCGGCATCTTTGTGTCGTCGCCGTTGTTTACAACGTCTTTAGTACTCGTGGCCGGATGCATTTACAAGAATGATCAAAATATTCTCAGTAAAAAACGAAGCAGTACAACTCAGATTCGAGACGACCTACTGCAAACGGTTACGGTAAGTAAACAGCTGTGAAATGAATGTCAAAAATTGATTAGAGTCGTCGAGAATCTACTTCTGTCTCCTACAGACTGAAATGTTCGACTTACTCGCGGAACAAAAGCAAAGTACAAGTAGAGATTCAGGACGATATCGATAGTGTTGAGGTTGCTCTTCATTAGAGACTCTTCTCTTTGTTCTCATTTTTGTTTTTGACAAAAGTCGCAAAATGCATTCCCTCAGCAATTGCATATCAGGAAGTTGTTTTTGTTTAGGCGCTCGACCGCGTGAACGTATTGATCAACATCGTTCATCTTCATGGGTGATCTGTCCACCATGAAAGAGTCATAATTTGATCAAGTCAAGTAGAAGGATCGCTTCAGAATTCGGAAAGAAGATGCCGTCTTGTTCTTGAAGTCATGTGCCAGAGAGAGACAGACTCTTTTGAACACTGAAAACAAAACTTCGTAAGCTTCAGGAGCAGAGCATCTTCCAATCAACTAACTGATGTGAAAAACATTAGGTCGTATAGGGTGTGACGCCAACGAGCGGTCGCTGACAAAGCTGCGCCGGTTCACAAAAGGTACGCGCAACTGGGACTGGGTGACAGTATGTAAAGACTAAAGACCACCATGTAAAAGCAAATGGTCGAATGAACGATGATGTAATTACATACTATGAAAAATAGCGCGCGAAAAAAATGGAAAAAAATCATGTGTGACTGTGAAAAAATAAAAAGCAGCGTGTTATTATTCTTACCAGGCAAAGCAGTCAGTCCATGCAGATGATGTGGGTTTCTAGATTACTAGAAGCAGTGAAAAAAGAAGATTAGGAAAGTATATAAGAATGTGCGAAAAAAGAGCTACCAAGCTGAGGGAATTAACGGTAGCACTTGTTTACTTCACCTTTCTAGTGGTTGTAGGTTTTGATGAGATGGAGCCTTGTTTTCCTGTCGTCGTGTGCGGCTTCGCAGGACTACCGCCGATGATTCGTCCATTGGCGCTTCTATATTTTCTGATCTCCACCTCTTCTTGGCCACCACCGTTTATAGACATGGAGTCGTCTACGGTCCTGCTTTTCTTATTCAGATGGCTTTTCCCACTTCTCTTCAGCAGTGAGGAACGACGCGCCTCCAGAGAGGAGGAGAGCTGACGCATGCTCCGCTTCCGCCACTCTCGGTAGCTCGCTCTACAATGAATTCCCAGCGCCTGCGGTACTGACACAGGTCGCGATTTCTGCTGCTCATACTGCAAGACCGTCGCCTTGAGCATTTCACCCTTTTCTGTGTTCTCGAGAAAGTCTTGCAACAACGGAAAAGCATATTGGTAACCCACACTGCAGAGTTCTTCAAATTTCTCGAATTCGAGCAGTCCGTAGGTGTCAATAGGCGGGCGCAACTGGAGATCCACGAACTGAAAGCTGTCCTGGTGCTGCCGGACGTTGGCCATGTTCAGAATGCGATCGTCGATTGCTGCCCGCGTGGTGGTCTTGCGGCCGCCGAACCAGCGCTGGTAGAGCAGCTGAAATCCGCTGCACTCGTCCCCGTAGTCCGCGTTAACCTCGTCGTAGAGCGCGGCAACGTCGATGGTCACGATGGTTCCCGCACCGAGATCGCGCGCGGTCTGGATCGGGAAATTGCTGCTGTAGCATCCGTCTACGAGCAACTGCGTGACGTTGCCAAACTCGTCCACGTCTCCGGGGAACGGAGGGACGAAACCAACGAGAGACATAGACGCACGCACGGCGCGCCAAAGCAGCCCGTCCTTGTGCATTACTGACTGACAACTGAGCACGTCGAGACTTGAGCAGGCGTAGGGAACCAGCAAATCCTCTATGTGCGTGCGCGCAAACGTAGACTTCAGCATGTTGTTGTGGAAGCTTCCGGTGAAGAGACTAAGCAATGGGTACGTGAGGTCGGCTAGCATCTTCGTTTTTGTAAACTGAGTTTCGAAAAGCCACTTGGCCCGCTTCAGACACACTTCAAAATCGGGATACATCGCATACAGGCCAGCAGCCATCGAGCCCATGGACGTCCCGCACACAATGTCAACGGGAACGCGGAGCTCGTCGAGCGCTTTCAGAACGCCAAAATGTGCGTTGCCCTTGGCTCCACCACCCCCAAACAACAGCGCAATACCGCGTCCGTGCAGGATGCGCACGCATCGATCCAGGTCTCCCGCTAGTTTGCTTCCTAGTCGCGCGTGGTGGCACCGCTTCATACTCGTGTTTTGGTACTGTCGCAACTTTTGGATTCGCGCTTTCAAGTAGTGTCGGGTAGAGAAGCGACCCCGGATGTTCTGCAGTAAGGTCAACTTTGATTCCACCTGTGCTTTCACAGCTGCGCGCATGCCGGGACCGACATTGTCCTGTCTCGAGCCATACGTGACACGATCTAGGCCGCCGGCGCCCTGCTCCAAGGCAACTTTCGACATTTGCGACAGCATACTGTTCTGACCGCCGTAGCTGTCTGATTCAATGTAGAGCTGCGTTGCGAAGTTCTCTAACTGCGTCCGTAGATTCTCCTTACTTAGCGCGTCGGGTCGAGAGGTCAAGACCGCACTACCACTAGAGGATGATGATGCACGAGGTTCAGTTGTGCTCGACGTCGACGATGAGGAAGCAGGCGCATTGTGAGTACTACTCTTCGAAGAGGATACTGATGTTGTTACAGATGCAGATATTTTTCGGGTATAATCCGAGGAAGCATCTTGCTGGGTTGCATCTTCATGCAATACACGCGTCTCAGCCGCAGGCATTTTTTGATGCTCCTCTGCTCCCGGCGGCAAGCCATCCTCTCCGAAGTTTAGGTCCGCTTTTCGTGGCGACGAAGCTGAGGTCGACGGGGTCGTAGTTAACGATCCACCAGAATTGTTCCTCCGCAAAGCGGACTCATCAACAGGCACATTTGCGGTTTCCGAAGTTGATGACTGGACTGTTGGATCCTGCGTGACCACAGTTGCGACACTGTGTGCCTTTCCCTCGGTCCTTGAACTATTTGCAGAGCCGTAGTTTACATCGAAAGACAATTGCTTGCGCATTAGTACAGGAGGATTTTCGATGGGTCCTATTGTTCTCGATCTTGCTGATGTTTTTGCGGAACATTCCAGATCCAGACTTCCAGAAGGTGGAGCATCAGGTACTATTGGATCTGTTCCTTTTGTTGGTTCTGGTACTACGCTATTGCAGGTTGAGGTGCTGGCGGAAGCTTTGAACAATCGTCCATGATGATCCTTGCGGGCAGGCATTTGCTTCTGACCCGACTGCTCATCTGCTCTCGAGGAAGAGACGCCCATTATGCTATCGTCAACATGGACAAGCATGAACTCTACTGGAACATAGCGCTTCGTGTGCTTCAGTGCGTAGGTCTCAGCGGTGCCTAGCCTTGGATGTGGTGACACATCGGCTTTGCTTACAGGCACGGCAATCAGCATGAGGTCTGCGTGGCGAAGACAACACTTAGTCCACTCGGTCACCGTTGAATCTGCCACGTAGAGCACGCAATCAGCTGCCGCCTCGATTTCCAACAAAGCATGTGAGATTTGTTGTCGATTAAGCAAATCGGAGTTGCTCCTATCGTGGCCGGGCTGACCACCACTAAATGCTGATCCACTTAGACTTGTGTTCACCTTGTCGCTTTTTGCGGTTAATGTTCCTGCAAACGCTGAGGAGCGGTCGCCAGTCCCTTTATCTGGTTCCGTCCACGTAAGAGGCTCCGCGCGGCTTTGAACCGACACCATTAGTCCAGGCGCCGAGGAGTCGGCGTCACACTCAACGACAGGCGTCACTGTGCCTGACATCACGAAGTCGCCCAAAGTTGAGGGTGAGTCATCTCCAACGGACTCAGCGAGGACGCCCTCGATAGTAGTCGGATCATCTAGTGCCATGCTATCGTGAGACATCTTCAGCGCGGGGCTGCCATCTCGCTGCTGTGCTGCAGCGCTTGGTAAACGAGAAATCGCGGCGCTCGATTGCGACTGAATTTTTGGGCTCAAGGCCGTGTCCGCGCTACCAACTCCGTCCACGCCAGCGAAGGGCCTACTTTTGCCACGGTTGATATTTGCCACTGCTTGTTTCAAATCCTTATAGCCATTCAACCTCACCGCTGCGGGTCGAATTTTGCGAAGGGAAGTCAAAAACTGTGCACCGCAATAATCTCGAATGATCTCGTCGCCCGGAACCAGACAGATTGTCCTGAGGTGCGGCCACTGCCCGTGCCGTGCGGCTGCCGCCATGGTACTCGAAGAAAGCCCTCCTCGAACTCCTCCACCCACAGGACTCGAAGATCTGTTATCATGTACGCCAGAGGTTATCTTTGCTGAGTCAAGTTGCTGTGATTTCGGTTTCTTTCCGTAGTTGGTCTGTTCTTCATCATTAACACGGCCAGAGGTCCGATTTTTCTTTGTCTCCTTCACGTTGCCGCTCTTACTGTCAGCGCTTCGGCTTCGTATCCGTCTTCTCACAGTTGAGCTGGAGCTTCGCTCATCCTCGATAGTTGAAGCAGCGTTACTTGTTTCATCATTCGCACTTATCTGAGCCTCCGCTGTTTCGCTTCGTTCCTTGGGGCTGGTTTCCAAATTCTCTATTGCAGCGCTAGAGCGTTTGCTCGACTTGTTCGGTGTCGTGTTGCTTTCCTCGTTATCGGAAAGACCCGCGGTGACAAAAGACTGAATCTTAGTTTTCAGTCTTCTTTCGATCTGACTACGCAAATGCTGAGTGTTTTTTGTCACATTTTGCATTGCGGTCTGAAACGGGATAAAGCGTTCGATATTCCGTCGTGCGCTAACTAGACTCGGAAAGCGATCGGTCCTGAACGAGCGAATCGTTTTCGAAAAGGACGCTGCATCGTCTTCTAATTCATCGGCACCGACCGGAGAAACCTCATCATCCGAAGACAAGCGACGAAGGTGACCGCGCGACCCTGTTGCATGTGTTGGACTGCGGTCGATTACACTAGTACTATGGTCGTCGTCATCTATTTCGAAGTCAGAGCGTCCTTTCGCGCCGAGAAAACTAGTGCCGTGCACCTCGCTTATGGACCTCGATGTGACACACGGTGCACCCAGGGGCAGCGAAAACGAAGTAGGTGACGCTAGATTGGGCGGCAAGGGCAACCTCCTCTCGGACAGCAAAGGCACACCACCAAGCTTCCTCATATATTGACCATCGTACCCTAGTACTTCGTCCAACTGCTGACTCATCTGAGAATCATCTCTTCCAAAATGGTCTCTTCTCGCATTCGCAGATGCTCCGAGGTCCCTGGAGAGAAGGTAGGTCGTGAAGTTTAAAATGCACTGGGGGTGCTCCTGGGCAAGAATTTGGAGCAACGTCCGGCTGATTCGAATGATCTGAGAATCCCGTGCCGCATACGCAGTAGCCTTGTACGGCATCCTGGAGAAGCATTCGACCTCGCCGCAAATGCCCCCTTTGTGAATCATCTGGTACTGACTTGGGCTGTCGAGATAGCGGGGCTCCTTATCGTACAGATGAAAGCGCTCCTTCGGTCTTTTGGCCTTCGCCAAAGCCGCGGCAAGTTCGAGCGCAGTTGTGCGACCAGCCCGGAGACTATGCCTTGGCGTGGGGCGTGGTGAATAGCCACGATAGGTACATGAAGACCTGGAAGCAACTGGCGTAGTGTTGCTTTGATGAACAGGAGTTGAATCTTCATCAATAGGCAAACCGCGTTGACGAGGCGCTCCTCCGCTATGCGATGGACTGGGAGCAGATGCGCTTTTCTGCACCCCATCTACCCCTGCTCTTTTTCCGCTCCTGAATACAGGAGCTGCAGCTCTTGGTGGCTGTTTGCTGATGTTCCGCTGGAAGCTACTCATAGCAGCGTCTGCCCGCGGGGGCGCGAACCCCAGCTTGCGCTCTTCCACCAGGAGTACCTTGCCACTTTTGACCAGGTAAAAGCCTTGGGAGGATGAGTCGCCCTCGCGAAACAGTACTTTCCCGCCTGAAATGAGCCGCGACTCCACCGCAGCCTCGATCCGGCGCACCGATGGCTTCACCTTGGGAATTACGGTCTGGACCAGGTTCAGACACATCTGCAGCGGGAACCGGTGGAGCAGGCGATCAATCTCCGTTCTCTCTATGTGCAAAAAACGACATTTGCTTCGGCATCGATACACGGTGACCGCCGAAACACCGGCTAAGATAGGTAAGGACCCGATCAGTTCACCAGGTACAGTAAGGGAATACATGGCCTTCCCTGGAACTTGTTGTCGTGCCAGAGGGTTGCCCCCACCTACACCCGCTCCATTTGCATCTTTTCGATCAGCAGTGCCGTCCTTACCGCCAAGATTGTCAAGCGCTTGAGTCCCAGTCCCAGACGCGTTGCTCAAGTAACTAGTACTCGATGACACTTCGTCGTCTGGTCCTCGTTTGTTCGCGTCACTGTCACTAGCACGCGGCACGGCAGCAGAATAGGCTTGCGCTAAATCTTCACCTTGCGAACTTCGTTGTGAGGATCCCACTCGAGTCAGAGTATCTGCAGTAGCTGTGCTGCTCAAAAGCAGAGACAGCGGTCCACGGGTCTCATCAGTTTCCACTATGCCTCGTTTGTCTGCTCCGTCAGCTGCAGTTGAATCGGATTGACCACCTCCTGCATGAATCTGCGCTAGATCTCTGCTGGTATCAGGTTCCACATCCGCCCCCTCAGCAGGGACGACATGTTGAAAGGCTGCATTCGAAAAGCCCGCTGCTGATGAGGAGGAACTAACCCTACTCGTTGCACTTGCGTCACCACTTGACGATGCTGCAAAGCGGCGGCCTTCTGCTTTCTGCCGTCGAGGGATGAAGGTCTCGCACGTTCCCTCAAGCAGTACGAAGACGTCTTGCTGCGAACTGTCGGCCTCGAACAGCATTTCACCTGCGCCCCATTCGGCTACGTGAACCTTCGACGCATCGACACAGGCAGCATCAGGAAGACCAAATCTCGCGGCAACAGCTTTAGCCAGGACCGTGCGGGATTCGTCCGGGTTTTCAGTAATGCTCTGGATGACAGTACTCTCATAGCCGGGCCGCCACGAGTCCGCGGGCCTAGGCGGTTTAAGCACTTTTGCTGGTTTTGTCGGCGGCGTCCTTGTTTTGATATTCCCATCATTGAGAAGAAATCCCCTCTTCTCGGTCATAGCAAACAGACGGTCGAAATCAACACCGATTTCGCTAACTTCTCCCGTGTGCAGTAGTTTGTTGCTCAAGCCGAAGTATTTGTGTAGCGTCCCGATCACTGTAATCATGCGGGCTAAAAGCTGCCTCACCAAGATAAGCATGGAGCCTGGGTACAGAGCGAAAGCTGGCCAAATTGCAGTCGATGTTTTCAGAACGTAAACCTCTCCGCCATCCGACGATATGCAACGCACACTGCTCTCGTGCCGTAGATGGTCATCACTTTCGGCGGTCATGAAGGAAGCCATTACGAAAAGCAAACCAACCTGAGATTAGAGTATGAGAATGTTCCAGTCATGAAAATTTAGATGAAGATTCATTGCAGACATCCGTCGCCGTCCTGTAAGTCCGACGGACAGAATCCAAAAAAAAATTAGAAAACCGCGTACTAAAGATTGATGTTGTTGTAAGACGCGAGTAATAATTTTTGATTACTATGGTATCGCCTTGTCGCAATATCATCGCTTCACCAGGTGGTGCAGAGGGTATAGCTAAGTCCTCGACGTCATCTCCCCCCATCATCCCAGTGGTTGTGCTGTGGCTTCGAGCACCGAAAATTTCGAAGCGACCGCGCTTGACCAACAGGAAGGCATCACGTTCGTCACCCCGTCTAATGACGAACTCACCTTTTCGATACTTCCGAACCTCTACGCGATCAAGCAAAAGTTGCAGACAGGCGAAATTATCGTCCTTTTGCTCGACACCTGAAGCTGCGGCCGACGCGGCAGAGTCTTGCTTTCCACGTCCATGAGTTTCCAGTTTCTTGGTACTAGAAGAGGCAGAAGTTGTACTAGCACTGGTGCTATTCGCGTCCACGGAAGAAGCTTCTTCTGCAGCGCCTTTCCATGCGCTTGCTCGACCGCGACCCGATATCAAGAATTTGAGAAACTCGCAGTCTCGCCAAAACTCTGAGATAAACAGTTCCTCCTCCTCTTCGCTGGTGTCAACCTCTGACGGCCCATCATCCTCCGCGTCTACCATACTCTGCCCGTCGGCGTCGTCATCTTGCATGTACTCATCGACCTGGGAAGGAAAAGGTATTCAGTCGCAAGATCACGTACATATAGCGACCAGTAATGCTAATCAACCTAAGTCGAATCCGATTCGGAACACTGCGACCGCATCCGGCTCTCTACTTATTGTCCAAGACATAGTTTCCTCTTCTTCCTCTGTACAGCTACAGGATCAGAAACAGGCGACTGCTTGATGAGTTAGAATGCATCAGCAAACGCGAAAGCAAAGAACTACAACAAGTACAAAAACAAGCTTGAATTATAATACTATACATGCGAATCCCACTCCAGCCACAGATAGTATTGAACCGCCTTTCCAATGAGGTATATCAGTCCAAGAGTCGCGCAGGTTAAAGGACCACTGTCGTAGACCGACGTCATTAACCCAGGATGCATGACATAAGCATAGGCAGCCGCAGCAAATATTATTGTCCACCTTTGGTCCCATATTGCCACGGCTATGGCGACCAAAGAGAAGCTTCGCACGAACGACATTTTTGCTAATGTTGTTTTTCCAGGATTAGCGTGTTTACGGAGCGCCCTGCTGTGACATATTCAGTTTCTGGTTTGCAGTCGTCCCATAGAGGGAATACTGACCAATCGCGAACGTGATCCTGTCATATCGCGCATAATCCGCCCGCACCTTTTCGAAATAGGAGAGATTCACTGACGCTCGGTTTTTCCTCAAGTTTGCAAACCTCCGACACTTCGTCCTGACAGCTCCCGCCGACGTCGTAGCTGCTGACAATCGATTGCGCTCGATTCTGATACGACTATAGGACGACAAGGGAAACTAATCGCTTCATGAGTGCGAGAAAATATAACTTGAATGTCGTGGTTATTGTACCTCGGGAATTACCAGATCAAGCAAGGCCCACCCAAATTAGACCTGAATACGCATGAAGACGGCGACCACAAAAACATATCAACCATGAAAACGAATTTCTGAAAATACCATTACCCATCTCGCGAGTTCTTTGGATGAATCCGAGTTAATAGTTACAGCAGAGCCTAAACTTTAAGAAAATATCAACATCAGATTCAATTGAAAAACTTTTTCTTCGTTTTGTTGATAGGAACGTGCTCGCGGGAAGACGAGCGGCGATACTATGCCTTCAGGCTGGGACGCTTGGCGAGCGGAGTCACCGGGGAGGACGTTGGCTGCCCGTTTTGCCCTGGCCTTGCGGCAAGCACGCAGCACCTACTAGAGTGCCCTGCGCTCCAGGCTCTAGTAGAGGCCCACGGAGTTCCGGCGAATGTTGGGGTGGCTGCGTCGAACCCGAAGCGGCTAATCCCATACCTTCGCGACTTAGCGACCAGCTTCGGCGGTGCGTTCTTGCGAGCGCAGCCGCCACACCTCCAGTGAAGACAAGGGGAAACGAGTAGCGGCCGCTGTGGTAAACCCATCGCTGCCCGCTACGATAGGACGGGGGCCGAGATAGGTGGTGGCGAACAAAGAACGAGCAGGGAGGAGACAAGAAAGGAAGCACGCGAAGACAAAAAAGAACGAAGACAAAACGAGAACGCGAAGAACAGTGCACGCAGGCCGCAAGAACGTCAACCAAACCCGGACGCGCCTCGCCGCCAGGTGCTACCTACGCGCAGTCGCCGCCGCCTGCAGCACGCCGCGCCTGGCATGCCACAAAAGCCGCAGCTGGCGGGGACTGTGGCGACCAGACATACCATAGTCGATCGCAATGACGACCATAGCACTACACACACAGAGCACAAAAAAATCCGGCGGGATCGTACGCGTCGCCCGGAGCGCATCAAAACAAACAAACAAAAAAACTTGGATAAGTAAAAGTAGAAAGATTGACTCATCAATCAAACGCAAAAACATCAGAATTCAAGGTAGAAATACCACGGCAAGAAATTCTAGCTTTTGTTCAGGGTTCGAGGTAAAATACGAAATTTTGCGGGCGGGAAGGAAAAATACATTTATGAGAGGTCTTTCGGGAAGTGGTGTGGTGGGCGTAGCAGTAGCTTGTGGGCACATTGAAAAATGACACGTCACTGGCAAACCGTTGAATAGGTGATAGTGATGTTGCAACAGATATGAGCAAGTAAATCGTCAATCAAAGCAAGCTTGAGTAATTACGCTCGTTTCCTTATCGTGCTGAGAACTTCACGTTCACAAAAGTTTATAGTGCGAACATCATCAAAAGTTGCAAAAAATGATGAGCAGACGTGTTGCAGCCGTGTCCGTCGTAGGCTAGCCCTCGTGATGACTTTTTGGAGACAAGGTGGGCACAGACTCTCTGTGATATGTATGTATGAAGAACGAAAGATTGAGGATAGGCCTGAACAATGTTGAACTTGTGAATGAGGCATGCGCCTCTACAAAAACAAAGCATAAGTGATGTTGACGTCTCTTGAAACAATGAGGATGTCCAGCCAGGATTCGCAAGGATGACTTTTCGGACCGACTATTAATCATAAGAGGGGCGCGGAATGGGCGCACGACGCTGCGTTTTGTCAGAAACTTTCGCTTTCCTGATTTTATATTTTGTAACCACAATTCTCATTCTTTTTCATTCGTCTTTCATTACGATATCTGAAGTTCATTCATTCAGTTTGGGTCTCCCTGTCATGAAGTTGAAGATAACGTCCGCAGTCATGAATAACCCCCAAGAAATCACTTTAGGAAATCGAATTCGAAAGGCTCTGGCTCAGATGCAAAACTAAAACATACGCGTCTAGACTCGACACCCATTCTTGCTGCTGCAAACTCAAAGACCTCTGTCTGAACCTGAAGTATTTATCACATCAATTGTCGAATCCGAAAGACATTGAGATTCACAACCCTGGTACTGGTTTGTAGTCCGACTACAATAACTACATGATCTAGCTGGATAAACATGACATCTCGAATAATGAATCTAACCGATCAATTTCTATTGGTCTCCCACGTAACTAATGAAATTCTATTGATAACTCATAAACCGACTGAGATACTTGCAGTTCAAACGCGTATCAGAAAGGTCAATCCGGCAGCCTCAGGCGAGACGCATCTCGCCTGGCGAAGCCAGTAGCAGATACAGGTCGTATATTAGAGCTGACATAGGGAGAAAACAAATCCATGTCCGTCGGTTTCAAAGAAATGACCCTTCATTATGCGATGTTTTCAAACCAACCCAAATCCTTTTCAAAGAAAAAAACGAAGAGAACGATCATACATGTGGCTCCTACACCCACATAAACAACAGCTTGGAATCCATCCATCAATCATGCTACTCGAACGCGAAGGCGAACGGCAACTACGCAGAAATAAGTTCATACTTTTAGGTGGGATTCATCAAGAACTTCCACCAACATGCACCCGAGTAGACCATGACCAAACATATCTACAATAATTTTCATGCTCTTTCAATGAGTATATCGTATTCGTAGTTCTAGTTTTCGTACAAAGCCCCCTTTCTTCTTATCTGACAGTCGAAACGTAGAAAACTGTCAACACAGCATAATATACATTTACAGAAACGACCAGAATTTGTTAATTATAATATATTATAAGGTCTATCTCTATCACCCGCATCTTCACTTCCAATGGCTTGCGAAAACCACGATGAGCTCGCCTGTTCCCGTCTACCACGACTCGATCTTTACTCAGTAACGCAAACAAGAAACAACCATATCGAGAAAACACGATGGCTATAGGCGAACGCTCGGACTGCAAAAGAGAACTCCGCATCATCGTTTCCAAGCGCAACTAGGTTTGTGTTCTCGACCGCCTGCCAGGCGTGGCTTAAATCACTCATCCCCATATTCAGTGGAACGCCATAGACCTGTAGTGAAAGTGTGGTGTGTTCTTGGGGATGAATGTAGTATGCGAGAATTGGTGATGTTAACCACCGTCGACATCCGAGAACTACATACACTCACGATTACAATGCACTGTGGAGGCTATCTAAAAGAATCGTGAAGATTACGGTGATGCATCATTTCAGTTCCGATTCCTCTGTAAAAGCGTAACTAATTACTCCGAGGCGAATGATTATACCCGTAGTCCTCGATGCCCTCCAAATTCCTCTTCGAGATCGTACAAGAATCGATCTACGTCTTGTCTTCTTACTGGCGGATCGTTCGTGGATTTAAGCGGTGCAGGCGCTTCATTTCCACCCTCTCGTCTCGACATGCGAAAGTGCTCGAGCCTCTCCAGCATCTCTCGACACCTTCCTGCGATTGCGGCGTTCGATCTCGTTCGCAAGCCGCCTTGTGATCGCAGTCTCAAAAATTTTTGCCATATGTCGTTTTCCAAATGGCTCTGTAACTTCTTCGCCCGATCGTGGTTGGGTGCATCGTAAGCGAGGGGTGGCTGTAGCGTTTCTATCACGCCGTCTGGAAAAAGGTGCTTTTTCTCGTCAAGGTCGGCAAACAGGGGACGCCACAAAGTGTGGTTTTCGAGATCCCAATCCATACGCAGAACGCAGCTCTCGGAAGCCACACCACTCGCCCGAGCTGTGATGAGAGGAACACGTGACAATGATTTTCGTTGTGAATCGAAGAACGAAGTACAACTTGTGCTACAAATATTCTGAGCTAATATTTTTGTGGTGGCCTGAGGAGCAAATGAATGATTATTACATTGGATCATAGGGACGAACCAGAATTACAGTGAGCTATATTAAATTCAAAGTAAAACTATACAAGACTCAGCTCGCGCCCGCAGCATGTTGTACCACACGTTCTCTGAGGATAACACGACTGCAACTTTTTGGATAGGGCACGCGACACTATAGGACGTTGGCTGCAGGTTGCCGGCAGCGGAAAAGCGGGCTGCAGTCATTGACGATAGAGTAAAGAATCCTCGGTAGGTGATGAATAGAAACCAGAATCACAGAAGAACAAGAAATGATAATTAAGAGTAGCAGTTCTTCCGCTCTTACGAAAATTCAAATTCAAAATTCAAATCGGTATAAAATAACCAGATCCTGCTCAACAATTATAACGAAAGCAGTAGTACCTTTTTGTTCCTCCGCTTCCCTCCAGCGCTTTATTGCCCCGGCTGCCCACCTTAGTGGGGGTATGGACTGTACCAAAGTGTGTTTCTCCATATCAACAGCAGCGGCTGTTTTCTTGTAAAAACTGTCATCGGTTTTGCGTGGAACAAAGTAGCAGCGATTCGCGATCGGGTCCCAAAACTCGCAATGCCCAGTTTGCTGGTCTTGTCGCATGACATACATTGCCTCGCCATCTGGGATCGCTTCGACAATGACACAGAAACTTCTGACTCTGAATTAGAGGAGGCAAGTGGGTCATACACTTAATCTTAAACGAGCAGGTAGACAATTATTATATTATGCCAAAAAAAGGTGCATCTCTTTAACTCTGTTCATCTCGGACGACCTTCTACTGTGGTTTGTTCCAGTATGGCGTCAAGACCAAAAATGCACTGCAGCATACTTCCAACAATGCAAAGACAAAGTCCCTCCGATGCATTGGAGTCGGTGTTTGTAATCGATTTCATCTTCGTGTCTGTCATGCCATAATGATACGACGGATCCGCCTCACCACGTTTTCCGTCTATGAAGTTGAAGTAATTGCACAGCAGAATCGCGTGTTCCTCGAAGTCGCCACAACCAATGTCCAAAAAGGTTTTGCTGGTACACCACAAATCGACAGCTCGTCCCTCAAACATTTGTGCGTCTGTCAGGAACGAAATCAGAGACACGTACCGTGCCGATTTCTCAATGGAAAATGGGTCTAGCGGGTCCTCACACACGTCGGGTGGTGGTGGCTGCGGAGTGAGAAAACGAGAAATCAGACGGCTGTGACCTTCAATGTCAGTCCCAAGCGTCGGAGCTAAATTTTCTTTTGCAATTTTTTCGCCAAGCGCAGCGGTCCACGTGTGAATGTGGTTCAATAACGCGCGCGACTCTCTACCAGGAATGATTGGCTGCGGTCCACTGTCGGGCTCACCGAGAACCCGATCCAAAGTGATGGAAGCGTACAAGTACATCGGTTCGTCGTTTTCCTCACCTCCTGTCAAAAACAGTATGATTAACACACTCAAGTTTTGCGTGCATGCTATAGATTAGGAAGTGAATATTCGCGTGATGCGCTCTCTTCCATCAAGTGTATTGAAAAACTTCACCAAGTAAATCCAAGTACCTTGGAACCCGGCCATCAGGGGCTGTCCCGTCGTTGGAACCATGCCTACGGACTGTCTTCCCCGCTGCTGTGACGGTACGCCTTGATAACCAATGATGCCCACTGGTGTTTCGACACGGAATCGGCCTTCGACCTTGCAGTTGTTCGCCAATACTGTCGGCCAAGGCAGAGAGAATGTTCCTAAATATCGACGCTCACGGACAGTCACAACAGCCGGTTGTGCTGCCGACGCTCGTCCAAGACTGCTACTGCGTGAGCCGCTCGATCTCGAATTGGAGCCACCTGCTCCCCCGCCCAGTTGCATCATATTTTCCGTCTCGTCAAAGACATTGAAATAGAGAGAATTCGTGAACGACTGCAGCGCGTCTCCCGACAGCGAGACGTTCGGATTCTGCCCTGAAGCCAACGGAAACACGCGGTGCTGATTGATGTCCGGATGCAAACCTGGAACGCGCATGCCAGTGTCGCTGCGGCACGGCAGCGAATCCATGTTCTCGAATGCGAGTTCCACTACCACCTCGCTCGCTGACAACATGCCCTGCGCCGAATTACGCACACGCGCGCTGGGAACACGCACTGGCACGTTGTACAGTTTGCTCACATTGATGTGAATGCCTGCACGCTTGCTCGACGGATCGAAGTTTCTCTGTTGAAGAGCAGGCTTCAGAGGTCGCTTCGGCTTCAGCATGTTCGACACCTGGACCCAAATTGCCGCCCAGTCGATCGGCTCAGCATCCTGACCATGCTCGCGAACAACGGTTCGAATGCTGAACTTCTTCTTTACTGAACTAACCATCCGCACGCGCTCTTGAATAGCCGCAATGAAGTCGCGTTCTGCGTCATCATCGTCATCGTCGTCTTCAGCACCTAGAAATGAAACTAGGTCAGTGGAGCGACACTTACAATACAAGAACGAGGATGAGGATCACCGCTTTTGAGTGATTGAATGTGATTGTGAATTCGCTTGCTCCTCCAGCAAGTGTCTGCATTATAAAGCAACCTGTTCATCCGTGTACAATTATTACAAAATACTAGGACTCAGAGATGAAAAGGGAGAGGTGACGAGCTAACAAGTATTACGATTACCTGCGGCACTTCCACTTGCATCTTTCTGTGCTGCTGCGTCTGACTTTTTGGAAGCCGTGGCGTCCAGCTCTTTTGCCTTGCCTGGCAATTTCACTTGAACGACAGCGCCATCTTGAGCACCAGTGTCCTCTCCGGTAATTATCGCTCTCGCGTTCGCCGATATCATCTGCATGCGCACCTCTTTATCCGTCGCTGCTATTTGCTCATGACCCCCGCCGCTTTTCTGTGCTCGCAGCGCGAGCTTCTGAAATCTCCTAGAGCTTTTCACATAGGACCAGTCGACAAAATTTAAACCGCAATAAAGCACCTTCAGACTCGGATCGAAAAGCTGTGACATGATGCAAGCTTGACAAGGTAGGGTGAACTATACGGGGTTCTGAATCTGAAGAGGAGTGAAAGTCAGTACAAAATCAGCAAATAGAATTACTTGTCGGAAACATGGGAAAACCGGAACGAAAGCTGCATTATGATTATCATTGTTTCCAGAATAGTGTGCCAGACAAAGACCCACCTGTCCGCCACCAGCTGTAGTCGCGAGATGATCTATTTCATCCCTTGTTTGCTGCAAGAGTGGGTGATTAGGGTCGAACCTAAGTTCGTCTAACAATTGCTGCGTTCTGGACACGACCGCGCCCTCTGACGATAAAGCTCGAGGCCTACTACCTCCTGACCCAGCTCCTGCTTGTTCAGCTCCAGGATCAGCTCCCTGTGACGCCCTTGAAGATGCGCTGTTCCTGGCAAATTTGCGTGTAAAAATCGGAATGATGTGGCTGCCTTCATCAAAGGCGCGATGGAGGGATTCCATAACAGAAGTCTCAGCAAGAGGCTGTGGCGGCACCACGCCACCGGATTTCATTGAACTTCCACTGCGCTTTGCTGGAAGAGGCCAGAAGGTCCGGATGTTCAAAATTCCTGTCGTTCGTGCCTCGTCATCCATGGCAGCCTGGTGATATTCATTAAATATAGCGTGACTGAGAGCGTACTAGACTTAGACAAAGAGTAGATCATCACGAAGAAAGACTCAGGGGTTCTCTTTCGAAGAACTTAATTCATATTACGAAGCCTAGACTCTGACTCGTCATGGCGCGCCACCGTAGGCGTAGCTAGGTGTCGATCTCGATGTGTCTAGAGTGAGTCAAACAACTGTAAATTGAGCTACTGCAAAAAGGAAATCCACCAACCTGTAATTCGAATCTGTCGATGCTTTCACGCTTGTGCGACCGTGGCGTCATCGTCGAGGCGCCTTCGACGTAGCTGGCTTCGTTCTGCCCACTGCCGATGCCTTCTGAGCCAAAGAGCAGTCGCTGCCTGAGCATGGGCGTGTGAGTCACTTTCGCCGTGTCAGATGAGGGAATATGAACCGGACAAGTGCCGATCTTCTGCCATTTGCGGATGCGACCGTGCGAAAACATACCCAGCGCGCGTGGAACTCCAACGTAGACCTGCAACTCGACACTTCGTGGCATAGTGTGAACGCAGAGGTCAAATGTGTAGGGGCATTGCGAACGATTCAAATCACTCATGTTGGCGACGTCGTGGTCGAGCAAATTGCTCAAATTGCCCGTCGTACTCCATGTGTCCCATTGGAGTGGCAGCGGGCCGCTGGAGCCAACTTGGGAGCTTAGAGAGGTACTCACGCTTAGGCTTAATACCCAAGTCAATATCATTGATTTCTAGCTAGCATCAGCGCCAGATCCGTGTACTAAACACTTTTTTACAACAGTGTCAGTGCTTGTGTCGTTTCATAACTCTCCGTTGACCACGCAGGTTACTTCCAGCTGTAAAACGCCGTTCTGGAGTCGACGCCGGCGCTCAAATTCGGTGTTTGACAGTTGTTTTAGCTCGTCCATATTCGTCACTCGATCGCGTCGCCAGCTCAGCTCGAAGCGATAGGTGTCTGCACCCGGCTGTCGCCAGTGCTGTGCGTACCACTCTCGAAGTCGCTGCTCCTGACCTGAGCGGTCAAACTGTGCCCCGGACGTCGTTTCTAGTTCCTCCAACTCCGCTTGTAAGTATTGTTCTATCCGTTTTTGATCCTCCTCTGGGGTTTGCGCAACGCGCACTGCGTCTAGCTTCACTGGTGTGCTTGTGAAGTTCTGCGTGCGCCGTACGTTCCGCAGCTGCTGCCACGTGCGGTACAGCTTGTCGCTGCACACATTCATCTCGCGCTCGACCTCGGTACGCAACTGACGAAACTTCTGTCGCTCTTCGACGTGCTGAAGCCATCGTGTCTGTAAATGCTCAAACGTCTCTGCGCCAGACTTTCCCAGAACGCCGGCACCGGCGCCGGCCATACCATCGCCGGCAGCTCCTAGCGGTAGAATACCATTGGGATTAAGCATCCCCTGCTGGTCTAGTTTCTGGTTGCTTTGCGCTTGCGAAGCTGCATTCATGCGCTCTTTTTCTAAGTTCTCCCGCAAAACACGACCGTAGCTCACAAGGGCATCGAAACGACCATCGAGGGTCCCAAGCGGATCACCCTCTTCACGCTGACGATAGTCCTCGTAGAGGCGGAGAACCTTCGCTGACAGCCGGTCTTCCTCTGAGTAGAGCGTCTGCAGCTATGAGTCATTTACATTTTCTTTTTCATGTGTTGCGACAGTTGGTAGCAAGGCTGCAAGCTCGACTTCTCAGCTAAGTACTTAGAACCACAAAATTGGAATCTTCATGGCTGGCCACAACGTACTACTATTTCCTAAATCGAGTGGTATCATCAGATCATCAGTTTATTACGATTTCTTTTTCGTCCGTGAGTCGGACACCGAGCCCCTCTTGAAGCGAAGTGATCGAGAGGCTCTCAAGGCAGATTTTCAGGCTGTACATGTGGTCAGCGTTGAGTTGCATGCGTTCCGCCTTGAAGTTGTTAATTCGCTTGTAGAGGTTCGGCTCGTACTTATTGGTGAAAACTGGAGTGGTCTGCCGCACTGATGCCACTTCGTAATCGCAAAAATGAATCAGACTCTGCACGTCACGATAGTACTGCTGATACGTTTTCAGAAGGTTCGGATTCCGCTTCTTCGCAACAATTTGCTGAACTAACTCGCTCTGAGCCGCGTTTGGTCCTGCGATTCAATGTTGCGAGCGGCATTGGATTGAAGTCTCCAGCAGAGCTTCAAATTTGAATTTGATAGAGATGAAGTCGAAGTGTAGAAAATCAGAGTTTTGAATGATTTCCATTCAAGCGCCTTCCTCAGGGGGATTTCAACAATAGGTGAGGTAGTGCTGGTATTGATACCTCCCATCTGCATGGTCGTCCGTTGCTGAAAGGCCTGGACAAGTGGACCTACGTTTGGACCACCTGCTCGCGGAAATTCCGCGATCTCGTAACAACGTTGGGCTAGGACTGTTTTTTCGCGCATGAGCTGAAGCAGCAGTCTCCAGTAGTTCCACGGCTCGCGGTCGCGCAGATTCGCCCGAGTACGAAAAAGCCCGTCATCTGGAGTCAAAAGATTCAGCACGAATTTATCGTACGTCCATTCTTCATGCAGCTGCAGCGGGTTGGGGGTAAACGCGTGGTGATGTAGCTCCAGTAGCCGAGACAGCATGCTGCCACTGCCACAGCGTTCTCGCCATCGCAGAATCATCGGCGAGAGAGGCATGAGCGCCAGAACACGCTCTTCGTCGCGAGTAATTGGCGTCTTCTCCAGCGAGATATTGCGCGGTCGATGCACCATGAGAGCGCCACTGGTTGCGGCGCCACCTGATCGACGCGCTCTGCCTTTGTCCGGAGGCATACCTGGCGCGCCTGGTTGTGCAGGCATAGCTGCATTTGCTGGATTCATACCCATCGGTATCTGATTCATCTGCTGTGCACCGGCACCACCTGAAAAGTTGTTGTCCATGGAAGACATCGATCCTTGCTGTTGCTGGTTGTTGAACCCGCCTTGTGCTGGGCCCCCACTTGGATTGAACTGTTGCTGGTTTCCCCCGAAGGGCACACCCGCAGACTGCGCATCCCCTGCGCCAGGAGGCGGAAGACCGGCGATGCTTCCTGCTGCTCTTGGTGAATTGGGCACGGCCTGCACATCGTCCTTCTTGCCTGTCACGCGACTAACCAACCCACTCACCATCGCTTTTGTGCCAGCTGCAGCCGTGTTCTGAAATGGTGGATACAAAAAGCTGAAGACAGGATGACACGACCAGCATGTTCTACAACAGACTCGTTTGCGTGCTTAGACGCTGACACTTAGATGTAGAAGTAGATCCTCGAACTAGTATAATTGGTAATGGCATTGGGACGATACTTAATACCGCAACCCCTGCAGCCCGGCTCGAGGCTGAGCTCGCGCGCGCCGAGGAGTTCCGCGTTACGCCGAAAGCTGGAGATGCTGGCATGTTTCCGGCATAGGTTTGGACCGGCTGTGATGTTGCACCACCGAATGGAGCTCCTTGCTGTGCCATATTTCCGAACGCGCCAGCCGCTTGCGGCATGCCACCTTGTTGCGGCATCCCACCGAGATTTCCTTGCATGCCACCGCCAAACGGTGGCTGCGCGGTCGAAGACGACGAGCCTCCATATTGGAACTGGTTCTGCTTCTGGTTGTAATTGTTACTGTTGTACATCCTCTCGATAATTCGCGCCAGTTCTCCACCGCTGCGGGCTGGGCGTTTCTCTGCGAAGTCACCTCAAATAAGAGCACTGCAATGCTGAAGTTTTCATTTCTTTTTTACAAGACTCGATTTAAGGTCACATCTGTTTGTTCTTGCAAGGACTAGTGGCAACAAGATGTCCCGTTATTTTTATATATACATACATGATAAATAATGATAAGCTATTTTACGTTCGTTTTGAGGTTATAGTTATTTGGGAAATGAAGGTCGTCGAGTCGGAGTTAATAACTACTTTGATTAGATCGCGCTTGCTCTGTTCTTCGGCTTTGGTACTTTTTGCCTACCTATTCCAGACTTCTACAGAGACTGACACTCGATACCTTCGGGGGATGTGGTAGCTTTCATACACGCATTGTACGCCTTCGCGTTTTCCCACACACTTTTCAGGCCTGTCCAACAACCAATTATTTTCAGACCTCATTTCATTTTCCTTCTGTCGCTTGTACTGATCTTGTCACGAATCCTCTCTCTCGCTCGCTCCCTGCTCTCAGTCTACTCTGCCCTCCTTCCTCGGTTTTTAGCTTATGATTGATGTTGTGCCTGAAACGACCGACCTTTGGATTTCCAACCACTCCATCTGCTCGACTTTGCTACACGCAAGAAGCGCATAATGATCGCTCTTCATGCGTGATAGGTTCGAGTTCCTTGTTCGTACTTTTGTTCCCAAATTGCAAAGTTTCGTGGCGTGCTGACGAAAAACGTATTTCACATGCATTGAACTATGACCTAGGCCTTCTTTTAGAAAACCTGACGATGGAAAGGTGTTGCCTGTCGCGGCTAGTTTTGAAGTCTTTTCCTGTGCTCTGTTGTGTTTGTGGTCATGATGATCGTGACATATCCAATTTTACATTCAAAATAGACCAAGTGGATAGACTATGGTTTTCATCTTCTACTTCCCGAAGCCAAACTAATTCTATTCATTCCAATACATACTGTGCAATTTCAGCTGTCTCAGTTATGTCAAGCAGTGATCAACACTGCTGGCAGATACTTGAAGATGCAGCGAAGCTCCAAAAAAGGTATAGGCAATAATCATCGAAATCCAAATCTGTTGTATTCTCTTTGTTTTCTAGACACAGACTTGTTTCTATTTTTCAAGTTCCGTAGTTACGATACACCTTCATGATTCATTTTTTATACACAAAGAGGGCTAGTATTGCGAGCCAAAGAAAATTCGAAGCTTTTAGATAGACCTACTTGTTTTTATCCACGCAGGAATTGAATTTGTCAAAATCCAAGTCGTTTTGCTTCCTTCGTTATCGTCTATGCGGCAGACGATTTGATATTCTTCATTGGTGTGGCAGGAACGTCGTTGTGTTCACTGTTCTCCTCTGTCGACATGTTCGACGACTTTCGCCAAGCTCCCGGAGTGAGGTAATTAACGAGTTCTCCGCCTGGTGCTGCGGATATCAAGGAGACGGCGCGCTCCACGCTGCGGCGCAGCACATCTTGGCCCATACTCGACAACTTATCTCGGCATTGAGCCCGGTAGTGGTACATGAAAACGAACAAGGCGCAGAACAAGAAGAACGCTCTTCGCCCAAAGCGCCGCGCGACCGCGAGCGAGCGAGTCAACGTGGCGGTCATCACTCGTCCGGAAAAGGTAACGGTCCGAGACGAAACTACGAACGCAATAGTTGCCATGATCGCCAGCTCGTAGTACTTACGGTCCCGCAAGTTTAGCCTCTTTGTTATCTCACCCGACTCGATGCGCTTCGTAATCTCGTCCTGTTGCTTCATACAGACATCGCCCCACACGCGGACTTGCTCCCGGTGTGCGGACCACTTTTCCTGTTAAAAATAAATGCGTCGTCGAATCAGGTTTAATAATGACTTTTAGGGATAGTACTCCGAATATTTTACATGATTATTTCGCCAAGATTCCCGAGATGCTGAAGTAGAACTACTAGATGAACATAGAAGTGGATAAGCTAAAAATGGTACTCAGCTTATAAATACCTGCACAAACAAGCGTTGCGACTCCCATTTTTCTTTCAGATACACTTTCAGAACATCTGCACGACACTTCTCACGAATGGCCTGATAAAATCCGTCTGTATGAATCTTCTTCGAAAGAAGCTTGCAGAACTGCTCGTGCATCTTCACAATGCGCCCCTCTCGTGCGACTACCACTGCAGCATAGCTTTGGGCTAGGGCTTGGGCAACCTGCGGACTCTCGCGAAAACTCGTCATCCAAGACCTAGGGAAGTAGAAGTAAGAGGATTTATTTGATGTTGTTCATGTTGTTTACGAAAAGTAGAAGTTTGAATTCAAATTCTATTTATGTTATCTTACTTATGGGTTCAGCTTCAGGGTCACGACTACACTCCTATTGTTTGATGTTGTAGCAGTCCGAATCGATTCGTTCAGCATATCGGAAAAGCGGTATAAGCAGACAGTTCTCTGAATTGGCATTTGCATTTGGTTGAGTACATTATTACTTGAATGTGTTGTCTGCCGATGTCCGCTGTTCGGTAACACACTCACGCATGAAACGCTCATGCGCTGCTTCGACGTCCAATGCTACTTCGGCCGAACCTCGAATCTGCGTTCCGAGCTCTTGCTTTGCAGGGGAACCTTGCAGGTATGCCTCGACAACTCGGTCGCCCTGTTCCATGCCAGCGTTTACGGAGGACACGACCAAGAATGCCTGTTGATCTCCATTTTGTCCTGCGTTTTGGCCTGAGAGGAGTGCATCACCAGCAGGAAAAAGTCGCTGCTTGGCGAAGGGATTGCTTGCGGCAGTAGGATACTTCGGATCCGTCTCGTCATGGCCGCCCTCAACTGCATCAGCTTCTAGCTTCGTTTTATCGTTTTGAAGGCCATTACCATTTTCGGACATTCTGGCTACTATTTCGCCGGCGTATTTGCCTGCGTCAGTATTTGCAAAATCCGAATTCCCTGGCGTGATGCTTGCTTCGGCTGGCAAGATGTTGTCCTTCGATGCTCCTGACGAGCGACGGCGCACAGGCAGACTCCATGATGACATGATAGATCACGCACTTCTAGTTTTACCTTCAACCGTTAAGTCTTATACATTAAAAGGATGAAGAAGATAACTCGTCTAGGATAGCAGTTGGTGTTTTTTTTATCAGCATGCATGAACCACACTAGCGAGAGTTTGTCGCCTTGTAGTACCAGGAACCGTTATAGTTATACCACTGTGAAAGTTAATACAGAATATAAATTAATTTTAATCCATCTAAGAACATGACTCTTAGAGAGGTCGGAATGATGATGCAACTCAATGTCACTACATTTATCTTTCTTTCTGGCGGCTGGAGTGATTGCTTGGGAGGAATTGGGGACGGAGAACAAGGGGCACGGGACATAAAGAGGGGTCTCGGGTGAGCGCTGGCAGATTGGTTGAGAAGTAATATCTTCTTTCATCGACCGACAATCAATGAGAATTTCCGAATTGTTAACAACAGGTTTGCAAGACAGTTGACTAATCGAAGATCACTCGTCGTAAGCACAACAACATCGATATCGAAGTTCACACAGAATAAAGGGACGACGTGGCTGACGAGTCTTGGTTTCAATTTCAGCCAGTGCGACAAGAACAACATGGATATCGTGTAAAGTACCGCTACCGATACCGGAAGAATCAGTTTCTAACTTCTAACCGTTTATCTTATGGTGTGCTCCCGCCCATTTCATCATTCTCTTCAGCATGCAATACGATGACTATTTTTCATACGTAATGTACTAGTACTGCTAGGCGCCCGTCTTTGAATTCATTTTTAGACGGACTAGGCATTTGTATCGGTTGTATACAAGACGGAGTCAAAAATGTTTCTTTTAATGCTATAAGTAGATGTCGATAGTGACTACATTAGCTTGATCGGAAATTGTCTTTGAGAGGAAATATTCATGATCACGACAACACGAGTAGTTTTCTTCAATTACGGTGATGATAGATTCGTGCGACGTCTGAGTGGTTGCGCGACGCGAGTCCAAGCTCGTCACACAGTGTTTCCCATTGGAGTTTCTCCTGCCTCACCCCCGAATTCGACGTAATTCGAACCTTGTCTCACCGAGTCGTCCAGATACCGCAGGTACATGCGCATCAGCCCGTACCCGGCTCCGCCGATGACGAGCAGACAAAAAGTTGTGCTCCAGTACCGGTCAGGCATGGCCAAGTATGCGAAAGCGTCCACTATGAGTAGGCCCATAACGAGGTACATCAAATACTGCTTCGCCTGCATTTGCAGCCGCAGTTTTCGTGAGGACTGCGAGAACTGCCCCGCTGTTGTATTCAGAGTTGCAGACTTTGTGTCGATACCGCGTAACTGGTTATCCCGTTCAGCCATCTGTTGCATCGACTGCTGCACTGTTCGCGTCGTATCCGCTACTTGCTGACGCGCATCGGCAAGGGAAACCATGCCGAGGCTCCCACCCTCGCCGGAGCTTCCGTCGACGCCACCCGCACCTGAGTCAGCTGTTGCCATCTTGATTCTTAAAGATATCTTTCCTTTTGCAGTAAGACTGATGAGTAGCTCCTTGGAGGAATGATCAATATCTCAGTTTTTATTGACAACATCAGCATTTCAATCGAGTTATCTAGTAGCGTATTTTTGCACGAAACAAAATATGGCTAGACAAGGCTAGTGCAAGAAATATACAGAACACATAGACAAACAAAACGAAACTTAATACGAGTACGTAGTCGGTTCACTGTTGTGTCCGGAGAGGTTGGTGGAGTACAACTAAAATTCAACCAGGAGGAGAACAAGAGACACTAAACTTGCTACACATCAACCAGAACAGCATCAAGGTGAAAGTGTAGTCATGAAAGCCAAAACCTGTATAGTATTGTGAAATCAATGGGAGAAATGCAGGCGCACGCGACAACTTCGCAGCAAGGTCATCTCATCTCGCTCTGCTATGGCTTACAAATAATTAGAACGACTCATATTAACTTCTGATCATCCTTCACCTTCTTGAGGTCAGGAACACTTCTACTCTTTTAGGTCACTCCAAATTACTACAACAGTACCCGTTTGTCTGTAGTCGCTTGTTCTCTCGATCTCGTCTCAGGCGAAAAAAATGTCTGAGTCTGAGACGAGTTATATAATATTCATTAAGTCCATGTCCAATGCCAAGTCAATTTATTCAGGTGGAATATCAAGTAGCCTTCTTTATGTTTGCCTTTGCGTTTAAAAACCGAAAACACTCAGATCGACAAGGCCATCAGCATCTTCAGGAAAGCCCGTTTGCAAATTTATGATATGCTCATTAGAGCGTGCTTCATGTTGACTTGTATGTGCATCTGGCGACGTAGTTCCAAAAATGCTTTTTCTGCGAGACGCCTGCGAGCGATGCAGCTCTTTATCATCACCATCAGTTTTTTCCGTCCGAGAGAAAAGAAATTCTTCCTCGTCCGCTGCAAACTGATCAGCGACTTTATCGAGAGCAGACGCGGTTCCGGTTGCGTGTGCAACATCGAGTCGTGGTTGAGCTTCCCCCCCAGCGGCCGCACTGAGCAGATTCCTACTTTTGGCACGAAGTACCCGAGCAGCTGACAGCCACGTCGCAAAGGAGAAAGTTTTGAGATAAGCGGTACCCATGAAGATCATGTTCTCAAGTGCGGTGCTACTAGCAAAAAAAGCCAAAAGAAAGTACCCGTGCTTGAAAAAGCTCTGCGCAAGTAGTAACCATGGCTCTCCGAGAAAAGGATTGAGTTCTACGATTTCGAGGAGCTGTTTTTGCGTTTGTGAAGGATGAAATGAACTTTCCTTCTCATCCTCGATGATGGTGCCTTCTCCGCTGCTGGTGGGATCTTTGTTCCCAGCTTGTTCATGTCTCGCTTTCACTGATGTGGAAGCGGATGACGCAGCAACATCATCAACGTCCGATCGTAGCCCTGATGTTTGTTGTGGTGGTAGGCGTAGGCTTACTTCTACTCGATGTACTTTAATATCTTTCTCGTCACCATCTCTTACGCCTGCTGCAGCTACGTTGTGAGAACCATCGTTGCCTCGAACGAAGCTGTCTGATCCTCCATGAGCATCCGCTGCTATTGCTTTGTCGTCGTCGTTTGCAGTTCTCTGCATCACCTCCCACAGGAGATTTCTCGCACGCCGTTCGCGTTCTTCGCTTAGGTCCGTGAACAAGGAACAAAAACCAAATACCGATGGTAGGAAGTGTTTACCTTGTACTTGTGCTGCGACTGCGTTATCTTTAGGCATTATACCCGAAGATGATTCCGTCAGAGGAGTAGGAGAAGTCATTGCGAAAGTATTTTCATCCTGGTTCAGTTTTACATCCTCGTAGCGATGAAAAGCGCCGTATTTTCGCAGAATCTGTCCCATACGTGCCTGCGGAAAAAGGTGAATTGGAGGTCGTGAACTGCCGGGCCAGAATCTGTCATTGGTGTCGTTTTTGATGTCAGGAATACCGTCGTGGCTTCTGTCCCGAAGATCTATCGGATCTCCGCGCTTACCCGCTGCACGCTGCGGCACTGCAAGCGTTTCCGAGTAAGGTCGTAGCCACTCGCACCACCCGCAACGATCATTCGCCTGATCCATGGTGTCCGCCATTGCGACGATAATCAAAGACACCATATCGCGCTTATCCAATAGGTAGTAACGCTTGTACGGGTTTACCTTCTCTCCAGACGATGAGTCTACGCGGCCAGTAGAAGTGCTACGTGAAAAATCGCGACCGGTCGTATCACGGTTCCGTCCCCGCCAGCTTTTGACGTATAAACTGGAAGATTCCAGAAAACCACGGGAACCCGCTGAGTGCACTTCTTCGACGACAGATGCGAAATCAATCACCGAGTAAAGATAGATGAGTCGCTCAGCAGCAGAGCCTACGAGAGACGAGACTAACTTCCGAAACTGTCGAGGCACTTCCTCTTCAGCCAATTCATCGTGACACTCGATCGCTGCACTAGGCCGCAAATCCTCTGCGTAGTACAGTTGTCGTGCTGTATTCTCAGCATTACTTGTTTCTCCATGAAGAAAGATGATGCCGTCGGGCAGAGTGTAATCATCACGCTTTGGATAACAATGTTGTGGCAGGTCCTCATCTTCTGTGTTTTCCCTCGCTGCAGCAACAGTAGACCCGCCATCTGTGATTCGGGGAGATGCATCCCTTGATGTAAAAGACAGTGGTATCAAAGAATCGCGACTACCTGACCCGAGAATTTTGTAGCGAAATTGCCCTCCAGCGCCGTAGACGGAGTGGAGCACACCAGCATTGGCAACGTGCTGCGGCTGACCCCAGAATTTCAGGGTGGAATATGTCCCCTCCAAGTGCCTCCGCATCACATCTCGATTATGTGCTAAACTTAGTGCTGGGCTATTCTCGAGGAAATACGCAATTTTAGCTGGCAAACGGACCAATCCAAGACGGGTGATCTGGTTCAAAGCAGAATTTGCGTCACGGATTTGTCTTACGAGAAACCGTTCACGATCCGCGTAATGCCGAAAAAAATTCTCCAAGGCATGGCGCGTAGGGCAACTAGGATCTCTTGCTGAGCGAGAGCGGAGTAAAGCAGATGCGTCTTTGCCCGTAGTAGAGAGACCTAGAAGATATGTCTCCTGAGGTGTTGCCATTTGTTGTTGCGTTGCTTGCCACTTAGCAAATTCCGAATCCGGCAAAGCGAGAATAGACTCTGGGGGTATTGAGTCAGCTCTTCTCATTGCATATCTTTGCTGCTCTCCTAAGAAAGATGCACTAGAAATGGACGACCACGTAGAACTATGAGTATCAACATCGTCCTCTGCAAAAAATAATTCCTTCACGAGTGAAGTGTAAGAGACTTCAGTTTCTCCTGTACTGCAGCTAGCAAGTTCCTTGTCCACCTCCACTCCAGCCAGCTCCTTCAGCACCGCCAAATTGTTGCGGATTTTGCCCGACAAAACAGTCATTTGCCGCTTGGGTAGTAGAAAATCCAAGCGCGAACGGGCCCAACTCGGCTGCACGATTTCCTCTCCAGGAATAAGTATGGACTCCCATAGAACGACAAGCGCGTCAAGAATACGGAAAGAAGTGTCCGAGATGGAGATACCAGTAGAAGTAGATGTCGATGTAGATTGTCTCGTCCTCCACACCCTCTTCATTGCATTCTCCCGAATCCGTTTCTCGTTCGTACTTTTTGGAATGACAGCGACGTTCTTTCGTAGTGAAAACTGATGGAGGAGCTCTGACGGAGAGTAGTTTTCGAAGTCGGCAAGTGCACGAACAATGGGATCATCCACCGGACTAAGGAAGTGGCCTAAGTCCTCGTTTGCAAAGAGCTGTGAGTACCCAACAACCTGCATCCCAAGGCCTTCCTGCACGTGCTGCAGGAAATCTCGGTCAGAATCGATGCCGAACGCCTCCCCAGGATGATACACAGAAAACTTGTTCTGCAGGATATGTGGGACGCGAGTGATATCCTTGAATTGATTCCGTTTGATCATGGTACGAGAACGGGGCGTGCTGTCAGAAGATTGCTCTTGGAGAAGGTTTACATTCTTGTTTTCCACCTGCGCCGTGAGAATCGCACTGAGAGGTTCTGATCTTTGCCTGACGTAGTCTTCAATATTGCTCTGGAGGGCAGCAAGTTCGGCGAATCCGAAGTTCGACACTCCAATGCCGCCTCGGATAAGGTGCCCCTCCTGAAAAATCTCGTCGAGGCCCATCCACGCGATGAGCACCTGTTCAGGGAAATGGTAAGGATATCGGTGCAGCAAAACGGCATCGAAGTACGCAGTCCCGATTTGCTTCAGCTGCTTACGCAAAGCGTACCGCACCGAGAAGAACGACTCGAAATTTGAAATTTTCGTAGTGAGAAAAACGTCGCCGCGGTGCACACCAAGCTCGGAAAAAGCGCGATCGAGCGCACGTCGTAAGCAACGCCCGTTTTGATAGGATTCTGCGGTGTCGAGATGTCGAACTCCAGATTGGAGCGCATAATTAGAAAGATTTTGTTCAATCAGAGGAAGATTCACTAGTACACCGATAAAATCAAGAAGATGCAAACCGATCGCAAACTCGACGAAGTTTCATCAACAGCCCGTATAATCCATAACAGAAAATACAGCAGATTCACATTGCGTCCCATTTAGTCGCCACGTTCCAAATCCGACTGACGGAAGAACGCTCTCCTCGCTTGCTGAAGAGAAAAAGGATGACGATGGTCTTCCCCCCTCGTCGTCACCAGAAGTTGCCGAGATAGTGATGCTTAGACCTGCTTCGATCACTTCTCGCACTTCTGCGGATAGTGGATCCCCTCTTGGACGGTTACTTTTTGGTTCTTGAACATCTGGTCCTGGTGTCTCCTTTCTGTTATTTCTTAAACCGGTGGTCTGAAGATCTTGGTTGTTGCTCTTGTAGTGTTCGATGTCGGCTAATCTGGGCGCCAGGTGTTCGAATAGGAGCTCCCGAAGTCCGACGAAAACGGTTTTTTCTGCGATCTCGAACAACTCGCGCAGCTGTTCTTCACTCTCTTGTCCTTTGTTCGTTTGGAGAAGAAAGTCCACATCACGGAAAAGATCCCCGAGTGCGTCAATTTGCAATGATGAAGATGAGGAAGCGCTGGGAACCTCCACACTTGGATTTTGCGCCCCATGGTGTCGTTGATTTTGACCAGCGCTTGGTGGCTGAGCTGCATCATAAGATTTTCCTGAGGCGTGCGACGAATCGAACTGGCCTTCTCGTTTGCTTGTATCCAATAAGGCCAAAAGATTGAGGCCGTATCGCGCAACTCGCAGCGCGCCCTTTAATCGTACATCAACCCTGGCGCATAGATCTCTGGCATTCTCTTGTGCAGAGTTTGACGGCACTGCGACATGAAGCGGCGCATCAAGGCCGCAAACTTGGAGACACCGTCGGAGTGCAAAAGCCGCGGCCTCGCCAATTGGCAGAGACACTGCCAACTGTGGTCGCGTGTAAGCTGCGTGGTCATGATTTGATGTTCTTCTACAACTTCCTGTTCCTTCCGATGACTGCTGCTCTGAACAAGATGATGTTCTCGTTCGTGCACCATCGTGTGCAGAAGCAGCCGCGGCGAAAAGGGACGGGGAGCGGGTAAAACAGTCGTCGTTGTCAACATCATCATTTTCGGTTAACAAAGAGTTACAGATTGAGATTACTTTTGGACATAAAAATGATCCAGTATTTTCGTGATTCAAGAGAAAAAATGAAGTTGCGAGACGGACTACTGCAGCACGAAAGGCAACATGGGGCCTTGTTACATCAATCACGTTAATACTCATTGTTCTCGTTCATCCACTCCAACTACGTCGTCCTCGAAAATGAAGCGTGAAATATACAGTGCTTGCAACTCGTCTTTCTCTCTTTTCCCTCTCCATCTACTGCGCAGCAGGTTAATCGGAAGTCTTCTCTTCTTGTTCTTGTCGGACACCGCTAGCAACCCACAAAAGAACATCATCATATGCCTTCCTTGGTACTTATCCGTCGCTTGTTTGCTTTATGCGAGCCCGTGGCGAAGATCTGACTTGATGATATGCTCCGATATTGAGACGGGGATAGAGAGGATTTTGCTTTTACAAAATCGTCTGCAAATAAACTAGCACATTCTGCTTCTTGGAGGTCAAAGGGAATGGGAAGGGGACTACGAATAGTATTAGTACAAGTACGAAACAAATAGAAATAATTAAGAGACGAGTACGAGTGGGCGGGAGAACGATTGATTGAACCACCACCTGCTTCTGCTGGTGACAGAACCAACTATGTGTTTTCCTTCACAAATGTACAAAATCGACAAAGCCGCACTGATGTTGTGCAACAGTATCTGCTAGTGCTATTCAGCTGTCATCATAAATCACGACAAAATTTTCTGTGCAAGAGATCCCTATGGGTGTTGGGTATGTGAATCATCTACAACTAATTCATGTCTTTGCATGTTGTGGATGCTCGGTGGGCTGCGGCTTGTGCTGGTCGAAGTCGACTTACTTCTAATACGCAGTCGAGGAGTTCTTTTTTCGTGGAAGATGAGATAATGAAGATCAAGATGCACATCATGCATGATGATTGTCAACGAACATCTAGGACTTGTATGTTGATGTACGCGGTGAAGGTGTGTGTGTGTTTGTCCTTTTATTTTGAATCAGTGAATATGAAGGTTATGACTTTCTACGCTCTAGTAGATACATACTAAAGGTCGTGGCTATACATCCTGTTTGTAACTAAAATGCGCATGCGATGTAGGTCTAGGTTGTTCATAACAATACAACATTTGGGATGGATCCCTACAACAACAGGCCTCTTGTCTCCACGTCTTAGATTTATGAAAAGACAACCCTAAGAATTTGTACTCAGAAAGCAACAATAAAGTGGCTTTCATCACCGGGTGGCACTGTGTACTCTACCGCTCGTCCATCCGGGAGCGCAATGCGCCCTTTGTCCCCCGGCTTCATATGTGACTCGCGCTTCACCGATACCCGACGTAAGGAGTTTCGGCTCGCTCTCTCTGCTTCCCGCTTTGCTGAATCGACTTAGAAGACGACAAAGAACGAGACGTTCAACATCCATGCCCATGGTTGATGAAGAGAAATTCCTTTTGTTTCCTCGACTACTTTTTAGCAAGGCTACAACGATCTAAACACTACTACTTGCGGATTCTGAGGTGGTGGACGTGGATATTTTTTGTATCATCGATCACGAATGATTAAGATTAAGTAAATCATTTGCCTTCTTGATCTTGCCTACATTCTTAACTAAATGGCCGCTGTAGGTAGGGCTGGTCACCGTTCCATCGCATTTGCCATCCTTCTGTGGGGATCGCCTCTGGCACCGGTCGCTTCTTCTCTTCGTCAAGGGGTATAAATTCTGTCCCATCTTCATTTTTAGTGCGCTTCACGATTACATTCCGAACAATCACAGTTACGCGGTCGTCTGATGCGTGGCTAACCTGATTCGTCAACGTTCGTTTGAGATTGACAATAAGGACAGTAAAAAGTCCGATTGAAATATAAAGTCTGTCTACTTCGACGTCCGTTAGACCCAGTGGACGAGGTAAAGGAAGATACTTCTAAGTAGAAGGACGTTGCCACTCAGAAATTGTACCTCGAAGACGAGAACCATCCCCTTCTGCCAAAGCGACACCATCGAGACATCGGGAATGTCGTCCTCAGGCATCGGGTCGCCTTCTATATCCTGAATCTCAACATACAACCCGTCTCGCATCAACGTATACTCTCCACGGATACCAAAATTGTATCCTTCGACCTAAAGATTGCAGTTGTCAATAAATTGAAAGTTCTATCGCAATGAAGAAGTAGAAGGATATGATGACGAGGACGGTGATAGAGAAGATGGTGGTAGACTTTTCTTGCAGCTGCATGCTGTGAAAACCAATACAAGCTATGTATAGAAAGATCCTGACAAAAGTTTTCAAAGAACAAAAGTACCTGAGCATATATTTTGCCTGGTACACCAAATATCTGCGTTGAAATGTAGCTCATCGTGAAGCATTGTCGATTGTTTGCGCCGCAGAATCTGAAAACAATCGGCTTGCCGATCGCGTCGTCACGCAGCACCCAAATACCAAAAAGGTATTCCAGGTTTCCCAAAACGGATTCTGCATTGCCCATGATGTTGATGTCGCTGTGATGGTTTCTTGTTCTTTCGGAGCGTGATGTATTTCGATCGCCTTCTTTTCTTTCGTGACGGTGACGGTGTAGAATGAAATACAATTTTTGATGTTACCGAAAACTAATGGGCAAAGAGGTGCTGGTGTCGTTGTATCAGTTTCGGTGTGTTGCACAACTCGATGCAGTGCAATCAACGATAATGCAGCCGCGGTACACTCAGCTCCTTTTTTCTGTCACTACAGCAGGGGACGACGGAGGGACTGGCATGTGCGTGAACGGTCGTTGTACGACAATGATCTACTGTATTCCACCAGTGATGTATGCCACACAGATACGCCTGCACACCTAGTACGCACGACGAGAAGTACGCGTACCTTCCAAGAAACTCATTCTTGCCTGTGGCTGGTCATGCCAGTCTGCACCGCAGAGAAGTAAATGAAGATCGACTTGTTTGGTCAGTTGTACTATAAACCCAAACTGAAGCTGACTTGTTTAGTATATTCCTTCGGTGAGATGCAGATTTTCAGACGAGCTGGACTGCTCTATGGAAAATCAAGTACCAATTGAATTTGTTTCTAACAATATTAATCGTGTATCATTTACTTCATTTGGGATGCGGGGTCTACGTCTACACGGAATGTAGTTTTAATATGATTAGGACGTCGAAGATGACAAATACAGCACATAACATCAGCTGCAATGAGTTGTTCACACGACTCTGTACTAGAATTATGATGTTTTCACGTTCATACAACATCTGACTTCAAGTTAAAGTGAAACGCAAGCAGTTACTAACTTTGATATGCATCAATAGTTTTCTTGATATCCAACAAGGTCATCATGAACAGTGACAGGAACAGTCACGATAGCATTTTTAAAGTCCATGATAAATACTATTTTATGAAGTGTGCTGAGGTGTATAAGTATATTAATGGGTCGTGTTGTAGGTAATGGGAAATCCGGACTGAGACCGACAGGTTTCGCTCGTGATGACACGCTTCGACCAAGATAGCAGCTTGGTCATTGAGGCTAACAACGAAAGTGGCCATGGTTTCCTGACGCAGTTGCAAAGTGAGAACGATTTCGATTTCCTGACCAGGAATCAAGTGACAGAGTCAGAGACAGCGTTCATGGAGGTACTTACATTACAGATCTTTTCCGTCAACCTCCTCCACCTCCTGCTTCCTAGCTTACTTTTTAGCAACAGTTCTTGGTTGCTAATGAAGACCGACCGAGTTATTCTTGCGACTGATCAACAATGTTGACAGGATCATATTCAACACTTCGACCTGCACCTATTGCGTTTCTTGAGGTTGCTAGGGGTCTTGACCCTAAGCGGCACATACCGGAAGTCGGGTGTCGTCAACGTATACACCGTTGATTTCATACATGACAAACAACAAGGCACAGATAGACCAATCAGAATCAGTGCAGCGATTGCGAAAGCAAAAAGCAATTGTAACACAGACAACATTAGCAGCATTTTACCGCCATATTGATGTCAATCATCCAGAGTACTCAACCTCGTATTTCAGTATGAGTTGCAGAAGGTGCATAAACCCTAGTAGCCCTTAAGCATGTAGGGAACTAATATTTCCATGACATGAATACCGTCCTCCTCAACATGAAGACCTGTAAAAATTATGCATTCGTCCTACCGCTACCACAAAGCAGGTACAGGTAGGTAACTAATATAAAGGTCCTCTCGCGATGGCGTGTGGCACGTGGTGAAAAGGTTTATCCTCGGTGTATTGCAGCGGAATATCGAGAGACTGGTAACTTCTGTGTAAATGTTGGGCAGTGGCTATGCTGTTGTAGTCGTAAATGACGTGGCGCGTCACTGATTATGATTCAGTGCTAGGCTTGGTGGATAAGGTTGCGTTGGAGCATAGTGGGTAGCCTCCATAACCGTCGCGCGGAATGTGGTAGAGGCGATGTGGCTTAGGAGTCACAGAAAATATTGATGTCATTCAGAAGTTTAGAGCTGCCAGTGTCTTCATCAGAAGGACGATGCTCGTGCAGACATCAAAGAAGTTGTGGTCTTCCCGAAGACACCGACACATATTTTCTATCCTGAAAACTTTTTTGCTCTAGTTTTGTGCTAGGAAATGCCCAACTGTGCCTTCAGAGCTGCATTTTCTGCCTCTAGTTCCTGAATTCTAGTGTACGCGGCGCCGAGCTCTTCTTTGTACTCGCGGACAGACTTTATTTTTGGTGTTGCCGTTGCAGCCTGCATCTGCATGAGCATGTCACCGGTCACGCTGCCCGCCTCGCTGCATTAGAAAACAATCAGGAGGAAAAAAGACCCGACTTTTCTTGATCTTGCAGCCGCAAATCATTCAATATTACAGCTTGATTAACAAAACCTGCGAAATCATTTACAATTTATCACCTTAACTCCGATTCATCGAGATTCTTTGTCTCTGCTTGGAAACGCCTGCTTCCCACTCGTCCGCTGAGAGTGCCGCTACTGGTGCGAAGGTGTCCGGGTATAAGTCACTCTGAAAGGCTTCGCTCTTTCGAGGTACCTGGTCTCATTAGAAGTTTTTGTCATGTGCATTTGTGATTGTGTCTCCTTTTCATCTGACCTTCTCTGATATGAGACTGGTTCGTGGTCAACGTAAAGGTTTTTGAAGTAGAGTATCGGAGTCTTTGGGTCTGTCACTCGTCCTTTCTCTGTCTATTGAATAGAGAATGACGGAGCCACTTTTAGTTTTAGCTCCAGCATACTCAGGGACTAAGAAAGTCATCACAAGTTAGTTCGCTATTTGGATTACGCACATAAAATGATATTGCTTGGACAGCGTTCGACTCGCACTTTACTCCACGCATGATCTCCTTCTTGCCCACATCCACAGCGTACTTTGGTAAGCTTTAGAAAACATTGTTCAACAGGACGAGAGTGAAGGTAGAACAAAACGTCCACCTACTCTTACTTGTACTTACTCAGTGATTGAGACGCATGTAGTATGTACATGTAGCTACTATAAAGATGCATGGATGTTTCATTCACATTCGCTGAAAAGAAATCAATTTCAATCTACTCTCGATCTTGGTCTTTCTTGATCTTGTCCAACTTCAATTAGTAAGTACTAGCAACCAGGAATAGGAAAGTCATAAAAAAAGTCAAATCCCTTCTGCGGTGTCGTGGATCTGAAATCCGTGATGTAATGAAAAAACGGTGGTTCTTCGACGATTTCGAAATACTTGACGTTGCCGTCTCCTTTCCCCGCAATATACAGCATCCGTGTATCCGCATCGTAGAAGGGGAAGGGATTAGAACAAGGTGAGCGAGCCTGAGTCTGAGTAGAAGTAGATCCACTACAAGTACAAGTCAGTGCTGTAACTCAAAGAAGTTGTCGTGCACGTGCACCAACTCCAGCATGAGGAGGACGTTCTTGTAGAAAACTGAAGAACTTGAAAAATGAAAACTGTACATGATTGATCTAAGACCAAAGTTATTCCTTAAACAATGCGCCTGTTCCCTGGTCTAGTGGCAAGCGATGTAATGGTTCTCCACCGCTTGGATCTGCTGTAAAATTTCTCAAGTCCCAAATCGCTACCTGGCGCTCTGCCATGCCGGAAAAACCCGTTGTGAGGATTCGGTCTGAGGATTGAAACAGTAAAAATGTTGGTTAATGATACAGAAGCAGGTGTATAGGCGAGCCAAGATGTGTTTATGTAATATTCGCAGATTCGACGTAACCAAACGATCTTATCTAAGAAATAGAAGGAGATCGATGCGGTGGGGTGTTCTTGGTTTGCACATGATTCATTGTCATGCACCTCGTAATCGCAATTCTCAGAGTTACTTAGAAAACAATTTCGATGCACTAGAACACCCTTGCAGAATAAGAAAAAGTCCACATGATCATATAGATACCTGATCTATGGTTGGGCCCGTCTAGCCACACTGTCTTCATGCTTTTAACGCCTTCGTGCGCTTTGTTAAGAGCAACTACGCCTTTTTTTACCCTAGGATCCACTACATGAATGAATTTGTCTTTGCAACAAACCGTCAACAAGCTGCCTTCTGCGTTCCATCGAATGTGCTGTAGCAGGTCTGAGAACTGCACTTCTGCTATGCTGTCCTGCGTCTCCACGTTCAAGATGCGGACAACGTGGTCATAGGCACCCGTTGCCACTATTGAGGCTGCTACAGGATTGTGATTCAGGAGAGATACCTGGTGGAGGGCCATCGTACGTCTGCATAGTCGATGGAAAATAATACATTATTCACGATAGAAGGTGGAAAGTAGAGCTATAGCACCGTTCTGTAAGTGGAAATTTAGTAAATAGTGGCCGCTCAAATCTTATTTATCTTCTATGACAGTGTAGCTGTAGTCCGTAAATGCAGTTGTTGTACCTTCTTCGGATGCTGTATTTCACAGACGCTTTCTTTCAAATTCTCCTTGAGCCCGCCCTGCGGTATTCTAAACAGCCTGAAAAAGCAGTCTTCGCTCGCCGATGCTATCAAGTTTTCATCGAAGGGGCTGAATTCGAAGTCTAAGATGCCACCTTGGTGCCCAGAAACGACAGGCAGACTAGGAGGCATTCGCCCGGTTTTTGTCCAGTCTAGAAGACAGATATTTCCGCCACCGCCTGTGCCCCATGGTATTGCGACGAATTGACTGTTCGCTTTAACCCCCGACGACTCCGAAACCTGTGAATTTTGTTCTTTCCTAACTGCAGAAGCAGAGGTGGCAGAAGCACAAGCAGCTGAACTTGAATTACTAAAGGAAGCAAGTAGTCGAACAAAATGCAAATCACTGTTTTTTCGCACCATATTAACTAAGAAAATCTACAGGCATGCTTACAAATTAAAATTAACTTGTCGCAATAGTTCTAGCTCACTTTTGTTGCTGGTCTGAGGTCCTCCCATTTTGATTTCCAGGGATCGCCCCACACATGCCGGAAACTTGACTGCCTCACAATTGACGTCATCTCTGGAACTTACTGGCCCTGGACACCTAGGCAATCGCTTATAGCCACGAAGACGAAGAGCTACGACAACGATGAAGCAGTATCAATCTTCGGTGACGAGCTGGGTGCACAGCAATGCCGACCAACGGTGCTTCCTTTGACAAGGTTTCCGTTGAAAATCACTCACGCTGTTCCGCCCCTTGCTGGTGAAGCAGTATTCACTTCGTTGTTTTGGTGCGTGTTCTGAGCGACGATATTTTCTTGTTGCAATGTCTTTCTACGACAAGGCTACATGCGTCAGCGTCGCCGCAAGGAGGTTGAGTGATTGCCTTCAGCAAAACTCCACTGAGTGTTTTCGAGCGAAGATGTTCTGGCGACTAGTGGGCGTCCAATCGCCTTCGCCTCTGCAGCCGCAGCCCTCTATCGACGTTGAGATGCAGCTTCTCTACTCGAGGTTCCACCTCGCCTCTTTGCTACCACGAAAGAACTGGAGCAGGTGGAGCGCACGCAATCCGAGAAATACAACGTTGCACTTGCAATCAGAAGTATGAGTCCCAGGCTAGGATGAATTCGTCCGCAGGAAATAGCAACGCAAAGAGACGACGCAAAATTTGTGGTCTATCCCTCGTCTACTCCGAGTATAAAAAATGTCGTCACAATTAGTACTGAATGTTTTGACTCGTCTTTCTCTTCGGAGTAGGTCGGACGCTGTCTCTACTGGATCATCTTCTTCTACATGCCAACCCTGGTACTATTCTACTATAGCCAGGTGCTATCGTTAACATCACGTTCTTCAAGAACTGATACCCTCGTTTTGACAGAATCGTTCTTCGTCCCTTGCTTGTCTTCTTGATGTAGTCTCTTTTTAGTGAGCAGTCAGCACTGTAGCACAATCTTCTACTTCTTCCCATTCCAACATGATCAATTTACAGTTCATGTTCATATCATTCCGTTAAAGATCTACTTCTCATAGGACTGTAGTGGCAGCAGATAGAGACGCGTTTTTCATACATTATTTTTCCTCGTCAGTTTCCTTGACAAACGATAGAAGGCAATCTTCCTTCTTGTAGCTCATTCTCGTAGCTTCCATCTACTTCATCATGCGTACTGGTACTGGTACTGTTAGTTGAGTCTCTCGATGATGATCTCCGTTTGCGAACACCGGCAGCATCATCTTGCAGAGATAGAGGAACGAGCTCCGATGAGGAACATGACGGACGGCGGTCGTGAGTCAATACAGTAAAGGAGCGACATGTTGGAAAATAGCGCTTTGGCGGACTGACAAAGTCACAACCAGCAACAAACTTAGACTGAGCGTGGGGAGCGTTCAGCGAATCACCAGAAACACAAAGATGAAAAAGCAAACAGCGCGTATCAAATATTTCCTTCACCTTCTTTCAACTATATTCATACACATCGTCTTCAAATTCAATTTGCAAACCTGTAGCAGCCATGCAAAAACAAATGAAAGAACGGCTTCCCCTGCTGCGTCGCTTCTGTAGTATATAGTATGCATGACTAGAACCTTGCATTTCTTCACTGTTGAGCAGCATCATTGTTATTACTCATTGAAGAAGCTTTTCTGGTGTTTTCGTTCATGATCCTGTATCGCATTAAGCTCATCTTATGTCGGTAAAGTTGCACTATTCCAGAATTTTCTCGTCTCTTTCCTCCTGTCGTGCTTGTAGCAGGAATGGTCTTCGTCACAGGTGACGCTTCAATATTCCCAGGATCGTTCTTCGCTGTTTGACCATAACCATCTGCGTTTGCACTGCTACAATTTCCGTTGAGAGGTACCACTTGCTCATCACGGCCAGACGGAAATGACACGGAGCATCCATGCGGAGGAATGACGAAAACACTGACCAACACGCGAGTTTCACGGGAACAAACTGCGGACCACGCTGACTCTGCATCGTCAGGAGTCGGTTGACACGGTTTCTCGGAGAGAGGTGGGAGACGTGTGGCAGGAGTCGAAAAGGCTTCCGGAACTGGGGTTTGATTTGATGTATTTGATATTTTCTTGGATGAGATGCACACGTCGTTGTTTTCTGACGAATTCGCGGCTAGAGCGGAAACAGCACCTCCTGTGTGATCTGCTTGGCGTTGGACTGCGTGCGGCGTCTTAAAGTCCGATGCAGGCGCAATTTTTTTCGCACTATCTTCATCAGTTGTAATCGGAGTACCACGAATAGGTGTGGGAAGATCTTTCACAGGTTCTTTTGCTTTTTCATTAAGAAGATGGGCGTTGAAAGGATCGTAAGAATAAATTGGATGATTGGATTTGAACCCAGTTTCCTCAGAATTGTCATCCCCCTGCGATCGAGTTGTTTTCATCGTGTCGCTAGAAAGACTGGAACTGCTGTTGCTGTTGCTCCCCGCGAGTGCACCAGCAGCAGGATTGTTCATGTCGCTCACGTCAACTACACCTGCCCCGCCGATTTGATTGAGGAGGCCTCTATTCTTCTGTTGAAACATGACGCTTTCTCCTACCTCGCCCTCTCTCATTTGCGCTAGTTTTTTAGTGCCTGTGGCTGCTGTGGCAGGTGCTGAAGGCGGACCACTACTAATATCGTCCTCCAGGCTATCGGTATCGGCGGAGTCCAACTTCGCGAATGTGGTTGGTGCCTTGGGCAATCCGTTATCGTCAAAAGCACGTATAATCGAAATACCGGACGTGGCATCACCGCCTGGTGGAACTGCTGCACCGAGCGCGGCTCCACCTCCGCCCAGGTCTCCGCCACTAACCAAAGACGGTGGAAAAAAACTCATAACGCCTTGCGGAGTCTGGCCCGTCGTTGCGGAGCCAGAGGGGGAAATAAAGGGGTTTTGCTGATCGAGGATCGCGGAAAGACGACCGTAGGCAGAATAGGAATTCGAAACCGCGTAGTCGGAACCGGGAGACCCTTCGATTTCGAGCTTGTTTCTTTGCTGGAGAATAGCAATCGCGGCATCCGTGGTCGCAGTCGAGGCGGGAGTCGTAACGATCTCGTCGATGTCCGCAAACAGAATGTGCTTGTTGCCTGTTGAAGACGTTCGTCCATGGTTGTTGTTCTCCTCACCTCCATCTATTTGGAGTCCACCTGTCTCCATGTTCGTGGTACCTCCCGTGCTGTTTTTATTGCCATGATGAGGAGCGCTAGCGTTCTTGCTCTGCGTGTTTTTGCTTTGCTTCTTTCTTGCGAAAGGTTCTTTCTCCTCTTGTAGTCTTCCTCCAGTGCTGCTTTCCGCGGCGGTTTCATGGTCGTTAAACGATATTCGTGTCCTGGCAGCAGGAAAAAATTCTAAGGGCGGCAAAGGTTGACGTGGTTCCAGTGATTCCGCATCACTTGAGTCAGGACTTGCTTGATGTACACCACCAGTGGTCACACCAGGCTTCACTGCTGCCGCTGTTGATGTCTTTCGGATATTACTGGTTGAATCCGTCATGGCTTCCCGGGTACTAATCCTTCGTTCACTTGCGAAACCGACGAAATACCGCGAGTCACTGAAAAACTTGCGGGGATCCTCCAGTGTGGGCAGTTTCTCCTCTATGATGTATTGCCCCCCTGAATTCCGCGTTCCCGCACCTCCGTTTGTCGCGGCAGCTGTACCACTAGCACGCTGTCGGAAGCAAATGAACTCGTCGCGTTGGACAACGACAGTGTTGTTCTTTACCACGTGACGCTTTAGCAATCTGCAATAGTCCACTCCAACACGTGCAGTACAAGGCGATTGATTTGGAGACGCTGACGAGCCAACAGGTGTGCCCAGCTTCTCAACGGGGTTGCTTAACATTCCGTCGTGCACTTCGCGCTCGACACTCTTCTTGTCACCAGTCTCATCTACTTCGAAATTCACCGACAGATCTTGACCTGGCGCGCACCTGGACAAAAACCAGTAGTACTCCGGTGATGCTTCGACAACTGCTGCGTATTTCACTTGGCGAAAACCAAATTCATCGAGAATATTCGCGACTTGGAAAAGCACCCAAGTGCACGTCCTCCACCCCTTCGCGCGGCCGTCGTAGTCGTCGATTGAAGGTAATAATACGCGAACATCCTCAAGCACACCGTAGAGCTCTACCGAGCCGCTCGTTTGATAGTTGTAAATCCCTAACTGACCTGGTAAAGGCGGTGCTGGGATCGTGTTCTTTTCATGTTGTACTTCATGTCCGTTATTTATTCCGTTAGGTCTCTGCTTGCTAACACTAAGAGCCTGCTTTTCATCCGGTTGTACCTTGATAGCTATATTTCCGGCATCTTCTTCGGCACCCGCCGTCGCCCCTTCCGGTGGAGTTTTCTGTCCACCTCCGTAGCCCCCGAAGAGCTGGATGGGCACCGTTTCCGGGATGCAGTTTGCGAAAAACCAGACCCCTCGTGGGGCCATAGCATGAGAAAGGACTCCATCGGCCTCTTCATTTTGACTCCCACAAAGTCTCAATTCCTTGTCGGCTTTGATCTTATCCAAATTCTCGCTTCGCGTTACATGCACCCAATCCGAATACGAATGATACATGATAACACTGCAAACAGATTCATGTAAAAAGAGCAACTGTGTTTGATTTCAAAGGCGAAAAACACAAACAAAGAACACAAACACTCAAGAGCTGCTACTTGCGTAATATCAACATAATGGTATTGCCATTGCGCGTCGATAAAAGAAAATAATCATGATATTAAACAGGCTGTATCATTATCAACACATCGAAGCGGGGGATTACTTGTTTGGTATTACATCGGAGGAGAGCGAGAGCGCCTGCCTTTCCTGTTTCACTTTATGCAATATGAATACTATTCTAAGTCATGCATTACTCTAATATTATTTTGCCAAGTGAGTCTTGAAAAGTCTGCAGCTTCACCTCTCAATCTTCTATCCTCTGCTCGTCGCGGTTTTCATCTTCTAGTCTTCCATAAAGAAGAAAATTCTTCACTCATGAACTTTCTCTAACGAACTCGGTTGATGTATGAAGATGAACACGGGTTTAACTTTGTAAAAAACAGGCGCCCCTTGTTATTGCAGCTTGGACAACGACAACCTGGGTTGCTACCAAGGATTTCGAGAATGACTACACCTCAGGTAAAAACATCAAAAATGCAGCTCGTTGACCAGCTAACTTGGTTCGTCCTCTGTCTTGCGGATGGGCAAGGAGAGCTGCTGCTCATCGCTCTGGGTTATATCAACCAGACTCACCACGGGTTGATGCTTGGTATCTTCATCCTCATGATGATCTACTTCGTCAGGTAGCTGCGAAGCAGCATTAAAAAAAATGTTCAGAAAGTCGTCATTCCAAAAGCAAAAGTTGTTTCAGCAAAACAGGAGACAGACGAGCGCTGTTCTCTTGCTTTGCCCGAAAACTAGCTCAAAATGGAACTTGAAGAATCATCGTATAATATTAATTTTGTTTTCTTACTGGACAAAAAGTGAAACAGAGCGCAAAGCAGATCGTCGGCTCAAAAGAGTGCACCACCGAGGAATCAATCGTAAGTACTAGATGGAATCTGGTGCGAGTGGGACTGAATGGAGTAACTGCTACTCACTGCTCCCACGCTTACTGAGCTTTTTTTCCCGTCACTGCGTTAAATGCCATAACGACGTAAACCGACGTCATTCCCGTAATTGAGTAGTTGATGAAGAATTCCACACTACGGGCGCTCAAACCTCGATATCCGCGGGCAATACGACCAAGCGCGCCACCGACCTGAGGAGCCTCTTGGCCTGGTGGTGGCTGAAAGATGTGCCGCAACGTAGTCAAAAAGGGCAAACACGGTGTCTCTGGCGGAACAACCATCATTCTTGCAACGGTCGTGTCAAATGCGAAGGCCGCAACGACAGCACAAACGGCAGCACAGCCGTATGAAAGACCCTAAATTAGAGATCATGGTAGAAATGATTTGTCAGGAGATAAGGGATTGAAATTGATCTTGTTGATAAAATTGATAGATGGTATCTTTTATTACATCACAGCAAAATATTAGAGCGATATTCGTGTACCGGACCGAAGCCCTGCGATGTTGCTAAGAACGATTGTGTTCCGAAGAAGAAGGAGTCGTAGGTTGCCGAACAGAGACCCGCGGCGATGAACCGACGACCGAGCCACGGCAAAGTGCCGTGTTTCTTCGCTGTCGCGAAGAGGGCTCCCCAACGCGCTTCTTCCTTCGTGACCATGTCCTGCGACAATAGCTTCTTTCGGTACTCCGCGATGCCCGCTAAAAAGCCTGTGGTAAAACCGCTGCCGCACGACCCCACAAAAGTTGACTGCGTCTTCGACAGATTGCTGTTCTGATAAACGACTTGGGTGTACAATTCGCTCACCAGAAACATCGGACCTCGTGTGATCATACGTTGTTCAATCGCAGCAAAGAAGCCACGGTAAAAATTGTGGAAGCCCGCTTGCGCGAGTTTGCTACCTCCGACAGCGCCGCTATTCTTCGCAGCAGTTGCTATGCTTGAGGACGCAGCTGCGCCACTCGAACTCGAGGAGGATCCCCCTGCGCCCGGTGCAGCAGGTCCGGCTGCCGTGGCTGCGCGGCCTTCGTAGACGACCTGAATTGCCTGTGAAAGGGGATCACCTCTCACCTGCATCCGTATCTTGAGCACGTCAAAAGGATGAGACCCACATGTGCCAGGAATCGCCCCGATCCCGCCAATCAGGCCTTTGACGAGGCACGCCTGCGTGTCGATTTCGATCGGCATCTTTCTCTTATTTTCTCTTGAATCATGCAGATGTTGTTGTCGACGTTTCTGAGTGCCAGTGCGAGTCTGAACAAGGATCTGAACTTCGCAGCGCGAAGGTAGGATATTCAATGATCGCTGACCTGAGTAATGGCGAAGTTGACCTATCCTGACAGAAAGAATTTGAAATCGCAATCGGAAAGCAATAGCAATCCAGTTCCTAATTATAAAAACAACTACTTGAATTATTGATGTTGGAGACCAAGAATGACATGAAGAGCCGGCAACGAAAATGAGTTTGTTTGACTTTGAGTAAGGGCATAATCACAAATTCATCAGGGGGCCGGGAAGGTGAAGGTGCATCCAGCTCGATCAAGTTTACTACAACAGCCAGTCCTCGCTGCTATTACTACGCTTTTCCTACTTACTTCCTCTATACTGTGCTCTCGACCAACACAACCGACGCACAAGGGCACTGAGATTCGTAGGAGGAGGAAAGGGAGTGTCGCTGTCGCATCCACTTCCTTATATATAATACAACGTCCCGAAGTTGAGCTTGTTCCCCTCAGAATCGCTCCCCGTCGAAGAAGTAGCCCAAATTACATGATCGCTTCAAATCCGACGGCGGTCGTTGACCACGACGACATCGATCATGAACCGATTGCGTTCAACCTCCTCGATGTCGATCGACGGCAAAAGTATCTTTCATCTTACTTTCGAACCCAGTCGATGAAAGTAATTAAGTACTTACTTGCTCTTCGGGTTCGGTCAGAGGGACAGCGACAGAGCGATAAAATGGACCAGGATGACCATGCACGTAGTTGACGTTGTAGTCATCACGGTTGTGAATGTATGCAGGATGCCAAAAGTAATCGTTTTTCATCGCTGACGTGGTTTCATGTGTTAGCGCGAAGCTTCGAAGCGCTTGTCTTTGCTGCTTCGAGGTCTCGTTGATTCACGTTGTTGTTCTGAGTTTGAGTTTGACAATAAAATGGCTGATTCTTTTCTTACGCAAACTCTACCAGGTTCAGGTTGTGAAAAAAAATCAAAATTTTCTTGTTGATGTAGTTCTTTTTGGTCGCGAAATTCTTGGAATCGTACATACTGGGGGGCAAAACTGCACAAAACGGATCGTCAGTCAATAATCTGGCGAGGATTATCGTTAGAATTACTGCTTGATATCGTCTTCTTGTCCGTCGATGTTTACGTCTCCTGGGGACTCGACGTGTAGTGTCTGCACTTCTTCTTTCTCTCGGGCTTCTACTGGTGTCTCTTCAGCCTCGTCATTTTTCGAAGCCTCTTTTTTCTTTTTTTCGTCCTTCTTCATCTTCTTGTTCTTCTTACTTTTCTTGCTGCGTCCTCGGTCAGGAGATTCACTGCCACCTGGAGACGACCGGCGTCGACTACCTGAGGGCCTTGCGGGCGGTGATGCTCTACGAACATTTTTGGCTGCTTCTGCTATTTCCTCAGCTACGTCACGGCCTGACCAGAGATCTTTCAGGGTGCGCGTGCCAAACTTTCTCAATAGCTTGATGTCATCTTGCGCTTCTTGATTCATCGCACCGAAGGAGTCCAAGACAGCTTGTACTGCCTCAGCGCCCTGAGCAATGCGATCCGGACCACGACGACGTTTTTCGAATAAGAGAGAAGATGAGGACGACGCGGCACCCGCACCTCCCGAGTCTACGTGTTGAAGTTTTTGACGCGGCTGAAGAGAGGCGCCTTTATCTTTGCGAAATTGCTCATCAACTTGATCAGCCTTTGGTGCAACTGCTCCCGCTCCAATCTCTTCGCGATTTTGCTCGACGTCCACGTCCCCAGTCTCGCTTGGGGCTTCATCTTCGGCAGAGAGCTCTTGATCCCGTTCAACTTGAAGACGATTGTCGCCGTCTGCATTAACATTTCCCGCTAAAGACGTAGGATCATTGATATCGTTGACCACCTCTGCAGCCACGTCGACTGTATCTTTCACTAACTGGGCGACGGCTAAACTTGCTTGTTGTAGCAAAGGTTCGTCTTGTCTAACGGCAGATGGCGCTTCGTCCTTGACTTCTCTTGTTCTTGAGTCTTCTCGCGGCTGCTTGCGAACGTCCATTTTCTTTCCTCGTCTTTTCATCTCCATGATGGAATCTCCTGATGAGGACTCGGAGAAGGAGTAATGGTCTTCTGTTGCCAGTAGCGCCTTCTTCTCGCTTTTTAAGAGCAAGAAAGCGCGCTCCATGTCAGACGCTGTACCAAAGCGAGCATCCTTCGAATCTCTCAGTTTTTGCAGTTGCTTCTTCGAGAGGCCCTCTAGCAGAGCTTGAGTATCGGGATCGGATCGCAAGAGCAACATCGCAGCTTCCATGTCGGACAGCTGAGGGTTCTCCTTAAGGAGATCGCGGTCGTGCCGCGACATCGTACTAATGTTGTGAAACTTGGCTTGAAAATCGGGCTTTTCCGATTTCAATATGAGTGCTGCCTTCTCCATCTCAGTTAAGCCGTCGTCAGCCGCAACTAATAACGAAAATGCTTCAAATGACAACCCCTTGCCCCGGTCGGGTTTGACCAGCTGTTTTCTCTTGGCGTCAGCTTTTCGGCGCTCCATCTTCATTCGCTTCAGTCGGAGCCTGTCCTCTCTAGCAGCGCGAGCTTCTTGTTCATCTACCTCTCTTTCCTCTTTCGTATTTGGCCCACCCTCTTTTTCACGGCGGGGTGAGTCGTCGCTCTCGTCCTCCGTGGTCTCATCTTCTGCTTCTCCACCCTCTACTACTAGATTCGCTTCTTCTTCATACCTCGCGGCCTTTTCTCGATCCTCTTCCGCCACAGCCGCTTCCCTCTGTCTAAGAGCTTTAGCTGCTTCGCGCTTCCTTTGCTGTGCCTTTGCTCTGGTACGTGTCACCTTCTCAAGTCGCACGCAGACCAACTTCAACTCCTCTTGCAGGCGACGCTCCAATACGGTTTCGAGGTGAAGATCAACAGGCAGAACTCGGTCACCAGGAACGCGCAATCCAGCGATTACATGCGGACGATTCTCATCTCGTACTACAACACTCGACATCTTTTGCAGAAAGGTTTCATCCCCACAGCTCAACGAAAATTCGCTGGCCAACTCAATTTCAACCGTGTCTGCTGGGTCTTCGTCGCTGTCGGCGTCGTCGTCGCCTCCATAGTCTACTTTCGCTTTCCCAGGACTAGTCTCGAAAATATCGACAACCTGTTCTGGGGCGACAAGTTTCCCTACTGTGCTCCGTGTTCGAATATCTCGTATAGCTCTCGTCTGATTGATGTCAAATGGTGCACCTGCCGTCTCGAAGTCACTGTCATTGTCCGCCGCCATCCGTGGACTTTTGTTTGCGATAAATCCTGCAGGAGCGGTGGCTTCTTCTATAGCATTATTCGAATCGAATGCCGTTGGTGCTTGTTCAGAGGTGGAGGTGTAGAAAAGAAACCTACTTCTCGCATCAAAATCCCCGTGGTGATAATTTATGGATGTTGATTCGTTAGTAGGAGACTCATCTTGATGCGCTGTCGAAGGCAGCGCTTGTCCTCGCACCGGAGTGTTTTGAATAGGCGTTGCACCAAGATTCCACGACTCGCTCGATCGACTTCTGTTGGCAGGACTTTTGTCCGACTCATGACTTATCGCGCCGCAAATTCGTGACGAGCTACTAGAGGACGTCGAGAACAACGACAGGGGGCTGCCACCTAAAATATAGCTTGAAGGAGACTCGCTTCCGTCACTTCTCGCTGAAGATGTGTGCATGCCCTCGTAGAAGAGAGTTGGAGGAACAGCTCCGCCAGCCTTTGTACCTTTTCCCTTCTGTCTATTACCTTTTGTTCCTTTTTTTCCACCCTTTCCTTTTCCTTTCCTCTTACCTTTTTTTCCGCGTCCTTTTTTTCCGGCATTCGCTGTGCTTTTCTTTCCCTTTCCCTCTTCTCCAGAAGATGGCACTTCTGCATCACCACTTATTTGTGCCACTGCCCGCATTTCGGAAGAGGGGAGCAAAACGTCCGGTACACGTGCTCCAGCTGGGAAAACGCCCCAAGCTTCCCCGCGACGGCCGTAGGCTACATGGTAGTACCGCCACACACAGACACAGCGTGGCCGCAGACTGCGCAGTATGGCGGCTAAGATTGCGCGTTCGCGTCTGAGCGCCTTGATCGAACCGCGACGATAGTGTTGCTGCGACAGATGGAATCTTCGCATTCGCCAAAATTCTGCAGCAAGCGCGTGTACCTCGGGCTGCAGCCACCTTTTGCCGTCAAAACGCTTTCCGTCAGCAGCAAAATGGCGCGAAAAAATACGAAGTGCGTCCCCGATACTTTTTTCGTCTTCGTCATTCGCACTCTCCACGTTGTCATCTTCACCTCGTTCGCCGTCAGCCTTTGAGCTCCGTCGCCCCTTACTGGAGAAACCCGCAACAGCATGCTCGCCAGATATGGGTGGATCACGGATGTGCCTAGGTCGTACCATTTGTAGGAGTGTTCGTTCCTCCAGGCTTCGTCCTCCGAAAAGCTCTCCTTCACGCTCATCGTCACTGGTATCGTACAAGGGCGGCACATCAAAGTCATGGCTTGTTGGCTCTGCCTCGGGGTCAGCAGGCTTGTTGTGTTCCTGCGATCCCTTTGGGTCAATTTCCGCTTGTTCTTGTCCAGGTTTTTTTGCGTCGTCTCCTTCTGTTGCGTCAGTTGGTTCTACTCCTATTTCATCCATCTGTGGTTCCTTCTTGACGTCGCCCGTTCGTTGTTCGACCGCTTTGCCCTGCTTTTTCTCTGTCCTGTACGGGACTTCGCGAAAAAAATCGAGAGACGGGTCTCTCTTAGTAAACCGGCTAAACGGAAAAAGGCACAATGACTTCTTGTTCTTTGCATCAACTGTAGGACCCACGATTGTTCCTCGATTCTCGTCTAGCACTTCTTGAAGTTCCCACGGCGCGCAAAATTGAATCACAAGGTACTCGTGGCGCGGTACCACCTCACCTGTAAGCCAGTCAAGCATCACAGGTTGTCGCCATAAAGATTCGTATTTTGATGTAGTCGGCTCTATTTTCTCCAGAGTCACAGGATCAAGATCGGAGGTGCTTTCGTCGGCAGTCGCTTCTAGAGGTGCAGTTTCTTCGAAGTTCTGTACTGTGGGCGCGGTCATCGCATCTGCCAAACCATGACGACCTGCTGATGCATTGTTGTACAGTGGTCCGATCCTGGATTCGGTGTAGTGCAGCGTGATTGGCACAGAATCTGCAACTGGATCTTCACGCAGCCACTTGTTGTCCAGGGTAGAGGATGCAGCAGGAGTAACAGGAACACGTTGAGGCGTTGTACCCGCCGGTGGGACTGGAAGAAGAACCTTCTTCAGTTTTGCAAGGTGTTTCGCTCGCGATAGGTTTTCCGGAAGCGTCTCAGATGCTGTCTGTGACTGTGTCCACGCAAGAAAGAGTTCCTGAAGCAATGCTTCATGAGACGGCTTCGTTTGCTTGGACGTCGCGTCATCTTCCGGCTGTTCAAAAGTGCTGGAAGCAACAGCTATTTTCAACTCTCGCACATACCCGAAACCGATTTTCCATGCCACATCTAGCGCTAGCGCAATACTCTTCCCTCTCCTCAATGAGGAGAGCTGTCGCCTCGTTGTAAAAGATGCTAGGACGTTCGTCGGAATCGGACTTAGAACAGCCTCAGCTGGACACATGAATCCCATCAACAAGTCCTGCCAAAAATCGCTATTTGAAACGGAAGATGTGATTGTTGTCGACAGTGAGGTGGATCTCGTCGCTCTCGCCATCACTATTTCTTCCAAGTTCCATTCGATTTCCGCTAAAGGAGTATCTTTGTGGAGAGCAACGACGGCGGCTGCGGTTGCAGGTGGCCGCCGAAAACCGCCTCGGCGGTTAGTGCGCTTATTTGCCTGCGGCATTTGCTGGCGCGTCATGCTAGGGATTGCATGCTTTGGATCTTGAGCAAGTTCGTGTGTGGGATTTGCAACTACCTGGTCCATATTGAAGATAGACAAGAGTGCACCCCTTTCTTCAACGCCGCCACGTTCTGCTATTTTCACTGGGGCGTGAATTGCTTGCTCTTTCATCCCGGTGTATATTTTTCCGCCCCCGGCATCCTCAGCAGGCTTTGAAGGAAACACATCGATCGGATGGCGCGACGCGGGCCCTCGTTGACCAGGAACATGGCTCGTCATACGTCGAAACTTCCTCTGGGCTGCTGTTCCAAGCCACCGCAAATGATTTGCATCGTGCTGGCCGGCCACATCTTCTTCTGCAGGGTGCTCGTCGGGGTCCAGTCCACTGCTCTGTGATGAAAGTGATGGAGAGACTGCGTTACGACCATCGTCCAAGTCTCTGCTGTAGTTTCTGGCGTTCCCGGCCTTGTCATCATTTGAGGTCGTCGTCTCGCTGTCATCCTCTACTCCGTCAATTTTGCCAAGCGATGGCGGCATTGTCATCAAACGATGGTCCTCTGAGTCAAAATGAGAACCCAGAGGCACGTAAACGAGGTCTGAATAGAGCGCAGTTCTAGCGGCAGGATCCTCTAACTGGACCTCCATCAAGGTTTTGTTTGTCCATGGTCTTTTGGTTTTGCTCGGATCATAGTCCTCTCGCTCTCGTGTCCATGCGTCTCCTCTAGGACTAGGCTGAAGCGAATCGTTTCTTCGGGTTCTTTCATCTACTGCTCTCTGCTCATCACTGTTTTCGGCTATTGGAGCAGTAGGGCTGTTTGGATTAGATGTCTCAGACATCCCCCCATGGAATGTGATCTCATCCTCCGGTCTACAACAGCATGCGGACACCAGTAGGCATTCGAGAAAAGACGTTGCACGATTTTCGATGTGCTTGGCTTTCTTTCCCAAGACCTTCTCCAATATCGGCGTATGTGCATCTTCACCATCACCAACACTGTCCAAAAGCACTGCAAGTTTCTCTCTCAAACGTTTTGGTATGAGAGTCGGCGGTCTAGTAATTGTCCCATCGGCATCCAGACGCCTTGCAGGGAGGAAGACGCACTCAGAGGCAGAAGAGACCAACAGAGCATCTTTCGAATCGTCCACGCTAAGTGGTCGGCTTTGCGTAGTCGCGATGACGTTGTACGAAGTTACAGTGCGATCCGCTGTCTTCAGAAACAGAATATTTTGAAAGAAATGATTGGTCCGGCACAACAGCTGCCAGTCCCGAAGAATAACGGAGCTGGGAAAAAGAAACTGCAGAAACGTGGCCGGAGACCATGACGTCAGGACTGTATTGCCGTCTTGTCGTGTTCCTCTCGTCTCACTGGTTAGCTGCTCCAGAACTGGCCCCCTAACCTGCCACAGCAGACGCAGTATTCGCGCTCTGTGCCGGATGAGGATCGAATAGTGTCGACCATGATCCGCTTCATCGATGACTTGCTGGCAAGTGGCTCTGCGTGAAAGCATGTAATCTAAGGCTTCCGTGAGCGCGCTGCGAAGCTCCTCTAGAACGCGATCTGCGTTTGCCTTCTCTTCGTCAACATCAGCCTCTTGATAGAATGCAAATGCGCCAGACTTGTCAGCCTTGCCCTTTCTTTTACCATTGCCTTTATTGGTCTTTCCAGGCGACGATGCTTTTTTCGCTCCTTTTCCAGGATGACGCAAGGGTGCTCCAGCGGTGGACGGCGCGATCTTCTTCTTTCCAACCGGCCCTTTGTCTGTATTTTGCTTACCCTTAATAGGAGGAGAAGGACCACTAGGTTTTATCTTAGGTTTCTCTGGCACTACAGGGGTCTGTACACCCATAAGGCGAAGCATCATGCCGCCGATGCCTGCGACCGCTCTCTGTTGAATCGCTTTCACTTCAGCCGCCCTTTGCGCTTTTCGCTCTTCCCGCACCTTCTCTTTTTCTCGTTCTTCCTCACTATCGTACGTTGTGTCAAATATTGCGTCTTGCTTGATCTTCAGCGCCTCCAAGTCAAACCCATCATCATGATCGTCTTCCCGCGGTGTCAACATCTTGATTCGATTACCGTAAGCATGCTCCGTCAACGAGAACGCCTTTTGCATGTACGATTTTCCCGGCAATTTCATAATTGCCTGCTGGACAAGACCTTCCGGACTTCCACTTGTTGGACCTTCAAAGTATCCATCATGTTTATGACCGTCTTTGCCGTGTACTAGCTGTCGCATGTTGACGAGATCCAGAGCTAGTTCCATGTCCGATTTCGGCGTGAAGCGATCGAAATTGGTAAAGATGTGCTCTATCTCTTTGATCCACAATGGCTCGCCCTCGACGTAGCGCGCTTGCTCACTCTTCTTCACTGACCATTTGCGGCGGCCCAACCGAAAGTGCCTCGCGTCTCTAGCACGGCGGAGCACTGAAGGGGGAAAGCCGCTTGCGCTTGATGACTCGGGAGATCCCTCAACATACTTTAGTTCCTTGTCTACTCCACTCGGACTTTTACGGAAGAAAAGCATTGACAAAAGTTTGATCGGGTGTTGATGATGTTCCATGTGTATGTGATGCTTCAGGACTGTTCGAGCCACATGCTCGAGCTGCAGCGTATCTTTGATGCTGTGCTCCAAACTGAGCCTCGCGCTGTCACTTGTCATTGATGCAAAAGTGGCATGTGATGGGATATTGAATGCAAGAAGGGCATCGCCGGTTCGCAATCCGCGGGAGGCAGCCCATGGCGTGAATGAAGTTCTGCGCGGCATGCTTGCTGTACTAGGTCTAGAAACAGCATCCCGACCAGGTGTGTTCTTTTCCTCCTCGGTCGAGTCCACCCGATGATCTACCTGACCAGAAGCGAGAGCAGCACCTGCTCCGTCCTCGCCCTGACTCAGATCTTGTTTTGCGCGCTTCGGTGAGAACATGCCGACAAGGGCATCGCGCACGCCAGATGCCATGCGGACCGCGACATTCGACGTCCGGTTACCCATAGTCTCCGTCGTTGTAGATTGTGTTGCTTCTTCTTGTATAATTTGTCCAGCTTCGCCCGCTGCTTCTGTATTTGCGAGAACTCTGATGTGCGCACCTGCGGTTATGAAGTCACTGGGCGATGATTGTGTTGCGTCTTGTGCTTGAAATGGGTTAGCACGACCTGTATGCGCTTGAGAATGTACGGGCAAACGCAATTTCGGTAGCTCAACACCTTCTTTCTCAAGTGACTGTCCATCTAAGCTCGATATAGTTGTGAAGCCAGTAAAAATTTCGGGTTGCAAAAGACTGCGACCGGCGTTCGCGAGGTGCAGTTGCGCAAGGCGCTCAGCGATCGCCGCTTCTTCGTGTTCGTGCCACAGCAACTCCTCCGGTTTGAGGTCCAGTTGCGCATAGCAACGCTCGAATGAGGGTTTCAGAAAGACAAATGAGCACACAGCGCGGTCTCGGATTTCACTCCTTGAGTATTTCTTGTCTGCATCTTCGTCGGTATGACGACCTTGAAATCCGAGCTTGAAGGGGTTTCTAAATCCAAAACCAAATCCGCCTTGAGGCGGCTGTGTCTCAGCGTCACTCGATCTTTCCCCATAGAAGAGCGTCGGCAAACCTAGTAGCGGTGACGCACCTCCTGCACCTCCCGCATCTTCACTTTGCTTTCCGGTCAGCTTGTTTTGAGCTTTTTCTAATTCACGAATTCGATCTACCAGCAAATCCTGATGGACCTGGCGCTCCTCCTGCGTTGCCTGCGATTGGGTTAGCGGTCCAAAGGCAAAATCAGCTTCAACTTTCTCCTCTATCGATTTGTAAGGCATGGGTAGATTCACGTGTTGAGCGTCAGTTTCTTCACTAGCTGTATCAGGAAAAAGGTCATCGTAGACAGCACTGGCATCGCCGCGTAGGGCATTTTTGACCTCTTGACGTTTTTCCGCAAAGAAAGCATCGCGTTCGATTAGGTACGACCCAGGCTCAGCTGCTTTCGAGGAACCTTGTGCCTCCTGTCCTCGAGCTGGACTCTTCGCTCTAAAGATGTCGGCGGTGGTGTTTTGTCGCTGTCCTAACATCGACACTGGCTCGTGTTCCTTCATTACCCGGGCACGCCTGAAAATGTCTTCGCGTGTCTCACGTCGTAGGGGCGCAAAGTCAATAACTTGAAGGATCCTTTTACAAACAGCACTATCGGCATCAACGCCTCTCCAACTGCCAACGTCAGTCACCGGAACAGCAAAAGTCTCACTTTCATGTTGTTGATTATCTTGGTCCTGTTCCTGATGCAGATTTGAAAAGACAATGCTCATCAAAAAATCGCCCACCTCGACACCGGATTCGGCTGCCGGACCTTCAGGCACAACAGTTCTGACGCGAACTTTTGGATACTGCGTCCAATCTAGTGAAAAGCCAAAAAGACGCAGTAGTTTCTGCGCGCCTGTTATGAACTTGTCCTCCAGAATCTTTTGCATTAGGGGCTTTCCCTCTTGTGCAAACCGGAAACGAGCAGCATCATCTCCGGATGAGGATGACCCATCGCTTGAGGTAGACACGTCTTCTACTGCCTTGTCGTTGATCATACTAGAAGCTTGTTGTTCTTGGGCATTGACACTACTTGCTGCAGTTTCGGAGCTTTGACCGTACTCATTTCCATCATCTTTACGAAGAGAAGGCTGCGTCATCGATTTGTTTTGATCTTGTCTCCTACTCCCGATGGCATCGAGGACAACATGCTGCTCATGTTCCTCGTAAAAAGCGAATAGAAGACGACCAGGGCTTTCTAAATCAGCGACGCCTTTCCCATTCTCAACAGGTACAGGTTTGACTTTCTCTTCCTCCTTCGCCAATACCCGATCGCCCTTGCTCGGTCTAGCATGTTCATCGTTATTGCCTTCTTCGTTGACCTTAGGTGCATCGGGTGTTGACACAGCCACTGCTTGCCCAACCTCCGTAGCGTCATCCTCTACTCCATCAAGGCCCCCCGGTGGTTGTTCTTCCACTACGACGGGGGGAGCGCGATCATCATGGTGAGTCTCATCCTCTTCATCTTCTGTCTTGCGTTTGTCTTCCGACGTCGCGGGCTTATCCTTGCGCCTATGATCGGTCTTGTGCAGGGCAGTGTCGGTGCGATGACGACATACGATCAAGCCGAATTGGGCCAAAAAGGCTTTGCAAGTACCTGCGTTTCCCTCGGCCGTCGGATGCAGGGCATGCCTACAAATATCCGAAACCCAGGAAGGCAGTAAGTATTGCTCCAGCGGAGCTTGCTTTATGGTCTCGTCATCTGCTTGTTTTGGTTCTCGCTCGTCATCGTCTTCCGCAACGGTTGTTGCTTGTCTACTTGAAAGAATGACTCGAGCTTTCCACTGCCGAGGTAAATGAAGACCCCGCTTTTTCTCACCACGCGCTTCTCGCTCGCGCGCTTGAGTCGAAAAAACACTCTCACGACGATGAAAGAGCATGAAAAGGTTTTTGCTCGAACTAAGAGATGGGACTTGTGCCATCGGGAGCCCATCGCCGACGAAAGAAGCTCCGTACGTACTTTTCTGCAAGTCTGGTCCCTTAACGAAGCACACCTCTCGACGGGCGTTTACCTCCTGCAGCCAAAGCGGTGCATCATCCTCGTTCTTGTCGTCGTTCGTGGATATTGATGACGGCATAATCCGCAAAGAGGCTGTCGATGGGAAAATGCGTTCGCAGAGAACATCAGTTGTACTAGGCTGAGTGGTCTCACGAGTATCTGTTCCAAAACGACTACGACCTCCAAGAGCTTTTTCTTCATGTTGTGCGATATCATTGATCAACTGTGAGACATCTCGAACCATGCAGGACGTGCAAAATCCTAGGAACTTCGGATCTTTTGTGTCAATTTCACGCACATTCCGTAGCCGCTCTTTCTCCCAGTGCCTTTTAATCCGTTCTTGTTGTTTCAGGAAGGAAGGAAATGGCGATCCGTACTTCAATGCTAATGGAACAGGATCAGGAGGAGCTTTGAAACATCTCTTGTCGTTGGTGCTGGAGTGAAGATTGGTAGTTCGTCCCGGACTAGCATCGACGGGGTGGCCCGACGTCGGTGAGCCGCCAAGATAAAGAGCACTGCCCGGACTGGTGTCGCAAAATTCTCGCTGTTCAGCAAGGTGCACTCCTCTCTCAACTTTGAAGCGGCCGGTTTCCGCTTCAAGGAGGTCGCGAATCAGGTGGTCGTTTAGACTCAAAAGCTCATCACCCGGTCGCAGTCCGTGAACGTCGGCCCAACTTCCTGGTGAAACGTCAGCTATGAGCAGCGCTCGCTGCTCTGATATGCCTCGGAGGTTAAATCCAAGTGCCGTTTTCGGCCCACTTTCGACCGTGAAGTCTGTTGGATGTGCGGCTGTACCACTCCCACCCTCTTCAGAGCTAAGTTTTCCAGAATCCTCTACTTGTTCCCGGTTCACGACTCCTAGAGCGTTTCGCTTCACTGCCTCCGGCAATTTTTCAGTCACTCCTTTCGTCTGACATTTAAACCGCACCTGCAGATAATGTCCACAATGCCATCTTGGCAGAAACAGAAAAGCAAATGTTGTTGGTTTGTCTAGTCCACGTCGTCGCACCTCAAGCTTGATTTTGTCAAGGATTGCGCACGCCGGATCATCGCCAGGCCAAGCTTCCGAATCGTGGACAAGGTCTGAGAGTTGGAAAAGCAATCGAACAGGAGTCTTTGCGCGTCTGGCTGCGTCTGTGCGTATCCTCTTCTTTGAAAGTAGCGTTTCAAGCTGCTGCTCGACTTTCTCCTTCATCTCGGCTAGTTGAGAAAGTTCACGTTCATCAAACTCCTCCACTCCTTCATCGTCGCTTCCGCTCTTTTTAGCTTTTTTCTCAGGTTCTCGTCCAACGCGGCTGTTTTCCTTCCTAATCATTTTCTCAATGCGTTTCTGTTCTTGCCTCACCATTTTCCATTCGGCGACTTTGTTCTGGAAGTATATTTTACCTCTGGCTTTTCGTGGTGGATAGATAAACTCAATTCCCAGCAACATGTCACCTCTTTCTAAGTTTGCTTTTGCTGCTGGAGAGGGCTGGTGACATTTTGCCTGGTTCTTCTCGGACACCCTCTGCGCCTCGAGATGTTCACCTTCGTCTTCCGTATCCTTTGCGGCCAAAATTTCTCCGGTCTGCACAACTCTAGACACAGTGGCACGCGGGAATCGTGTCCAGTCTAGTTCAAAACCAGTGAGGCGACGCAAGCGGTCTTCACCATCTACCGAGTCGTCATCTAGAATCTCCATAATAAGCGAACTACGAACGAGACCCTTCGTCTCTAGACGCAAACTCCGAAGGGTGTCGTCCTTTGCAAGCTCCTTGTCCAGAACCTCGTCTGGCCCAACCTCTTTCGACTCTTCATTTCTTGCGCCCTGCTTCTTCCTTGGAGATGATCCTCCCGACTCAGAATCCGAATCTTCATCGCCCTTTTCATCATCATTCGCCGAAGATACCGCCCGTCCTGCCGCAGCTACTGAGCGCGCTCGCCAGCAAAGTGCATTCTGCAATACAGCTCGCGGTAACAAAAAAGGCTGAGCTTTCGATCGAGCAACTTGCTCAGCTCTGTCCAGCAATTCTCGCAAGTCATGTGCAATCTCCTCCGCACTAGCGGACTTTGCGTACTGTGAATTGAGGAGACTCCTGCGGTCCCGAAGGACGTGCTCAGCTATGTCAACAAATCTGGGATTTGACAACATGCTCTTTAGCTGTCGCTCCTGAGGTGACGAAAAGCCTTTTTGCAGCGATTCTTGGTGTTCTTCAGTGCTCCTGGAATCTTGCTGATGATTCACTTTATCATCTGGCAGCTCTTCCACCATAATTCCGACTCCCTCAACTGTAGTTGCAGGCGCTTCCAAGATGTGGTGAAAGATAAATCTTTGCTGTTTCTCAGACATGCGAAAAAGCCAAGCGTAGACGTCGGTTGGCTCAGTATACCGCCAACGCGCGTTTTGTAGGCGGTCTTTGTAGATGACATCTCGAGCTATCTTCCGCAGATTAGATCGGATCACATCATCTGTATTGACCAGATGCGTGGTAGAATATGATGAGCCAACTTTTTTCTGATCGTCGTCATCTGGAAAGCAGACATTTTGCTGGAATTCTCGATCTACTTCGATGTTCCACTCGAGGCGTCCATCGCGCTGCGTGATGAACGGTTCACCTTTGCGTGCCCATACGGTCTCCTGAAAATCGAGAATCCATCGAGTGACTTGTCTATACTCGGTTCTCTTCGGCCACGGCCGAGCCAGAAAGACGGAGAAAAACTGCGCAGGATGACGCAGCTTTTTGCGGGCGTTCCGGGTCTCTGTTGATGTGAACGCATTTTTATCACGGTTGGGGGCGTCGTCCGTTGTCGGGAAACTTTCCTCATCGTCCTGATGTACAAGTTTCTGTCTCTTAGCACTTGCACTACTGCTTTGTTGATTTTCTGCCTCTTTCTGCGTGCCGCGTTCGATGGCCCTCTTTGTCAGAAACAAGCCTCTCTGAAAAAAAGCCGCAGCTACGTCATCATAGCGCGCGACAAGCTCAGTTCTTAGTTCTTCCTCCGTTTCAGAAACTGCCTTAAGATCCGGAGGTGGCGCAGATCTTCGCGCGGCGGGCTTCCGTCTATACCATCGCTCCAGCGGTTTCGCAAAAGTAACAGGCAACGATGTTTCTAGCTCCGCCAAAACTTCTGACTGAGGCCGTGGAGCGTAGTTGTTTAGTGCCTCACGATCGACAAAAGTTGTAGCGGAGCGCAGATTCTTTTCCCTACTCATCTGATCTGAAAGTATTTTTTGCTGTCGTCCTTTTTCCAGATCGTCAACCAGTGTCCTTTGCATCAGTTCTCGTTTGTGAGCTTCTTCATCTTCCGACGAGGTGTCTTTCGGCAGATTCAGAGGTGGTTTGTTAGTGCGAGGTCGCTGACGTGGCGTTCCATCGGGTACTTGCCCCTTCATCTTTGTTCCTTTTCCAGACATTGGCACTGATCCCTTCTTGCATGTTTTTCCTTGTGT